TTTAAGCGCTGAGGAGATCCTATGTCTTCACGGGTAGACTGGATTGGCAAAGGATAGGTCAGCAGTCAAAGGTGGAGCTACGGTTAATGCTGGATAAACGAACCGGCGTTTGAGGAGGATGCAAGGGCACCGAGTCCGTGCAAGCGATAATGTCACTAACGTAATGACGGCCGTTTTGGCCCTTTGCCATTTGGAAAATAAGGGCTATCAAAGGGCCTTCTGTAGAGTCATACAGGGTACAGACTGATGTAGTGTCGTGTGGGTCCCACGATCCGAGGAAGTCATCCAATCCAGAAGAGTGAACTATGCGAAGCCCGAGGCACCGACGCCCAACCCTGCGTAACCGTAGGCTCACCACGTCGTAAGTCGAGCCCGTTGTCAGGCGCCGAAGAGAAGACCGTTTGTAGTCTTCTCGCTCGAAAACTTCCAATGTCGGTCGCGGTAGCATCGCGGGGTCGTTGGAGAACTTCACGGGCTCCTCAACAAGTCCTAAATTGTAGTACCCTTCCGCAGCCAGCTCGTTATAGGCATCGACGAGAATACCGGTGATTTTGGTAGGGCCGTTCCAGAAGCCGACCCTCTCCCAGGCGCAAGGTAAGGTCATCAGGTCAAACGCCAACCTCACCATATGATGGGGACCAAAATGGCATGTGCGGCCCATATTAGTGCTAAGCTATTGATGTTTTTTCTATTAGCTTAACCGTGAGAACTCGACGAGTAAGATGGAATAAGACTCACAGTAACGAGGAATGGATGGGTTATCAGGTCGTACTTATTCCCTGGTCTGATCCACAACGACGTAAAATACTCACCGGGCCCTAATGGGAAGTGCATCGCCTCTCCTGTACACTGGCCTATAGACGCCGTTTGTCCCGTAGGCCCATGTGAGGCCATGCCGGTTAGAAGGCGCCCGGTCCAGTACATTGTAAGACCCGTGCTATAGCTCGAGCCGAACTGGAGTGGTAAGGAGCATACCAACTTCCATCTCCGATAAACAGGCAAGGAAAGCCTAGACCAGTGGCCGCTAGGCTTGCAGGTGAAAGCAAACGGTTTTTTGGGAGGAGCATCGAACTCCCGGTCTGTCAGAGCGCGTCTCACACCGCTGCGAGTTTGCCAAACAGACTTGGTCATCCTGACCTGCACAACACAAAGTCCCTTTGATCTCATTTGTAAATTAGCGTCAGACCCCTCACGGCAACCGGCGAAAAAAAATTGAACCGAAATAAACCACAAACAAGGGAGAGAAAAGTAAGTGTCTTGGGAGGAGTTAAAAGTGCGAACATCTTCAACAAAGATGAGGTTATCGAAAGAAGATCCTTCGGCATGACCGAACCAGCTGCCCGAGGGATCCCCGAGCCAAGGGGAACAAGATCCATCAGAGTAAAGAATTCGAATTCCTCGAAGGCCGAACCTTCCAAGAGCAAATCGCAGTCCTTTAATGTTTTGTGATAAAACTTGAATGGATATCAAATCTTCGCCGCTCTGGTTAAAACCTATACCAGAAATATAATCTCGCCCAAAGATGTTTCGTGTGTTAATGCACAAAGTTGACACGGAGCCGCGAGTAGTGGGATGAATGACATGTGGGAGAGGATGTACTTTTGGGTCGATATGCCGTAGAAGTGGCACAGTTTCTAGCTCCACAGTCGCAAGACGCGTAAACGAATCGGCCCTACATTTAAACACGGCTGCCTTTTCAATCCCATATCGGTCGTGCTCATACAGGTCCGTGGAATCCTGTTCCAGGTCTAGCATAATCTTGCACTGGAGTTCAAGAGGCAGCCGAGATATGTCGGCGATGATCCGTCCCAGAGCCGTTTCCGTGTTGATAAGCCGTGTGAGCGAAGGAATCCCCCAAATTCTGACGTGGGGTTGGTCGCCTCTCCAAGGCGCCAAGGGTTGCGTTCGGCAGGCGAACCGGTAAAGCCGAGCAGTCTCAAACCCATGCTTTTTCGCCACCTTCCAGCACTCGAGGTGTGAAAAGAAGGGAGTTTGAACCCGGAAACAGTATCCGCAGTTCTCTCCAATGCCTTCACCCGCCGTTTCAGAATGGTATCTAAGAAACGTATGGTGGATACCGCGCACTTCGAAATGAATTCGGTCGCAATGGTTTACAGCAAAGGCTAAGATTTCCGCGGAAGAGCTGATGGCCGTATAGATGTCGTCAGTGTCGCCACAGACGGAGAAAACTGCGGAGAATAGTGTTAGCATAGTTATTCAAGGAATGGTGGGTTCGAATCCCAGCTACTTACTCGCAACGAATTTTGGCAGATGGGCGGATTCTTTCGCCTCAGGAAGGGCATGATCACAGAGAAAACATCTAGGCTCAACAGAGACATGACCTCTCGGGGACATTGGGAAGATACGGCGATGGGAGGGTAGCACCAAGAGATCGTCAGAGAGAGAGGTACAGCCCTGGTAACTAGAAAAGCACGGGAAAGAGACAGTTGAGGATCATATTGGAGACTCCACTTTTGATAGAAACGCCTAATCTAGTTGACGGCAAATGAGTGCGGCTACGGCGCGTTGAACAGATCCTCTGTTGTGAGAGGCGCGTTGATGGATTTGGCGACTTGGTGGTTGTAATCAGAGATTCGATGACTAATAATAAGCCCTGTTAGGATTTATTCACTTTTTGTTACCAGGGAATAAAGATAGGGGCGGATATACCTCGGTGCAACTAATCATTTTAGCTTCCCAACTGTTGTCACCTGCATTAGTATATAGAAAGAGGCGTATCTCGACATGGGATCCTAAAAGGGGAAAATAAATAAAGAGGGGGTAAAAATAGAAAGGAAAAAAAGAAAAAAAAAAAAAAAAAAAAAAAAAAAAAAAGAAGAAAAGCTTGCGCCCTTCATAAACCTTTCTGGACCTATGAGGGCTCTCTCTTGATTGGTGTGTCTTGCGGAGAGCTTTCACGAAGACGTTCCCTGAAGCCGAGTTTATTGCCACCGCTCCCTCACGGTGTTGAATATTCAACAAAACAGTAGGCGCGCTTTGGCTGATCGCCGCCTGCCGCGCGCACATCTTCCAAATCGTGTTATAGGAATCTTAGTAGCAGCTAAATTGCACGAACTCGGCTCTACACAGTCATATTCCAGAAAGAAAACAAGGTAGACTCAAGGTCAATCCAAACCAATCAGGATCAAAATGACAGGCTCTTCTCGATTGCATCCATCAAACTATGAGCCCTCGACGCAAGATCTTTACACTCCTTACCATACTCGTCCTTTCCGACCACCTCGTCGAAGCCATCCTTCCAGAAATGCCATCTCTCGAGGCAGAAGGGGTCTTCGGACCCTTTGTACAAGTTTCCAAAGGCTAGTGTCGTGTTATTGGCACCACAGATAATTCCTGGACAGAATGCACTTTCGAAAAAAGCCTGGCTGTTCCAAAGGACCCACTGGGCTGCCGCCATGACGTGATACTCCTTCTCCCAAGCTTCTTCCGGCTCCTTTTCGAATGCATCACGCATAGCCCAGACCATGTACGTCGCACTCGGGCCCCAGATACCGGTTGATTGTAGTCGCGCCAAAAAGGCGTGGTAATTGACCCACTAGATGGGAGTTTCTTCGGCTTGTGGTCCTGGGCACTGACTTTAGCTTATTGGGCCAACTAAAGGACGATAACAACTGACTACCTTGGAAGTTGTCTCTGAGGACTTCTTTTAGAGCCTGATGAGTGTGGCACAACTCCTCACCTCCCTGTAACTCTTTGTTGGCATGAAGGCGTTTGCGAAATTCACTTTATTGTCAGATCGTTACAGATGACGTGGACTTTGATGCGAACTTGGCGGATCGCGATAGATGTCGATACAGTTGAACAAGCTTCTGCTGGGATGGATGGTTATATGGGATCTGGACGGCAATCTCGAGACATAGCTCAGCGACGGAAAACACTTCAGCCGAATATGGAGCGTTAACGGGAAGAAGGGCGAGAATCAAGTTCGTTACTTCTTCGAGAGAGCTATTGGAGTTGGCTGAACGTAGTCACGTAGGAGATTGCCCACTCTTGCCTGGGGGAAGTCGGTGGTGAGAGCCCATTGAGGAAGAGGTGCCAGTGAGTGCTTTGAGCCGTGCTGGCGATCATCCTAGAAGCTTCGCTGAGCGATCTTTGGACTCCCCCAAACAAGAAGTCTCTGGAACAGACCCACCAAGGACGTCAATATGGACAGTGAGAGATTCCATTATGTGTGTGTGGAGTTAGAGCCGGAAAATAGATCAGATGAAGCAATGACTTGGGGAGGTGGTTCATTGTGGCGATGCAAACAGATAATGCAGGTGAGACGGGAACTGGCCCAATAATAGAGGAGGTTGAGCGAGGTCCCGAGCCGAGTGGTATTGTGCACCCATCGACCAATTTTAGCTTCTTGCATCGACCAATTTTAGCATTGCGTTCCGATTTGTTCTCTGTTTTTTCTTGCCGCCTTTTGTGGCTATGGCTGCATTGCCTTTATCCAAACGACGCTTTTAACAAGCGACCAAGGAGGGCGATATACCATTGGCTCTGGAACCATCTTTTGCCGCCGATGCGTGTAGAGCCAAAATTGCCTGAACTTCTAATTTTGAACCCCGTATCTACCAACACCCTAATGCTTGTCAGATTTTCGGCATTTGGGGGCCCAGTGGGACAAAGTCGCCGTTGACAGCCCAGTAGGGCTGCGCCCAGAAGACGGCAATTGTCGTTATTGAAAACACTTCGATATTAGATGCTAATATTAGATACTAATATTAGACGAAGGAGAACAATATTTGTATCCCACGATGCCTCCCTTCGTCTTCCCTTCCCGCTCTGGGTCCGGTCCAACGATACCCTTGCTGAGCGAGGCACTCTCCAATTTGATGAAACCGATTCAACACCGAACTTGAATTGTTTGTTTCGGGCAGCAATTTGTTATTTCTTTGAAGTGTCTCTTCGCGATGAGCGCCGTAGCAAGTGCAGGTTCCGAAAGCTATCATGTCTATCTTGGCTTTTGGACCAATTGGTCCCGAGGACCCGTCATGGGCGCAACGCTGACCCTGACGAAACAGCACGGCGCTTTTCTGATCGCCTTCCTTGCCATTTACGTGGCAGCTACAGGAAAGAGTGCCTGGCGCATCGCTTGCTTCGCCATCCACCGGATGCTCTCGTCCATCGAACCCCAAGACGCCCTCTATCACCAGCGGCAGGCCATCCTTCGGAACGTCTGCAATGCCCAAGATGCCGCGTGGATGCTGGGGAATTCTCTCCTGATGTGGCGTAACCGCGCCAGCCGACCTGCCCGAAGACTGATTCCCATCATTCTCCTCGCCATCTTCATCTCTGCCGCCTTTGGCATTGCGGGCATCTTCTCTTCCCAGGTCACGGCGGATACCATCAACGAAGTTCTCCTCAAAGGAGACAACTGCGGCCCGCTTACGAGCAACGATGTAGAGGACCCGGACGGATACGACCTACTCTTCGAGCCATACCAAAGCCAGCGCGTCATATCATATGCTAATTACGCCTTACGCTGTTACACGAATACCTCCACATCAGACGACTGCAACCTATACGTCACTCCGAAGCTGCCAACGACCGTTGAGCGCGATGCCGGTTGTCCCTTTGACGATAGCATATGTAAATCCCGGACGGGCAATCTCGTTGTCGACACTGGATACATTGATAGTGACACGCACTTGGGTATGAATCTTCGACCCGAAGAGAGATTTTCCGTGCGTCTCTACCATCATTGCGCGCCGTTGGTGACCGAAGGGTTTACCGAGATCGCAAACGACTCTTCATCCGAGCCTGTCATGCGATATTACTACGGAGAGATTGGTGGCAAGGCGGGTAATTTCTCGTATCAAATGCCCATCAACAACTCGATCGTCAAAGTATCAGGGTCTAACACCAGGGCCACCGCAAAACTGGACTACAACATTGGGTAGGCTTTCCCATGGCTCCGACACTGATTCAGTCAAGCTATGTAAGCTAACTAGTAATAATAGTCTCCTGAAATTCTACGGCGGTGATCCTGAGATGTCGGCAATGTACTCCATGTTTCAGCCAATCCCGCAGTTGACGCGGACGGACGCGGACGTCATGCTCTTCTTTCTCTCAGGCCCCGGCGTGCTTTACAACGGCCCCGTGGAAGATCCGTGGTACTCGGCTCACGTCAAAGGCCCGGAAATGATAAACTTCGTGTCCAACCAGACCCGAACCATGTTCTACCGCGACGAGCTTGTGACCGTGCTGGGATGTTCGATGCAAACCCAGATTTGCAATCCCAACGCTGCCGGCGACAGGCAGTGCACTCCTCTGCGAGGGATGGCCGACGACACGTTTGACCGGTACGCTCCGTGGGATACCGAAAGACAAAAGAAGATGATAAAGCGCGCCGACTCCATATTGGGACTTGGTCTGTTTACCATCTCCGGAATTGTGGACCGTCTAGGAGCTGATTCATTGACGTCTCGACACGGGCTGTCGAACAACATCCAGGGCCCGTTGCCTGGTAACCAATGGCAGCGGGAGGTTGAGCACTGGGTCACTTCGTCCTTGACTTCCATTCAGGGTTCGTTCGTGGAAGCCGCGAACGGACCTCCTCCCCAAATGCAGTCATTCAGGAAGGCTCCGAATGGGACTGAGGAGGTGGAGCTCTGTCACAGCCAGGTAAGCCAGAATCCTATGTGTTTCTCGCGATGATTTATAGGTACCATGCGTTCTCTCAACTAACATGATGCTCGCGGTTACTTAGAAAATAATTAGCACTCGATACCTATCCTTTTCTATACTAGGTGTCGGTGTAATCCTAATCCTTGGCGGAATCACCATGATACTCGACTTCTCCATCGAGTCTCTGGCCAGCAGAATTGAGCGACTTCGCCAGACAAATGGCCCGGACCCCGAACGCGCCTATGCGCGCCTAGAGTGGTCTGCCAATACAGTCTTGCAGCTCCAGAGGATGGCGCATGAGCAAGTCGGTCTTGGGACTTGGTCCAACACGGCGGGTGTCAATCCAGTAACGCTTTCAAATGAAAAGCTCGCGATCCTGGACATTACCGATGAAGCCCATCCGCAGCTGAGACCTCCAGATGACTCTAACGCTCGACCGCCCCTGAAGACAGTTTCTAGCATGGGATCGTCGATATCAACAGACACAGTGGAAGAAGAGAAAAGGGCGAAATTGACTCCTGACAAATGATGTGATGTGAGGATATCAAGTAAGAGTCAGGCACGAAGCAGGGGAAAGAGCTGAGACGCGCTGCAAAGGTCCCAGGGAATAGACCTTCGAGCAGAGACACGCGGCCCGGTGAAAATCTATCACGCAGCTTGGGAGATCGTTAAAAGAAATCAATGAAACCCCCCACGAATCGCAAAGCTTCTTAGGTAGTCCGAGTTGTAAGACATACTCGTTACAAAAGGGCTGTTCCCGGGACTGGAGAGGGTTTGCTAAAGTGGACAATGCGAAGGATTCGGAAAGAGGCTTTCGCGGCTTGCAGCTTGTATCGGGGCAAGATTTGAACGTGTATGACTCGGAATGTAACTAACCCTGATCATGTATAAGAGTTCCAGTTTTCCCAACAGGGCATCTCATGCAGTCCTGGCTGAAATAATATTAGGGGCGGCAGTTATTGATAGCGCTCGAATGTAAACAACTGGAGCAATTGAGATAAATCAGGAGAAGCTACAATTGTTTAGTAATGATCAATGTTGACTTCTCGAACCCTGGTCAGTTTCTGCCCGGAAATTATATTCGGCGATGGTGACATGACTACCTAATATTATTTTCACTCCCCCACTATAACACTAGCTCTCTCTTTTTAACTATTTCCCCTGTCCCTTTATGGTAAAGATATTAAGACTTTAAATAGGATGAGATGAAACTTCGCTACCTTCTATCTAAAGAGTCCGAGATTCGATTATTTATTTTATATCCTGGTTTAGATGCATACGTTGTATCCAACACTCTCCGAGACATTACAAACCCGGCAAACAGTATGAAGTTTTGTCCTATTTTTGGGGTGATATTGGAGACTCCGGTACCATATTTGTTAATGGCTGTACTATCTCTGTTACGAAATCACTCGAGACTGCGCTCCGTTATTTGCGTTACCAAGACTAGCCTAGAACTCTCTGGACCGACTATCCCTGCATCCATCAAGAAGACATCCCAGAGAGAAGCCAACAGGTCTCTCAAATGGGTTTGATTTGTGAGAACGCTGATTCTATTCTTATCTGGCTTGGACCTGCAACACGAAATAGCAGTGTGGGAATGGAGATACTCTGCTATTTCGCCAACGAAAGCCAACCACAATCTCGCCTAGTATGACAAGAGTATCACCACTCACTCGTGTACCATGGCCTCCATGAGGTAATGACTAGGCCCTGGTTTGAAAGGTTGTGGGTTGTCCAGGATGTTGGGCTTTCCCTGCACGCGATACTCTTATGCGGACGGGACTACATTGAGTGGCTGATGCAGCCTGACAGATGGACGGATGGACCGATACTTCCTGGCCTCTTATTAAGACGGGTACTCAATGCCTGCTACGGTCTATGAAATAGAAAGAAAAGGACGTGCTTGATTTTAGTAATTATTTTCCAAGATCTTAACCTCGCATAACATGGCTTCAAGAATTCCAACCATACGCTTCAAGTCATTGGCGCCTCCGCCCCCTCCTTCCCACGATCTGATTGTCTCTGAAGATAACTCCACTAGCTCGACCCAGTCACGCGGTAAGCTTAGCGTTGGATAGAGCGCTGCATTTCTTAGTATGCCAATCGACCGGGCGGCTGAAATGAGAAGTGTCGCGGCGCCGAAAGATCTCCTGATCAGTCCCCAAATTCCGCCGTGCCGATGCTGTGCTGCCACCAGGCGAATCAAAGTAGCTGATAATTCAAGCGTTTTCTGGGCTAGAACCCTCGATTGGGCCGGCAGAGAATTTTCGTCGGTCGTATGGAGGACCAAATACAAAAACGGCCGGTGAATCCACTCCATCACTCCTACGTAACGGGTCATCAGGAAGAAGGAGAGTTCGTTTGACGGGATGTCAACTGGTTGGCCAGTGGGCGTCGCGAGCGGGTTAGGAAACACGAGCTGTGGTGGGAGATGAGAATGCCATGACTCAAGCTCCTCAAAGTAGGCTGCCTGACAGCGCAGTAGGGCTTCTCCTCCTCCGGATACCCACTGACTTTCGCCGCCGGCATACAAGTCCGCAAGGACACGATCCATGATGCTCCGTAGGGAGATCTCAGCAAGATAGTGAAGCCAGCTCCGTTCTTCATCGGGCTGGAGTGCTCCATCCTGGCTGCTAACCTGTGCGCCCGCAGCCGGAGTCCTGGGGCTTCCTTGCCATGCCGCTGGGGACCATGCCATCTGCCCTTGAGGAGAGGACGTTAGTGGCTCAGCCGGTGGCGAGAGATGCTGCAATGCTGAGCTGGACGGGAAGGAGAGGGATCGGAAGGGATCGGGATATTTGAACCGTAAAAGTCCAGATGACGGAAGTTGCATTTCAACTCTGAGCTCGCTGCGAAAATTGAACTTCTTAGTCTAAATTTATTTAAGAACATCGTAGACATGGAACATGGGTGGGGGGGGCAAACGTACCACTCAGCCTTTACGCATGACCAGTACAACCGTTGCTCAATATGCCTTGCCCTCTTTCCCTCTTGAAACTCCCCCTGAGAGGCGACAGCAAGTCCTTTAGCATACAAGTACGCTTGAAATTGGGAGCTCGCACTCTGGAATAGCGACCAAGCCGCTAAGGGCCGCACGAGAAACTTCTCGTAAAGCCCAGCGAGGTACTGGCACTGGACGGCGATCAAGGAATTGGACAAAAGGCCTAAACGACGCTGAGCGGCCCCGAAGAACGACTCGCCCATGTCTACGTCAACCCCTTCTTGCGTTCCCACCTGGTCCTGCAACATGCGCCTACCCTGCCGATATCTGGCGACGTCTGGGTCGTACGGGCCAGCGACGCTAGCTAGAGCGCAGGCTATAAGCTACGTTAAAAAGAAAAAGGGTATGAATGAGAAGATGCTCTTGATCCTTGCTGACACGAAAGATCATCGACCTACCACTAAACACCCGCCTCCGTCCCAACCAGGCCCATACTCGGCCACGTTACGAGCGTATTTCGAGAACTCCGACACATCGAGAATGGGGTTTTTAAGATGAATGAGCGCCAGAAACTTCCTACAGAGTGGCCAGATGTAGTCCTGCTGGATCAATCCCTGTTGTCGCGTGTGACTATTTGCACCAAAGGTGGCTTCTAGCGCAAACGAGATAGCAGATTGATCCTGACAGATGCCATTCAATACGGGCCACCGCAACAAGGATTCGCAGCCACTTGTCCGCGCCGCAGCCTCGGGAATATCAAGTTGTCCGAATCCATCGCCTGTGAACGCGCTTCGTGTCTTTGAGATGTCGGGTCCCTCGACAATATGCCCTAGGGGCTCAGCAGTCCGCGAGGGCGTTTGTAACGGTAAGACCGAGACGATTGTTTCTGTCTGGCGATTTGTATTGGGACTATTAGTTTTCAGTTCCTCGAGCAACGTGATGGCATAATTGACTCTTTCGAGGACGGTATTGTTGGAAGCTTCAGGCTCCAAGTCTTGGGTGACACCATCGGGATAGTCGCATCTCACGCGCTGTAGAGAACAGTAGCCGCATTTGGGCCGTCGGTTATCGCATCTCGTCTTACGCTCTCGGCACAATCGACATGCCACCTGTGCTCTTCCCCGCCGTTTTCGGGGTCTTGAGTCGTCCGTTTCTGGCTCCTCGGAAAGTTGGCGTCCATTAGAGCAGTGGATTGGATGGAGGGCTTCAACCGACGGGCTTCGAGGGCATGCTACCCGACTAGTCGTTAATTCGACGGAGAAAAATATGCAGGAGAGGAGTTCATATTACCGTGGGTTTCCGGCATTTCTGCTCTTCCGATCTTTACTTCGAAGGTGGTTCGGGACAATCGATGAAGAGATCACAACGGCGGTCAACGGTTTGTCGGGGACATCGGGGACAAAAGGATATCTATCGTCGGTAGGGTGTGGGGCACGAGTAGTGCCAGGTTTATGGGAGATTCAACAATAAGAGAGCTAAACCATGTACGGAAAATGGAGATGGCTCACAATAGGAGTTATGGTGCGGGATCTCGCTTTTACGAAGTACCTGTCTCGAGATAGTAATACAACTAGATCAGTCCTACTTGAGGATTCTCGCGTCAGTCACGTGTCGGGATTATCGGGGAGAAGACGTTTTTTTCCCGATTTGGGCCAGGGCTACCCTGGTCTGGTGAAAGGATCTGTGGTTTGGTCCGGTGGGTGCAGAGGTTGGATCCCGGTACGCTTCATCACATCGGGCCCTACCCCACAAACAAGCTGCTGCGAGATACCGGCACTCGGGCTCCTGAGAAGTTGAACTTCCTTGCACCATGCACTCCTTATTATTTGCCATCTACTAAACTAGACCTTTCATTCGCATGCGGGGCCCCGCAAAGACTAGGAATTAGCCCATTCCGTTGAAGTTTAACGGCTGCGCGATAGGTTACATGGGCTCGTAGACAGCTAGACAAATCTTTTGAGGCAGCTTTCCACGACCTCGATAAATACGTCCCGTGTGCCAATACCCTTCACCGGGTTGTCTATCCCCGTTACTCTTCTCGGTCCCCGTCGTCGAGTGATTCTGCTAAACGACTTCCTTCTCTTTCTTTTCGAAGACTCTGTCTAGATTGCCCCATAATCATGGCGAATTTCAGGGAACAACTTTCCTCTGTTGGAAGAATGTTCAACAAAACCCTCGCCTTCTCCGTAGCCCTCATCGCCATCTCCCAATTCAATTTTGGCTTTGATCAGCAGGCGTACTCGACGACCCAAGCTATGGATCATTTCGAACGCCAGTTTGGCACCTACAGCGAAAAGCTTGGGCGATACACCATTGAGCCGTATGAACTGTCGCTCTTGAACAGTTTGCCCTATCTCGGGTTCGTCCTGGGCTTGCTCACTGGCAGCGAAATGAGCGCCCGCTACGGCCGTCGCATAGTCATGTTTGTTATGAGCATCTACGCTCTTTGCACCGCGGCCATTACCTTCTCCTCAAGGTCCTTCGCCCAAATCCTGGCGGCAAGAATTCTCAACTGTTTGTTGTCCTATTCCTCCCCTTCGGGCCGGGGCCTTTGAATAACCACTTCTGGTTTTAGATGCATATGTTGGGATGGAATTGTCTGTAGTTCCGGTCTTCCAATCCGAGATCGTTCCAAAGCAGGTCAGAGGTTTAGTTGTCGAAACGTATCAGCTGATGCTTTACGTGAGTTCTATGGTTCTACGCAATGCATTCTTCTCCTTCCCCATGGTTTAGGCCCTTGATTAATATTTGAATAATGTCGCCTAGCTCGGGGGCTTTATCATGAGCCTAATTTGCTTCGGCACTGAAAAGTTCGACGACAACCGACAATGGCAGATACCCTTCGGCATGTTCTTCATCATCCCAACCATTGTCGCAACCGCCATTTGGTTCATTCCTGAGGTAAGAAATGAGAGTAGTTCTATTTACTATGTATTACGGCAGGACTGACTATGTGGGTCTAGTCTCCCAGATGGCTTCTCTTGAAGGGTCGTGAAGAGGAAGCCGTGGCTTCGCTACGTAAACTCCGAGACGGGTGCTTCACCAACGAAGAAATCGACAAAGAGATGGACGGGTTGCGCATTATACTTGCCCAAGAGGAAGACAAGGGTACCTTCATGGACCTCTGGAAACCCATCAACATGAAGCGTACCTTGATCACCATCGGCATCAACTTCTTCCTGCAGCTTACGGGTAATATCTTTGCCAACAAGTACGGCACAGTCTACATCAAGTCTCTGGGATCTGTTGATCCGTTCACTATGACAGTCATCAATCAAGTCGTTAACCTATTTGGGGTTGTGGTTTCAATGGCTCTCGTGGACAGAGTCGGTCGACGGTAGATTGTTTTCCCCTTCCAGTTTGCGGCAGCCACGGATATTAAAAGCTAATCTCTCCACAACGCAGACCACTTTTGCTCCTCGGCTCATTTATTCAGCTTGCTTCACTATACACAATGGCCGGACTTGGTGTTGGAGAGACTTCAGCCCCCATCCGTGTTGGCATCGTAGCGATGCTTACTGTCTTCGGTTTTGGTTTCTCCGTTGGCTGGGCACCGGTGTCACATATTCTCTCTGCCGAGATTCCACCGACTCGTCTCCGAGATATGACTTATCGGACGGCATCGACTGTCAACATTTTAGTCCAGTAGGTCACTTTGCTTTTGCTTTTCTTTCTATTTCTGTTCTTCATAATCATGCTCAACGCTATGGTTTGTTTTCAACAGATTCGCTACTAGCTTTTCTATCCCCTATCTTCTCAACGAACCCTACGCTGCCCTCGGATCCAAAGTCGGTTTCATCTTCGGTAGCGCTGCTGTTCTTGCAGCCATTTTTGCCTACTTTTGCGTCCCCGAGTGTAACCACCGGACGCTGGAGGAAATCGACGAACTTTTCCGCGAGGGCGTTCCCGTCCGCCACTTTAGCAGGGTCAAGGAGATTACGGTGGGCGGACATACTTTCAATGATGGTAAATGGGATGATGATGAGAACGGAAAGGCGACAGTCGTTACGGTGAATAGCAGGATCTCTTGATTTCTCTGATCACATGTCATGATCCCGATTTGCGTGGCTTGGAAGTATTCCTTGTATTTGAGCGGGATTTATTGAATTAGGCTGTATCTAGATTGGCAGAAAGAGCTATAATTTAATACTTGTGCGCACCGTCAAGTTGAGCTCTTGGGAGGGTCTTCTTGGTGTCCGCCGACGGCAGAGCCAAGCTTGCAATTCATGATTGCCTGAACGTTCCCGCCATAAATAGTTATTCGTGAGAGTATCAGTGCAAAATTACTTAGACGTGAGCATAGGCCCTATCCTGTCGGAATAGATGTTCCTGGAATTCCAAGCAGGAAACTAATCTGCCCGAATTCCGCACGGGAATATGGATATAACCGACCCCTGAAATTTCTCACCGCCATTTTCAACTTCATCAATACTTGTACACACAGCTACCTGGGGATGAGGAACTACGAATTTTAGCTGCGACTGTGACAATCGAATTCGAAGCTTTAGACCGTCAAGGAGATGGTCCAGACAACATTGAGTCTCACCCTGTGCTGCTTCGAGACTCCACTAGAAATTCCTTTTCTTCCAATGTGACAACGACTGCCCTCGATCTACCAGGCTCATACTTACCCGGCGTTACGCACAAAATATTCTGGACGCAGCAAGTCATAGCCGCCGTATCCGAAACCAAACCAGAGGAGAGGGTGTCCCTTGTGCAGTTTATCAACAACGTACCATGTCTTGCATACGAAAGGTTGCCAATGATATTCTATTCTTTGGAGTTGTGGGAGAGTCTTGAGGCAATGGAGCTGTTTGTTCCCCCAGACCTCATGCCCTTTCAGAATCATAGAGAGAACGAGGAGGCGAAATGAGTCATGAGGTGAAATATGCGAATTAAAGAGTGTTGTACTGCCCTGCACTTTCACGGTTTAGTGATATTGTGTATCCGGTCATCTTTCAATATACAAGAACACCGAAGAATATTTTCTACTACCCATAAAAGAGAAAAGAAAAAGATATATAAGCCCTCCACTTTAAGTTACTCGTTTATCCTTGACAACATGAAACACAACATCAGGGTCAAACATGCCAGTTTCGCTGTAGTAGACATTCCAATGCTGAACCATCTCCTCTAGCACAGCAGGCTCGCTCTCCGCCTTGTCATGCAGCTCACCCGGGTCGTTGTCAATGTCGTATAGCTCCCAAGTATCCTTACCCCTCGGTGGAGTCATGTACACGGCCTTCCACTTCCCCTTCCTAATCGCCCGCAAACCAAAGAGCTCCCATCCTGTGATCGTCGTCTCTTTATCATGTACCTCGGGTGCACGGCCAGCAAGATGCGGCACCCACGAGCGGCCACGGACAGGCACGACTTCTCGACCACGAAACGAAGTTGGATAGGGATGGGAAACACCAGCGAGATCGAGCATGGTGGGCAAGATGTCCATAACCGTTGTGAATTCGTTTGTGTGCGTTCCGGGAGCGCAGGGCCGCGATGTGCCAGCTGAAGCTGCGGTTAAAGGAGGGTAGCGGATGAGACAGGGGCATCGGATCCCCCCTTCCGTGATCCATGTCTTAAATCCCCTAGACGGGGCCATAGACGCGCAAGCCCAGGCTGGACCGTACCACGTGAATGAATCCTTGTTGCCAATATTGGCCAAGGAATTATCGTAATGCTTGTCGATCAAAGCGCCAAGACTCGTGGTGCCACCGAGCATTGGAAGCGCCTCTAAAAGCGTTCCTTCAGCGCCGTTGTCAGACATGAATAAGATAAAGGTGTTGTCTAGCTCTCCGGAAGCCTCCAGGTGATTCACAACGCGCTGGATATGCTGGTCTATAACGTGCACCATGGCTGCAAACACCTCCATCTTCCGTGCGGACTCGGCTCGTTCCTTTGGAGTGAGCTTCTCCCACCCACGGTCTAGTAGACCAGTCATGGGAGCCGGCTCTACATCCTTTGGCACGAGCCCAAGTTCTATCAGCTTTTCGAGGCGGCGTTTCCGTAGTGCGTCCGGTCCGTCATCATAGACACCTTTGTAGAGATCGATCACTTCCCTTGGCGCCTGGAGAGGCCAATGCGGGGCAGTAAAGGCTAGGTATGAAAAGAAGGGTTTCTCTTTTTCTTCGTGAGTTCGCTTGGCGAGGTATCCGATCAGCTCGTCGGCGAAGGTCTTTGTCGAGTAGAAATCTTCAGGTAGCCCCGTATTTCGGTTGAGATAAGTACCATCGCGCATCCAAAATGTGGTGGGGTCGGCAACAGCCAGTGACGGGCGCGCCTCACCCTCCTTGAACTGTGGCTCGTAGTTATAGTGGTTTCCACTGCCTGGCAGATAAACGAAGCCCTTGTCAAATCCTCTGGAGCAGGGTGCGTGTTCTTTGGCGGCGCCAAGGTGCCTGTATACGCAAAACACACACAACACGAGTTAGCCACGAAATCTCACCACCTGTTTTCTTCTTCTCACCGTCTTCTCCCAGCGGGATTTGCCATTGCCAAACTCACCATTTTCCAGACATTAGGGTCAAGTACCCAGCATCTTGGAGCAACTCAGATAGAGCAGCGACCCGGAAATTGAGGTATCCTTCATACCCCTCCCTTCCCTTGAACAGCTCTCTGTCACCCATGTGTTCCGCCATCTGGCCTAGTCCCGCGATGTGATTATCCGTGCCCGAAAAGAGCATTGAACGCGTGGGAGAGCATGCTGAAGCGGTATGGAAATTCGTGAACCGAACACCATCTTTGGCAAGCCTCGCGAGAGCAGGCGTCTTGATCTCTGAGCCAAAGGGGCTCGTGTCACTGAACCCCAGATCATCGGCCACGATAATGAGGAAATTAGGGCGTTTAACAGATCTCATGGTGGTTCCCACTGTCTTACCGGAGTTGATCTCTTTTTCAGTGAAATTCTTCTGTAGCGATGAAGAATCTTGAGTGGGAAAGAGACTAGGGCACGACCAAGACGCGTTTGAGCATTGGCCTTTTTAATCCCCCGCCCTGCCACAGCTCCGAGCTCCGGAAACATTGAAGGGGCGTCCACACGCCATGCACTTTTTCTTCCTAAGCCAACGAGGCCCCAAAGAGAAGGAGGGGGGTTATTCCGAACCATCCATAGGCCTCTTGAATCGCGGAGTGTTAACTGGGGAACCGGAGTTTCTGCACTAATAAGTGCGGGTGGGTCAGGTCCGGATTAGCAGGTCAGTAATAATGACCAATTTGCCCGGGGAATACGGGGAGAAAGTGGCCTGGCATCACGGTGGGGTGAAGTAAAGATGCTGACCGGGGAGATCGGGGAGATTTCTCCCTCAGTCAAGAGAATCTACGACAAACCTGGAAAAAGGAGCAGCTCCAACCAAGTACCGTCGCTCTATGTCCGGCGCTTAGTATCGATTCCGTGGTTGTGCCGGTGACTCCACAAACACTGGCGACCCCACAAACACTGGGAATCCTGCATCGGGCAATAGGCTCTGTAGGATGGCCTGCCGGAGTCGACGTCACGGAGTGGGTTTCTTTCCGGGGCATGTCATTAGTTTCCCTAGAAAAATACAGCTTGCTTCCATACAAAGACGAGACACCCGTTTCCAATCTAGACGCAGACGCATCGACCTGGCCAGACCTCGGTCCAAGCAAGAAGGAAGGGAAATAGAGCCTTCTAGCGATGGAAGCTGAAGTGAGCAAGGGACCTAGAGTTAGCCCTGGCGCCGAGGTTCTTGACATTTGATTTTGTTACGTGCTTGGTATCTTCCGGAGCTAGGGCTGAGTTCCGATTGATCGCTCTGTCCATATCATTTAAAATACTACCATTAAACAGATGAACTCCCACCATCATGAGGTTTGCAGAACCACCCGCGATATATTTTAATATATATATTATTTAATAGTCTTCTATTGCGCCTTCAACTAGCTCCCGTATATCTTCTGTACTTGCTAGATCTAGCGGCGTTAATCGATTTCTATCCTCGACAGTTGGATTAGCACCTTCATGTAAAAACAACCGCACTAACTCAGGCGATGCCCTCCACGCAGCGAGATGCAGTGGTGAGTTGCCATTGATATCCTGCGCGTTTACATCTGCGCCGTTTTTTAGTAGGATCTTGGCCTTGGCCATCGCCACGTCAGGATCAAGGTCGATGAGCTGTCGTCCGGGGGTGTCGTAGTCGTAGCTATACAAAATATGGTGAAGTGGAGTCATTCGCGCGTCGTCGCCTACCAAGGCAGCGAGCTTGTTATTTTCTAGGAGCGTGGTGAGGACATCCGGCGAATCGGGCGATAACGAAGATGCCGCGGCGTGGATGGCAGTCTTGCCAATGAAATCCTTCGAGGCAATATCTGCGCCCTTGGTGAGGAGCCACTGCACGGCGTGGACGGACCCCGCAGCCGCCGCTAGATGCAGAGGGGTCTCACCGTCGATGATGTCGATGTGATTGATGTCATCTTCGTCGACTTGGAGCGTCTCAAGCATGGCCACCTGGTCCTTCAGACAACGATTCTCCAGTGCTTTATGGAATGGGCGGTGGCCTTTGAAGTCGCGAATGGTCTTGTCCGCTTCGTAGGAAAGAAGAACGTTGATGAATTCTTCTGCTTTCTGTCTCGCCGCGTCGTGCAACACTGTTTTTCCTAGCAGGTCAACTTCGTCGACTGCTATTCGCCCAAGGCTTAGTAGGTAAGACAGAACTGATGGGGATGGGTTGTGTATCGCTAGCTGAAGGTAAGTCATCATGTCGGGCCCATGCGTCATGCGGAGATCGGCGCCATTCTCGAGCAGGACGTGAACAGAATCGACGCTCCCTAGATGGCACGCGTAGTGGAGGAAGGACGAATCATTAATACCTCCTGAGAAGTCGGTGCCAATCTTGACTAAGTTCCGTAAAATGTCGTCATCACAGCCCGTGAGGTACCAAAACAGGCTCTCCGGGATCAAGTCGAAGTCGATAAGACTGACATCTATGCCTTGTAGGATACGTTGGGAAATCTCGAGACTAGCGCGGCTCCGTCGCGATGGTGTGTGCTTGCCATATCGTCGGTGTCCGGCATAGAGCGGCTCTCTGAAGATGTCAATGAGACCGACCATGGTACTCAAGCGGATCTGAGGGTCTGAGAAAGCCTCTGAGTCTGCGTTGAGCACTTTTTCAACCACCTCGAGTTTTCCAGAATAGGCGGCCGCGATCAGAGACTGATTCAAACGTAGGCCAGGAAGCTCCACTGAGTTTTCATTGACATCAGCACCGTTGGCGAGAAGTAACTCGAGGAGCTCGAGGTTTCCATCCTTGCACGCGGTCACAAGAGGTGGGAGGCACTCGTAGGGGAATTCGTGCGGTAATTTATACTGCAGTCGGCGAAGTGTATTTGCCGAATGGAAATAGGAAATCGGCATTTTGGCATGGGCCTTGTGCTTAAGTAGAACCTCTAGTGTTTGCTTGTGTCCCTTTTCCACGGCGACTTGGACGTAAGACTGGCCTTTCTCGAGCAGCTCATTAATGTCCGTCGAGTTTTTGGTTAGCCTGAGGTCTACGTATGACGCGAGATTCTTCTCTACACACAACCGAAGTAGGGTGTACCCTCGGGGGTGCTTTTCCCCCTTGCGGATCCAATCGTAGATGGAGAGGTAGGTTTGGAAAGTTTTCTCTTCAGCATCAAAGTGCTTGTCGATCAATTCGGCGAGGGGCATTTTCAGCTTCTCGGCCTCCTCGCAGTGGTGAAAGCAAAACTCGACGGCATACGCTAAGAAGGGAAATTTCTTTCGAATGAATGCTTGGAAGTGCTTGCTTGAGCTGCTCCCCGTTTTGATCTCAGGCCCTAGGCCCTGCACCTCTTTGAGTGAAATATATCGTGTGCAGCAGGTGGCTAGAGTAACTTGCCCTTGTGTCCCCAACGCTGTCAACTTCGTATCGCTGGACTTTTCCGCCCGAGATAGCAAAAAGTCCCCGACTGATTGGTGCATAAATTGGATGACCTGATCCGGTGCTGCGGTGGATGTGTCATCGGACCGCGAGTCTTGGACCTCTTTGACCTCAAGCAAACCACCGCACCTACTTCGAATGCGCCTTCGCATAGCATCGTCATCTTGGACCATGTTGGGGGACTTCTCGAGTAGCTCGTGCGAGGTAAAACCTACGTCGCCGTGCAGCACCATGACATATCGAAACTCGGCGAGGGTGAGGGGGCGATGAGCGCTAAGAACAATGGAGAGCATGACGTACGCTTCTTTCATATACCGTTGCTCAATATTACCGAGAAGTAAGGCGAAGAGGTTCTCGAGCTTATCCGGGATTTCATCCACCGCCTTGGACAACTCGGCAACAGTTGCGCCATCTAGAAGAGCGTTGTGCACTCTTTCTAGCGCGAGATGAGCCCAGAGAAACACGCCGTCCGCCCTGCTGATCAATTTGGCCTTCATGTTCTTCATGCTATCCCCACCAGCGCTCACCAAAGGCAAGAGCTTTTGCCATGTGTCGTTAATATACGCAGCTATATCGATCCAATTACGGTCTTCCATCCGAAAGCCTCGCGGAAAGCTTGAAAGCGCAATGGTTGGCATCTCCCGCGAGGCAAGGCACACGCACACGCCATCCATGGCGGCTGCTGTGCACAGGCTGTTAAGGAAGCCGATCAACTCTGTATGACTGGCAACACCCTCGTCGCATTCGTCGAGTGCATCGAGGAGGAAACATACTCGAGACTTCTGTGATGCTTCGCGGACAATTGTTCTCAGGACATGTCTAAGATGGCCAGTGGTCCACTTGACTTGAGAGATATCTGTGAGGGTAGAGAGTTCGGAGATGCTAAGCCCACAGTCGGTAGCTACCCATGTAAAGTCGTCAATTATGGAATCAAAGGCGGCGGGACACTGCCTGATGATTTGCACCACCGCATAGGAGAGGAACCCGTCAAACGAATGTTCGTGTGGCGCACCTCTCGAATTGAACGAATGCTGGACGATGGCGGCATAGGCATGGCGGTAATTCTTCCGTAGTCGATTTGAGACTTCGTTCATGAGCACTGATTTCCCGCTCCCCGGTTTACCTGTAATAGCGAACAGACCTGAACCAGTCTGCAGCCAACGCTTCAGGTCACTGCCATTATCCCACAGCCACCCGAGTGTCTTATGATGCGGCTCTTTGAGGTTGCTCCAATTTGTTGGCGAAGAGGCTTCGTCTCCCAAGCTCTTGAGGCACGCGCGCATCATTTGCTGCGTATACCTATTTCGTGACGTATGGGCTCTCTCCTCGATTAGGTGAGTAATCTTGCGTTGTAAAGTCTCGTATAAACTGAGAAAGGCATCATCCTCAATGTTTTCGAACCGCACAAGGTGTTCGTGGTCCCTTGCAACGGGGAAATTCTCCGAGAATTCACAATGCAGCACGGCAGAGTCCTTATCAACGACAAGATGCTGCGTAGGAAACCTCGGAACCTGTTCGTAGAAGCTGACAACGGTGATATCGCCTTTGATTCTCATAAAATTGGAATTCACATTGAACGACTCGTCGCCGCGAGGTTGCAGAGCCGTCTTAATGTTTCTGGGCACTTCCTTGTTCGCGAGACGCATGACATGGAGCCCCAGCTTCATGGATGAGCGATCGAATAGGTGGCTTCCTCTGTGAGGAGTACCGAGGAAAAATATCACCCTTGTTGAGCGTAAAATCTCACTCTCCGAGGCGACTTGCGAGTGTGAGCTGGTCACTAGTGCCTACCCAGGGATTGTTGGTTATTATGGATTGATTCAACAAAGGGCCCATGAAGTTGACGTCAATTCATTCGCCTGACTCCTTACTTGTTTTATCACGATGCCACCAAGGCTGTGTCCTAGAAATACAATCGGTCTATTGATTTCCTATAGGCGTTGTGCAAATTAGTTGCTGCAAGCTCGAAACAGCTCTTGAAAACTGGACCGATGTGAGGAGACATACCTTTGCGTTCACCCGATGGTTCTTCAAATGAAGGAGCAGGCTCTCAGCATGTTGCACAACCCCTAGGTTGTTCCCCGAACCAGCTGCCACATCGGCGATGTATCCAAAGAGCATAACCCGGACCGTGGGCATGAGCCGCGGCAGCTCGGATGGCCAAAAGAACTCAGTCGCTTCATTGTAAAACGTTCGATGTGGTGCCCCATTCAATCCATGCACAATGACCAAGCTAATCTCAAGCTTAGCTGGGACTCGGATCGGGCCATGCCGCCGGGGAAAAAACGGTAAATGGCGGGGCGATGAAGAAGGGGAGGAAAATCATGGTACTTACTCAACTTCACATTTTTCAGGATCATTCAGGACCGTGATGCCCTCGCGGCGTACCTGGTTGAGGGGAAATCCCTTGGGGCGGTCCCCTGTCTGCAAGGACCCTGTGGGTGAACGACCCAGCGTGTTAAGGCGTCGCAACATGTCTAGCTATCCATTCCCATTCCACACGATCCATACAAGGAGATGACCATCACGATTAAATCTCTTCCCGGTACGGTGGTGTAGAAATCGATTGTGCAGTCTATGATTATATTATGGGCTCGGCAAGCTCACGGGTCCCCTCTTCTCAAGGGGCCTGGTCAAACCCATGTCCACGCATGCCAATCAACGAAGGGGGCGGTGCATAGGCGAAGGATTGCAAGTGGACAAAGTATGAAGATCATTCATTGGTTTGCAGTCTCAGGGATCCTTCCATTTTCGTCGGGCCTGGCCGTGGCAGGACTGCCTCTGGTGTTTCAATGCAACAGCAAGCCCAGCATGAGGGTGGCCGAAGCCTCTCCGAGCTGGGTGTTGTAAAGTGATTTATGACATGGACACTCGCAGGGCGGCGGTCTACAGCCTATTCAAGAGGCGTCAGCTTTCTTGCGGGGTAATTTTCTTGGCATCCATCGGCGGCGGATGTATTCTTGGTGATCGTGCAGCCCGTCAGTTTGACCCTAACACTCTCCATTACTAGCGATCGATTTAACCACCGCAGCTCGATAGCAAATTCCTTTTGTTCCTATCTTACCACAATGGCCACGTCAAGTCTAGGTATAATCTTTAAAGAGATCATTCGTGTAGTTCGGGTCGCTAATTTCGCTCTTAGATCCCTCAACTGGCGAAATGCTCAAGAGGCGATTTTTCAGACGCTCACGGAAGGCCAAAGAGAATGTGGACCACATAGGGCTTACCCCCAACATACAGACATTCTACGAGGGGCCCAGCTTCGACGAGCATAATCCGACATGGGTCGATTACGCCCCGCCGACGCTCCCGCAGGCAAAAAAGATCAAGCAAGAAGGCGCCGCTGTGCAGATCTATAAGAGGCGAAACGACGCGACGAAGCGGGAGGGCTTCTACATCCAAAAGATCCGCATACAGAGCCCATACATCCGCGAGGCCCTCAAAGGGACATTTGAAAAATTCGGCATCTATTACGGCGACAACGTGTTCGCTGAGTCGACAACGCCGCATCACGGGCTGTTCTTTGCGCTCGATAAGATTGCCGAGCTATCCAAGACGGCCGACAGCGAGCCAATGAGGAACCACTGCGAGCTGCTGTGCAACTGCGTTGAGGAGGTCTTTGAAGACACCCTTGACCAGCTCGAGAGTTTCGAGAAGGAACAGAAAATCACATACAAGCTTCTGTGGACATTGTTCCCACCTGGAAGCATCTTTGCAACACGGTCAGACTCGGGGCCTCCAATGGCATACCGTGTTATGACGTATACGCAGGACTACGATCGGCTGAAGCTGTACGCCAAAGCCATTGTCTTTGATGGATGCAGATACGGTACCCTCACCTGGATTCTCCGGATTTATTCGTTCGATGGGGAGAGAGATCACGACTCAATCCCTGGCCTATCGTATATCGATCTTGCCAGGAATTCAGAGCTACGGGAAAGATTGATCGAGCGAGGAAAACGGGCAGTCGAGCTTCAGACAATCAAATACTTGACATACAAGCCGAGTCATGGGACTGATACTGACGACAAGAATCCTTGGCTGCGTGAACAGGCAAGTTCGATTGGATTTTCCCCCTCAACCTCTTACCTCTTTAGTATTGGGACATGTGCATTAATTTCCAAGGCAGGATCATGAACGATTTGTCGTCGATCCGTACCTCTACGCGAGGCGGTGTGAGAAGTGGAGTATGGAGCCCCTTCCTGGGTATGATCAGGCCAGCACCGATGAAGATATCGGCGACAAGAAGGTCGTTTTCTGGCGCTCCGGCTTCAGGAGGAGAATGGAGAAACTAAGTAAGCTCAAACCTGCTGCCAATTAGTATTCGAAGATGATCTCTAACACGCTTAGACTTCGAATCGCTGCATAGACCGTCTAAGGAAGATATCGAACTTAACCGGCGCGCCATTGAAAAAATCGAGGAAAATTTTATTATCTTGTATTTCTGTATCGCCGGGTTTTCATTAACCTCAAGATCTTGGCGTGAGAATGTAAACCCTTTAGGACAAGAAATCTAGGCTAACAGTGCATTAAGAATTATACGATGTCGAGAAGCTATTCCCCGTCGAGAGCGACCAGAAAGTATTTGAGCAGGTCGTTCTCGATGAAGCGAAGAAGGACGCTGTGAAAACACTAGTGGAAAGCCACAAGAAAGCCATGGTTAAGTATGACGACCTAATTCCTGGTAAAGGTAATACACCACAAACCCCCCAATCCCCCATTCCCCATGAGCAAAACCTATGAAGCCGAGAAGTTTCTAACTGAGTAGGCCAATGTCTCTTGATCATTCTAAGTGGTCCGCCTGGCACCGGCAAGACGTTGATGGCAGAAGCTGGTACGCATTACCTGAGACCTTTGCGTGATTTGGAGTTCCGAGAGAGCTGAGTCCATTTACGCCATATTATTTTAGTCGCCGAACATCTCGCATGTCCACTTCTCAGAGCCGATTCCCACTACTTCCAGGCGAACATGATGGAGGATATCAAGGGCTATAGCGCGAACCTAGGCCAATTCCTAAATGATGCCACTGAATGGGGCGGCATCGTTCTCTTCGACGGTTTGTCCAGATTATTGGCCCAAGTTGAATCGCGACGTCGCTGATTTTGGAAGAACCCGACTTTTTATTCCAGTCACAAGAATCTAATGACAGAGCGAATTTGCTGGGTAAGTTGCAAGGTCAATCAATACCTTAATCAGACGTAGCTAAATAATGACCCGATTTTCAAGCGTTCCTGCGCCACGCCGAATATTTCAAAGGCACGTTTGAAGCCCGGATACCCTGCATATTATAGGATATACTAATATTAATGGGAGAAGGCATCATCTTCCTCACTACAAACGTAGTTAAAAACATCGACCCCGCCGTCATATCCCGGGCCCAGATCCATATTCAGTTTCCCTCACTCACCGAGTCCAGCCGCCTCCAAGTCTGGGGTAACTTCTTGCGCCGGCTCCCCGAAGACGCCGGGACGATCCCGCCAGACGACGTCAGAGAGCTCGCGAGATGGAAGATTAATGGGCGGGAGATTAAAAACATACTCAATATGTCGGTTTCGTGGTGCAGAAGGAAGGAAGTCAAGCTGACTTTGGCGGTTATTGAGAATTTATTGCAAACCATTTGCACCTCGGCCATGAAGGAGGAGGAACCTGCAAATGCTAAAACTAATGGGCACAGCGACGAGTTTTCTCTACTCGATATTTAGACGGAGACTACTTAAGCCTAAAGCTCACACAGTGCTGTGCATAAGGATATATTAACATTTTACTCTACAAGTTTCTTCCACTACTACCGTGCTGCACTTTCGATACCCTTCTTCTACATCGCGAACCCGTAACTCCGACGCCACACGGATTCTATTGACTTGGTCGCACGGCCAAAAGTAGGCTGTGAGGTCGTGAAGGGCAATCTCATCTGGCTCCTCAATGGTTCGGAAATTTCAGACCATATCCCACTATTTAGAGAATACACACGGGGCAACGCATGAAGAAGACTCTCCATTCGATGCCGGGTTCCAAGCCTTGCGAAAATGTTCCTGCCTGGCCGACAGAATAACAACAAGACGAAGGTTGCGGAAATGTTGGAAACTAAATAAGGCTCTAGCATCAGTGTCTCGAGATTCGGAAGGAACTCTGGTGGGTTAGGCGCGATTTCGGGTCGGCGTTTGTTAGCCGCACGTCCAGCTTGAAGGCTGTTCGATATCTGGGACAGAATTTCGGCCTCCCAAACGCTGCATATCTTGAAACGGCGGGGAGAGCCGCCCCATTCGGAGGATAGCCTAGAGCGGTCAACAGCTGCTATGCTGAAGGAGAGAAACAGAGACCGCACCTTGGGACACTTAAAGAGGATCCATCCGAGGACATTCGACGGCCGCAGAATTTCGTCCTCGCTCAGAACCCAAAGCTCTTAGAATGGGCCCTTCTTCGAAACGGAGCCGGTAAGTGGACCAATGGACATCTTGTATTATGAGTCGCAGTTCTGCCGGCACCTCGTGGTCCGTCTGAGGCAAAGATCCTAGCCAGGCGAACTCTTGAACCTGTTTTTGCCAGTACGGCACCAGCATCAGGGTGCGAAAGAAACACAAGAGCTCTCGAAAATTCTCGATGAGCACCTTTCGGTACAGAATGGGCCTAGCAGCGACGTAAAATTCCCTCAATGCTAAGCAACATGCCCAGAGCGTGCGACGACATTCGGCAAAGTCTGGGTCTGGTACCGGCTTGCTTCTTACGTGGTTACGGTCAGCTATTGTCGGATTGCCCGTCGGAACAAGGCAGCTTACGATCTGGTGGATGAGCTCGGGCGGGACGCGAGGGCCCGCTGTAAAGTCCATCGCAGGGGCTTGGATCATATTGGACGAGAAAGAAAAAGGAATACCTCGGTATATGAGTTAGAAATAGGTCAGGATATCAGATACATCAATTTTGAGGAAATGGTTGAGAAAAGAGCGCCAGTTGCGTTATGGGGAAGAGACAATAAAATATTAGGCAGTCATATCACAGAATACAATTTCCAGGTAGAAACTGGCCAGGGTTCGAGAAGTCAACATCATCACTAAACAATCACAGCTTCTCCTGATTTTAGCTCAGTTACTCCAGTTATTTACATTTAAGCACTATCATTAAATACCACCCCTGATATTAATTCAACCAAGACCATCAGGTATCGGCTCTGGTTATTTCCTCCGCAGCGTCGAAAGCATGCAAGAAGCTGAACGATATGGCTGTTTCCAAGCACGTTCGCCTGACCTAATACCCCTGCCTTCCTGTCCAGTCTCGAGTCGCTTAGTTCAGGTCTTTCTCGTTGACTTTGATCTCTTTGATTGCAACGTTACTTTTGGCTGATCCTTTGCAGAGAAGAGTCAACATTCGAAGGGACCAGAGAGGCACTCACGTCGTTCCTTCTCTAAATTCACCAAACTTGTCATTTCAGAGGGATAAACGAGATGAGCCGGGTGGATCTCAAATCGAGTGACCTGGCCGAACGTCCGCTGGCCCAATTTGTCGAGCTTCTTTGTAAACGGGAGGACATAAGAAGAGGTCTCAAAGTTGTAACTTGAACCGTTTGTGTCGAAGATAGGTGACAAGAATTTCCACTGATCCGCACAAAAGTGCATCCTTCTCGGAGTAGTCCATAATTCCTCGGCGTCGCTGTCATTGTCGCGGACAGCCTCATTGTCGGTCTCATTACCGTTCTCTCTCAGCCAATTCTCTAAGATCGGTAGATGTTTACCCGTAATCCTTTTGCCTTAAATAATGCTATTGCCTTCAATATTAGCTCGCCCTAGAAGCCGGTCAACACTAGAATGGCGAATATTGTCTTTGCCTCGTCAAGGGCGTAACTGTTTATGTCGCAATACTCGAGCTTTCCTAGCTTTTTCTTTTGTTTGTGCAGTGTCCGTGAGACTTCGTCATCCGTGATGAGGTCGTGAAGCATTCCATTTGGCAGGAAGGAGCGCTCCTGTTGATCAAATTTGCTGGTTTCAAATCGAGCGTAGATTCTGTCGCTCAAGGAGCCCCCTTTTTTTGTCCATATCGCGTCGTCTTGCACCTATCGTAGAGCCGGGCAGAGTGCCCAGCTCCCGGATCAATGTCATTGATGGTTAGGCAATAGCACGAGACAAGGACAGGATGAATAATTGTGGAAAGGGCCAAGGAGCTTAGATTACCCAGAGGACGAACATTCTGGGAGCTTGGTATAGCCATCGCTCGACGATTAGATATTATTATTCTCAGTCGTTCGATCCTTGGTCGCTGTCTGTCCAGGTTCCGGTCAATTCGCCTGCGGGCCGAGGTCGCCCTGGCAGATAGCATGGCGTGGGGGATGATATTTAGCGAGGAGAAGGAGCTAAACAGGCAGCCCGACACACAGCTTCCGGTCTACGACGGGCTGGAGCGGATAAGATCGAGACGCGTCCAATTGCAGCATCAACTGGTACTGTACGTCTCTGCCCGGAGTGGATTTGGCACCGCAAGAGACAAATCCGGCTTACCAAGCGCATTGGAAGGTTCCAGGACACCGTTACAACTCTGTGCCTTACTGGCAACCCACAGGCGACATGGACGGACGAGATCCCGGCGCCACTTCGATTAGCTGCGCTGAAACGACTCCAACGCCTAACAATCGATGTTGCATGGATGGGTAAATTCGTTCTTCAACATCCAGACATGGTGTTCGCTGCCTGCCTTCCCCCGTCGCTTGAGATTCTGCATCTCATCGATTACTGGGGAGCCTCTCGTGAGGCGTTGGGCTCCCCAGACTATGAACAAAACTACGAAAAATGCTATTCTCGGGAGAATTTCTCATTTTCCCCGACATCACGGGACGCGAATCCGTTTGGTGACTGCGGTGAGGTCCTCCAAGGTCTTTACGAATATTGCGAATCATCACTACCGAAACTTACACACATTCGCCTCAGCTTTCCGTCTGACACGAACACGACTGTCCCGGGTGATTTAGAGAGTAGATGGAAGGAGGCGTTTGCTCTGACAGACATAGCGTTCGCTTCCGAGTCCATGGAGGACTACATGTCGCGGACTCTGCCGGAACGTTGTGCATTGGGCTGGGCATGAAAATTAGAACTGAGCAGATATTAAAAAACATGTCGTGTTGAATATGCGGGAAGCAACCATGTCGTTCCACTTGTTCTAGTGCACTGCGAAATGGATCCCAACTTTCTAACATGACACGTCTCCCAATGGCGATGAACGTCAAACGAATCCACTGTCGGGATGCAGGAGCTCCCCCGTGTCTCTTTCTGAACCCTCAGGCAATCCCGGAACTCTGCCGATCCTTTAATCCACACCAACTCGGTCTCAACGATGTTTACCCCAGGCCAACTTTGGGAGGGGCTGCGCAAGTGTCAGGCACGCACACGCGAACGAGTGCATCGCCTCCAAGTATCACCATTCTTCCCATTGAACCCTCTCCAAGAGCATCCTCTCACGACTACCTGGCCCAACCAAGTGCTGAATTGAAATGACTTGCTATGACAGTATTGCCGAAGCAGACGCCGATTATGAATGCAGGGCTTGGATAAGGAAGCTCATCGACGCAAGAGACGATGTTGTGGCCTTTGTTGATGCTTGTTTGGCTGGCGAAGGAACTGGAGAGTACCTTGGCTTTTTAACAGGTTCTTTTAACCTCAGCTTCCACATTGGATTTGGCGGTAAACAATCTAGTGTCCCCATTCGCTTTGCAAAGCCTGGCCATACAATGTCGCCATGGAGAGCCGAAATGGTAGCAAACGAGGTACAGGTTATAGAGTATCTTCGCAAGCACACCACTATTCCCTTACCCTGTATACACCGCTGGGGTTCAGCTGAGGAGAGTCCACAGCAGTTAGGGCCGTTCATTATCATGGATTTCATCGAAGGCACTCGTCTGTCGACCTTCCTCAGAGGACCGCCTGAGGACGACCAAGCGGAGATGATCCTAGACCCGAACATTGATGATGAAAAGCTCGACGCAATCTATGATCAAATTGCCGATTACTTGCTTCAGATTTCTCGACTCGGGTTCCCACGGATCGGATCGCTCTCCAAGGACGGCACTTCGGAGACTTGGACAGTCACGGGCAGGCCCCTGACGTTTAACATGGACGAGTTAGCAACTTTGACAGGCTACCCACCGGACCAGTTTCCTGTCTCTCCATTTGATAGTGCGCGTGATTTTTTTCGAGTCCGTGGTGCATCAGTACATTAGCCCATCTTAAGACCCAGCGAAACATTACCCTCGATAAGGCCGATGTCCTTAAGCGCTTCATCGCTCGCCATCGTTTCAAGCAGCTCATTCCGAAGTACTGTATCGATGACAACGGCCCGTTCAAGGTCTTTTGCGATGACCTGCAACCAGCCAACATGTTTATCGACCCCAAAACATTCCCGCATTGCTGCCTTGCTTGACTTCGAGTTCTCAAATAGCATGCCGTCTCAATTCACCTACGACCCGCCCTGGTGGCTGCTCTTGCGGGACCCAGACATGTGGCTTGAATACTACATCATGGATGAATTCTTAGTGCGGTACGTGCCTAGGATGGAGCAGTTTCTGCGAGCGCTAGAGCGAGCGGAGGCAAAGTCTGCCTCAGCCGGAGGTGGTGAGATGGCAAACGAGCTGCGTCTTTCTACCAGGATGCGGATGTCTTGGGAAACGGGGCGGTTCTGGTTTAATTACGCGGCACGGATGTGCTTGGATATCGATGATCTTTATTGGCAAGCCCTACACGACCGCTCGGATGGAGACTGTACTGGCTTGGACGATGATGCAACGCGGGCGGAGGTTGAGTCGCTCGGACGGATAAAGATGATGCAGCGAAATTCACATAAGTGGACACCTCGGAGAACAGAGAACAGAGCAGAAAGGGATACCATGCCTGAACAAACACAGATGCTGGATGCACTGTACGTCCCGTCCTCGAAGCTAGAGCGCCTATAATTCTACATGACACTATTCCGAGAAAAGGAGATAAATTATGATTTGCAATAAATAGAGTTGTTATATTAAGGCCCTTTGCTTGAAATGCTGTTGGCAAGTATCCTAGCCCTCGGCGGTGGTCAGTTTGAGGATTAGGGACTAGAAGGTAGATTCTCTGGTTGAACCATCGCGATCCCGAGCACAAATCTTGCGCTGCAGTTTTGATAGAAACTCTGTTGAATTGAAACAAGATACTGCCAACTTGATTGCTTTCCAAAGTGGCAAATGGGCATGATAAAGCCCATCTCGTTAACTGTGATTTGCCGTGCATAAGGCGGGGATTGAATCAATAGTGAATGATGCCATCTCATCTCACTCGCTCTCCAGGCCGACCATTCAGTCAACCTTGTGGGATGTGATGTCCTTCAATGCCCTTTAAATTTTTTGTAGGTGCCTGTGATCATGCTTGGAAAGGTAACGCTGCGTACTAGTGCCAAGTACTTCGTATTAAGGGGTGAATTAACGCGATGCCCATTAATACACCCCATGTTAATACTTCGTCTGATTCCAAGTCCCGCACAAACGTGACCGGCCGGAAGATCCCCTTGACCTCAGAAAAACAAGCTTTGGGACTGGCTGTTTTCCGACGTGGTGAGGAGATTATCATTTGCCTGCTTGCTGGGGGCAGTACCCTGCAAACTGGGCTGATCGGCGCATCAAATCTCATTCTTTGGGTCGCTTTGACGAGGGTAGCAGTGCACTGGGCTGTGCAAACCAATCACTGGCGATATCTTCATCTCTCCGGGATGAAGTTAGGCCGGCTCTTGGTGCAGCTTACTCCGTATTTGGGCAACTACCGGCTCGTAGAATTTTTTGACATAGGGCTGGGATGAGTCTATAATTAAGCTCGCGGGATACTAAGTCGGCAACAACCGAATCCCCTAATCATCTAATCTATACGAAGGTATTTACCTGGGGCTGGCGCGTGTTCTTCACTCTCCGACTTGACAACCGCGCCAGTTGATCCTTCGCTTCTACCTAAACTGTCAAACTTAGGTTGACCACTCTCAGACCGAGAGACCCCCCCCCCAAATCGGTCTCTAACGTCGTTGCTGGCTTCTACCGTCCTTGCAATTGAACGCATCTCGTTATGGCTCGAGGACGAGGTGGCGGTCGTGGCGGAGGCTCGAATGGTAGTGGGTCTTCCTCTTCGACCTGTCGATACGGCGACAACCCATGCCACTTTACACTCACCGAACTCTACGGCCACTCGTACGTGAGCTTGTATTCGAACAGCGAGCTCTATGGGCAGCTTGTCGTGTACATCATCTGGGCCATTGTCTTAATACTCCTCCTCCTTCTTACCCTGAAACCTGCATTGAAGGCGCGCATGCTTCAAGGAGCGATCTCCCTGTTTCTCGCGAGCTTCATTTTTCTCTGCGTCCGCTTCGGCCTGCTCATAGGGGAAAATGACATACCCGTTGGGTACCGATACGAAACATCCGTCGTAGTTCTTCTCCAACGCCTTGGCGCCGTGTTCTTGTTCGCCGCCGTTTTCGCCGCGCTCCACACCAAGAAGCTGTTCGGATTTATTTTTTGGCCCCTGTTAGCCATGTACGCCATTCTGAGCTTCGCATATCTGAGCCTGGATTTTGTCGTCTCCGCCGCCGCCCTGCGTGCTTACAAGGAAGAGGGGATCTGGCTTGTGGGCGATCGTGACTTTGGTGTCACGTTGACGACGAGCCAGGTCGAGGAGCTCAAGACAGCCGCTAATGGCAGTGGCTTAAGTCCGTATTATATCGCGAGAAAGATGTTTAGCATCGGTGATGGGGCGTACTTCCGCGATAGAGGTAATCAAGTCAAGATCGGGGTTGCCATGGATTTTCTCTCCGTATTTATGGCGCTCTTCCTTGGTCTGCTTTCCTGCTTCGCGTGGATAAGAAAAAACCAGCATCCAATACGCGAAACCGTAAGCCCACGTTTCGTCTTCCAACCGCGACGTTTGTCTTGCGCTTCTGCTAACTCTTATTAACATTAGATCCTGCTCCTCCTCGCTTCGACCGGCCTGCTGCTGTATTCCCTTTTCCGCGTCATCGTGTCGACCCACTTTGTGCTGCGAAACTGGACCGTGATAATCGACACAGACCGCTGGAACGCGTTCGTTGCTTCATACACTTCGCTTGATATTATCCAAAAAATCACCATTCCTGAGGGTTTCCTTAGGGGCTACCGGACCACGGTGAACGGATTCCCTGTTGTCCAGGCTGTTCTGGAGTTCCTCGGAGTGATACTTGCTTGTGCTGCAATTGTGCACCTCCTCAGACTCCGAAAGCGAGCAGAGGCACGGGCTGCCGCGGGCACGGTAGGCAAGGCATAACAATCTATTCCAGCGTTGGGTTTCAACTGTTGTTTGTCGCATCGATTCCCCTCGATAGTTCCTTATTAGGCTAGCTGACTTTATCAAACCCTCTCCATATGTAGCTTAGGTACGGAGGCAGCTTAGGGTATACTCAGGGGGTTACTCACTTGTGACAGCGGCAGTCGTGTTACTGTAAGAAGTGTACAATAGAGATGTGAAGATAGATGATGGATTGGCTTCTCTGTCTATCTAGTATGTGGAGGAAGTGGCAGAGCCACTTCTTATACCTTGGGTTCTGCCATAGCTAGTTCTGACAGCTGCTAGCTTGTGAGTGTTGCAGCTGGCAGTTCCTTTCGTGTAACATGGACCGTGAAGAACGGTAGTATTATCTAGAAAACGGCCCAGTAAGCCCTTTGGCGAATCCTCGTACGCAGGCTCTAGCTGGAATACTGCATCCAAAAGCTACCATGCTATTCAAATTTAGTCTCATTATATAAACAATTCATCATGCTCAAGATCAATATGGTTCCAAAGACTATAAGACTGAATCAGGAGCCACTTGGGAAGTCAGTGCTCTTCCAGATATCTTCGTAGTGGTCAGCCGTCTCAGCAAGATCCGCGCTATGCTTCCGCATAGCCGTACCGCAATCGGTTCCCAGCGGAAGCCTCAAGAGCTTTTTCTTGCCGCTGAACAAACCTTCGCCAGCGACATACTCCCACATGCGAGCCGCCCCTTGAACCGGATCTCCGGGCTGCCGACCGTTGTATTTCTCGAAGTTCTTTCTCGCTTCGTGAGCAGGAGTGCCCTCATAAGCAGCCAAGGGCGCAGCTACATTCGCACCGGAGGCAGGGTTGGATAAAAAGGAGGTGCGGAAATAGCCAGGCTCCACGATAACACAGTGGAGTCCGAACGGAGCGACCTCGACAGAAAGGGCCTCTGTTACTGCCTCGACGGCGAATTTTGTAGCGCAGTAAACACCGTTAGACTGGACGCCGCGAAAGCCGCCGATGGAAGAGAGGTTCATGATGTAGCCACTTCCCTGGGCACGCAAGCGGGGCAGCATGGCTCGGATGATACGGAGCATGGCGAAGACGTTGGTGTCGAATTGCTGCTTTACAGCAGAATCCCTGTATTCAGCCAGCGGGCTTACTTAGTATCATCCACCCAAGAAGGCTCATAATCGGATAAGTTGATTAGAAAATAAAGCCTACTCTGTTTCTTCGATAGCACCCATATAGGCATATCCGGCGTTGTTAACCAGGACATCGATTTTCCCGAACGATTCGAATGCCACCTTAGCGTATTCATTCATCCTCTCTTGGGACCACGAGAGGTCGAACTGCAAGACCTTGACAGCAGGTACTTTCAGGGTTTCGGGCACCTTATCTGGGGACCGGACGGCAGCAACGACTTTGTCTCCTTCGTGGAGGGCCTTGAGTGCAAGCTGCAGGCCGAGACCCACATTAGCACCACTGATATGCCAAACACGAAACGAAGTCATTATGGAACAAGTAAGCGACGACCAGAGTATTTTCCAGAGTGCAGAAAGGTAGACCGGCTTGATCCCCCGTGAGGATGTGCTGTGGTTGGCTTGTGGTTTAAGTATGAAAGACGTGATGAAGGCGGGGAGACAGAAGATAGTTTAAACCATCGGGGGTACTGCGCCAATTTGCCTGTAGCACGAAAACCGTTTGTTACATCACCATCCATGATGTTAAAAATAAAGTACCCGAACTAATGATGGGTGAGGGGTAGAGAGACTCATGTTCCATAGAGTTGCTGTCGCCAGTTGATTGGCCGGTTGAACCGTTGGAGGAGTGGGTGTGTTCGCGGGAAGTTCCTGACCTACGAGGTAGTTTCTGCATGATTATTAGATGCTTATCTATCGGTTTGGAGGCCATGTTCCAGCCCCAATATTACCTTTTGCAGAGCTTAACAGTGCTTCCATGTAACACTATAATGACGAGAATGGATTAGGGTGCGGGGCTGGGAAAAAAAAAAAAAAATCGAATATCCGCCGTCAAACTCAATGGCCACTGAGGCGCGGAAATTGCGCCTTGATTGTGTTCTCCTAATTCGAAGAGGCATTTTCGTCATATAGAGTTAATATCGCAATAGGTAAAGAGATAGAAGAAAGTCAAGGAGATTAACGCGGAGAGGCCTTGGGGTAGATGTCGACATCCGTTGCTGTTCTTATCCCCGTAACTTGGGCGGTCAAAGTACAATTCGCCTCGTTGATTATAATTACTAATGCCCAACGCAGGCCTTCAGCAATTTGAAGCCCATGGAATCCGAGAATCCAGCCTTAACCCCGAATTCAGTAGGGCCGAATTGGTGAACTCGATCAAAGGCGGAAATTGGAATACGTCACGCACTATCAGGTACTAAAAGATGACCCAACGGTTCCAGCCTCTTGCGGTAAGTATTGAGATTGCCAATCCTCACTGCCCGAACCGCTAACCTGGACTAGTTGTACAAGCTCGTTAATACGACTAGAGTCTTACGTGAGCGCTAGCTTTCACCGCCGCTGCTTCGACGGCAATGAACCACCAATTGGGATATACACAATGCTAGCCTATCGAGCTGTGATGCCTTTGCGAGCAGTGCGTGCCTCATTACCCTGACTATATAAATCTGTCGGATACATACATTGTATCCTTCCCATTCCCTCCCATGTTGATCCCACACTCCGAACTGTCACTAATCTCTAAAGCTAAGTCCACCTTAGCCCCAAGATGCCGCTGGAATTCGTTCTTGTATCCGGTGCTTGGCACCTCCCAGTACACTTCAAACCGCTCATCGAAGGCCTCCGTAAGGCCGGTCATTTCTCACGAGCAGTGACCCCGAAGTGCGTCAATTCTTCTCCCGCCGCAACTTCATTCCAGCCAGATGTCGACGCAGTCAGAGCCGCTGTCGAGGAGCTTCTACGCCAGGGAACCGATGTCGTATTGGTGATGCACTCTTACGGTGGCATGGTCGGAACCGAGGCGTCTGGTGCCGTAGCGCAGGATGCTGACAAATATCCGGGGAAGATACGACGGCTTGTGTATGTTGCGGCCCATGTTCCGTCGGAAGGGCAGAATCTCCTTGACGTGATCAAGGATGCTCCGGTTCCGCTGCCACCTGGTGAGTATGTGGAATTGGACCATGTAAGTCCAGCTTCCCGATCTTAGGCGGCACTCCTTTAGAAAACTAACAAGGCACTTATTTCAATGCAGGAGAGTGGACATTATGCCGTAAATGAGCGTGCGGCAGAGATCTTTTACCATGACATCCCCGAGCCAGGGAAGTCCGAGTGTGCGGCCGCACTTGGCAAGCAGCCGATAGCTAGCTTCACCTCTCCAGTTACTCGAGCCGGATGGCAATGGTTTCCTTCGACGTACATTTACACTACACTCGATCGGGCCCTTCAGCTCCATATCCAGCAGTTCATGGTGGAGCAAGCGAGGAGTTTTTCGAGCCCAGCAGGTAGGCGCACTCCGTTCAGCGGACCCCTAGGCGAATTCACCGTTGAGACTGGGCACACTCCGTTTGTGGCAAAAACGAGAGAAATGGTGGATATCCTGTGTGACTTGGTTTCGGAAGACTGAGTCCGTTGTGGACAACAGCATGGACCCCACAGAGAAGTGGAAAGAGCGGTCCCACGAACCGGGGCTAGGATCATGCGGGCACCCTGTGCTCTCTTCGCGCGAGCGATCTACAAATAAATGGGAAATAAGTGGATTGAAATCCGACAAGCTAAAGGTATTTAGACGAATTCATGTGGGTATATCTAGAACAAGTATACAACTTTTTCTGCAACCCCCTTCTTTCACCACCCTATCCCGTGGCGACATAGCCGGCGACCACCTCTGCCTGAGGATGTGGAATTGAAAGGAAAAGTAGCAGGACCATATTAGAATCTTCGCTGTGACCATGCTAAGATAAAGGAAGATGAAAAATAATTTAATCACCTCTAACTAATGGTCCCAGTTTCACCCTACGAGAAGTTAAAGCCTCGTTCCTCTCCCTATTAGAGAGCCATGTCCATGTTCGGCAAAACATTTGGTCAATGACAACGATGCGATATATCTGAACAGATGGCGTGTGCTAAGTTTAGGTGAATTGTTCTATGAAATATTTGGACCTACGGACTTCGACTTCTGCGCAACAGTAATGATAGTAGAGGCGATATATATCGTCCTCATACGATCTCGTTTGATGATACGGCCAATACTGATTCTCTCGCAACCTTACTATCATATATAGTCGAGCATCGTTTCTTAGTTTGCAACAACTGGTCAATTCTTTGGCCTGGCTTTTAGACCACTATAAAGCGGGAGACCTGCGTAAACGTATTCGAGGATATTGGAGTATCATCGGTGCCCGATACTATTCTCGTATCTTTTAATCAAGCGACCCTGTGCGGGGGCTTCATATCATTGTGACAAAACTTTGAAAACTAACTAGAGTTGAGACGAAGTAAATATAGAAAATTATTTCGCAGCCTATGGCCGTCCGCATTCCGACTGCATCCCTCAATTATGAGGAATTGCTGTTATCCGCGCAGGAGAAGGCCGAGCTAATCTCGCCATTTGCATACGCATCAATAACCTGCTGAATGACGCCGTATGTTCCGCCGATCATTAGGAAGACAGACAGGAGGATCATGAGCCAGTTGAGCCAGTACGCCGTAGCCTTGAGGAATCCTCCCTTGCGATAATGACCATGGTCATAGATCCAAAGATATCCAGGTAGTCCGAGGGCAAGAGGAGAGAACGTAAGGCTTCCGGCAAGGGCTAGGAGGTAGTTGAAGATGGGGATACCGGAGGCCAGGAGGAACGCCACGATGGACATTCCGAGAGTGCAGGAGAGCCAGACCGACCAGTGCACGATGGAGTTGGACTGGAGGTGCTTGGAGTTGCGCAGGATACGGACGAAGAGGTACTTGGCGGCCACATGAATGTAGAGACAAGCACTGACTAGGAGACCGATGAGGCCAATGCCATAGGCGACCTTCTTGACCACATAGCCAGCGCTTCCGAGAGAGGGAGAGGCTACCCACTGACCACAGTATCGGTACACGACCAGACTGAAGCTGAGGTAGGATGCAGTCACGATACCCATGCAGACGTACACGGCCTTGTTATAGTCGCGAGGCTTCTTCATCTCAGAGATGACGGGAAGGAAGGCCGACGTGCCGGCGCCGGAGCAGAAAATAGTAGCTACGGAGGTGATGCCGGCAACGAAAGAAGGGTGGCCGATGACATGATAACCCAGGTCGAAATCACCCTCTTGGGGCGCCGCCGCGGGTCGGTCCAGTTGCGTAACACCAACGCTTTTGAAGTGGGCGTACGTTAGCAACAAGGGTTTACGCGCAGGGAAAGGCTAAGATGCCATGAAGTAAGGCGGCACTTACACGACGATAAAAACGGCAATGAACACAGACAAGAATCCAGCCCATGTCAGCCACGCGATTTTCTCAAACTTGCGAGCGCTAGCTAGGATGAACACCGCAGCGGTGGCGACGAGCATGAAGTAGTTCGTGCAAATGGCGTGGTTGGACAGGGCATTGAGGCCAACGGAGGCGCCGAAGATGCCAGACGCGCCTACAATTGCATACGTGACGAGGAAGAACACTCCAACAACCTCTTTCAACCAAAGTCCACCGACAACATTGGCCATGTCGGCAATAGAGTGGCAGCCTGCATGGGAGTTTCGGAAGTTTCCTTGGATGATGGCACAGTAGGTGTTGAGGAACTGCCAGCCTAGAACGTTGATGGCACCGGGAAGGGCGCCCAGCACGTACATGGCGGAGGGGATGGTCAGAACACCCGTGGCGAAGATTACTATCGATCTCGTGTTAGGCCCCTTGCCATTGTGAGGGAACGCTGCAACATTGGAAATCCACTTCAAGCTTACCCTTGAGAAAGATGACGGAGGCGTGAATCCAGCCGACGGTGCGAAAGTCGACAACGCCGTCCTGCTTCTTGAACACCTCAAAGGAATCATCCGCATTCTCCACCTTCCCAATGTCGATGCCGCTGCCGCTGCTTCGATCATTCGTGGGCGTTATCGCATCGCCCTTTTCCGATGTGTTGTGCGCCATGATGGGATATCAGACAGAAGATGTTGGGGAGAGGTCCAATTTGGATTGGAGTGGGTTGGATAGAGGCCTGAAAGATGAGAGAAACAGCTTCCCGTGTTGTCCTTATATCCTTATCCTTCAAACATCATGGGAATCGAAGAACTGGGCTGACAACAAGAGAATAAGTAGCTGAGAAAACACTAATCCAAGCAAGATCCTATTATCTGAGTCTAGATGTTACCCCAGATAAGCCATCCCATGCACCACGATGCATCTCACGCCACGCGACACCGCATTTTGCACAGAAGAGGAGAAGAATCCTTGATCTTGCTCAGTTGCTGGGTCCGAACCTGCCATGGTTGTGTGGGGTGTGGGTCTGGGGTAGAACAAGGCTTTTGAGTCGGGGTAAGTCAAAGATTAGTTATTGACGCTAAAGATACCAGGTCAATGGACGAACAGTGGGTCGGGTTTGGGGTAAGTTTCTCCATGATACGGAGAGCTGAGGTCAGATTCGCGATAAGGTACTCGATGCTATCTACTTACCCCAAAGTATGGCGCCAATGCTCCCCATCAAGCAATCTAGTCTCCAAGACATTGAACTAGACATTCCCAAATACTAAAAATACACGGAATGACTGGATGGAACCTCTGACCAGTACGAGCCCTCGCGGAAGTTACTTCGGTAGGGTTATCGTCTGAGGTCTTTGCCGATAACAGGAAGTGCGGGGAGTGGCTTTGAGATGCTGCCATCAACAAAGCTCAGCTTCTCAAATCTTGGCATTGTCCCTCGTTTCATCAAATTGATAAGGTGCAATTATCTGGGATCCACTCCTAAACTCATACCTCGTTCATGGGGTCAACATCGATGCTCGAGAGAGCATTGCACTCTCATTCACTAAAACAAACCAGGTCTGGTGTTGGGACAGAGTATATGGTTAAATTGCTTCAAAAGGAATCATATTTACAACTTAATCGTGATACATTCACTATCCGAGGTGCTAGTTTTACGTGCAATGGCCAGCTACCTGCTGGCCTCACCTGAGGATGGCCCCCGGTGCCGCGGGCAACACTGCTCCTGGAGCTGGATCATTCTTTTTCCTGAACTCTGCGGCCATCTCCTCCATTGTGACGAACTCTACGCCCTCATGTTTCTTGAAATATTCAATAAGTCTGAAATGCCATTCCTCAAGAGTTAGTAAACGCCCATCCGAAGCAATACTCAATCTTAAAAATATAGGGCACATGGGGGGCTGCCTACCTCTCGTGCATGAGGAGCACCTGCGGCCGACCGGAAACATCCGGATGGACAGTAATGGGGAAGATGAACTCGTCATACTCGCGGTAACAGTAATCGAACTGATCCCGCCAGAGATCCTCAATGTCCCGAGGATTTACAAATCCGTGGCTATTAGGCGCGGACTTGATGAACATCATGGGCGGTAGGTCGTCCAGGTACCAGTTGGCCGGAATCTCTACAAGGCCAGTTTCCTGGCCCTTCACCAGCGGCTTCATCCATTCCTCCGCCTTCTTGGTGTAATCAATATTGGTCCACGAGTCGCCTGTCCTGAGATAGTATGCCTGGCAATCGTGGTGACTCATGCTATGGTCGTATTGGATGCCGTAGTCGAGGAGGAGCTGCGCGCCGGCCTTGCTAGTCTCCCACCTGTTTCCAAGATACTATTAGTACAGTATACGATATATCCCCATATCTATGATATAGCTCTCTTCGGTGCTCGAAGGACATGAGAACCTACCATGGTGCCACACTACCACGCGGCGGCTTACCGACAAAGTCAGTAAGCATCTTGTACGTCTTGTCCAACACGTCCTGTTGCTGCTCGAGCGACATGTCCGTCGGGTTCTCATGGGAGTAACCATGAAGCCCAATCTCATGCCCAGCGTCGCGCACCGCGGCCATCTCCTCGGGGAATGTCTCGAGACTGTGGCCAGGAATGAACCAAGTGGCCTTTATGTCGTACTTGGCGAACAGCTTGAGCATTCTCCGCACACCAACCGTTCCAGCAAAGAGGCCTGTTTCCAATCCAACAATTAGTTATAGTTTCATAGCTACCCGCGTTGCCAATATGCCTAGGGCTGACGCCCGCGACATTCGGCCGCCTGTGAGTCGAGTTTCGGGCTATCCTTACCTCTGCTAATGTCATTTGATGAGTCCTCCCCGCCGTAAGAGCCAAGCCAGCCTGAGACGGCATCGACGTCTACACCGTAACCGATGAGAACACGCTTCTTGCCCATGACGTCAGATCTTCCTGATGTGTTTTCCTCTCCTTCTTTTTTTTTTTGTCTTCTTTTTCTGTTTTGCTCAAAAGCGACGTCAACTTTGAACGATGTCACAAAGAGAATTGGGTCGGTAGAAAAAGAGAGCAGAATGCAAGCAGTGACACGGAAGATATGGGATAAAGTTGAGATATAGAGATCAATTGATGCTGGAATAACTGCAATCGCAGACCATAGTTGTCTTCTCCATCGACCCCTCTCCTCCCCAACTAGTCACATGATGGGAGTTGAATCCTTGACCCCGACTTCGTAGTCTGACTTGGAGTTTGATAGATCTATCAGGTGCAGAGGACTAGTAGATACAGGTGGAGAAAATGGGAATGTGGAGTTGGAGCTGCGCGATTCCCGATCTGGAATAAAAGCTTTGGAGACTGTTAAGAAGTATGTTGGAGTATTTAGATACGAACTTTGGGGCATTTAGATGTGAACTGTTGGGGTATCTCCGAAACAGATGCTAAAGCTTCATTAAATCGCGTGAGTATCCGTGGGGAATTGTGATCACTGATACGCGTCCTGTGGGCTTGACTCGGCAATTGGACTGTTAATATCAAAGCGGATGAAAGGAAAATGTAGGCGAAAGCATGATCAAGATGGGATGATGGAACGTGGCAAGACGCCAATGAAATTAGTTCGTGAGCTCTATAGAGAGGCTACTGTGATATCTGGACAACCAGTCTCCCTTTGAATGATGGATCCCGGTAAGCCTCCACGATCCTCGGAATCTCATCAAACGCGACTATAGTAACATGAGACCGAATATTGTGCTTATCAACAACTTCCATCATGCGCTTAGTAGACTCGGTATCCGCAACGTAGCTTCCTCGTATCACCAGCTCCCTGAAGGCCATGATTTCAGAGTCAAAATGCCATCCCTGTGGTGGGAGGCCTAGGACAACTAGCACACCTTGAATCCTCAGTAATGTCGGTGCCCATGAATTCGCAGCAAGCGAGTCTGTGCAAACAACGACTGCAGCAAGCCCTTCACAATCTGTGAACTGCTGGATTTTGGCAGTGGCGTCGTCGGCCATCGAGTCGACAACCAGGTCCGGTACCAATTCGGGATTTGATACCTCGGTTGCGAGCTGCCTCCCTGCCTCTCTGCTGTCAATAGCCACAACCCGGTAGCCCAATGCCTTTGCGAATTGAACACCTAAGTGGCCCAGTCCGCCTATTCCAACAATGCCCACGGCATCTCCAGGTTCTAAACTAGAGGTGGCTTTCTCAATCGCTCCCCAGACCGTGGCCTGCAGCACCAATTTTAGTGTGTAATCTTTCATATTTCAAGCCTACGTAGTTATCATCAACCTATCACCAAGGAGATTCGGATTTTGGTGTATTTAACTTACCCCTGCACACATCAATGGAGCTGCCTGCTCAAAGGGGATCGACTCGGGAAGCAACACTGTTGTACTAGGGTCCGCCGTCATATATTCCGCAAAGGCTCCATCATGTCTAAAGCCTGCCATTTCTCGGTGCTGGCAAAATCTCGGGTCCAGCCCGCCGCTTTTCCGCCGTGACAGACCGCAGCCGGTGCAGTGACCGCAGGCATTCTTGAAATTGAGCACGCCGACGCGATCTCCTGGCTTCCAGCTGCCTGCGCATTTCGATCCCACCCGAACCACGACGCCGGAAGGCTCGTGGGAAGGAATCATGGGAAGCGTGGTGGGGAACTGACCCTGGATGACCTGGAGATCGGAGTGGCAGAAGCCGGCAGCATGGACGCGGATGAGTAGTTCATGGTCTCCGACGTCTGGGATTGGCTTTCTCTGTATCTCGTATGGCTTGTTGTACTAGATTTATTTTATTTCAGTTAGGGTCTGTTCTATTCCAGTTGGACAGGTAAAGGCGACCAAAAGCCATACTTCACGAAGATGGGCCACCTTCATGGACTGCAGGTTTATTTCCGAAGCCATTGTCTAGCTTTGATATGTTCTGCAGCGCTGAGGACATCAAACTTTGGCATTGAATCGCAGATTTAAAATAATAACCTGAGATGCAAGCTACACTCCATCCATAATTTCGATTGAGTCTTAGGTTACCTCCATTGCCTTCTATTTTACATAGTTGGAATCCTTCTAACGCGTACCCCAACTCTATTGCTATCCCAATTCAGCCGGTCCAAGGAGCCGGGAATCTGGATTTGGTGGATTGCCCTAAGGAATTTGGCGTGCATCTTAGCGTTGGGGTTGGGGATGGGGAATCACACCGAAGGTTACCCCATCAACATGGTCTGTGGAGGCGAAAGGTTGGAGTATTTCAGTCTCTCGCGTCTCCTCCAACTCCACCAAATCCGCCACATCGGGGTCATTGAACTAGTCTCCATGAACTAGACTCCAACTCCAGCGGCAATGCGTATCTTCGCCTCGGCTGCCATTCGATCTACCAACTGACTGTTGAAAGCGTCAAGCATCTTAGAACAATACTGAATTATATGCTTAAAGATCCATCCGATTTGTCATCGAGATGCCTTCAAATATCCCCTCCAGAGGCACCTTCTGCTTATTATGATGAATAGTATTGGATAGGTTTGACTGGGTGCATTTTCAGGTCGCTTCGCGGAGAAAGAAGTCCTTTTGCGACTCCCACCACTAGAGTCCCGAGTTCTTATCAGCAAGAGACAATCATTTCCGAGGCATTATCACCCAGATTCCTATCTTTCCCTGTCCAAAGATAGTCGCCATGTCGGTATTTTTCAAAGACATCTCTCCGTATGTTTTCATATGACACTGCCACCCACTGAGAGTACAATTCAATCCTCAGTACTCCTCTAACATCACTCCTTCTCAGAGACAACCCGGTCAGAAAGGGTGACGCTGAAGCACTCCTTGAGAAGCACCTTGGCGTACAGCTTGACCCCAAAGAATCTAATGACTATTACGAACTTCTAGCCGCCGTACACGACTGCGCGGAGCATATTTCAAGTCTCCCCGATTACCAACCAATCCCCGATGAGCAACGGTACCCCCGAGAAAATATCCGCCGACCGCGAGGTGAAGAGCAATTACTCGGCGAGGCGTGGGCGCACAAATTCCTGATCCGGGGCTCACAGAGCAGCAAGAACAGTGCGCCCCATCTAGCGGGAAAAACTGCCAGCATAAAGGATTGCATCGCCGTGGCTGGCGTGCCTCAGTTCTACGGCAGTGACGCGTTCGAACCATGGACACCGGTTACCGATGCCACGGTGGTGACGCGTGTGCTGGATGCAGGAGCGGATATCATTGGAACGTCAACCTGTGAGCACTTCTGCAATTCTACGGCATCGTTCACGAGCGCTCAGGGAACCGTCGAGAACCCTCACGGGACGGGGTATTCGGCAGGTGGAAGCACTTCCGGGGGTGCAGCGCTGGTGGCTGCTGGGGTTACCGACATCGCCATTGGTACTGACCAGGGAGGGAGTATCAGAGTTCCGTCGGCCCTTTGTGGATGTACGTTGAAAATCCCTATTCCATTTTCTATTTAAGGCACTTATATTTTCATCTACTTGAGAGTGCTCCGCGTCCAGGAAGCTAACAGTTGTGTTTCAAACTAGGTGTCGGGCTCAAACCAACTCACGGATTAATTCCCTTTACGGGAATTACAAGCGGTGATCCCATCGACGACCACGCCGGTCCCATAGCCCGTTCAGTACTAGACGTAGCTAGGTGCCTAGATGCTATGGCCGGGTATGACGGTATCGACGATCGGTCGTTGGGTGCAGGAAAGCACGGGTCCTTTGGATTCAGCGAGTCTCTTCAGTCAAGTGCAGAACTACCTCCGAGGCTCAATGGGATTAGGATCGGCATCCTGATCGAAGGATTTGAACAGAGCGTGGTGACCTCAGACGTCAAAGGCGTCGTGCGCGACGCGATCAAAAGATTCGAGGAACTGGGCGCGATGGTGAAAGAAGTCTCCGTGCCAGACCATCTCGAGGGCCCTGCGATTTGGACGATTCAGCAGCGTATCTCAGGAGCCCTAGGAATCATCGGGAAGGCTCACGGGAGACGAGGTCTCTACCTCACTGAATTTGAGCAAGCGCGCCTGCCTTGGACCACAGAGAATTTTGCCCGCCTATTCCCGTCGACGAAGAACACCGTCATCAACGGGCTATATCTTGCCGATAAGTTCCCCGGGTTGTACGGCCGGACGGTCAACATTAGTCGGCGGATACGCGATGCCTACGAGCGCGTCCTCTCCGAGTTCGATGTGTTGGTAATGCCTACAACCCCCTTCGTTGCCCCAAGGCATGGATCTCGCGCCCCGCCTAAGGCGTCATTCGAGCCTAGCATTGGGTTGACGACGAACACTGCCGTATTCGACGTCACGGGACACCCGGCCTTGTCGATCCCTGTCGGATGGGCCCCTGCGAAGGATGATTCCAGCCTTCTTTTGCCCGTCGGGATGCAGATCGTGGGCGCGCTTTGGCAGGATAGGAAAGTCTTGCAAGTAGGACATGCTTGGGAGGTCAACTTCGACTGGAAGACTAGAGTCTCGCGTGAAAATGGCGACTTGGAACCAAAGACAAATGGCCACTCAGTGGCAAATGGTGCAGGTAACGGTGTGGTTAATGGCGATGACCATTAAGATCCCGGAGACCAAGGGAGAGGTAGGCGGAATCATGCGGCTGTGTATGTAGAGTTTCTTAAGTATTGATTCTATGTTGGGGCTTAACTCTTCTGCATAGAAACATAGCAACATAGTGTTCAAACAATAGACATCCCAAGATTCACTAGTCTCGGTAAACACAAGATGCCCGTGATACAGAGATACTGGATGATTTTGAAATAGCAGGATCATACCGTCTCGCCTACCATCCCTAGTTCCAAAGACTCACTGATATGATCAGAGTCTATCACCATCATGATCTTTCTTGCTCGCTCATAAACATGCCTGTCGTCACCAGTTGCATTTCTTGTCCGGCGCAAATAAGGGAGGAGAAAGGAGATCTCAACACACAATAGACGTGGTTAAATCGGGAGCGATGCAGATTGGAATTAACGTGTTGTTGAACCTAATTAATCGTATATCCCCCATCAACCACCAGAGCGTGCCCCTGAATAAACGACGCCTGACTCGAGCATAAGAACAAGACAGCATCAGCAATCTCCTCCGGCTTTCCCATCCTCCGCATTGGCGCGATGTCAATGGCCGGTTTCAGTCGCTGCGTCACCTCCTCGGACCCCGTGGTCATGGGCGTCTCTATCACTCCTGGGCAGACGCAATTCACCCTGATGTCGTCACGCGAGTAATCGATCGCATCAGAACGCGTCATGTTTATAATGGCAGCTTTGGAAGCACAATAGGCAGCTATCGGGGGTCTATTAGAATCCACTCTTGTGACGGAAGTGAATAGATAAGTTGTGCAACTTACCGGCGCCTGGACGGGCGACAATGCCGAGCTGGCTGGCGATGTTGACTATAGCTCCACGCTGTTTCGGATGCGCCGAAAGCGGTTCCTGCTTCAGCATCTGCGCCAGTGCCGCCCGGGAGGCCAGCCAAGTTCCCTTGTAATTGACACTGGTGATGGCATCAAACGTGCTCACCGGTGTTTCTGTAGAGCGGAGGTCATTCCCAAGGATGCCTGCGCAATTGACGGCATAGTCGACGCGGCGGAACGTGCTGGAGACGTTGGCCATGAAAGAGTCGACAAAAGACTCATCGGAAACGTCACCGGTACGGAGAACTACGTGCGCTTTGGGATTCAGAGCCACAATCGCGTCGCGGGTTCGGGATAGAGAGTCCCCATTGATGTCTGTGATGGCAAACCTGGAACATCCTGAAGTTGCGAAGGCCTTAGCCACAGCAGCTCCAATTCCTGAGGAATACAAGGCAGGTAAGCATGGATTGAAATATCGAAAGGGCCAAGCTGCGAGATATTCGGGGGTAATTCACCTGTCCCTCCCGCGCCAGTGATAAAGGCGACTCCTGGGAATCTTGCCAAGACTCCAGCCATCTTTTGATTTTAGTTTTAATTTTTAATTTTTCTGGTCTCTTCCTTCTCGTCTTCTTCCTGGTGTTTTATCCAATGGTGGAGGGATCGCAACTCTGCCTTCTACTTCGTACACGTAAGAATGCAGAAACCTAGATCACAAATAGCCTTGTTTTACCCCATCCTGCTTGCCTATCTACTTCGTAGGCGGGCAAGTCCATCATGTGTACACTTTGGTCTACGATATGCCCCAAAACGCCGGAGTCTTGGCAAATGTGTGGAGTCGATGGAGAACAAACTCCAACCTTGGAGATATCGGTACAAACTTTGGAGCAAAACCGCTTGGGGCTTTCACGCCGAGACTAGGAGAATTATGAGACAATCTAACCCAAAAGGGGGCGGCTTATCGGGTGATCACATCACCTGCCTCTTCTAGCTTAGTATCACTAATCGACACTAGCAAAGCTTTTCGTTCACCCCAACTGCCGAAGATCCGTCGAGTGGAGAGCGATAAGACGCTGCAATAAGACATAATGTTGGTTGCTCCAGCCAGGGGTGGAAAGACCCCATTGAGTTCTCTCCAACTCCGTCCACACCAGTTGCAGTTGATGTCTCCCACCTCCAACTTCCAATCTCCAATTATCTTCCCATCTCCACGACTCCACAACTCAGAATCATCGCTGGAGAACACTATGTGATTGTCGGCGATGGAGACAGCTCCAGCCGGCGTGGCAGTTCCGCAGTCCCATGGAATTGGCCCCATGCACCAGACATCCCACTCTAGGGGACGTAGGCGGCGTGGGGCAGGAAATCCTCGCTCATGTCCTCATTGTGGGAGAAGCTTCAAGCGTACCGAGCATCTGGAACGCCACGTTCGCACTCGTTCGTTTCTCCCCATGATACTGCGGCCCCCAGATGGCAATTTCCCCGATGGTCGCGTGTCGATCGATTGATGTCGCCGTCTTCTTCCTGCTTTGTCTTACCTCCCCAAACCCACTTTCCCTCTCCCCTCTCAGTGGGTTCATCTAGGGAATGGGAAATGCTCGCATCAAGTCTGCGTTCTATATCAGTACTTGGCTAACCATGAGTCGGGTGTATAGACACAAAAGAGAAACCCTTCCTGTGCAGATGCGGGGCGGCGTTCACACGTCGGGACCTATTAACCCGTCATGAGCGCATCGCCTTGCATGACGCCGATGGCGCCTCCGAACCATCCGCACCGTCACTCTCACCGACCGGCGGAGTGGATCCTAATCCCACCAGGTCGGATCTTGAGGCTGCTGCAGCCGTTGTGTCACTGGGAGGAGGTATGAGCTTGGACCATTGGGCGATTCAACAACCACAGACACACGCCCAGATTAACCAGTTCGAGAGTCATGGCTGTGTCAACGCAAATGGCGGAGAACAAGGGCCTCAGTCGTATCAACAGGGCCTGCTTTCACCGCAGCTCTTTGGGAATGGTGAGTGGCTATATCATATTCTGTGCGGACCGGAGATTCTATCCCAGTAGCTGTCTCCGTCAGCTTTCTAATATTTCATTTGACAGGCCAAGATATCAATGGCTATGACCACTTCAGAGAATTTGCCAACTTCCTGGACGGTGTCGGCCTGCCTGCCGAATGGAGTCCATACTTTCACCCGCCGGAACGAGATCATGAACTTGTCGATCCTGCCCTGGAGGAATCTAGGACTGGCGCGGCGACCCCTGTTGGGAGGCATGGCCCTTCTCGCCCTGGAACGCCTTTCAACAGCTGGCTGCCATCGGCTCCCGGCATAAATAGGGCATCTGAAAACGTCGTCAACAACAGTATGCTCTTCTTTTTCCCCATCTCGAATGCATCTCGAATGCGTGCAGCGACTGACATGAATTCCCAGATAACCACGTCGATAAGGGATACAGAGTGACGGATGATGAGAGAGCGCGACTAGTCACCTGCCTGGAGACATTCCGAGACGTCGTGGACCCAAGTTTCAAACTTCCCTCGCGCCATACGCTAACTAGATATATTACCTCTTTCTTTGAGGGTTTCCACTCTCACATGGTCTTCATCCACCATACCTGGCGCGTGAACGAAACACCCCTGGAGCTCGTATTGGCCATATGTGCGGTCGGTGCGCAGTATTGTTTTGAGCACCGAAATTCAGAACGGCTCTTCTACGCTGGAAAGGCAATATGTATGGAACGGTTACGCCACGAAGGCACCAAATTCGGCCACAAGACCAACACGTTCCTCAATCTACACGGCGGTCTGTCCCAGAGGCGCGCCGCAGACCCTTGGTCGACCGGCCCCAACAACACGCACAATCATAATACACCCCCCAGGGATTGGGGTGTGTGGGAGACGATAGATACCGTACGAACCTTGATCCTTCTCATGGGCTACGCCACTTGGGAGCCAAAAGAGGTTCTACTCCGAGATGCATTCGCCGTCCAGAGTCTCCTTGTTCAGGTACTACAAGATGTCGGTCTCCAAGAAGACCCCGAGTCGGAAGATGCCTTGAACCAGGAAACCGATCCGCATGCCGCGTGGCTTGCATGGGTGCGAATAGAATCGACGCGGCGTGCGAAGCTCATCGCCTTTTCATTCCTTCATATCCACAGCGTGGCGTATAATGTATATCCGGTCCTCCGTAGTAATCAGATTCACCTGAGGCTGCCCTGCTCTACGAGAGAGTGGAAGGCGCTGACAGCTGCTCAGTGGCAGACTGCGAGACGGGAGACTCGTAAGCAGCAACTGCTCTTTCAGGATGCTCTCTCCTTGCTTCTGAGAAACGTCGATTGCACGGCGCCCCTGGACCCGATTCCCACACCGCTTGGTAATTACGTTCTGCTGCATGGCTTGTTGCAGAGAATTTATATTGTGCGCGATCTCTCACTCCCTATTATGGATCAGCAGGCTTCTCTGCCACCAGACGAGGTAGAAAAACTAGAGTAGGTGCTCCCCTTCCCGGACAGACCGGCAAACCCACAGCCAGGCAAAACATATCCTCCTACACTTGCTAATATTATAATGGAACTTCAGACGAGGACTTCGCTCCTGGACATCGGGTTGGCAACAAGCTCCCGAATCCAGTCTCGACCCGAACAATGAGAACGGGCCGATCCCCTTTACATCCAGCGCGCTTCTCGGCCTCGCCTACGTTCGCATCTACCTCAACCTGGGCCCCTACCGGCAGCTAGAGACGCGGGATCCGGTACTCATCGCCCGAGCGCTCGCCCGTTGCCCAGGGGTCGAGCACAGCGATGGTGTTATCTCGGCTTTGCTTTACGCCACTCACGCTCTGAGCATCCCCGTGAGGTTGGGAGTCGACCGTGTCGCGCGGAGCCAGGCTTTCTTCTGGAGCGTTAGGCATTCGCTTTCGGGACTGGAGTGTGCTGTTCTGCTTAGCAAGTGGCTCTTCTCGCTTGTGGAACCTGGGAACCGGGATCCGACACAGTTAAGCGGTGAGTAATCCATATTAGCAACGAATGTTCCTCATACTATCTTGCGTGCTAATATTCGATGGAATCACCTAGGTAGCGAGGACCGCATCCTTCATTGGGTCCGTTGCATAGTGGAAGAAGCTTGGGCTGTTGTGGACTTCGACGAGGACTTTGACGAGGACCAATTTCAGGGTGACCCCGCATTTCTCGGCCTCGCCGTTCTAAAAATATGGGCTCACTTCTTCAAAGCAAACGCCCAGTGGCGGTTCATCAATATGATTGGTCTGAGTCTCGAGAAGTATCGAGAGATGCTCATCAAGTCGGCGGGCACCAGGTTACATTCTCAGTAGGACTTCTAAGGGGCGGAAAGAGACATTCACAAACGAGGGAACGGAAGGGTTTGGCACGGCATTGTGAGGGAGAGAGTGTAGTTCCCGGGTCCCAGATGCTCCTATCATATTTTTCCATCGGCATCTGGACTCCCATTCTGTTCCTCCTTTATGCCCATCCTATGGGCGGTCAGGAATAGCATGTGACGTATCAGATCTCCCGATCCCCGGTCGATGATAGATCATTAGAACGGGATTCAATGGCGAGATTGGGTGGGAATCGGGGACGTCAATGGCCATTACCCTGGGACCCAGTCGACCAGAACTTGGGGAAGAGGCCCTGTCAAATCCGGATGGCCAAGAAGCAGGGAGGTTCTGACTGTCTGGGAAGGACGCCCAACGGGGAGGCGACGTCAATTACGAACCAATGTAAAGAGATTGATGGGAGCCTGATAAAATTCACACCTAGCCCTAGAGACGTTGCATAGGCTAGACCCCTGTAGGCGCTTTGACGCTTCACATCAGGGTTAAAAATAGTAAATAGCAACATTTAAACTAGGTTGGTGGCATCTCGTTTTCGACACCATCCCATCATGAAACAAGTAAAAACAAAGAAACTGGCAACCGGTGCCGAACCTTTACCCCATTTTTTTTTTTCACTCAGGCCCTGCTGTCACGACCCAAGATCGACCCCGTCTCGGTTAAATTTTCCGTCATGTCGTGTATCCTTTCCAACTTTCCTGCCAAGACGTCAGAGATCAACGGGCTCTTCAGGACTAGCTCTGGACACCACCCAATTTTGGCGAAGTCTGCACGCCCTGCGCCTTGGGCATTAACGTCTATTTTGTCTCGTGCGTTTTGCTACCGACGACCCTATTGGGTCCACGCAGCATCGAGAGAACCGAGTTGTAGAAGTCGCGAAAAGAAAACATCACGACTCGCCCGAAAAGATGAAGACGCCCGCTTGGCATGTTTGAGAGGAGCCGCAGTGTGCCGAGAAGGCTTCCATGGAGGAGTATGATGTAAACGGACCATGGGCGCCACGGACTGAATATCATTGAGTCTATCGACCCCATCAAATATGGACATAAATACCACATCGGCCGGTTCATTTGTTTGGTCGTGGTATTACCTCACCCTCTATCGACAACTTCTAGAGTAAAGTTGAAGACATTGCCCTCGCATTTCAATAATAACCCCATTGACAAAAGGCCCAACCCCACTCCATCCATCTGCCTTTCATCTTCGTATTATCGCTTATCATGGCCCGTTTACCACGATCCCTCCAAGTTACCATCCACGCGGCGTTGCTCGCCATCTTCTTCCCCTTTACCCAAGCCCAGACATCATCCTTCACCGACGCGACCACGGGAATTGCTTTCCAACGATTCTTTGGCGCGAGGACAAACTTCGGCTTTGGCATCGCATTACCAACAAACCCCAGCGACTCATTCATTGGCCAGCTCTCATTTCCCCTCGTCAATGGCGCAGGATGGGGCGGCTTCTCCTTGACCGGAGATATGGAGGGTCCCCTACTTATGGCTGCTTGGTCTGATGGCATCAACGTTGTCTCGTCTTTCCGGCAAGCCCTCAATGAAGATGATAACCCCCCCGAAGTCACTGGATCCTTTGCCGTGCGACCGATAGAATCGGGGACCTCCGTCAACAATACATTCCTTACATTTACTTTCCTATGCGAGGGCTGCCTAGACGCCTCACTTGGTCTCGGCGCACAAGACACTGGTAGCACGGCTGAGATGGGCTGGGCGCTATCAAGTATCCCCGTCCGCAATGCGGCCTCGAGCAACGGAATTCTCGACTTTCACGACAGCGGGTTCGGCGACTTCGACGCTAACCTAGCCGCCGCAAGGAGTGCCGAGTTTGAATCTTGGACGGCGTTAGCGGGTGCTCCGTTGGTGCCTGCTCCCGGAGCTGCACAAATAAACCTGAACGCCGGAGACGGCGATGATGATGATAGGAGCGACGAACGTGGCCGAGGGAGAAGTAGGACTGGTGTAGGCAGTGGACGGGGCGGCGACGGCGATGATAGCGACGACGACGATGACGATTAAGTGAAGGTTTTTGACAGCAATGACTGATCCTGTACGATAACGTTATACACGAGTTTGCGTGGAAGGTATTAGCCTCGATTTAGAGGGTCGCTATGGAGACCTAGGCAGCCGAACCTCTTTGTCAAATTGACAAATTGCCTATTCAGACTAAAAATTCCATCAACCAGCCTCGAAGCGGAGTTTTGCGGGATCCGCAAGCAACTCTTAGGTTAGAATTATAACTAAAGGGTATGTTGATGAATTATCTAGTCCACACCGGAACTGTCGTTCCTTCGTTCATTCGCTTTACGGTCCTCTCTTGATGTTGCCATGCCACTTCGTCGGAAGGCAGATCATGAAGAAGACACATCAATATCATCTCTCAGAGCCAACTTATTGACATATTTTCTTGAGCTAACCCAATAAAGGAGACCTGCCCCGCGCCTCGGGCTAATAACCATCGAAATCATTCCGGAGAAGGGTGAGGATGGCCAGTTCTTTGGGCACGATGACGGGCCACACAAACAACCGAAATTACCACGGCGAAAATGGTGTAGGCCATTTCCAGAAATCCTAGAAAGCCTGCCCACCACGCCCATTTTCCGTGAGCCTCCTTAGATACTACCACTTCGCTCTCCAATTCCGCCCACCGCCCATACCACCACAGGTACGGCTCAGCAGTCTCAGAATCAAACACGCCCAAAACGCGCCGGGATTGAAGGCCATCCAGAGCCCAAGTCAAGGCTTCCTGAACGAGGCCAAACAAATATTTCCCCGACGGAAGATAATTGCCAGACTTCCGGGGCAACTCGGGTCGGAGCACGCGGGGGAATGGCGAAAAATACCCTACCTTCGTTTTCTTCCAGTAGTAGTTCTGCCGTCCCAGCTCCATAGAGAGGAGAAGCGAAGAGAATAACATTGGGATGGCAATTACCATCAGATAGAATCCGAGAACCAGCAGCCTATCCTTCCTATTTCGAATATATGCCCCTAACACGACCAGAATCGCAGCCGCTACGCCAAGCGAACCATTGAGAAATTCAGCAATCCAATACGCGTCGGGGAATCTCCAAAGTATGGGTCGCATATAAACTGTGGTGTATGGTTCACCCCATTGATACCACCATGGCTTGCCTTCGAGAAGGCCTTGATTGCAGTAGCGGCGGACGTATGTTTGGAAGTAAGGCCATGGTCGTATTGTGAAAATCAGCTCGCGGTAGCGTGTGTGAGGCCCCCCGCAACAACATGAGATGGGTAGAGGGATGTCCTGGGCCAAGATAGAATCGCAAGGGTGTTTCTGTTTCATTCTCTCCGACGCGGTTTCGCAATACTGTATCTTTTGTAATTCGAGTTGACAGCGGGCATCATCGGCGGCGGCCTTGGCATAGTATAACGACGCTCCAGCAAAGGCAATAGTGATAAGGATTCCAGCAGTCTTAAGCACATAGATGGCTTTCCGCTTGTCGAGTAAGCCGGCCGAGTGTAACGGTCAACGACTTGCCAGAACTCGCACCAGGCCGTGGAAAGGATGGATATAAAATTGAACAGTAAGTTCCTAATGGACGCGATATTGAGAGCCATAACTCCGTCGCGAGTTTCCAGGTCGGGACCAGTCTAGGGCTTTTCGCAGGAATCTAGATAAAGAGGATCAAAAACACTGTCCGGTGGGGGGTTCGAGGAAGCAATGCATGATGTTCCTGGTGGAATTGCAAAATCCCCTCCGAGCTGAGGCGGGCTAAACACGCATGATCCGGCGTTCAACGAATCACAACCTCAAAACAAGTGAGGCGAGGTGATGGTCAGGGGTCAGACCCTGCGAGCTGAGCCTGTTGCTTTTCCTCGATGACATGCTTTGCGACAGATTCATACATTCACGTGCTCGACTTTTCCGACTTTTCCCATCCTCAAATCCGTTCTGACTCCCCTGGAATGAAGAGAAGCTCCTTTGGTCCTGGCCGATTGAGGTTGACTTGCGGTCCACCCCGAAGCTTTAATACTGTTTTGTGCCACAGGCCGCATGCTCCATGGGAGAGACGCCAGTCGCATTTGCTGTCGGGATCCTAAAGGAGTACGGGGAGTCCAGTGTGAAGAAAGGGCATTTCCTGTGAGCAGTTGGTGCTTCGCGCTAGCTCGTGGTCCCAGACGAAATTCACATAAAAATCTCTATCGAGGTCTTACATCAAATCTCAAATGATCGAATTAGATACTAGCTAAGCACGGATGATGACAATGACTCCACAACTAGAAACCAGTCGGCGAAGAAGCCGGATGTGAAACATATCCTCAATGAAATTTCCTAAAGTGGCGCTTCATGTTATCGTCTCTCGTGAACAGTTTCTTGCACACTGGACATGAGACTTTGCGGCCTCTAACATGTTGATGAAAATGTCTCTTCATCTCCTTCTGGGTAGCCTTGGTCTCTGGACATCGAGTACACAGCACGGGCCTTTCATGAATCCGAAGATGGGTTCTATACGTGGTTTAGTAGTGTTTTTTTTATTACTCACATGATGGTAAATGATACTTCGCCTTACCTTGCCTCTGATCCTCGTCTGAATCCCTTGTGGCAGTATTCCACAGGGCAGTAGTAAATTCCATCTTCAGATTCGACGACATCTTTCAGTCGCTTCATCTGTCTTTCTGGGAACTTGTCAGGGATTTGGGGAGTCAGATCGACTGTGCTAGCTAGTAGGTCGGTAGAATCGGGGAAAGCATTGAACGAATGTATTGTGTCGTCGCTTCGCAAGACACACTCTGTAATTCCGATGTCTAATAGTGACCCATGCGAGGTTGGATTCAAGCAGAAATTCAAGAGGCTCTTTGGAGTGGCTTGATTACTCTAAAGAGAAGAAGTCTGGTGAACCGCAAGATTCAGGCCGAATCCTTCCTCGACTGGGATATTAAAATCGAAAATACATAGTCCATCTTGCTCTAGGACAGTATCGCTAGGAAAGAATGACTGATTCGAAAAATGGTTCAGGTCGGGCAACGGGCTGAACCATGGCAATTGCGCAGAAATAGTACCGCATCCTAGCTGCCACAATTCGGATGCGGTAAATGGAATTTGACAGTCTGCGTTTATTCCTTTTATATTTAGACGTCAGCAATCAAAGGCCAACAACTAGAAAGAGACTGTGGACATCAACCTACCACTAATTTCGTCATACCGACTCATTGCCTTCAGGACCAAGGCCCTGAAGACCGCAGGTTAAAAAGCAATGCGGGCAAAATTTAATGTGTACTAATTCAAATTGGTGTCAATGGCTGATGGGCTCGGGATCTTTGGGATGGTGAGACGAAGCCTTCAATTCCTTCCTGAGACCATGGTGCCCCTTTATGTCGCTCAGCTGGGCTCAAGAAGTTTTCAATATCTGGCTTTCTTTCGCCATGGGAAGATTGACGTAATGCCGGGCAATGAGAACGGTCCCCCACTTTCTAACATGCCCCAATCTGCCGGAGGTCTGCTAGCTGAGGAGGAGGCCCCGTAGGAGAGAAGATGGAAGAATCCTGTTGGTTCTAGCAAGAATACTTGCAGGTGACGTCCCGAGATATCGACAAATCACGACGTCAGCGGTGCTGAAATCGCTGCACATTCGGGTTACACAACACTCAATTCATTTCTCTGCATAATCTTGACAGTTCGAGGGACACCTTGATAGGAGCTCGCGCACTCTAGAGACGTCAGGCTGTCTCTCCCCTTGGTGGAGAGCTTGCCACGTACGATGGCGTAAACATCTACCCCGCACCTCGTTGGAATCAAGGCGGGATCCAATTCATGACGATGATACCACTCTGGCATGGCAAGAGACCATTCGTGACGGCCGATGGACAGAGCGTGACGCATCATAGAAATCGGAAATGCGTCGGGTATTCCACATTGTTGACCCAAAGTTCTCGAGGATGGTATGTCGATGTATTCCAGAAGCCGTGTTGCTGCCCGAGAAAAACATTACCGGATATCTAAAGACACGAGACGTCCATCCGAGGGAGGTCGCCTACCGGGAGCGGGGGAGGTACCATGTTGAAAATGTGGACAGGTTCTATTCGTTGTTGACAGGCAAATCAAAAGTAAGGCGCCTTCCCTCATCATGCCTGATCATGGCAGGATTCACGTGGAGTAGATCCGCCAAGAGTTGTAAGACATAGGATCAAACGAGGACGAGAACTAGGACGTGCCGGCTACATTACCAGTTTTCGTCTTCACCAATACTGCCCTACATGCATGCGAGAGAAACAGCCACTCCCACAAGAAGTCGGTAACGATAAGCCTTGTAAAAAATGCCGCCGAAAGTGCCACGACTGGATAAGTATTCTCGCTTTCTACATCGCTTTTACGAAACGCTCTTCATTCTTCTCCATCTCTCTCCGACTCAAGGACCCCACCGCCCCATTCATTGGAACCTATCTCAACTTGGGGACGTAAGAAGACGATATCTGGGTAATCTAGCGTTTCTTTGCGACTACAGCAAAGGTGGACGCACGACTACGTCCATTGCTGTTGAGGATTGTAGGCGTTGCTACATTTATTGGGTGGCAACAAACGATGGCGACGGCAGCAAGGTATCGAATATCCTCGAGAAAATCCTCACCTCGTTAAGTGAGATTCTGCGCACCCCACCGTCTCGACGAGCGATACTTGAGGAGAAACTTGTAGATATGTGCGCCAAGTTCGCCCACGAGAGGGTGAAGAAAGAAGCAAGGATGGTTTCAAACGCGGCCAAGATGTGCATTCAGTTTCTGTCGCAGAATCACACCCGAGAAGATGATGGTATGGCTCGTTTGAATCACGTCCGGTCTTTCTGGATGGATGGACATTCGCTGACAGGTCAGGTTTAGGTCTTATAGACTGGCTCGACCGGTTTAATAGGGCCAGCACAAAGCCTTCGCCACAGCTATGTCGTATGGCGTATGAACTTCGCAATGAAGATTGCATGATAGCAATCACGAGGCTTGGGCGAGATCCTAACGGCAACCCTGAGATAACCTCGGCATTCCGCCGTGTTCGTCACTGCCTAGGACGATTGGCTAGCCGTGTGAGGGCTGTTCATGAGCTTATCCAGGATGGTGGCACTGGCAGCACATACGAACGCCTTACCGCATATCGCGTGGAAACGGTGCCTGTACCAGAATGCGTGGCACCTCCCAAACCTGACGCCCTTACCAACTTAGAGGGCATTGTAAAGAGAATGCTCAAACCTGACGATCCACGTACTGAGTCGATTAAACAAAACCTTCAAAGAATGGAAGATCAAATCCAACTCGAAGTTAAGATTCAGACATCATTCGCCGACAAAAACTTCGTCCCGCGAGTACATGCCGAGATCCAAATGCTCGAGCACTTCCACCAGGGTAAACGCCGTTTTGCCTTCAAGGATCGCTTCATCGCTTGCAGCAAAGCTGCCTGCCTCTGTTGCAAGCTCTACATCCGTTACCACCCCATCAAGGTTCAAGAGCCTCCGTCGCATGAGTCCATCTATCCAAACTGGGGGCCCGTCTTGCTTCTTAATGGCGCGAGGGACCGCGATTGGCCCACGCAACATAAAACGATGCAACGGGTGATTGAAGATATGAGAGAAATAGCTCTCGATTACCTCGAACGGGAGATAGCGCCCGGCTATTTCCACACGAACTCATTGACCAATATTACAGCATTAGAAGATCCAGCTTTTTGGCCATCAAGCTCCGTCGATGGAGAGGATATTTCAGATGACTCAGATGATGAGAGGGAAGTATTTAAGGCTGGTAAGTCATAAATGCGCATCTATGTGATGACCGCTTGCGAATGGCTTCACTAACAATACGGCATGTTGAGCTGGGCACGGCGGTTTCCAACTGGAGGAAGTTGGCACTGGCACATCCGGATGGTTGGAAGCAGAGAATGATGGCATGGACAGCTCCGAAGACTCGGATGGTGGCGTCCCAATCTGACTGCGGTAATAGGGTCTAGTAGCATTGGAGAAGACATATAGGTCCTCACCTATCTAGGGTTGAAAACGCTCCGTGCGTTTTGGGGCATACGACCGGGTTCATTTGAGTGTGTTCCGCCTTTTTGGAGGTACGCAGGGGTGAGCATAGATTAAGGAATTAAGGGGCTAGAGAGAGTGATGGGGCTGGCGGCAAATATCTTGAGGAGGCTTACCGCAAGGCAGTCACCGATTCGGCATCTTCCGGTGAGGCTTTCTCTACAACAGCTACCGATCCTATCCTATATCTTCGGAAGAGCTAGTCTGCGTTACGTTACTACGACTGTCGCCGTTAGCACCTTTCTCTTCCACTTCTTCAAAAGATCTTCTTTGTCCATTTCGCTCAGTCCCCGTGTGCCTGCCACTGAAGTCCAGGCCTTTTGGAGGCCAATATCCCCTCCCCCCGGCGACAGCTATGTCTGGTCTAAGTGCCTGCGACCGTAACAGATCCTTGTCCGACCATGAATTCCGAAACCTGCGGAAATGGGGCTTCTCACCCAATCATCGCAAATCTCTCTTCTATCTGCGCGGCGGGGACTTGGAGATGGTCCCACAAAGTGTAACCACACTCCCATAGATGCTCGTCTTGCGGGTTGAACACGCTAGAGAATATGGAATCATTCGCGTGAGCGTCGAACCAGAGATTAAAGGCATTCGAAGCTGTCGAATCATGTATGCCGGCCGAGGGTTGCGCCAACTGCTTGAGTTGGGTGTCAGTGTATGAGCGGAGAGGTGCTTCTACATCGACGAGGCCTAGAGGTCCAAGAAGACTCTCGTCGGGCACCATAGAAGCCAATTGCTGAAACGGGTCTTTTTCGAACCACTTGATTCCGAGTTCACTTAGCCGGATGAGGCGGACCCTCTCTTCGCAGGTTTTGGTGCGGGTTACGGCGTACAGGTATGGGAGGTCTCAAGAAAGCGGTTGATTATGAATGTGAGAATAAATACGCGGAACTGGGGAGACGGGGTCAAACCTACCATCCACTGAATGCGGTCGGTTTCTCCTTGGTCTTCATACCAGTTGACTGGTAACTCGCCCCAGTCCACGACATGAGTGACCAGATCTTCATATGCTGAAGCAAGGACGGGGTAAGGATGTCAGCCAGGTATAGATTAGAGTGGATTCATCAGAACTCACCCTCGGTCACCTTCCGTTCCAAATAGGAGTGCACGCAGAATAACTGCTCGTTTTCCCATAGTGCGAAGGCTGAGAAAAATCGTGAACGCGCACTTTGCGATGCGTTCTCACCATCGTCGAGGCAGAACAAAATACACATAACCCTGTACCGAAGGAATATCCTAACTAGACGGCGGGTCTCATGCGTTGTAAGGCCCGACGATGGTGGCTCCAGTCCCATCCTTGCAGTGAAAACTGGAATTACTTCTTCGGCGAGATTTTGGGCGAGTGACTCGGCGGCCGCATGGTTTTGGCTGAGAAAGGCGTAGTCAAACAAAGAGAGACTAGCGAGAGAAGTGAGAGTTGGGCCTTTCGTGTTGGAGGATGCCGCCATAAGAGACTTGAGAACCTTGTGGACTGCATCACCATCCTCGGGGTTGATCTTTGTCGACTGCAAGAGAGCGACGTCGAAGGCGAGATTACTTTCGGGTATCTGATTGGCGACGACGCTGCGGGCGATCGAGCCGTGGCTGTCGTTAAAAGCTTGGAGAAAGATGCGGTGGCTTAGGATGGTGAGGTAACGCTGTCGGATTGTGTCCAGTTGGGCGAGAATGGCGGCGATAACATGCAGAGGCAGTTGATTATGGAACTCAGTGTCGGAGCCAGCGTCGTAGAAGTAGCCAAGAATTCGAGCCCATGGGGTGTGGGTGGGGTGTATGACCCGGGAACAAACGAACAACTGAAAGGAAACGTTGCTGTATTTAGCGTGACGTTCGCCGCTCTGATGACAAAGTCACTCACCTGATTTAAACTTACGGTGCCGCATCCTGCTAAATTGCAGCCCTATTTTTCCGGTTTTAAGCCGAGAAGCTAAAAATTTCCATCCTCGTCTCGAATTTGAATCCGGATCCATTTCCAGTTCTAGTTTCTTTCTCAATCGAGCACCGTTACTTTTTCGCGTCTGCTGGGGACTTCACCCTCAACTCCCTCAGCTCACCGAGCACACCGTGGTCAACATTTTCATTGCGCTCTATCTAATTCTTCCAATCTACCCCTGTCATCCTGAAACTAGCCATGGAGACCCCACAGAAGAAGCCATTGCTGAAGGAGTCTCCCGCTCTAATGGGCGGTTTCAAGCTCACACCCATTCGAAAACGGCGAACAAAGATCTCTCTCTCGCCGATTAAGACACCCACCACTGATACGGATACTCTTTCGCCGCGAAGGAATTCGACGTCCTTTAGCCCATCCACTAAGCCTGAAATCCCCAACCCCGACGTTCCTCACTCCGATATTCCTACCTCTGCCCTCGAGTTCGAAGGCTTCTCATTCTGGGGCCCGGACGGGACTCTCGGGACGAAGCATCTCTCCAGAGAGCAGGACGAAGCGATTCGGAACTTTCTTTGCGAGAAATATAACGTCATTAGTGTTTGGTATGCGTTTCCCTTTCTCGTGCTTGGGTGCGAAGGGGAACCTCCCAGTGAGGACGAGCGCCCATTCACCATCGGCGGCGCTCTCGCCATCTGGAAAACGGTGGAAGACTCCTATGGCTTCCTCCCGCTCTTCGGCACCAACGGCGATGGGGAACCTCGAATGGACATCGACCCAGAAATGGCCAACAAACTCCAGGAACTTGAAGTTCCACCCCCGGAAGTAATCCTCTACCTGGCGAACGAAGTCTTCCCCGATTGCATTGCCCTGTCCATTCTGTGGGACAGTCTGGTCGTTGAGCTACCGAAAACCGAAAACCGATGACGACGATTTCCACCTCCGCCTCCAGTCACTCCCCCGTCACCTTCAAGGTGTCCCCCACATACTTCTCTATTACAACGGCCCGCTACCCAATACCCAAAGACGCCGACGAGTTATTGCCCCCAAGCCTCAACACCTAGCCGAGATGATCGTCGACGAAACGGATTACGTCAGCACTGATGGGAAGTTTTACCCCGGAACCATGCTGAACTCGGTGGACAAAAGTGGGGAGGTCTACTCCTCAGTTACAAGCGGCGTATTGATCGAGAAAGATGGGGAGAAGCGCCTGACCTGTTCGTTTCATAATTGGGCGGACCACTTCGACAAATACGGAGACACCTTTGGCCAAGACACCGATGACGCACGCCAGCACTTCAAGGCTGTACAAGGGAACCCGGGGACAGTTGTTGGCTTCGTGCGCGAGAAAGTTGGCAGGACGGATATCGCGCTCGCGCAGCTCAATGATGGTGTCATTTTCGAAAATCAGTTTATGGAAATGGATTATGCGGCCAAGGTGTTTGTTCACAGCGACGATCAGCGAATTGGTGACGAATACATGATCGACTCCTTCGCTACAGGGAAGCAAAGGCTGATTGGCCTTGGTAGACGATTTGAGATTGGACGACGATCCGGAGCTGGAAGCCTGACAGTTCCCCAGGGTCACGAACACCTCCTCCCGACGAAAAAAGTCGCGTATGTTGCTACGCGACAAGGTGCTTATGCGACGAACCATCCGACCATCCTCCGAGAGCCAATTATCCGAGATAGTGTCTGCGGATCAATTCTACTGAGATGTTATGAGAGAGGGATCGAACGCACGGAGGAAAATAAGGTCATGAAAAAGGGCGAGGTCTGTGCCATGATGCACTTCGCCGATTTGCAGCCGAAGTGCGCGGAAAGAGCGGAACAATATCTTTGCTATGCCGATGCCTTTGATCCACTGATAGAAGGTGGTTGGAAGGTTGTTCAAGTTGAGGACGAAGATGGACCATCTGGGTCGGAAGGTAGTGACCCTCCCGGGAAGAAGAGGAAGGTTGGCGAGACGTCTACGAAGGAACGTCTACAAGATTAAATTGGTGGACATGAGGAGTTGTGATTGTTAGGACTATGGGTTTCGAAGTCAATTTGAATTTCCGGGTCCGCGAAAGAGGGTGGACCGTAATAAGAGCATAATCTGACCATGGTCGACACACTGATTCGTACTCGTCTAAACTGTGTTTGAGGAATGTTAAATTCATCACAACCTGCTACCTGAGGATGTCATGCACCAGAAACAAAGTTCTTGCTTAAATTCCTCTAAAGGAACGTTACATCTCTGCAGCTTCTCGTCAGAGGACAACGGAGAGTCGGTGACGTAGGAAAAACAGCCCATCTTTTCGCGGGCCAGGGTCCGGTACAGCTGAAAAAGCCCAGGACCGCCTCCTCCCTTGCCTGAAATGGATGTACACGAACTACGTGTTGACTCAAGCCGACGCGTTTCCAGTCGACGCGTCAAGGGTCGTAAACTATCCATTGGTGGGTACATTTCCACCTCTCACTCCCCCACTTACCCTTGCCCTCGTTGCCCCACTACGGAAGCCTATAGCGAATTTGTAACTTTTGAAAACTTTCGACCTCGACCCCTCGAATTTTTACTAGAACTACCCCAACCCGTACAGATTTAGAACATTTAGCGTAGCTTCAATAAAATAATATTTCTTTTACTATTACTTTTCTTTTTTCCCCTCCATCATGTTAGCCAAGTCCTCCCAAACTTACCTACTCTACTTCATACAAAGTAACCATACTCACATTGATATTCCAAGCAGCATTTCAGTCATTCTCATATTCTAGTATTCCAGTATTCCAGTATTCTAGTATTCCAGTATTCCAGTATTCCAGTATTCCAGTATTCCCATTCCCATTCCAAATTCCAATATCCCAGTATTTCCAGCTCCTTATTCTCATGTTCCCATATTCCCATATTCCCTTATTACTATATTCCCAGTTCTTCCAGTATCCCTATATTCCTATATTCCCATATTCTTATTTTTATTCCCATTCCCAACACTTCCAGTATTCCAGTAATCCCACATTCCTATATTCCCACATTCCCACATTTACAGTATTCGCAGTATTCGCAGTATCGCAGTATTCGCAGTATTCCCAATATTCCCAGTATTGAATAATATTTCCTAGTATTGAATAATACTGAAGTTTATTTAACTAGAAGTGTAAGTATTTGTACGGATGGTGTGTGTGTATGGAGGGGTTGAGGTCGAAAATTTTCAAAAGTTACAAATTCGCTACAGGCTTCCGTACCCCACACACATTGTCAGCTCACGGTTCAAAGGGCATGGCATCAAACACTGGGCGTAACAGCCGCTGGCTCAGGTGGTTCAGGGGTAGAATATTTGCCTTCCATCCGGGGGTAGCAAATGATCCGAGTTCGAGTCTCGGCCTGAGCATTTCTTTTTGCCAAGAGAATGCAATCCACGAGATCTCGAAGCTTCAATGTTCCTTTATGAATCCCACACCCATCCCACACACTACTCTACTTCTCTCGCCTCGATGTAACACAAGTGACGGTAACAAAACCCGTCGACATGCCGATGACTGCCCAACTGCGGCTGGTGTATTTTCCTTTTTCCTCCCCCACGAGCTACGGGGAGATTTTCCCAAGCTCTCTCTGCACACAATTTATCTTGCCTCCCAGGTAGCCTGTCCCTGAGACTTCGTGTCGGTGGTTGACATACGGGACAGTCGGAAAAAGTCAGAGCAGAGTGCTCTGGGCCCACTGGAACGCGCCAGGAATTGGACACAAAATTGTAAAAATAATATTACATTAAACCTCGCACAAAACATGCTGTTCCCAGACTAGTACTCCCCAAACGTTGATATTCTGGATCAGCACTATCGGAGACGTGGGTCCACAGTTGCGCCTCTTGGTGCCAAAGACTTGGATCTCGCTACATTCCCCGACAGTCCTCCAGTCCTCCCGGGGGGGGGGGGGGGGGTTGACCTGTGGGATGCGACTCCTACCTGGGAGGCTGATCCAGGTTCTGAGCATCCTCCACAGGGTCTTCCTCAGCCGACCACGGCTGCCTCGTTCGGAATGTTAGACGAACCCGCATCTCACCACAACGTCATCGATGCAAGCGAATGCATCCGCGTGGAAATAAAGAAAAGAAGGAGGTAAAGGGTCGACTATGCTACGAGTGCTCTCCTGGTCATGGGAAGAAGAAGCTCTGCATATCCGTCGATGGGTGGGAGCAATGCAAGGTGCAGTTCAAGGGCGGAAGTTATGATGTCTACAAATACTGTAGTTCGGAGAATGTGTACCTGGTATGGAGCTTACCGGAGTAAACGAAAGGACCACCTCTATTACCTTTTCTTTTGTTTGCCAGACATGCCCTTCCCTATCAGCTCCAATGTAGCGGATTCACTAGTGAACCAGAATATCATATATCCCTTCAGTGACTTGAATGTCCAGCTGTCTCGTGTTCCTGTTGGTAAAGTACGCCGAAAATCGACTTGGATAGTGCGGCGATGCAGATTCCTACGGGCAGGATGCATCTGGGCTCGGAAACAAAGCCAATGTGGTTCGATGATGTGCTGAGCTGAATCAATGTGTATGCGGCACTCGCCAACCGACCGAGACCCACCAGTTTTGTAGTAGAGGATGATTCCCCGGCAATAGGCGGCTGAGTTGTGGAAGGTCAGTGTTGAAGAGACCTGTTCTAGAGGTGCCCACGAAAAGTAAGAATCATTGCCAAGTGGGTTTCCAGATGTCCTTAAAGGGAAAGGCTTGCAAAGACCGAAAGAAGGTTTGCAGTACGCGCCAAAATAAGGGACAGCGCCTCCCTCGCCTGGCTCCGCGTAAATTAAGGATATAGGAGCAGATTCGCCAAGACACCGATCCTTGACTGAGCCTGTGGTGTGCGGGCCGATAATAACGTCGCCCACTCGCGAGGTCCTGATGAGAATATTCAAGCCCGCCGATGACGTCCGAATCCCTAAGACAGATATATTATCGCCCTCTGAGATGGGGACATAGATCCAAACCATGCCTTTCTGACGCCTCGATGTGAACCGCTCGTACGTTGATACAGCACATGATCCAGTGGAGTCATGGACGTGAATACCGAAGAGCCTGCCTTCCGAGAAGAAGAAGGTAAGGCCCCTTATCCTGTCCGGTTCAACGACATAGAAGCGCTGTACGGGGAGATTGGTGGAAAACGCTTGCCGAGATGATAACTCAGGTGGGGCTGGTGTATTCCATATTGGCATCGCCTGTCCACCAGAGGCTAATTGAAGACGCAAGAGCCCATCCTACGGTGTGCATGAGATTATTATCCAACGGATACAGAAAGGCAAACAATACGCACCACAAGCTGAGCCATCACGCCGGAGACGGAGCATCTAGGGATGACAACGAAGGCGGAGCGATTATGACGCTCGCATCTATACACTGGCGGGGAAGGTAAGCTTTCTACTCTTTTGATCCCCCGAGAGTCGATCGTCAACCTCAATGTCCCATCTAGCGGAGACGAGGTAGCACGCTGCACCTCTCCGTTACGTTCCCATGCGAGGATTTCGCGTAACTGAATCATAAAGCATGAGCCGGTAGGTGTAGCGGAGACATCGGAGGCTAATTCGAGGGCTGAGGCATATCTCCAGAACCAGCAATGAGGGGAATAATCATAAATCGTATGTAAAAGCTCTGGTGGCAGCCCCCTCAGCTGCGCCCATCTACACTTCTCAGCGATGTAATGTACCGTCGTAATGGCCGGGGGTCCGTTGAGTAGGAAGGTTCGTTGGGCGCCTTTCCAAGGATTCCTCCATGCTGCCATTAGCCAAAGTCTACGCAGGGTTTCCGTTTCGTCGGTAGAAATGTTCTTTTTGAGTATCTCGTAACAGTCGTAGTGGAGGATGGCGCACTCGCGAGACTCAGCGCACACATCGCAGGGTGGATAACGACACAATAACAAACCCTCAACCCATGTGACAGAATGGCCGGGCTGTGGGAAAATAAACGGTCTGGTCACCTTGTCGCAGAACGTCGAGTCTTCGTTGCCAATCACTGCCCTCTTGACGTCAGCGAGGAAAGAGACGAGAGAGGAAGAGTAATGGATCAGGGGTTCAGGATGTCGCGTACGTGCTTGCACTCTTTCATGCAGGAAGATCGTATCTAGGCAGATCCCACACTGAGGAACAAGCCGAAGATGGCGAATACAATCGCCCATAGCGTTAATATTATGGCAGAAATGAGGAGCAAGGTCTCCGAGGAGAAGGCTAACGGGCTGATGGGACGTCGCGACTTGTTCTTACTGGGGCGCTCCAGTGAGACTCCGACGAAGTCGCCCTCGGTGGTTAAGGCTCGGGTAAAAGTACAATGTACCGGTGGCGGGCGGGCGCTGATGACTAAGAGATTCGCATCGTCAGAGGTGCTTTTCAGGTGTTATTATTTTCTAATCATATCGATGGCTGAAATGCAACAATAATCTTCCCTCCCCTTCGTGTTTGATTATCACTGTGCCGCTCCGGAGCCTGTCATCTACAGTTGTTATACGAGTATATTGATCGAATAGATAGACAACCGACCTTTGCGAGATCGGTCAAACTTGCGGGGCTATTTCCCTCTCGCCACGGAGTTCATCAACTAAGATCAACAACGGCCATTGGGAAACACCTCGATATAATGATTGATGACAAAGATGAACTGCGTCGGATATCTGAACCATGTAGCACCTGTCCGTTTCGCATCGCTACTCTCGCCAGACAGGAGAATTTACGCCCGACCTCAAATTACTATCTCCTAGGTGTTGGCCATGGTTTGAATCAACTTGGGGGATAAACCCTGCCGGAAAAGGTCGATGACTACGCCGAGTTAAATGCAGTTGATTGAGGGGAAGACAGTCTCCATAGGCTGCACTCTCAGCCGATTGTTGGCATGATCACAGGTCCGCATTTCCCCCGTTGATAGTCGACGATCTGCTTGCTGGAGTGCTGTTTTGTAGAGCTCTCAGTGACTTGTCTCCCTATCGCCCTTTTGCCTCTGATGAGCCACTGGAAAGGACCTTGAAAGGAGAAAATAACAAAAGCAGTCTGCCGAGAAGTGGGATATGAGATCAGCGGCGCTCTCCCCGCATTTTTATGCATGTTGGATGTTGGATGGAATACGGGGTTGCATGAAAGGACATCCATCACGTCCCTATGCGACGCGGCAATTGGTCCCGGGCGCAGACGACGCATCTGAGAGCATTTTCGGCCCGGCCGAATGCGTAGAGATGTTCGGAACTCCACTGGCATGCCGACTTGAATAGACAATTCTCTCCGTGTGTCGTGCGAGTTCTGTCCTCAAACCTACATAGCCACCGGACTGATCCTTCCGACGTTGCCACCCATATAAGCAACAAACGAGACTCTGTTATAACTTATCAGATCTGGCCTACATATTGTAATACTCATCCCTTCCCAGCGGCTCCGCACTCGTACAACAAAAGTGCCCGATCGTGCAGTTTATGATGTTCTTTGGTCGTCCTCGGCGCAAAGCTCATGCCGGATAATATGCCTTCACACCATCTCGTGATTCCTGTCCCATTGATCCAGCATGCCCTGTTTGATTGCTTTAATCAGTACCACACCGAGGACTCTATTCTGGTCAACTATTAGTCCTCACCTTGAGATGATTCGACAGCGGAGAAACGGATAGACAAGTACCGAGTCCTTCCAGGTCATGGCATTACGACGTCTTCCTTGAATTCATGTGCCGTTGATGCCCCGCAACTTTCTTGAGAGGGGTTTCCTGCGCAAGTTGACGTTGTGATACCCCAATACAGTAACCAGTGTGCTTCTCGTGAAAATATCATGAGGGGTTCTGAGGGTCCGAGCTTGGCGATCTTGGACAACGTTTGAAGACCGGCTCGGGGAAGCCACGCCGGACAGAGCTATAAGAATCCCCTTGTCCACGGTCTGTTTCCTCTAAGGGCGCCAAATTGGATTGTACGTTTTTTTCTTTTTTCCCAATTATCGTGAATAAACAGTCAATATGTCGTCAAAATTGTACGGATCGAGCAGTATTCTGCCCGAGGAGTTCGACATCATCGTATGCGGCGGAGGAAGCTGCGGCTGCGTTGTGGCGGGGAGGTAAGTCCTAATGTGGGTGTGGACTTCATGAACGTCGTTCCTAACACACTCGTATAGACTAGCCAATCTGGATCACAACCTGAAAGTTCTTCTGATCGAGGCCGGGGAGAGCAACTTGAATAACCCATGGGTCTATCGTCCCGGTATTTACCCCCGGAACATGAAGCTCGACTCTAAAACGGCGTCATTCTATGAGTCCCGCCCATCGAAATGGCTCGCCGGCCGAAAGGCCGTGGTGCCTTGCGCCCATATCTTGGGTGGCGGCTCCTCTATCAACTTCATGATGTACACGAGGGCCAGCGCCAGTGACGTATGCCTGTCTTTCCAATTGATACCATCTTCCACATTCACCCAAGTATTCCCTTGTTATCACGCTCTACCCTTACCGCACGTTATGTGACGATGAATACGTTCCTCGAGCAGAGTACTGACATTACACTAGTATGATGATTTCCAAGCAGAGGGCTGGAAGACAGAAGATCTGCTTCCCCTGATGCAAAAACATGAGACATACCAGAGAGCATGCCAGTGCGTATTTCCTAATACCTTCCCATTAAAAGATGGAGTTTGCTTACTGACATCATCTAGCAATCGTGAGATTCACGGCTTCGAAGGCCCTATTAAAGTTTCATTCGGAAACTACACGTATCCCATCAAAGATGACTTCCTCCGTGCCGCTGAGTCCCAGGGGATCCCCATTGTCGATGATCTCCAGGATTTGACGACTGGCCACGGTGCAGAGCAATGGCTGAAGTGGATTAACAGAGACACTGGTTCGTTGTCAAGCTCATCCATGGCGATTTTACCTTGACACAAAGGTTCAAGCCGTTGCTAATCAACAGCTCTTCCTTTCAGGTCGCCGAAGTGACAGCGCTCATGCCTACATTCACGCCACTCGGGCTGTCCACAGCAATCTTTACTTGCTGTGCAACACCAAGGTAGATAAGGTGATTATTGAAAATGGCCGCGCTGTCGGGGTCAGGACGGTACCCACCAAGGCTCCTCGTAGTGGGGAGCCAAAGGCTAGAACCTTCCGTGCCCGCAAGCAAATTGTGGTGTCTGGCGGAACTCTTTCATCCCCTCTAATCCTCCAGCGATCAGGTGTTGGTGATCCAGAGAAGCTGAAGGCGGTCGGTGTCGACTGCCTCGTTGACCTTCCAGGAGTTGGGCTCAACTTCCAGGATCATTACTTGACTTTTTCGGTGTATCGAGCTAAGCCGGAGACGGAGAGCTTCGATGACTTTATTCGAGGTGATCCAGAAGTTCAGAAAAGTAAGTCTTACCCTCCGTTGAGGGAATCAACATTCTCAAGGTGTTGCCTGGAATCAACCAGAGACTAATAACGTCTTAAAAAAAAAATACAGAGGTATTTGAAGAGTGGCATGTCAACGGAACCGGGCCGCTCGCTACAAATGGAATTGAAGCCGGCGTGAAGGTTCGACCCACTGAAGAGGAGCTCAAAGAGTTCGAATCTTGGCCTACACCTCACTTCAAGGACGGTTGGAAGTCGTACTTTGAGAACAAGCCAGACAAACCCGTGATGCATTACAGCGTCATTGCAGGCTGGTTTGGTGATCATATGCTTATGTGAGCTTTAATTCGTAATGGGCTCCTTATCTGAGAATATGTGTTCCTGACGCTGCATTAGGCCGCCTGGGAAATTCTTCACCATGTTCCACTTCTTGGAGTATCCGTTCTCTCGAGGAAGCACGCACATCAAGAGTGCGGATCCATATGAAACCCCGGACTTCGACGCCGGATTCATGAACGATGAGCGAGATATGGTCCCCATGGTTTGGGGATACATCAAGTCCCGTGAGACGGCGCGACGAATGGATGCGTATGCGGGTGAAGTTCAGAATATGGTGAGTTATCTCGAAAACCGGCGACGGGAGCATTTTCCGCTTACTCTAATGGCAGCATCCCTTCTTTGACTTTGACTCTCCTGCTCGTGCTCACGACTTGGACCTGGCTACGACCAAGGCCTACGCACTTCCCGGAAACCTCTCGGCCGGCATTGACCACGGGAGCTGGTCATCCCATCTTCCTGAACCTGATAAGAAGGCGGCAGCTAATATTCTCAACTCGAACAAAGGTCATGGCCGCGATGAGCTAAAGTACAGCGAGAGTGACATCAAGGCCATTGAGGAATGGGTCAAGCGACACGTGGAGAGTACCTGGCACAGCCTGGGTACCTGTTCCATGGCGCCGCGTGATGGCAACAGCATTGTCAAGCACGGCGTCCTTGACGAGAGACTGAACGTCCACGGTGTCCAGGGACTGAAGGTCGCCGACCTCAGCATCTGCCCAGACAACGTCGGATGTAATACGTACTCTACAGCTTTGCTGATTGGAGAAAAGTGTGCAGTTCTTGTCGCCGAAGACTTGGGCTACTCGGGAGAGGCGCTTGATATGAAAGTTCCTACCTACCACGCGCCGGGCGAGGTCACGTTGCAATATCGTGTCTAGGATGCAATACATAAAGTTGTTGGAGACAGGGCATGCATGTGGTTCAGTGTGAAATTGCTTCCCGGTGGAAGGGCGAAGGTTTTAATCGGAAATTCAGAATGGCTACCCGATCTCAGGCGGAACCAAATTTTCTTTTTCTTTTTCTTAATTCATAACAGGCTCACGTTCTCAAAACTGTATCCATATGCGTTGGGTGATAAAAGATGATGCTTGTTCGTTGTGATATGACAAACACCAAGGCCGTAAATGAGTTGTGTCATGAGAGTTGTCTGCTAGAATTGGACACCCAATTGCCCATTCGTACGCGAGCACTGAGGCTTGGCCTTACAACGAGTTGCGACGCGTTTCGGTCATTCGGCATAAATATTGCACCGAATAGGCATTCGTTTGGAGAAATCTGCCCAAGGAAGCGGGGTGCAGGATGGCATTTCCAAGTCGGCAGCGAGAATCTTCAGTTCGACGACATATCAGAGCTGCTTGTGTGCGTACCCAGAATTGTACGCCGGCTTTCTGCCAAGACTTATCCTCTTCTTAGCCATGTCGGACAATGATGCTCTAGTCGTGTTGCGCGCCTACAACATTGACGGTTATCCTGCCCCGAACCGGTGCGAGATGTGCAATACTTCCCTTCCCGATATAGATTCCCGGCGCAAGCACATGGCGGAAACTTGGCACCGAGCCTGCCGAATATGTGAAGGATATGTACCGGTTGGTGGCTACTACGGGCACTGCGAGGAGAGACATGGGCAGGACAAATGGAACGACCACCAGATTGCCTATCAGGACAGCCAGGATACTTGTGTTGCGCAGTCCTGGTCAATGGCGGAGAGGCGGAAGGAGCGGGATGAGTACTTTGAGCAAGAACGGAAGAAGTGGTTGGCTGAGGTCATGAAAATGCCCTGGGACATGGAAACGGAGAAGGAAGGGAGCAGTGCAGCCGGACCAAGCGGAAAAGGGGACAAGATCCAATCACAACAGGGTGCATAAATGATTTGTTTTGGGTGCCAAGAGATGTGGGAATCGTTGAATTGCTGCCACCGTGTGCGGCATCTTCGTGTTGATGGAGAAATGAAGGAGTCCCGTTTCTCGTCACTTGGGATGAGGGGGCCACAGATGATAGATGGTCCTGGAGGAGTTCCGGTTAGTCAAAAATGGTTTTCTACCACAAATAAGCGGGTAAACAGGCCAAGATTGCTTGGTGGCTCACTAGGTTTCATTGTGCTCTGTAGTTCGGCGGTGTTGGGCAGGCAGGGCCGTTTTCGGTTCATTTTATCTGGTACAGTTTATATTGCCTAGACTAAGATTTATGCAGTTCGACGCGGGGCAACCCCCACGGCACGACCAGGGGATCAACGGGCCTAGTGATCGTCTTGAAACAGCACGGTATTTGTCAGACGACTCAGTCTGTGATGCCCGCTCCTATTTCCCTAGAGCCAACGACTCGGCGCGCGGGCTAGAACCTTACCGCATCGTTAATGACCGCGCTCATGAGTACAACAGATAAGCTGCCACCGCTCTACACCGCCCTCCCGGGCTCAAACGCGACATTGCGGGCAGGAGCATGGAGGAGAATGTTACGACGTCGCTCGTATGAACTGCGTGTCATCGGGGTAGCATGCCTTATATACATCGCCTACGTCCAATGGAGGATAATTTCGATCCCATCAAGCACGCTTAGTCCTGAGATCACTGTTCATGGACTCTCTACCAAGCGGCTCGAAGAAGATCTCGCGACCTGTGCCAAGTTGCATACCAAGCCCGCTGACCCAATCGGGTTCGGCCGCAAGAGAAACGCTCGCTATATTGATGGTCAAAAACCTACTCTCATCGTCAATGCTACAGTCTGGGTCGGTGAGCCCGTGAATGGAGCTGCGGCGGCAGCGACCGGCGAGGAATACGTATGGATCAAGGCCGATGTCTTCCTCGAGCACGGGCTCATCCAGCGAGTAGACGGTAGCATCGACTTGGCCGACTTGCCTAGCGATGTTCTGGTCTACAATGCAGCTGGCCGACCTCTCACTAGCGGCATCATCGATATGCATAGCCATGTTGGAGTGCATGCCCTGCCTACGATACATTCCAACGACGATACCAGCGAATTATCCGCCAATATCACCCCGTTTGTGCGGTCTATCGACGGCATCCAGCCAACAGATCACCAAATACAGGTAATCAAGTCAGGAGGAGTAACTACGTCGCTGGTTTTGCCAGGGTCCAGCAATAACATCGGCGGGGAGGCTTATGTGATCAAACATGCCGTTGGGCGCGCTGATGGCCGCAACGAGACGAGCATTGTCGATATGCTCGCAGATCCTGATCGTGCGTGGAGGTACATGAAGATGGCATGCGGCGAGAATGCCAAACATGTACATGGCAAGATCGGAGAACGTGGTCCGATGAGTCGCTTGGGTGAGAGCTGGGAATTTCGTCAAACCTTCGAGCATGCCACCAAATTGATGCGGCAGCAGGATGACTGGTGTGCGGCCGCGAGCCTAGGACTCGGCAATATTAAAACGCACCTCCCAGTCGAACTCAAGTGGGAGGCTCTCATAGCTGTCCTAAGGGGCCAAGTCCACGTCCACACGCACTGCTACACCATCAAAGACCTAGAGGCCTTCGTCGACCATAGTAACGAGTTTCAGTTCCCAATTCGCGCATTCCATCATGCCCATCAGGCGTATCTTGTTCCAGAGGTGGGTGAGTGACGGTGAGGCGTTTAGCACGGATGGTCCTAATACAAACTCAAATTAGGTTCTGAAACGAACATGGGGTGATGATCCGCCCGCTGCCGCACTCTTTGCAGATAACATGTGGTATAAAGCCGAAGCCCACATCGGCTCCGAGTACGCGGGGAAATATCTAAATGACCATGGGCTAGTTCCTATCTACGTCAGCGATAACCCAGTTCTCAATGCCCAACACCTCATCTTCGAGGCAGCCAAAGCCTATCGATATGGACTACCTTATCACGTTGCTATTGCATCGGTTACGAGCGCCCCTGCAGAGAGGCTGGGTCTTGGGCGACGTCTAGGTAAGGTCAAGCCCGGATTTGATGCAGACATTGTCGTGTGGGACGATGATCCGCTTAGAGTCGGGACGAACCCGGTCCAGGTTTGGGTTGATGGGACCGCCCAGTATGAAGACCCAGTGGAGCTTAACAAGCCATTCAGGGGGACACTCATCCCGAATCAAAGATTGGCAGACATCGCTGAAACTGCAGTTCCTGTAAGCGTGGATATGGTGTTTACCGGCATTTCGAAGATCTTGGCTCCAAGTCTATACGCCGGACCTGACGACAGCGAGACATTCTCAGTGGCAGTTTCCAGAGGCAAGATTACTTGTGTCGGTCGTTGTGACAAGGAAGTGGCTGCTGTTGGTGAATCCGTCGTCCACATCCAAAATGGTCATCTAACGCCTGCGTTCACGGCTTTCGGCTCTACACTGGGACTTAACGAAATCGATTCAGAGGCGGTAACCGACAACGGCGCAGACGGTACGGCCTTTAGCCGAGGTGTCGATGGCCTTGCTCTGAACACTACAAAACTACTGGTGGCCCGACGGTACGGCGTAACGCGAGCTATCTCGGCGCCCAAGTTTACCGTCGGCGGCACCCATCATGGGACTAGTGTTGGTTTTCTCACAGCCGCAACGACCGCCCTCGATAAAGGAGCCGTGTTTAACCGCGATGTTGCCCTCCACTACACCCTCGACTTGTCTGTTAAAGGAGTCGGAAACACGCCTTCGATGTCTTCTGCCGTTGGGGAATTACGTGACAAGCTGCTCCAGGCCGTTGAGTCGCGAAACAATAGTCCCCTTGTGACCCTGCGCTACTCGGAGCCGGCGTTCCTCCAGAAGGTCGTTGCCGGTAAGATGGCACTCGCTATAACGGTTCATAGCGCTGATACCATCTCTTCTCTGTTGGATGTTAAGACGTCCGTTGACGAGGCTATTTCTATCTTCGGAGGTGACGTGAAAATTCGCTTGGTCATAATTGGCGGAGCTGAAGCACACCTAGTTGCACGAAATCTTGCAGAGGCGGGAGTAGGAGTCGTTTTGGCTCCGATGCAATCGTACGCCGTTTCTTGGGATCAAAGGAGGGCCCTTCCGGGTGCTCCACTGACAAATACGACTGCCGTTGATGTCCTTGTGGATTCTGGAGTGGTAACAGCTGTTGGGCTGGAGGAGGACTGGATAGTCCGGGATCTTGGGCTTTTAGCCGGTGTTGCCTACCAAAACAGTGAAGGTAGACTGGATGAAAGGGGAGCAGTAGACTTAATCAGTCGGAATGTATACACGATGTTGGGCTTGGAAGAGCCTGGGTGGGATGACCATTTCGTCATCTACGAGGGTAGCCCATTTGAAATCGATTCCAAAATCAGAGTGGTAGGCGATGGGACCGGCCAGGTACATATCTCTTGAAGTACCAGGTATAAATTCACGTCCACTACCGAATACGTTGGTTGCCACGGCATATTTCCTGAGATTGAAAGAAAATGCTTACTGGCATGCGTCACCATTCGACAGGTGACTTTTGTATCATGAACCTGAGATCTGATATCACGTATGATAGTGCTGGACAGAAAAGTACCCTTCAGGAGCGAATCTTGACTGTGTTCAAATCTGGCCTATGTAAGGTAACGACTGTGTGAACCAGCGCCCGTCCACATCCCTAGCTAGGATCCCTTTTCAGGATCAAAAATCAGAGTTACTGTACCCTTTTTGTTCCCTTAGGCAGCGGCCATGACAGGGTTGGAAGCTTCCTTGACTGGCTCCGCTGCAACCGGCACGACCTCGTCCTCATCCATTCCACCAAATAGCATAGACTTGGGAGCCAAAGCCTGAGCCTCAGGCGTGGCCTTGAAAGCCATGAACTTCTCGTCGTGCCACTGGCCGGCCGAGATGTATCTGCCCTCGCTGTCGGTGAACATGGTGTCGTTCTCGGCCCTGAGGAAGTACGCGATCGAATATCGGTGCTCGGTTGGGTCATACGGAACAACTCTGTGAATGCACGCCTTCATCGTGTGTCCGCTGGCGAACCTGAGCGAGTCGCCGACGTTAACGACGACGCTGCCCTCCTTGGGAGGGACGAAACCGAACTGGCGAGTGCCAGGGGGGCGGATCTGAAGACCCCACTGCTCGGCAAAGAGAAGGGTCAAAGAGCTGATGTCGGTGTGCTTCTGGTGGCCAATGTTCTTGTCGTGTTCGGGATTGGAGGGGATATAATGCATCATGGCAAGGGTGGTGGTGGAAGGACGGTCGTTTCGGTGCCTGTTCTCGAAACGGTCCTCACCCGAAAGGCCGAGACCGGTGGACAAGGCAGATAGGACGGCTTTTGAAACAATGTTGCAGCTGGCAATGGTATTCTCCAAGGTCTTGAGGTCTGCACTGTCCTTGAGGACATCCGGGACATGCGGCTTCGCCTTTTGGATCTCGTCTCGAGATACCTGCAGAACAACTGCTTGTAAGAATAGGCCGCCTACCGGCTACCGAAGTCAAGCGTTTATTTTTTGTTGCGGCTCACCTTGACCATCTCGTAACCGTCCCTTGTGCCCTTCAGGACGCCGTTGCGGGAGCCAATTGGCTCAAAGCTACTGGTGTCAGGGTGTCCAATGCTCAACTTGGTTGGTGACGGGGCCATTTTTAGTGCTTACCCGAGATGCGGAGAAACGAGACCGAACTGATTTTTAGCCTCAAGAGGCTGGTCGAAGAATCGATACATGACGTCAAGAGTTGACTGAGAGTCCTCGAGAGCTCTCTTTCCGTCGATGCCCTGCAGGTCAAGATAGAAATATCCTTCGTCCTGGCAGCATCGAACAAGTCTCTGGAGCTCGTCCGGCTCTTGGGACAGGAGCTTCCCAAAGTCGATCGTTTCCATGTCGTACACGGGGACTTGCTGCCCGGCCCACTCAACAGTCTTGAGGATCTTTGCCGCCATGGTCTCTTAGTGTCTACTGGGAGGTTGATTATGGTAATTTTACCGTGATTCACTTCAACGATTTTTCGAATCAACAAGGATTTTCGAGTCGACTGAAGGCTATTTTCCACGTCTCGCTCTCCTGCGGTCTGCTGGTCACAATTATATACTTTAGTGGTTCGGTTCAGTGTGTGTTCCAGACACGTCTGGCCTCCGATTACGGGGAATGTCAATTCAGTTCCTCTTCCTACTTTACCTTTCCCCGCATGATGTGCTTCACCATCTCCGCTTCTTGGCCTGTTTATCCTGATAATTGGGCCCAAGGAGGAGGGCCATCACATTTCGGTATCATTACTTCTAAGTAGCTCACCCTGAGAACCGGTAGCGGTTGTAGATATGGGCCGAGATGGGGGGATGCAGATGCACCATCACGGCTTGACTCGATATGTCAGCTTTTCTCTCTGCCGGCAGATTGATTTCTAGATGCCTTGAAGGCTCCTGTTGTATATGGTGAGGGGTCGTTCCGATAAGTTCTTGGTTCTACCAGTCTATCATCTTGACGCGGCAGATATGAGCAGGTTTTCAAACCTCGGTGTCCAACGAGCTGGAGGCCACACCATTACGTATCCGATATGATATGTATGTTTCATTCGTCATTCGTCCTTGGCATCTGCCATCTTGTTAGTAATGTGATTGATGTTGTGGCTCAGACAAGACCAAGGCCGAGGAGACGAGGAATCGATAGCATATATTGCAGATGCTAATGCGTGATATAGTGCTATGGGCACGACTCCACGAGTGACCGACGACATCGCTTGAGCGTAGAGCCGTGACAGATGCGGTTCAATATCCACCCTTGATGCATGCACCTGGTTGCAGTTACGCTATGGCCAAGATCGGTGATCACCCCCGCAATTCATTCGCTCGTTTGGGGTCTAGCTTCCTGCATGGACTAACTGCCGAAGAGTTTAAATGTATTCCTTAAGTCTGCTCCCGTTAGATCCGAGTTCTTCGACGAAACAGGGGAGAACAATGAGAATAAACTGAAGCTGTAGCTGTAACTGTAACTGTCGCTACGACGACATACTACCGAAGTGCCCAAGATTCGTGTTAACCGTTTCTCTTCTCCTTCCTCTGTTTCCACCCCCCTTACAATGTTGTGGATGAGCACCCATCTTAGACATGGGATGATTTTCATGGGTCGAAAGCATTTATTACCGATAAGTGAAGCCGAGTGGAACTACCGAGAACGTCTCAGGGATGAAAAATGCAAGAAAAACCTTGTCCCGTGATCTCTACGCACCCATGCCGTACTCACAGGTTCGCGCGATTGTTCCACCGAGAAACTGCGTCTGCATGTTGATCGTTCCTATTTTAGGGGCCTTTTGCAACGGCACTCGTGCTCCGGATTTCGCACGCAGTTAAACCACCCCCACGGCGCGCGAGTAAAGTAAGTGCGGGGGTTTTGCAGGCGGGGTTTCGATTCAATTCAGGCTGCAGGAGCTTCGGACGGGTTGAGTGCAGATTTAAGCAAAGCTGAGCGACTCTGTGCCTCCGATCCGCGGGGAAGAACATCACCTGGACTTGAACATCTGAATGAGAAAAGGGTATTTTGTGCTGTCGTGGCTGATGCATATCATTAGGAATAACCCAACTGTCAAAGTCAACGCAAAGTCACCATGGCCACCTCAGCTGTAGCGACGGAAGTCCAACAAGACCGCGGAGTAGGCTTGGCACTGAAAGATGGACCTATCCAGAACCATGTTGCCACGTCGCTCAACTACTACAACGATCCAGGAGACGGCTCCTCACCAGAGCCGGTCTACGTAAAGACGTAAGACATGAGTCCTTAACTAATCCCAGAAAACGTCTCCATAGTTGCACTTGTATCCACTAACAATCGTTTCTTCTCAACGAAAGAACTACAGTCACAAATAAGAGAGCCACGGTTGCCGTTCCGGTCATCGTGACGGACATCACAGGCCAAGAGGAGGACTTCACCTTGGATAGCCACGGATTTCAGCTCGTCCGTCATGAAGTCAAGGCTAGGTGCCAAAAAGATGGATACAAGGATGAGGCTCAAATAGAAGCTGAATACTACCCGGAGATGGAACAGCTCCTAAAAGACGTGTAAGTTTTTTTTCACCGCATCACTACCACCAAATGGGGATAGGGCCCCCTTTCTAACTTTAGCAGTACTGGTGCCTCGCGTGTGTTCATCTTTGACCACAAGACTCGGCATGGACCGACAAACTGGCATAGTCTCGGGGCCGGGAACCAGGCCCTTCGCGGTCCCATTCTTCGTGCGCACGTGGATCAATCCTATGCTGGCGCCGAATTGGATTTAAAATGGCATCTGCCTGATGAGGCAGATGAGCTCCTCCAGCGCCGATGGCAAATCATAAATGTAGGTAGTTTGCTCTTCAGGCTACCGTTCGAGTTTCTCTCAAGACGTGTTAACAAGTTTTTGGCACCATCATTGGGGGCCATTCCCACCACATAGGCATGGAGACCCATCAAGACCATATACAAAGATCCATTCGCAGTGGCCGATTCAAATACCGTCGCAGAAGAAGACCTAGTCGCCGCAAGAATCATATACGAAGACCACGAGCGGGAAACCTGGACCGTGAAGCCCTCGCCAGCACACAGATGGTATTTTAAATATGCACAGCAGCCAGACGAGGTTCTACTCATCAAATGCTATGATTCGCTGCATGGAGTCGCCCGTCGAGCGGCACACTCGGCCTTCCAGAACCCGCAACATGTCGACGGCGCGTGGAGAGAGAGCATTGAGATAAGGACAATGGTCTTTTACGACGATGGGAGGGTTTGAATAGTGAAGGGAGGTGGATAAAGAGAGGACTTTTAATGGGTATCTTAAATCTAGAGCAAGGAACACCAGCCATAAATCACCAACTGAGCGTAAAACTGTCTTCGATAGCTATTTTTTCGTTTCTCACGTTTTCTGTCTGTCCTCTCTCTCTCTCTCTCCCGCTACTCTAAGCGCAACGGTAACGCTAATCACGCAGCAGCCGGTAGGTTGGTTCATCTTCGTCACGACACGCCTATTCAGTATACGCCACTCCTTGTCTTCATTTTTTTTTTTTTTAAAAAAAAAAAGCTACTACACTAACAGGCATAACTTCTCTGGCGGCAGTGTTAGCAAAGCTTAGCCATTGGAGGGCGAGTTGCAGCAACTGCTCGAGCCACCTGAACAGGGCATCGTGAATAGAGCTGGAAGAAGGACGTTAAACCTTGGCTTGTTTTACTCTTCTCTTTCAACCTGGTGCAACAAGAGATATGTACAAGAGAATACATCGTCGGCATGGCCGCTTTCAGTTTACCATCCGATAAATCTAGCCTCTTGATGCCAGTCGGCGGGCTGTAAGCGCTCGTTGGAAAACATCAATAACGAAGTCTACGTTGCATCTATCTATTGCATAGCCTTCAGACAACCCCATAATAGTCAAATTTGCCGGGCGGTGGGTCAGCAGTTTTCTTCCTCCATTGAGGCCAATTGCCAGACGAGGATTCTTGTCGTGCAGGACGGCTTTTCTTGTGATTTGATGGAGATGGACCAGCCCAAGCAAGAGCTTAGAAATATCATTTCAGTCTTGAGCGGGCATTATTACAGCCATGAACAGAAAATTATTTTCGAGCACTGTTTTAAAGCCCGGATACGCCGAGCTGATTAAAGAAGTCAAATCCTAGAAACTCTTCGAAAGACATATCCGGATCCGCCATAATGCCAATTGAAGGGGCCTCTCTATGTGGACTCGGGTGTTTGGTGCCGATTTCTGCCGAATCAGGACCCTTACAACTGGATACACCAACAAGGGTTCTTGAGTTGCTCGTTTCTTTAGAGATGCTCCCAGGCTGGTCGAGAAGTTCTGCCAAGCCCTTTTGAATAAGGACACGCTCGAAGAGATACAGCGTCCGTTCGACTGTGGGAAGGTCGCGGACTTCTCTCATAAACATGATGCTCCGCCGTATAAAAGCATGAGTCATGAATGTATTTACGTGAGAATCGTGTTCTTCCACACTTGACTCAAGCCGAATGGCAAGGACGGTAAAAAGGCAGCCAGCACTGAAAAACGTTAGTTAGTGATGGGGACTAGAGTATTCAGAGAGGGCGTAGTCATACAAAGTGAGGGGAAGCATTTTCACCATTCCGTCCGTTATTGCCCTTCCGACAAGCGTATCCAGCTCGAACATGGAAGTCTGGAGACGTTGGGCCAACCATGCAGTTGAGATTCTTTCTTCATCCCGTGATTTCTTCAACACAGCACGGTAAAGTATACACTCGAACCGACAGCTCGTGGCGGCAAGGATCATAGGGAGGATATTATCACGTACATCATCTGGGTACTGCTGGATCCGCATTATGTCGGGGAGAGATGAGCGCCAGGAAACAAACTGATCGGCTAGCTCTTTACGATTTCCAGTTCGCCGACTTTTCATCGACGTGAGACATCTTTCGCCTGTTGAATAAGGTCAGCAAACTTTGAAAGCTTTTATTCGCCGTTTCTATCCCTTACCAATCAAAGACAACTTGCTGAGCTCGATCATGTATAGTTTCTGCTGTCGCGTAATGGGCGAGAATAAGTGCATGTATGAAGTTGTGGAGCCGGCCTCATCCCAATCATCTTCTGTTAAGAGTCCAGTCACACAGTCACTACTGTCAAACATCCTCATGTTCCTCAGGCCCGTGAGAGACATCGATATGTCGCGAACCTTGAAGGAATAGTTTAGTCGAAATTGGAACCAGCTCGTCAAGAGCCCGGAACGTAGACTCACATATAATGCCCACCATATCCGTCGGCACAGTTTCCGAGTTTGTGAATCGATATCATTCGAAATATTGCTGTAAGGGCAGGAACTTGTAGTTAGCCGTGAATCTTCGGAAGATCAGAGTAACACACGCACTTTTGATGTAGGCCCATGTTCACGGCGATCCGCCCTGCATTTTCGAGCCAGTACCGAAAGTCCTTGTCTAGGGGAATAGAAAAAGCGACGGTACCAAGGATAAGAGAGCTCTGGAGTATCCTCAATTGGCTTTTTTCATATCCCAAGTCATACAAGAGACCCGCTCGGTTAAGAAACTCCCTCTGAGCCGTCACTCGGTTCTCGAAACCACAATTTTTGAGGAGCTCCAGGGGCGCAAACTGGGCAGCACATGCGAATATCGCTTGCATCAAGAGCGGTGGTGCGTTTTCTCTTCCGTACAATTTGGCAAACTCGAGTCGATCGAATACCGGCGCATAAGGGTAGCATGACTCAAAGTATACCTTTACCAACTGATCGCTATCCACAGTAAGATGTTATTATCATCTGTCTGCTTGTAGGGCAGTGCAGTGCTTGTCAGGAAAAAGAGACGTACCGAAAAGGCTTAGGCGGAAGTGCAAAGGCTCCCTTTTTGTCAAGGAACGCGAGCTCGATATCGTCTAAAGGCGGTCGTCCAGTTTCCTCCATAGTCTGACCTCGCCTCCTCCCCAAGTCACCTCCATGGACCAGAGGATGGGCCTTTGTAAGACGACGTATCTCCGTGTCGCCAATGAGGCCCCCCAAAACGGTGAAATAGTGCATGCTACTGGGGTACTCAATGAGGTCCTTGCTTGGCCCGGACACGGTGATTACGTCCTCCGAAAGAGGCGGTGCTGGGAGAACTGTAGGTACATCATATTGCCCTTGCAAAACACTTTGCCGCTCTTCGGCAGTTTCGGCCCCAATTAAGGTGGAATTCTGGAATTGGGTTCATTTCACTGTTAACATATTCTCACGATCTTGGTGTCTCCTGGCAGCTTCTGGTAAGTTTGAGGCTTACCTGCGAATTGTCCAATGGAACGAAGTGGGAAAAGGCTTCTGAGGGGGATTCACTGGGCGATAGAACTTGGTTTTGCGAGACAGAAGAGGTTCTCTGATGTATCCCTCGCCGCCGACTAGACTCGAGAGTAAGTAAGCCGTCTGTGAGAATGGTAAACGGAACGAATGATGATCGTCCTACGTTCTGGGTTTCCTGCTGACGCGCACGCAACGATCAACACAGTTGCGCTCCACGCATCTACGACAAGGTAATCCCGTCTCTGCAGCATCACAGCGGACCTTCCGACTATGACATGGCACACAAGCCTTACTCAATGTCATTGTCTTCCAGATCGGAGCGTCAGGCGTGGAGCGGTGTTTGAGGTGGGATGTTCCCGAGAAGAACCAATTGCTCGGGAATAACGCAGTCAAAGTTCCGGATGGAGACGCAGGATTTTATCGGGATTATGTCTCGGCTTTTCGGGCTTTCGTGGCGGCACGATTTCCCCAGACTTCGGCTTCAATCCGCAAGGCGCTAACCGAATATGGACATGCTCCGTTGGAAACCGCATCCCTAAGCAATGCAGCAACACAGACGTCAATCCCAGCAGCACTGGCAGACAAATAATTGTTCTGTATCTTCCCCTCCTTGTCCATCTTCTTGCAGAAATATTCCGTAGTGTTGACTAGGCAAAGCCTTCTGTTGGCTAAGCTAAACGCCGAAAGGCCGATGTTCGAATTCAAATATCGACGGAAGAACCGAGGTGTCCATTATGAAATGGGTATCTTTGAAGACTGCTTGCAAATGTCATAATTCTTTTACGTTAAAAGTGCTCTCCCCGAGATTGCGTATCTTGTCGCCTTAACTCCCTACGGTTTAACCTCGAGCTACTCGGAAGATGGAGAAGCTGTCAGGAATTACACGCGGAGCAGAACTGGAAGCCGAAGAAGAGCCAAAGTCTATTCCGTATTGGAGAGTTCTTCTCGACCATAGCGCAATCACACAGGAGGTACGAAATTGGCCATACGAAGGCAGTGGAACCGCAGACGACCCCTTCATTGTCGACTGGATCGAAAATGACCCCAGAAACCCAATGAACCTTCCGGTGCTAGCCAAGTGGACATTGGTGATCATACTCTCGTTTAGCACCATGGCAGTATCACTGGTCTCCTCCGGCTATGTCGGTGCATTGCCGCAAATTATAGAGGAATTTGAGGTGAGCGATATCACGGCTATCCTGGGAGTATCGCTGTATGTTCTCGGCTTTGCTCTAGGTCCTATATTATGGGCTCCATTCAGCGAAGTCTATGGTCGGCAGCAGGTCTTGTTCTTCACTTATGGCGCCATGACTTTCTTTAACGTGGGGGCCATCTTCTCTCAAAACATGGAAACTCTCCTGATCATGCGGTTGTTTGCGGGAACATTCGGGGCCTCTCCTTTGACAAACACCGGGGGCGTTATCGCGGATACCTTCCCTGCGTCAGAGCGTGGAATGGCTGTGAACCTCTTCGCGATCGCCCCATTCATGGGACCAGCATTAGGCCCTATTGTTGGTGGATTCCTGGGCGAGTCCGACGGCTGGAGATGGGTGTTGATTCTCATGGCCGTCTTCTGTGCTCTGTGTTGGGGTTTGTGCACACTTCTAGTGCCTGAAACCTTCGCTCCCATCCTATTGCGTAAGCGGGCAGACAGGCTCAGTCGAGACACTGGAAAGGTCTATGTCTGCCACTTTGATATCGCCAAAGGTCGGCCGGGCCTGATCGAGGACCTCAAAATCTCCGTGACGCGGCCGTGGCTACTTCTATTCCGGGAGCCCATCGTTCTTATTCTGACAATCTACATGTCGATTGTTTACGGTGAGTATACCCATCACGGAGGGATACTCCTTGCTAAACGCGCGCCAGGAACAAAGCTAACATTTGTGCAACAGGAACCCTCTACTTACTTTTTGCTGCCTTCCCCTTTGTTTACCAGAAAGCTCGCGGATGGGACCAAGGATTCACTGGACTCGCCTTCATGGGGGTCCTCGTCGGCTTGGTGGCTGGAGTCATCTACAATATCCTCGATAACTCTCGCTACACTCGCCTCCTCGAGCAGTCCGGCAGGCCCCTTCCAGAATCTCGCCTACCCCCAATGATGATTGGTGCCGTGGCTCTGCCAGTAGGTTTATTCTGGTTTGCCTGGGCGAATTCCCCATCGATTCATTGGATGTCCAGCATCGCAGCCGGAGCACTTTTCGGTTTTGCATTCGCTCTCGTGTTCGTTTCTGGGAAAAATTATCTCGTCGACTCCTACACCCTCTTTTCTGCTTCGGCAGTGGCTTCTACGGTCATAATAAGATCATTATGCGCGATGGCATTCCCGTTATTTACGCCTTACATGTATCAGAACCTAGGAATCCACTGGGCCAGCTCAATACCGGCCTTCTTATCCCTTTTGTGTGCACCTTTCCCATTTTTGTTTTACAAATACGGACCATCGATCAGAAAGCGATGCAAATATTCAAAGGAGGCTCAGCTCTTCCTTGAACGAGGCGGTCTGCAATCCAGCGGAGAGGAGTGCTCCATGTCTGAGAATGATGACACCGAGACACCACGAAAAAGGCCTTCGGAACAGGTAGAGATGGCATAGTAGGCGGGGATAAAGGCGGATAGGAGAATGCATGGGGCTGTGCTATGTGTGCTAGGGTATATTGGTGAAGCGAGGGGCTCTTCCATATTGGGTCCACCTTCCCCGACCTACTCGTCACGTTGTGTTCACCCGGATATTCTGAAAATTAACGGAGATAGAGAAAAGAAATAGAACTTTGATTTGTACGTCATACTCTAGTCCATGCTCTAGTCTACAAGGAACATAGCGATGACTTGTCGACGAGCACCCAACCCTCCCTGATCGAGCTATCCGCATCAAGCGATTCAATCTCACCTAAGGGCTTCTTCCTATCATTTCCATCTCCAGGGCGGGGATATTTAACTATGTGCTCCACCGCCCAAATCAGAGCTTTATCCAAAACTGGGGGTATTCTGCCTTCGCCTTTGAGTGTCCCCAACCCGGCAATTCTAAAGAGTCGTTCTAGATACTCGAACGTCTCCCCTGTATCCCAGGCAATGTCGTGAAACTTTAGTCTTTGAGCTCTGGTGCGTTCCTCTCTTTCCTTTTCCCATCTCACTTGCTCCTCCAATGGTGGCAGTGGGGTGGCATTCCTTCCCGAGAATAGTCTTGCCAGGGCAATGCTTTGATACTCGAAGCTCCGAAATGTGAGCGCACGAGGCAAACCCACAATTCCAAGCGTAGGGAAGTCCTGGAAAAAGCTATGCCAGTAGCTCTTGATCAGCTTTCCAGCCCTGTAGTCGTAGAGTGGGCGTCCATTAGCCTCCACGTCCCAGAACGGGTAAGACGGTTTATATCCGGTGCAGTAAATGACGGTATCAACGCCATCCAGATATGTACCGTCGTCAAACACAATGCGGCCGTTCGGGAGATACTCCTTCACGATGGGTTTCCACTCGATTCCCTTGGGCGGCTCGTCCCCGTCCCACCTGGATTTGGACCTTCGCGATTGATAAAGTGGCGACTTGGCGTATGCCACCAGTTCGCTGGACAGATCGTGACCCGAAGCGGAATTTCCGATAATCAGAATCTTCTTATCAGTGTAGATACGCGGTTCGCGGTAAAGTTTTGAGTGAACAACACGACCAGGGAACTTCTCCAAGTATTTTTCCAGTCCCGCGACGGAGGGTATCTATGGACGTCAGCTCACTCAGCCTAAAACGCGCCATTTGAAGAAACGGCAAGATGCTGGGAAAGAGTTTCACGCACATAGGGAATTGAATAATGTCCATTTGCAAGAATCACGGCGTCGAACTCTTCTTCCCACCAGATGTCGACATGTGTGGCGGGTTCATATTTGCGCAAGACCAATCTCCACCTATCCTCCCCGCCTTTCGATGAAGGCTGGATTCTCGTCAGCTTCTCAACGGTAGTGTTGAGTACCAAATACGAGTCCGTCTTGTGGATAGAGAAATAGTTTTCGATGTATTGTCGGGGTACCCAGTAGGGAGCAAAGGGTCCGTATGCGAACCTGGCATCCGAAAAGGACATGGCTATATCGGGCACATTCGTGCTGCCTTTGCTGTTAGCCGCTTGGGAGGAAAGTCCAAGGTGAACGGAGATTTTTTTCCACGCCCTACGTTAGAGATTTGTAAATCGGCGTTGAGGAGAACCGTTCTTGGCGGTTCGGGGGGGTGGTTCGTGGTAGGCTCTCGGGGATAGACAGAGGCGGGTCGATATCCGGAGGCAAGCCTCCTGGCCGAGGAGGGGGGGCTTTTCTGGGATCCGCATCGTAGATCCTTCAAAGTTCAATGCTCTGTTAGCCGATCGCCTTGGTCGATGCGAAGGGCGAGATAGCCGAGTCGACTTGCCATGTCCCGCCTGGCGTCTCTCGCCTCTCAAACACCCGGATCCGTTCAAAATAGTTTTCCGCCTTGAATGCTGCCGCCGTGATGGCGCCTATCGTAGTCACATCTTAGATTGTACGTTCAAGACAGCTCGCCGTCGTCTTTACAATACCTGCGGCCCCGGCACCAATGATGGCTACAGATTTTATACTCATTTTCCCTGAGTATTGCCAATGTCGTTACAAAAGCTTCGAGGTGTACAATTCATCCTGATGGCTTGGTCTTCTCCGAACAATCCGGGTACCGCCGGACAGCAGGTAGGAATCGGTCATTCGCCATCGCCATCGGATATTTCACCATCACCGCGTCACGTGTAGCCGCAAACGTGGCCGAAAACTGTGAGTGAATGGACGACAGGCCCTTTTTTTTTTTTTTTTTTTTTTATCTTTTGTCTATGAAATCGTTTTGTAAGTGAGTCCTTACGCCATTTTATTAGAGTCAATGTACAAGATCCACTTCCCCCATATTTGTCCTACTGTCATGCTCAATATTCTCACGTCTTGACACACCGCCCAACACGAACTCTTCGAGGCTCGGAATGATCAAAAAATCTAGATCGAGAAGCCCTATGGAAGAATAAGGGGAAGGGAAGCAAAAAAAACACTCGTGGGAAAGAGAGAGTAGTGTGGACGCAGCTAGAACATGATCTGCAAGCTTAATAAAGGGCTACTCGCGCCTACTAACAGTTCTCCCGAGTACACGAAGCTAGGTGATCCATGCTTTCATATATTTCGAACGAGAATATATATCCACTTCAGGGATTCTGGCACTGACCCATACTGAATCTAGCACCTTATTAGGAAGCCCTTTGCCGAGCTACTGTCTCTCCAAGTTTGACGCTTACCATATCTCTGACATGGGTTCACTATATCCTCGTCATCACCGTGAAGTATCTTGCATTCGATAATCTCATCCTAGCGTAAATATCTCTCGCGTCATAATAGATATGTGTTCGTAATTTTTGGCCCTGACCGGAGGCTCGTCACGCGTTTCGTCGAGCTGGATATTCAAAGGTCCCAGGGCCAGAAGCAATGACCCTCCGAAGTCGGAGACCATGATTTGTAGTTGTCGAATAACAGAGGGTTCCGCACAGGATAATCCGCCCATACGATCCGTTTACCGTATAGGTCGGACGCACCTTCGGCGAAGTCGGGCACCATCATTCACCGGCTTTCTTCCTTGGACACACCGTAATGAACTCCCTCAATCACCTCACTCCCGTTCTAGCCTGAGTAAGATTACGTGGGTGGTGGTGGCGTGATCCACGACCTTCAGTCCGAATGGCATGGTGACGAGGGATTAGTGCCCCAAACCGTCTGAGATTCCGACCTCACACTTGGCACTTCGGCCAGCGGCGATTGGAAGACGTTCGTATTTAATGCCGCCTTCCCAGACGGAGAGTCCTTTCAGCTCCGTTCCTTTTTGGTTGTCGTATTCCGTATAGGTAATGTCACAGTTGACCTGCCAGAGCCTCGGCTTTGTTGGTGAATGGGTTCACGTGCAGCCGTGCTTTACTGCGGTCATAGATGGCGTTTGCTTCCCTCGAGAGGTGTCTCCGAGATAAGCCACGTGTGAAGCCGGTCATGATTCATTTTCCACGTCTCATACTCCAGCCATTTGAGGGAGGTATTCGTTCTATGCTTGTGCCCTCTTCAGTTTCATTATAGTATTCTACTGCCCTTTCACGAAGTTTGGAAGAGAGAACAAAGGAAAACGGATAAACGAGAGGTGCGAGTTACACTGGAAAGAGGACATGAGCAGGTTTAACTAAAGCAGCACATCATCAGAATAGTACTGCGTATTTGTGAGTCCAGGCAAGACGTGCCTCGCCTGAGATACTCATATTACCTTGGACAACCTCCCGGGCATGGAAATGGAGGAGAGTTTTAGCCATTGATGTATCGGAGGATCCCCGATCGGCACTCGGCATTCGGAGCTAGAGCCAAGCAGAACTGCCGGAGAGCGTAACCGGACCAATTTGGACAAAGGGGTCCACACTTCCCCGCAACCCATGTGTGCCAAGGTCGTATTCGCAGTACAGGTAAGGCAAGGATCAGGGATAAAGTGGTCTCGAGCCCACGACCCAACAGCAAAGCTCAACCGATTTCTAAGCAAATTGGGTGGGAAGAAATTTTCTGGACGTCCTTGTTTCTCCCCAGCGCAGTTAAAGGTCCTAAAGGTCGCTGTAACACCAAGTTTTCGCTTTGGAGGCGGTCTTATATGAATGGAACAGCCTATAGCCTATATTGCACTGCTGCGTCGGTTACCAACGAAGAACGGCCCATGACAGCTAATGGCATTTTGTAACAGCAGTCCTAAGGGTGGATTGTTGGTTTAGCATCCGTCATGGGGGAGGACGAGGAAAAGAAAGCCGTCCCGGCCGAGCCACGACCCTCTGATGATGTCGAGATCACACCCATTCCCGAGGTTTTCAGCGATGAGATTCCGGATGGCGGTTTGGTGGCTTGGCTCCAAGTGGCAGGGGCATTTGCCCTCTTCTTCAATTCATGGTGAGTTAATTGAGTTGCTTCCTTTTTTTTTTTTAATTCTTCTTATTATTACTGATTTTTTTTTTTTTTTTTTTTTTTTTTCCTCCTTTTCCTTTTCTGCTTTTTCGCTTTCTACTGTTTTGCCGCTTGAACGGTATGCATCGGCGAACGGAAAATGCGAGAGAACAGGAAAAAGGCCGAAGAATTATACTAACACACGCAAGGGGCATTGCGAATACGTTTGGAGTGTATCAGACGTATTATGAGACACATTTCCTGAGTTCCTCAACACCCGATGCTATTGCCTGGATTGGGTCTCTTCAATCGTTTCTTCTCCTCGCAGGTGGGCTTGTGTCCGGTCCTCTATTTGACGGTGGCTGGTTCAGAGCCACGATAGCTTTCGGATCAATCGCCGTCTGTTTCGGCTTTATGATGATGAGTCTTGCTACACAATACTGGCAGATCATCCTTGCTCAAGGTTTCTGCATTGGTCTCGGTGCCGGGTGTATGGTCGTGCCATCCCTCTCGATCCTGCCACAGTATTTCCTCAAGAAACGTGCTCTTGTGACCGGCTTCACCGTCTGTGGCAGCAGTCTTGGTGGAGTAATCTACCCGCTCATCTTCCAAGGCTTGATCGACAATGTAGGCTTCGGCTGGACGAATAGAATTCTCGGCTTCATATCTATTATAACATGCTCCTTCTCCGTGGCCGTCATGCGGCTCCGTGCAAAGCCGCGCAAAGTTCGATCGCCCTTCGATCCTAAGGCTTTCCGGGAGCCTGCGTACCTTTTCTATTGCTTCGCCATGTTCTGCAGCAACTTCGGCTTCTTCCCGCCAATCTTTTATCTGCAGACCTATGCTCTGGGCCACGGCCTGACGAACACAAACATAGCCCTCAAGCTCGTCGCTATTCTCAACGCTGCCTCCATTCTCGGTCGTCTAGCACCATCTCCAGCAGTTGGCCTCATCGGCCCTATCAACACGATGATAGTAGTTATTGCCATGGCCAGTACCGTGGCGTTCACATGGATCGCAGTCCACACGGGAGCGGGCAATATCGTCTTCGCCGTCATGTACGGCTTCACTTCCGGTGGCATCGTGTCTCTACCCGCCGTCGTCCTGGCTTCCATTACGGAGGACCTCAGTTTTATGGGTTCACGATTAGGCACTTCCAACTTCTGCAATGCCATCGCCTCTCTGTGCGGTCCCCCCCTTGCCGGCGCCATTCTCAGATCGACAGGAAAATATCTCGGTGTCCAGCTCTTTTCAGGCTTCCTCCTTCTAGGAGCGTGCCTCTTTTTCGTGGTAACTAGGTTCGCAAGAGTAGGGTTCAGGCTAGCAGTCAATGTCTAAAGTCATCTCGGGTTTGCGCGAAACTAACTCATCTAACTGTTCTACCATACTTGGTCCAGCGAGGGATATATCACATATCGGATCTAAAGCTGGCCCTACTGAGTAATTGTTCGCTTTACCTGCATTACTTCTTCTATCTCTGTCAAGATGAGCCGTTCCCTGAGCCTGGGGGCTTGGGCCGAGCTTGGGTTGCCCCGCTGATAGAAAACAAAAACAAAAACAATGAACAGTAAAGAAATGAAAATAATAATGATAATTAAGAGGAAATTTAAATCTGTGACCTTTCCAAGCCTTCCATTGTAAGTGCTAGAGCCGACTTGAAGCCAACCTTAAGGCGCAGTGAGCAAAACAGATCTCACCATGAATAAAACTTTGCCGTGGGTAGACATAGTATGCACTTCACCCGGCCTAATGAAAAAGGGGAGAAACATACGGCGCCAAGCTTAGCAGACTCGGAGGTGAACATAGAGGTTCATAAATTGTGGAAGAAACTGCTACATACTACCCACAAGTATAGTGGACACATAAAGCAAACATCGTGGCGCAGCTGATTGGCTTTGTATGGCCCACGCCGGCCATGGGGACGGATCAACCGCACGGAACTAGACAGTCAGACCACCGATTATTATACATAAATGTAACAGAAAGGCTCCGAGCCCATCTGGTCGTTGAGTTCTCCTAGAGTGCGGGGACCAGCAGTCCACTTGAGGTCTACCACGGTCTTTTGGGCATCCGCGTTCGTCATTCTGGAGAAGCTAATACCAGGGATGGCCTGAAGGCGGTTCTCAGGGTCCTGCATCTGCCACAGCCACCAAAGACGGTCGAGAGCGGCGTGGTGCATCCAGAAAGTTGGGTCTCCGGGAGAAGCGTAGAAGTCCTGGTGTATTACTGTGTCAGTTTGCTTACGAGAAGTAAGGGACGGCTTGAGGAGAGGGAGCGTGAAATATTAGAACACTTACACCACCAGGATCGCCACCAGTGATATAGTGGCCGCCGGAGTGAAGACCCCACGGGAACTCATCACCTCGGAGGTACGGCTGCCCAAGGTAACGATTATAAAACGAATCCACGTCGGGGTAGTCCATAACCAGAGAGTAGGAGTGGTTCGCGTCTGCACCCGCTGCGGAAAACTTGTTGAGATCACGGCGGAGACATCGGGGATTCGAGCCAAGCCCATCAGCCCGAGGATTTCTAGGGAGGTCGTTGAGCACGGTTCCGAGGGGACCGAGGCTCACAACCATACTGATGCATTTTGTCAGCGTAAGTTTGCTACGACATAGAGTGAAGATAGCACGAGATGAGACTTACTCGGCGAAGGGACCCTCAGTGACACAGCCACCACCGCCGGCAGCAGGGATGACGTTGTACGGGCGTGGATAGGGCATTACAACACCACCGTACGTGGCAGGCGCGCCATTGCCTCCCATGCTGGTGGCGTTTCCATTGAACAGAGGAGAGGTGATCGGATCTTGGTGTCGCTGGTAGTTCATATAAGGCTGATATCCCTTGTACCCACATTCGTCTCTCAGGGCTTGCTCGTAAGCCCAGATGTAGTACCTGTGGCTAGCGAAAAGGTTCGTCTATCCCGGCGTTAGCGGAGATACCTGAGTCTTGATGGGCCCTAGGTAGATTACCTACAGGGGCATGAAGAACGGGGATTCCCGTGACATGGGTAGCAACGAAGTCATCGTATCGGTTGAGGACACCAGGGACTTGCTCCTGGGCCTTGGGAGGTAGCTTCATGAGGCACTGGACGGCCTGGATGTAATCCTTGCGCTCGTCGATGGTCAAATCCGCCCTGGATATGAAAGAGTTGGTCACCGGGCCATTTTCCATTCATGGGTACTCCATATTTTCAAACTTACCATTCCTTCCTCTGCACGGCATTCTCAAGCGTACACTTCGAGCCCGTCTTTTCTACCCATTCGGCAATCTTGGGGAATGTCTCATCTGCCAGCTGGTCCACAATATCCCTCTCGTAGTCCCCGTTTCGCCATCTGTTTCATGCCGACTTGTTAATGACAAGAGTAGCCTCGGCATGATGCCAGCGAAGCAAAAGGAGAGGGGTATTCTAACTTACACGTCAAGAGTGGAAAATCTCTTCTTAATGGTACTGGCCTGCGCACCGAGGAGCGGCGCCGCAAGCACGAGGGCCCAAGCAGAACGCATCGTGGATGGTCTTCTCTAGTCTGCACCTGACTTGACAGTCTATCGTGATGACTTGACGGCAGAGGGGCGAAAAAGAACTCCCGCGTTTTTCGAACTTTTTTATGTGGAATGATCTCTCCTTTTGAATAAAGGGAGTCTTATAGCCAGAGAGATCCCGACCGCATAATGAACCGGGCTTCGACGGCTATCTGACATTTTTTTTTTAAGTGAGTGGCAATATCCAGACACTACGAAGCCTCATCTGCAAACCACCTATGATCGATTCTAGATTTAATTGTCGTCAGAAAAACACTTAACAGTGGCCCAATGGAAGCGCTCCGAATGCCCGCGGGTCGGTAAAATGCGTGGAAGATTCCTCGTTGACAGTTATACCCGGGTCGTTTATATGAATCAGATGCCGGGGTCGGCCAATCGGCTCCTTGGGATAGTTGATGCCATCGCCAAGTTTCCCCACCAAGACAGTCGTTTGCCCAGGGTGACCTGGGTCCGTCATCCAAATGAAGTGCAGACTAGATGGATGGCTGTCTGTTTGCGAGGCCGGGACTTGGTCTTGGCATCCAAAGTCCATTGTTCTACGGGAGAACACAATGTTGCCGTCTCCCCCAAGGTGCGGTTGATTCCGGGCAGAGCGGGAATAAGGATGCCGACTGGGCCCCCTACATTAATTAACTGATTAGACACCTTTGGCAGCTGAGGATCTTGTGGTCATAAGAAGCAGTGTCTACGTAAGTTGGTTCTCAGTGTAATAACTTCCTATTTTGCCTAATTAATCCTGCTGCGGTGGTCCTTGTATATCCTGTCAGTGGGCGAGGAAGAAGAAAAGAAGGAAAAAAAAGACAAGGGGGTCTTCTCAGGAGTGACATCTCTTTTCTTGCACCAAAGGAAACCCTCTGTCCTCATGCCGGTGGTCGCTAGGTGTGGGGGCGTTTAGAAGAGAAATGTAGTCAGAGAAGCGTATCACGAATTGCTTTCCCATCAATTGGTAGACATTTTTTTTTTTTTTTTTTTTTTTTTTTTTTTTTGGGCCGGGTTGCCGGTCTCGCCGGCCTTCCTGAGCGGACTCTCTCCATGCTTCCAGACTCCCGTGACCACTTTGCCCGGTGGCTCAGTCAATAAGGCCATAGAGCGACACAATCTTCAGAGGTCTGAACCCTCTTCAACATTATTCCCCACCTTTGGGGAAGACTCGGTTACAGACAATTCATGTTTCTCTTTTTGCCTCCTCAGGTCATCGGAGGAAAAATGCGCCCTACATCGGCGAATGACCCTCGCCGCATTATTCTCCTCCAAAGACTGGAAGTAATTTGATGGCAGATCTGCGAGCCGTTCTTAAGCCTTGGGTGATTATAACACCATAAGCTCGATTAGAGCATGGCGTGAATTTTGAATGCTAGGTGACCGAACTGGGAGAGAAAATCCTAAGGCCAGGAATATGAGGTTAGGAGTCAGAACCTCTCATCGGATTCTCATGGCGGCTACACAATGAATGTATCTAGATGGAATGTGAATTTCATTGAAATACATGTCCCGCAGTATCTTCGATCTAATATCATCGTCACTCTGTTTAGCAAAAGTGTTGAATTGTCTACGAATCATACTGATTTCGTTTCCTTTTACTTCTTCGTTTTTCGCCCTGCCGTTCATAATCTTCCCCTCTACTTCGTACATAGGTATTTTTCTCTTAGAGATCACATGTTGCGGGGAAGGTACCCAATCCTCGTTGAAAGACCGACCTCGTTGAAACCTTGAGCCATGTGGGCGAAGTCGTAGCGCTGATTGGGACGAGACTGGACTGATTGAAGCGCTTCCACTGAGATCCGTCAGCTCTTCCGCGCAGCAATCCGTAAGAAGCTGAGATTGAAAAATACAGGCCAAATTTAATTTCTTTTCGAAGGAAATTTAGTACACCCACAGCTTTGTGTCAGAGTTGGCTATATCGACGACAGCAACAACCTATCCAGCAGATCATCTGACTTCCGTAGCGAACATGTCTCGCCATGAACGAGTGCCTCGTCGTTACCGACTCGATAACCAGAGTCGGGCAGGACATGATGGAATCGGACACCCGTCGATTACACTCTTCTCAGAAGACAACGTCTTTCCTTCATCCTTCAAGTTCACTTTTGACACGATCCGTGACAATGTATTTCGGCTATGCTTCACCTCGGATACTCATCCCTTGCCCCCATACCCAAGCGTAAAGCCGCCCAGCGTGGTTTTGGCGGAGACGCCAAAGATTGACTTCAACTTAGACCGCCAAACAAAGACGATCAAAACCGGCAAAGCTGAGGCCCTTGTTGAGTGGTCAAGCACCCCTATCGTGTGTCTGAAGCTCACTGGTGGTCACGAACCGATTTACGAAGACCTCTCCTTCCGCTCTTACGTGGTCGATGGGCCCGGGATAGCGCACTATTCCAAATACAAAAAGCACACGCTTCATGTCGGGCTAGGCGAGAAGGCGGCGCCAATGGACCTTTCCGGCCGTCACTTTTCCATTACTGCCAGTGATACTTTCGGCTACGATGCATATCTCACCGATCCTCTATACAAACACATCCCTCTTCTCATAAACATTACTCGCCACGGTTGCGTTGGGGTTTTCTCTACGACTCATGCGCGGGCTACTTGGAGCATCGGTTCGGAAATTGATGGCCTTTGGGGCCACTTCAAGGCCTACAGACAAGCGTACGGGGGGCTTGAGGAATATCTGATCGTCGGAAAGAAAGTGGAGGAGATCGTACGGACATACGCCGAGATCGCGGGTTTCCCGCTCCTCGTACCTCGGTACATGATGGGATATGTCGGCGGCGGTATGAAGTACAGTATGCAGGATCAGCCGCGAGCAGCCGATGCCATCTTACGGTTTCTATCAGAGTGCGAGGAGAAAGACATTCCCATCTCAGCGTTTCAGATGAGCAGCGGGTATACGGTAGCGGAAACCGAACCTAAAACGCGCAACGTCTTTACGTGGAACCGCCACCGCTTCCCAGATCCAAGAGTATTTACGAGGGAGTGTCTCCGACGGGGAGTCAGACTACTAGCCAACATCAAACCATACGTCCTAGCGAACCATCCCGAGTACAAAAAGCTGGTCGACGCCGGTGCGCTCTTCTACGATCCAGTCACAAAGAGCAGTGCCGTTGCTCGCCTATGGAGTGCCGGCGGTGGAGAGAGCGGCGAAGGTGGCCACATCGATTTCACCAGCAAGACCGGCTTTGAGTGGTGGTACAACGGCTGTCGAGCCTTGAAAGAAGTCGGAATCGATGCCATGTGGAATGACAACAACGAGTATAATATTCCGAGCGACGACTGGGTTTGCGCACTTGAGACGGTGGTAGCTGGCGAGGCCCAAAAGGCGAGCGAGCGGTATGTGGGACGATGGGGCCGGGCTCTACACACGGAGTTGATGGCAAAAAGCTCTCATGATGCGTGCGTCGACCATGCGCCTGATGAGAGACCCGTCGTACTAACCCGCAGTGCTACGGCGGGAACAATGAGGTACGCCTCTTGCTCGTGGGGTGGGGATAATGTTACCAGCTGGGAGAGCATGAAAGGTGGTAATGCCTTGGCTCTGAATGCCGGATTCTCTCTCCTCCAGGTTAGTATCTCGTTCCAGCAGTCCAATAAAACGGTGTTCTTAAAAACAAATTCTAACGCTATGGTACCGCAGTGCTATGGGCACGATATTGGTGGTAGGTATTGGGAAATAAAGCCTCCAGAGATCAACGTTGTGCGCAGTGCTGACTATCAAACTCAAGGGTTCGAGGGCCCGCAGCCGTCTCCTGAGCTTCTTGTTCGTTGGGTTCAACTCGGAATCCATTCTCCGCGCTTCGCTATAAACTGCTACAAGACATCGGTCGATGATAACCTGGTTGGAGAGGTAATAGAGCCGTGGATGTATCCTAGTATAACCCCGATCATCCGTACCTCCATCAAGCGACGTTACGAGCTCATACCATACACATACTCTTTGTCTCTGAAGTCTCATCTAACCGCCGTTCCACCACAAAAATGGACCGGCTGGGGCTACGAATCAGACCCGGAAGTCTGGGGCAAGGAGATTACCAACGGCGAGACACAATACTGGCTCGGCGACGCGCTCTTAATTGCTGGGGTTTACGAGCCAGGAAAGACCAGTGCCCGGGTTTACCTCCCAAAGAACACTGAACATTCCGCCATAGATTGGGGTTTTCTCAATACGAACGCGCCGTATCAACATTTGCCATCTGGACAATGGCATACCGTAACTTCAGCCTGGTACGATTCTATCCCGGTTCTGGCGAAATGCGGGACAGCTGTACCCGTAGGAAAGAATAGGGTAACGACATGCCGTCGAGGAATCCAGGAAGATGAAGACGAGTTTCCGGGTATGGAGAAAGACGACTGGAGAGGTTTGGAAATCTTCCCGCCGCCGAAATGTTTTGGTCGCAGTGTAGAACTTTCCTCGATTCCGAACGGGTCTTTTACCTTCGAAAACAGCTGGATGGAAGATGATGGGATTAGCGCTCAGTCCAAGCTCGATATATGCACCGTCCGGGTTGCCTATACCATCAGCAGTGTTCCTGGAGACGGTATCATAGTGAAGGTGGCCGTCGAGAAGACCAAAAGTTGGGAGCCCCTTTGGCTTGCTCATGGGCTGGATGTAATTCTTCCAGTCGGAGAGGAGCGAAGTGTAAGATCCATCGAAGGGGGGGCGACGGTGGCAGAACGGGACCGTGACATTAAGGGACGGAGAGTATGGAATATCTCCGTGCTGAAAGTAACCTAAAGAGTAGAGCTTCGAGGGACATGGCGGTAGGTCTTGAAGTAGATAAGACTATCTTTAAGCCCTATTATCTGCAACTCCTAGCATTCCTCTCTCGTTGACCATTAAGCTTGGGCTCCTGAACACAAAGTCCGGGAGGAACCATGCCCTGCAGAGCTGCAGGGAGAGTGAGTTTTCCTTTCAGATCGGTGAATGGCTGGTTTCGCACATGCTGGGGCAGGCTTCGCACGCGATAAATTATCTATTAGGCACGAGCATTGGGTCAAGCGTTGGGTCGCAGCCCCAGCGCCAGGATCTCATTGCCAATTCGATAGTGTGATTAGGGCCCCAATCTCTCACCATGCAGGACTCGAGGAATCACAGCCACTTAAATTCAGGACCGGTAAAGAAGGCGAGCAGGGCTCTTTCGCTGTCCACCCACCCAACATCCACCCCATCAAATTCGGGCTAATAATACCCCCTCCCCCTCATCTCCTTTCTTCAGCTGACAGGCCGCCGGAAATGATAATTCCGTGGCGATCGAAGCGAGTCGATAGCTCAATGCAACTTTTCTGTTAATTATTGCGCAGCCTGGTCACCGAAAGCCAGCCACCATCATCCTAAAATGGTCACGGAGGGTCGGGTCGGTCGCTTGTACCGGCTACAAAGCTGCAAAGCATGGTGGCTTTCTCGATCACGAGCCTGCTGTCTTATCCAGCTCGCGTTGAGCTGAACAGAAAAAAAATCACACAGCGAGACACCTTCTCACTCGATACCACTTTCCCCGCTGGTGGTGCCTGCAAACCGTCACGACATGGCAACAACGGACCTCCATCTCCAAGTCTCCCGCCCACGGGCCAGGACATACAGTAATGAGCATGTGCCTCCGTACCGTTACAGAACTTTAACGAATCCCACTCAGTCCCTGCGCTTCTTAAGGTTGAAACGGGCGAAGGTGGGGGTATGAAATCATTGATTGCGAGCTTGTCACGCTGGACCTCTTCGATGAAGATGGAGGGATCTCCAACGCCATCCGCAACGAGAAATACTCCGCATTATCATGGTGTTGGGGCAGCGACGACACCCTAAAGCACGAGATTTACATTCATGAGGGAAATGACGTCTTCTCCCTAGGAGTACGCAAGAACTTGTATGACGCGCTTCTTGCCCTACGGCGCACAAACAAGAACATAACGCTTTGGGTAGATGCCGTCTGCATCAACCAGAACGCCTTTTTCGAGCGCAACCACCAGATCCAGCTGATGAGCCTCATTTATGGCTTGGCTGAGAGTGTTCTTGTGTGGCTCGGTGAGGCCGACGATGACAGTAAGGCGGCGATGCGTTTTATCCGCGAAAAGATGCTCCAGCTTTCGCAATTTGACGAGTGCTTTAAGGAGGATGCAGCTCCGAAGTGGCGGTCATTCCTGAACTTCATGAGGAGGCCGTGGTTCTCAAGGAGCTGGATTATCCAGGAGATCGCGCTTGCACGAGACGCCAAGGTTATTTGTGGAAGACAAGATAGCGACCGCATCCAATGGGACGACTTTGCGGACGCGGTTCAACTCTTTGTCGACATCGAAACGAGCTCCCATCGCATTTCCAATCTCATCCAGAAACGCACCGACTTCCACAACAAACCCCGTACGTTTGAGGACGTGTCCTCGCTTCCAGCCGCCATCCTTGTCGAAGCGACGAGGAGTCTCTTTGGGAAGTATGACGCAGGCCTCGACCGTGGCACTCAGCGAGAACCCGTCATGAAGCTAGAGTATCTTGCCTGGCACTTTTCTGTCTTCGAGGTCACCGTACCACATGACAGTATATATGCGCTTCTATCCATCTCCAGCGATGCAGTCCCTGCTGGCGCAAGGAAGAGTCCAGAGGCGACGGATTCGAACGAGCCGGTGCCCAATGCCCCGACGAATACAGACATCTTGAAGAAGTACAAATCCGAATTAATCGAGTGGACCGTTTCGCATTCTCGGAGAACGCACGCCCGTCAATTCACGGTCGATTACGAGGAAGATTACGTGGAGGCGTGTCGCGAGTTTGTTGAATTTTGCATACACAATGCGGATCCCTCTCGCGCCCTGGACATCCTATGCCGGCCGTGGTCACAACCGCAAGAGAAGATAGGTAAATATATGGGCAAGAAAAGACGACTAACAGATTTGCCGTCGTGGGTCTGTCAGGTCACAGGGTCCTCGCATGTCGTTCATCCATTCCACAGTCATGGGAACCACGAGCCCATCATCAGCAGGAGAAATGCTGACAGCCTTGTAGGGTCCCCCACCCTCAGTGCCAGGAACTACAGTGCCACGGGAAGAAAGCCAGTCGCTTCCCGATTTTTGAGGTTCGATAGTCCCAAGTCGCCCGACTACTATAACATGTTCGTTTTTGGGTTCGAGCTCGATGAGATTGAAGAGGTGCAGGATGCTTCGCAGGGAGGCCACGTCCCAATTGAATGGGCACGTGCATGCGGGTGGACGAGTGTGGACCAGCAGGCTCCAGAAGAATTTTGGCGCACTTTAGTAGCGGATCGGGGATGGTTATCTGCCACACCGCCCAAGTACTTCTCCCGCGCTTGCCAGGAAGCATTCAGATCAGCATTCTATACGGGGTACCTACGGCCCAGTGACCACATCAGCCACGGCCACTCGTCTGTTCTTGCAGACTTTTGCCGTCGGGTTGAAGTGGTGGTGTGGAACAGGGCACTTGTAAAGACGAAAAGCAACCGAATCGGGCTTGTGCCAAAGGGCGTGCAAAAAGGAGACCTTGTCTCAATCTTGTACGGGTGCAGCGTTCCCGTTATCTTGCGCAGGTTCAAGAAAAATGCCACCGAGTACGAAAGAGAGAAGATGGAGAAGGATAAGGAAAAGAAGGAGAAGTGGGCCTACCACGCCAAGAATTTCATATCGGCAATTGAGCGTCGCAGGACGCGGAGGAGGGAATCAAATGCTCAGACGGCTCTGTCTCCCATATCCCCAAGGGCGCAGGCATTCTTCTCAGACTCGGTACCGACAAAGTCTGCTAGATCCCATTCTTCTATGTCGCCATCCAAAGCGCCCATGAAACCCCCAAAGCCAGACAGGCTACTATCTGAGAGATCTGCTGTTGTCGACTTCGATAGTTACGACTCGGACCCATTTTCAGCATTAACTCCCACCCAACATTATCACCTATTCAAAGGCGAGTGTTATATACACGGAATGATGGACGGCCAAGCTATTCAGTATCGAGAGAAGAGTGGTATCCAGAATTCACTTTTTGAGATTCGGTAACCGCTTAGAGGAAAGCAAAAGGAAAGATGAAGGCAGAAAGAGCTAGTGGGATTCGGCAGGTGTATCTTACGGAGTACATGGATCCCATACAAGTGAGGGGACAGATACTCTTAAGAGTGTGGCAATTTTACAACGCATGATCACGCAGGCCGTGGCAATTTCGTGGAACCATTCTTAGGTGTACCTCAAAATCACGAAAACCGTATTTCTGACGTAGCCTCGGAACTATACAATGATCATGCGTAGATATGTAAGTCGATCATGTCCGCACATCATCATAGGACTGGTTGGTATACTATGGCTATTAACGAGCCCCCGGTGGGAAGAAAAACTTCTGAGAATGGCGGGGGTGCATTCGCTTTTCACTATTGTACTCTCGATGGAGATTAACACCAATTAAATCTGGTAAGATGGCCGAGCGGTCTAAGGCGCCAGGTTAAGGTTAGCTTAACGTGAATTCCTGGTCCAGGAAACTGGGCGTGAGTTCGAATCTCACTCTTATCACGAACATTTATTTTTGTTTTGGTTTCTTCTTCTCTTTTTGTCTACAGAAACGCTCCATTTGGGCACACACACAGTGAATCAAGAGGTCTCCCCCCTCTCTTTTTTTTTTTTTTTTCCCCTTCCTGATTTCAGTCAAGCTTACCTGGGGCGACTGTGACTTACGCTAATAATCCCGAGGGGGAGCCCCGGTAGGAGTGATCCCGTCCGCAGCCCCTCATAGGATGCGGTAGGGTATATGTGGTGGCGAAGTTCGGAATCATGTTCGTTTCTTGTTTATTTAGAGCCCTATTCACTATCCTCGTAAATTTTAATTCCAAGTAGAAGCAATCCTGCCCTGAACCTCGCCTGCCGAGCGGCGGGGAAAAGCAGCAAGTAAACTATTGTTTGTACGGAAGGTTCATGGAATTTTCCTTGAACTTTCGCCTCACCACGTCATACTAAATCTACGTTGCGCTACCTCCGGGCCTTCATCCCTTGCTTATACTTTGGATAATCGTGTCCAGGCACTGGAGAAGACCTTGGGCTTGCCACCATAGCGTTTAGACACCATGGCCTAGTCGATCTGTGCTATATCGTGATTATGTTTGACGGGAAACGAGACGCGACGATTACTCAACTCTTCTCATTCTTCTGAGGCGCACTCAAGTTGAAACGGAAACTACCTGTCAAATGCGGTGAATTGTCTGGGAGGTCCATGAAACACCACAAGGCTCTGCTCGAGCCCTAACCCCTAGGATACAGTCGGGGCCCAGGGCCGACAAAGTATCTCGTCTATGCATCCATGTATGTGTCCGATGTGGTGATATGAGCTCAACAAGCGATTCTTGCGATATTAACTTTGTTGTGGGTGTCTTGCGAGATTTACTTTTTGGTCGTAGAGCGATTGGTTAAGGCGACCCCGCCATCATAGAATTGCCACGATTCACTGTGTTCCAAGATTCTAGTTGCTCCGCATGTGTCTTATTTTCAGGACATCAACGCAGAGTGAGGAAGTGCAACGCGGATACGGTTGGACCAATCTACGAAGTAATGAGGACTGAATATCCCTGCCACGTACACGCCTCTTTGCATACCACCATATCTGCAGTTCTACATCAATCTGGGCACAACACGGGCTTTCAGGTTTGAAGTACATATGTACAAGCTACCTCGTAGACGCGAGATATCCCAAGACTGTCGAACGCGGGGAAATAAGGCGGGGAGGGGGACGAAAATTGACCCCGCCCTCTTTTTGTTGCCTCGAGATCATCCACGAGTTCCCAGCTTGGACGTATCTATATCCGCAGAATAGTCCCGGGAAATAAATGCATCTCGTCATTTAACCGACTTCATATATTGCCCTCGCTGGAATAAGTTTCGTGTATTATCTGCTAGTAATATACAGTCCGGGAGGGATATAACTGCTTTGTAGAGCTGTCCCCCGTGCGTTTATTTTGGGATTCTGGGACCTCGGTGATGCCTTTGGATCCGCTTTCCCCTCGATTTGTAAACTGCCAGCCCCTCGGTCGTCTTTTATTGCCAGCGCTTTGATCCGATCAGGATGGTTTCGCCAAGGGTGAACCTGGTAGTTTTACTCTCATGTGGCCTGGCTAGAGGCCTAGCGCCAATGGCCTCCCGGTTCAACGGGGAAGGTGGTATCGATAGTCCAGTTGCTCCCAGACAATCGGAAACCACTTGTTTGGCCTCAGATGCCCTCCAGAGTGCGAGTGCGTCAACAGGGCAAGAGGAAGGCACTCCGGGAGCCCTGCTTGGTCAAGTCGACTCCGAGGTGTAACTTCTACCTATTTTACCAGCGTGCATTTTCCTTCTTGAATAACACTAACTTTTGCCTAGTGACGGTGCCAACTTTATCAACTTTTGCGCAGGCCAGGAACTGACAAACGGCAGGCAGGTCGCTACGGGATCTTGCAACGGGATACCGATGGGAAAGATTCCCGCCGCTGCCAACATGATCGGTTCCATCATTGTTCATCCTCAACCCGGCGACAAATTACCTGCCAATGAAAATTTTAACATTTCTATCCAGACCTTACACCTCCGAGCTGGTTTCCAAGCGAACCCGTCCTCGAGCTATTATGCCGCCCCGCAAAATTTGGACGAGAATGGAGACGTTATCGGACACTGTCACGTTACAATCCAGGACATCGGATCATTGCGAGCCACGAAGGCTCCTGATCCTCTGGATTTTGCATACTTTACCGTGGTCAACAACGAAGGTAATGGCGACGGGCTGCTCCAGACTGCTGTGATCGGTGGGCTTCCGGCTGGGGCCTATCGTATTTGCACGATGATCGTTTCTCGAAACCACCAGCCTGTGATCATGCCAGTTGGACAACGGGGAGCACAGGATGACTGCACGAGATTTCTCGTTATTGAGGAATGAGTCTGGCGATAGAGAGCATATTTCTTGGAAAACATCGCGAAGGGATAATGGTAGTTCGTGGTCGATGACGATTTAGTTGGCTTTTCATGATCTCCATCTTGGCCTGGACAAGGTTAGTCGCCGAACACAGCACTGCTGGATGCCCGAGCACCGGACGAAAAAGAGGGCGAAGAGAAAACGAAAAGAGGGCAGAAAAGTTATAGAAATAATATAGAAAAAAAAAAGTATATCCAAACAAAACTGTAACGTATAAAAAAACAATATAGTGGTCCTGATCGTCGAAATCCAAAAGCTCCCTTTTACAAAACTAAAATCGCCCTCCATGAAAACAGCATGTTCGCGACAACCTAATCGGAGTTGCGGTTGCGTCGCAAATCCGCTCTTGCCTCTGGGTCGGTCCGCCGACATTTTTTCCCCCCCATCCTTTCGTTTTTACGCGGCTAGAATCATCAAGCCCTACGCCTTCACCCTTTTCGCCTGCGGCGTTGAGCCCACCCCTCGCCGTTTCTTCGCGCCACCAATCGCTTCTTTACCTCCCCTCCGTGCCCAATACGCCTCCAACTCCTGCGGTGCAATTTTTGAAATCTTGCTCTCGGACTCCCAGCTCGGGACGTCGGATCCCACCCAGGTCACACACACCTCCACCGCGCCCGACTTCGGTTTGACGCGATGGTCTTTAATATCAAAGACGTGCCACAGTCCCTGGTCACGCATTTGAGCCTCCCTGCCGCCTTCGATACTGCGCCAGTACTCAAACAACGCTGCTGGAGCATCCTGCTGAATTGTTTCTTCAGCTTCCCAGGTGAACGCCTCCTCATCGGAGCCGCGGGGAACATCCCAGCTGATGCACAGATCGAACAGGTTAGGTGAGGCAGCTGAGATGCGATGGTTGACGATGGCCTTGAACTCCTGGGGCTGTTCTGATTGGGTGTGGTCCTTGGTGGTGTCCTTGACGCCGTCGTGGTTATTAGTAGTAGCATTACTAACTTCGGCCCGCGGCTTGGGTGATGCGACTTTGCGTGGGATGTTACGACGCGGGGTGAAGGTTGCCTGACGTTCACGTTGTGGTGGCTTTGAGACGGGGCTGAAAGGCGGGGACCAGAGAGAGCGGGTGGCAACCACGTCTTTGTCGGCTGTGCTGGGCCGCGCCTGGTTGTCATCTTGGGCGTCGCGGGGCGCTGCATTATCTTCGGCCCAAGTGGGAGTTGGCTCTTTAATCTCGGGTTCATCAACCTCGGGGTTTGTCATAGGTGGCGATTGGGCAGCGGCGGGCACTGATCCCCGATTAATGTTTTAGCTTTGCCAAGGTGGGCGTGGACGAATACGGGAGACGCGGGATATAGTCTAGGACAAGACAGGGGGGAAAGGGGGGGACGGAAAAAAAAATTGGAAGAAAGAAAAGAAAAGGGGGAAAGAAGGAACGGTAAGGCAAAAGAAAATCGATGGACGATAGAACAAGTCATCGCGTAAAATGAAGTGAGATGAAAAAACGTACCATTCTCGGGCTGAGCAGGGTTTTTCCTCCGCGATACCCTCACGGTCGAGGCACGCCTGGCCTGAGGCGGCTTGGTTGGGTTTGCGGTCGCTGTCGCTGGCGCAGGCGCAGGCGCAGCAGGCGTTGTGGAAGGATCAAGGCCTTTTTGTGATTGTCGCCGGGATGCATCGCGGCTAGAGAGTGGCTTCCTCACAAACTTGCGTTGGGCCATGGCGCGAGCGATGGGGTGGCGAACGATATGTTGAGTGGAGTTGATGCTGGGGTTGTTGTTGTTGGATGCAAAGATGAAAGGTTTAAGTGTTATGGTCGAAACTGGATGACGAACGACTAATAACAACGGGTCCACGGAGAATTAAACAATTTTTCGGGGGGGAGGGTGTGAGGGAGCCTGAGAGAGAGAACAAATGGACTCAACTTTGTGCTGCGTCTTGTCTGCGGCGAGGGCAAGTACAAGCAGGACTGAGCGAGGTAAAATAATAATAATAACACTCCTGTAATAATAAAAAAGAAAAAAAATACTCTCTGCTGATTGCTGGTGCTAGTTGCGCACGGGCCATCCAGCTGTTCCCTATTTTGACACTAAACCAAAAACAAACCTCCCTATTTCAATATTTCCCTTGTTATTGTCCAATCGAGGAACCGCAACATGCAACATGATGCGGCAGGCGGTCTCAGCCCAGGTAGGCGTGGTGTTGTGTTGGGCTGGTCGCGCGATGGACGTAGGACGTTTGTCGATACGATGCGTCTTTTTTAAGGCTAGATACTATCGGCGTATATGAGTTTCTCTGGGAATGATGGCCGTGGATTGTTCGCCCAATGACTTTTGCTCTATGATATCCAGCAAGGATACATTTGGCGATGGTTACATACTTGTTCACCCCCTGCGTGGCTTTTGGGCAGGGAGGGGAGAGCTAGCCAAGAGCCAAGGAATGTAATCACCGCCAATGAGGAATGTTTGCAGACAACCCTCAAATACTAGAGATGCCTCCTCTCCGATGTGAAAAACTGAGCGCATCTGGCCACCCGCGCCTTCCAGTCATTTTCCAGGGAGAATGGCCATTTTCTAACTAATAAGTTTCGATTCAAGTCCTCCACAGTGGCACACCGATCGCCCTAGCTTCGGTCCGATGAGGCCCTGTTTCAAGAGTAGCGAATGCATCGAGTCAAACCACATTCACGGATGCTCTATCGCACTAGGCATACCTAATATCATCACCTCTGTATATCCAACGTTACGGATACTAACATGACGCGTTCCTTAATTGCCTGATCATCGACCGAGTGATCCGTTTGCCGAGTTGGGTACTCGCGAAGTTCAAGTGGACCACTTCGCTACGTCCGAAAGGTAAAATCCATTTCACGGAGGCATCCTGCGTATGTAGAGAAGCATCCAAGGATAGAGGAAAGAAAACAACGAAGCTCAGAGATAAAATTTGCAATCCTTTTATCTCGAAGACAGAAATAGAATAAATAAATGTCCATACGTATACTTCGTGTGGTGTGAACAGCTCATACTACGGAAACTAGACAAGGTTGCCAGCTTGGGGCTTAAACCCAGAGTGGAAGGACCACGAAGAATTCCGTTTATGGACACAATGACTGTTGTCAGAGGGCGCCAATTAAATCCTAAAGTGAGGCGCCTATTTGTAGACGGCGGGAGCCGCAAAGATGCAAGTGTTCTCAGCAGGTGTCGTCTCGTTCTGATATGGAATGACCTTTCCATTAGATTCGGCATAAGATGTGTCTCGACCCATCGTTTCCGGTATAGAAGTGTCCTTTGACTAATCCAGATTCTCCATCACGGCAGCTAAATAGGACTCGGGAAACTGGGGCCCAATAACACTGTTGGGGACATCAAAGCCCGGATGGTTAGCTAGTACTGTTCCGAACTTGCCTGTCCCACTGCTCTTAGTATTACCAGTATGCCGGCCTCGATACGGGATGCTGTTATCTAGAGTTCGATATATGCAGCTCCGCTGGTGCTCCATCAAGTATGGATGGCTTCTTAAAAATGTTGGCCTGTGAGCCTACCGTAGCCTCCCCTTTCACAGGAATGGAGGGATATCGCTATCCGCATGGGATATAGCATTCGAGAGACTGGGCAGATGTGGTCGGATTATTTGCGGGCGATCCCCCCCCAGGCCATTCGGCATGATAGTGGATTTCCTAAGGCACTATATGAATGGGTCGGTGTATAGCTACGTGAACATCTTGTTGCCCGGGCTGTATTCTGTATCATCTACGCTGTCCCGTATCCTATGCTTCTACCACTTCTAGCCATTAATGTTTAGTAAGCCTGTGTTTTCTGCTCCAATCCTGGTGGCCCGCCCCTATGTTCGGTCTAGCGACGTACGGTCGTCTTTAGGGCGATCTAGCGTAGACATCAGTCTGACTAGCCAAGTGCAACAGAAAGTCCTCAACTCTGTCAAGTGGTTATAACCGTTGACCGACTGATAGCTTGAGCCTAATTGAGTCACTCCATACACAAAGCTATCATAAGGAATGCTTCTCTAACCTTGCCACCCGTAACATCGAAGAACACCTTGATATTGTGCGTCACCTCTCCTGGAAGATCGACGCTCCTCTCCTATGTTATAGTCAGCAGCATATCTCAACTTGCCTTCCTGATAGGAATTGAGGCACCGAACCGCATGGCTACGTTGACAGAACAAGGCGGATCCAGTAAGGTGCTACGGTCAAAGCAGATGAAGAAAAACTAATCTGGTGAAAGCCGGTATGAGCTACTCGCAACCTAGCCCTGTGCCGCTTTGATCGATTAGTCTTATTAGAGTCTACGTCGTGTGCAACACAAGATATAGTGCCAATGACTTAGAATACCGAAGGTAGGTCTCGTGCATTCCCAGCAATCCCTGTAGGCTCCCCTTAAGATTGACCGCGAAGACCGGACACGGGATCTAAATGATTGCTGCCAGTTCAGTTTTTCTTGTATTCACCGTGTGTTCTTGATCCGAGAGATTACTCATTCCAGGGGACTCTGTAGCTTTTCAGTGTGAGTATCATGAATGGGAGCGTCTGCATCTAGGTCTTATTTAATTGTGAGGATAACAGCGCGGCTATACGATGCGATTGTGCTCCCATGGCGACGGCCAGACACGATGTGCGATCGCGACCAGTTCGAGCCAACCGATGAGTGACCTAGCAAGCATCGAAGTCATAGGCGTCGTATTCCTTCCCGTGCTGACACAAGTTGAGCTGCCAGATCGATCCCCCGCTGCCAATTATGCAAGAGGACCTTGAGCTGGTGATTGCATGTATCTTACTGCGTTCGACCCGCTGTGGTTTAAAACGTCTTGACAAAAGTCACGTGGATAAGGAACTCACAGACGGAGAATCGCGCAAGCTTACGATCGAAGTCGCCGGCGCGGGCCTGGTTGGTGCATGCATGGGATAGCAGACTGGAAATTCGGCCGCACGACAGGGCTGCACTGGGTCCCGGGATCATCTTAGAGTAGATCTTTCGTTCACTCTCTTGGCCAAGGTACGGTGTGTGCATGACGAAGGATTGCGAAACTTCTGGGTAATTGGAATTATTGTTTCAAGTAGGGGTTGGGGTCATGTCTGAAACCGGGCACTCACTAGGGTCCATGTGCTGCTGTGAGTAGCCACTTGAATTCAAGTGTCGCGAGTCGGGAAGATTCCCCGGATCCATCCCGTTGGGTAGTATATCCGTAGGTGTCTCTGTTCCTTTGCTAGAAACCCGACCAACGATAAGGGTGGACGAGAGCTCTAGTTTGCAACAGCTTTTAGTTCTGCGAGAGGGAGTTCGTTTGGGGATAGTATCCGTTTATGGGGAGCAGATATCCCTTTGAAACTAGACTCCTGACTATGTGTAGAAAGATGAGGGAGTTGAGGTATTGGATATACCACATTCTAAAGGAACAAGTGGAGTGAGATGTTGATCAAAGGCGAAGATTTTGAGGGGAGTCAACGATGGACCTTCCAAGAGGATCGGACAGGGGAAATGCATCAAATTATATACTAAATTTGATTCTAGTGAATATAAACGCAGGCCACTAGAACGTTCCTACATCATGGGAAGATAATCATCCATGACGTGGATAGCTAACCCGAACGGTATTACCGTATTACGGTTTTAGTATTCAGCAGGTAAGCCGCTGCCCTGCCTTTTGACCACTGTCCTCGAGAAGATAGCGGCATGACCGAAGGGTACAAGCCTCTGGTCGTTACACTGAGAAAGAAGAGGAAAGATGACACTCCATAGAACTCCTTCATCAATTACATAAGTAGGATTGGTCTAACTCGTGGTCGAAAGTTTCGAGTCTGTGTCTTCGCCGTTCGATCCTCGGGGGCCAATTCCTTGCCTCGTTCATCCTCTTTAATCTCCGATCCATCACTTCAATCGAATCCACGGCTTGGTTAAGGAGTATATTAACCACCGCTACTGGTGTTTAGAAACACCTTGTTGTACTGAGCACTGTTGTTTTCCACTTTCTAGGATGCCGGGGACGATGGACACTTTCCAACATGGCAACGTGTGATTCTGTCTAGGTTCCTCCTGGTTAAATCGATGATGGTTAGCCTCGTGAGTTCACCCGCGTCTTCGCCACTCCCCCGTTGATGCCTCCGCCGCAGATTAGATTTGTGTATTGCTAACATGCGAACGATCTTATTCAATGCTTTGTTTGTTACCGCCTCCGCTGCTTCTAAGCTCATTTCGAGGACTGTCGACCTGCGTATCGGTCGCTTCGACATTAAACACCATTCTCGCTATCCAGCCAACGTTCGGAAAATCCGATAGCAACGGCGAGTTTCTAGTTGAAATCGATTCTAGCCCAAAATATGGCTTCTTTCCCTCGATTAGACCATGAAACCGTCGGTCGGAGTGGCTCAAAGCAAGATTCACTCCCCTAGGCCGGGTTAGACGAGCGCAACTTGGTTCATGCCCTCCGGGCTAGGTAAGGAAATGGAAATTCTCGGTGAACGTATCGGGGAGCTTTTCCCCTGTCCTGGGGCAGGGTTTCGAGTTAAGAGGATCTGCAAGGAGAACGAATGAGGGTGTGATTGGAGGGGGGAAATAGGGGCAAATGGTTCTGGACTTTTCCCTGGTGTACTTGTACGCTGTTCACTCCTGGTCCGGAGACTAAGAATTGCATATGCTCCCTCGCTTTACAACGAGACATTAGATCCAAAGATGTCCCAATTTCACTAAACACGATAAGTACATTCTTCGCAGAAGAGTAGGCCGAAATGAAAGCAGTTCAATGATGAATATCAAGTCTATTGAGTAGAAGAGCTTCTACGACTTCACTCGACCGCCTATCACGTTACTAGATAGAAGATTCTTCAGCTCTCTACTTCATAAGGGCCTAATAAATCCTACTTCATGAAGATGGAAAGTATAGACCGCTATGCTCATCACAAGATGTTATACTCCAGACTCCCTACTGTGTCGGCTTTGTTAAGATTCATACTCCGACTATTGGGAAACTGCCTTGGGTTATTTATCCCTAGAGTTACACGACACCACGACCCTATTGGAATGTACTAATAAGGGTGGTTCCCTCGGTCAAGATCTGTGAGTACATAGTTGCAGGAAGGTTCTCTCTAGAACAGATAAGTAGAGTCACGTCCTCAGCAACGAAATTCTCGTCGAGCACGTTACATCGACTCGTAGATCTGCATAACTATCTAACCCCACGTAGGCCCAAACCTTAACATTGTCCTTGTTCATCCATTTTGCTCACGATGTCTATATGAACGAAGGACGAGCGATGTGAAGGGCGCTACTCACGGAGTGGGGACGCCCAAGTCTTGTATTGTATGGAACACTTCAAGGCGACTGGTTCGCAGTGCGACGCATACTAATACGTGAGGTGTACAAGGGGGAGGTGGCAAATACCATCCTACCAGGCCTGCCTATGGACCTGGGGGCTAGCTGTCCTTGGCTCGTACCTAATCTCGATTCGAGTGTCCTCCTGAACATTCATCCTCTTGGGGTGAATAATATTCTCCTCGCTGTCGCCTGTCGATGGCTCCATGTCCTCAAGCCGATAAACAGGGCCCTTGATTCGGTCCTGACCACCACCTGTCATCGATCTCGACGAGAGACCCTTCGACGTTGGTCCGTAGCCACCGGCGCTGCTGAACCCGCTGAAGCATGGGAGCTTCTTCACCAAGGGGCGCAATGCCGTGAGTGCGGCCGCGAAGATGCTCAGTCCAATCTCAACAATGGAACTGTCGATAAGGTTAGCAAGTGTCTACTTGGGGGCAGGGGCTCCGTGTGCATTCGTTACATACTAGATTGTTGCTTCAAGAGTCTTCGGGATGATGTTTGGACTTGCAAGACCTTCATTTTCCGTCATTTGAGTGACATCGATGACGTACTTGAGCCGAATGATGGTTGCAATGGAGCTCCTGCCCAAAGGTTAGCGGCGCCTACTACCAAACACCAGCTTGTCACATAAATGAGGTTTCTCTTACACTGCACCCAAACCAAGCAGAACCATGATGGAAATTTTCACCTTGAGGCGCAGCTGCGCTTTGTGAAGCATGTGAACGGGCAAAAGCTGGGCCGAGGCTGTTAGTTACGCGATAGATCTATGCATATGATCAGGACCGGAATTGTTCTTACCGCATACAACCAGCTGACAGTCACGTCTATAGCCGAGAGGGCAATTGCAGTGCGGCCGATGGTCTCGGTCGAAAGGCAGGTGCCTTTGCCTACGCCCCAAGCCACCGACAAGGGACGGCACTGCAGGGCGAAAATAAGTGCCGTGACGAGCGACCAAATCCCGACGATCGTCATCGACACAATCAAGGTGATGCGCACTAGGTGCATGTCGGCATTGCTGGCGAGTCGGTATAGAACGAGTCCCACACCTAATTTCGAGATGCCTGTCGCGAGAATGTAAACGATTTGGGCGATGGTGAAGAACTTCGAGGAAGCAAAAACCGTTAGTCCTTCTTGCAAGTTTATATCGGGGTTAAGATGGGCATGGCGGACTTACTTTGGCGGCTGTCACAGCTTTCGCTAGATATGCCATATCTGGGGCCTCTGGAGGTGGCAATCCGATGCCATTGTCAATTGCGACAAGCTCGAAGGCAACAAATATTAGAAACCCGACCTGTTCGCGGGTTAGCCTAACTTTGTTTGCGCTTGGACTCTCGTAGGGCGGTCTTGGTGGGTAAGCTCACAAAGGAAATGGCCATAGCAAAGTCGTCATAGCCGACAGCTCTGGTAATGCCGCGGGACCAGAATCGCAATCCAACGGCGACGGCGTTAATCGCCACGAAGGTCAGGCCGACCGGGTAGTAAGCCTCTCGCGCGGCGCTCATTTTTCCAGAGTGTTCGGATCAGCCAGCAAGGAAGAAAGGGCGTTGGGAGAGGAAGACGAGCGGCATGGAAGATTTCATTTGCAGAGAGGTCTCGACAAAGGACGGAAACCGCTGGATTGGATGGTAGGAAAATGGCAGTTCTTAACGGACAGGTATGCTTGAAGATCTTGCCAAAAACATTGCCCGGAATGCGACTCTGGTAACAAAAACAAGTGGTCCCATGGTTCAGGATCCCGAATCGTTGCGATCCCTGCTTTAAAGGGGGATGCTCTCTTTCCCCCCTTCTCTGCATTTAGCTTAGAGTTGCATCCAAACAATGAAGAAAAGAAAAAGTTTCCGCAGGTACAAACCCTCGGTTCTTCATTGCGTATGCACTAGTGTGACGGCGAAAGAATCCCCCGTAATCATACGAGGGGCGAGTTGAAGATGGGCTTCCCAAGCCAGTGGGTGCAACACTGCGCCATTATGTCCTATGTCGTTTCATTCGTCGCTGACTAAATTGTTAAGAAACCGTCATTACCCACACCCTCGCAGGGGTTTACGCCACGCTACGGAAGGCGGAACAGTATCCGGCACCTCGAACCTTGCATCCAGAATAGGCCTAAGGTGAAGATCGCCTCCCAACCGACTTGGTACCAACGGTTGCCCAATACCGGACGTGACGTGCGCATAACGCGCCATGACGAGTTCGGAGTAGTCTTGTCGATCTCGATCAAGATTGTATTTCCCAGCCCAACAGTTAGCACAGAGTACGAAGTAAGGCCCGAATGACAGCGGGAATAGTCGACTAAGCCGAACGTTTGGTTAGGGGCCGGGGACGCCACCCGGCCAGACTACGGCAGTAGCGTGGTGGACACTAGTGTAAATCACAAACCAGTCCGTTCCCTTTCCGTGCCTGGTACCTCCTGGGGATGTAGAGAACACAGGTACTTCATGCCCACTCCGAGGGGCTGGTTTTGGCCCCCCCCCCAGTTTCAACGCCAGCCAATCAGAACCAAAGAGTGTCCGAGGAATCCAACGGCCTGGCCCTGATGGGGTGCCGTAATCGGCATTGAGCGTCTTTGATGTGGAGGCGGTCCTGCTCCTAGGATCTTCCAACAGCTGCATTTCCGGTGCGCTAAACTATATAAACTATATAGAAAGAGCTTTACCTTCATCCCGAAGATTGTAGCCCAGGACATTGGGCCACCCCTCGTGGGGTTTAAGACCCTTGAAACGGCATTGATTTCGTGATTTCGGACGGTGGGTCTCGCCTCGCTAAGAACCTGCAGGACCACAATTGCAGGGTTTTCGAGAGAATTCGCTGAGGACCCACGTCTTAGTGAAACGGCGACAGGGATATCGATTTACATACACTCCTTCCTGTTTTAGTCGAGCAACAGGAGACCAATTTCATCGAATATGAGGGGTCGTTTTCAGGGGGATGAAAGTATACACACCGCATCAATGGCGCGAAGAAGAATAAAGAGAAGAAGAAGAAGAAGAAGAAGAAGAAGAAGAAGATGATGATGATGATGACGATGATGATGATAGCAAGCGGTGGGACTTTGGAATAAGCCCCCTTTGTACTTCGTAGTTTATTGTTTACGAAGTAGATTATCGACTATCTAAGAGGACCTCTCATTCATGTACCAATGCTGGGGCAGACCGTAAACTTCCGACCACATGCAGGAGGACACAGACCAGATGGGTCCGCCGTTGAGATGGGTCATGGTAAAATCTCCAAGATTTTGTCCGAAGGAATTAAGCGAGGGAGGTACTTCGTATGATCAACTACGAAGGAAATTCTCGACGGGGTACCATACCATTGTAGGAAAAGAGACTCCCTATGATTGGTCAACACCAGGATGAAGAAAATTAAACGGATTTTATGTCCTGGTTTTGTGAAAGGGGGAGGGGAGGGGAGGGAAGGGAAATAGGAAACAATGAAGGAAATCGGGCAAGGTCAGTTGACGTGTGCCCTTGACCCCACGAAGGGCGGTCAGACAATTAGTGGGGTATATATATGATCACTGTAGAAAGACGAGTGGACGCATTGGAGGTTGTTGGTAATTAACTAGTTGTCCCCGCGTTCTTGTTTTTAGCCTCCATACCGAGCATCTTCGTCGTCGCCAAAATGTCTTCCGCTAATCTTCAAACCCTTCCTATGGTGCCTGAGGAGATCACTGCCTCATGGCTTGGATCTGTTCTGGGCAACAAGGTGAAATCTTTTGAGATCACCAACAGCATCTTAAACGCAACTGCTGGCAAAATCTTCATCACTGTCACATACGAAGATGAGGAAGATGCCGCGACGCCTCGGCCCACGTATATCTGCCTCAAAGGAGGTTTCAACCCGGCCATGCTCGCCATGGAGGGCTACAGCGAAATCCTGAAGAAGATGTACTCTAAAGAGGTCGAGTTCTTCAACGTTGTCGCACCAACCTTGACCAACATCAACCTTCCCAAAGTCTGGAAGGCGGTGGAGAATCCCGAGCAGGGTCAGGGCATCTTGGTCATGGATGACTTGAGTAAAGCACACACCTTCGGCGACCCTGTGGAGGACTGGCCTGTCGAGCGTGTCAAGGCCGGCGTCGAACAGCTCGCAGCTCTGCACGCTGGCACCTGGGGCGCTACTCCCACCAAAGAATACTCCTCCTACGAGGCCGTAATGCTCGGCCTTGCCTTGAATTGGGAAGCCATGGTCCTCAGCGACGATCGGCCGCCCGCGCCGGAGGAGATCAGGAACCAGGAGCGCACGGTGGCGGCCCTCAAGAAGCACTTTACCACCAAAAACCCTAAGTTCGTTGCCGTATTGCACGGCGATCCACACATCGGCAACACTTTCATCGACGCTGATGACAAGCCTTATTTCCTTGATTGGCAAACCCACTACATCGGAACCGCATTCCACGACGTGACGTATTTCGTTCTCGGGGCGCTATCCGTCGAGGACCGGAGAGCTCACGAGATGGAAATTTTCGACCATTATCTCAAGGCTTTGGCGAAGTTTGGCGGCCCAACTCTCTCGACTGATGACGAGGAGGTCATGACGGAGTACAAGAAGACGTCGATCTGTGGCATGGGATGGGTTCTGACCCCGTATCAAATGCAAGGCAGAGAGCGCGTATTCGCCATGTGCAAGCGCTACAACGCAGCGATGGTGGATCACAAAACTATTGAACTGATCGAATCGCTACCTGAGCCCTCGGAATAAAGTGGGATTGATTAGTTTAGTTCTATGAAGAAATGAAACGATTTATCATGGTTCACGATGTGCCGTCAGAAGCATAATTTATCTCTCCGTTCGTTGAAAGGTAGCACGTGATTTCTTCTACATTGGAGAGACAGCGGACCGCCAACAACTGGGCACAAGTGTCTCCCCATGGACTTCTTCGAGCCTCGTGTTCTCCAGATCACATCGCTTCCGACTCTGGACCCGACGAATCCACAGCAATGCATGCTGGCAGTCCGAAGGAGAGACACGACCTGATCTCTTCCACATCATGTTGCATCCTCGTCGCCTCCCGCTGCCAAAATATCGAGGTAGCTAGGGGAACCCATCTTGTCAGGTCTGCTAAGACAAACTGCATTTTGAAAAGAAGAACTTGGAGCATGGAATCATGACTCTCGAAGCGTCGGACTGCTATCTACCGTGGCAAACACTGATGAAAACGATACCCACCGCTACGAAGATTCTACATATGGCTGTTCTACAAAGGTAGAGGAAGCCTTGAAATGCTGATTGAAGATACTCAATATCACTGGAAGTACAGTCGATCGATTTAGTTGGGTTGCTTCGAGCCTCCTTCATGTGCGTAATCATTTGAGGTTTCCCTTCTGCAGCATGTATAGCGACTAGATTTATCTCCATGGGGGTTTCCGATTGATGCGTCCCCAAGGTTCTATCCCTCCTCAAAAGATCCCTATCTGGAAGAGGGTGAAGAGTTGAGTATCTTGATTCGAATAAAGCGTCAACTTTATCTCGCGACTAACTTGACTGAAATAGATGATCGATTTTCCGTATGGACTTCCCTGACCTTGAAACGTACTAAAATTAGACACGGTTCCTCCTTTTGGCACTAGAAACTGCGTAAACTCTTCTTTTGAGGACTATCAATTGTGTTCCGGGACCGGAAATATTAGAGCTGTTGTTAAGACAAGGAAAAGCCAAAAAAAAAAAAAAAAAAAAAGGGAAAGAAAAGGAAAAAAAGGCTATCTCCGAGGCTCTCGTCCTGAGCCATCTCTGACCACAACCTCCGCTGGACTCAGGCGAGTCTTACCCTGCGAGAGTGATCCGGTTGCCTTGTCCCCTCTCACAACACCTCCAAACACAACAAAAGAGACTTCAAAGTTGCGACTCTCTTCAGGTTTGGGGCCTTCACTCCCTATGATGTTATACAAATCGGGAGACAATTTAGATACCTCTTGCGCCGGTACAAGCTGCTCCCACGTGTAGTCGATATTCGAGGAGCGGAATGCAAGGGCCATTTCCATGACGCGGAAACATATCTTCTCAAGATCGGCGAGGGCACCTTGTCGCTTGAATTTGTCATCTTTGTCAGAGAGAAAGGGGGATATATCCTCCAACATCTCGCAAGCGACCGTATTTGGGTAGATTTGATTTTTGCCTTGAAGAGCTTCTCCGGCTTTGATTGTGGCGATTCGCCACTCCTTGATAACGGATTCTAATTTTCTCAACATTCAGCTCCTATGCGATGTACCTCGGTACTGAACAGAAAGTCAATATATACCATACCTTCGCATGTCCTGCGGCGCCTCAGTCGTTCTTCTGTTGCCCAAAACGGATTCTTGTATTTGAGATGATCATTGATTCCAAATAGGAGCGAGCAAGGAGGGTGGAAGTGCTGGTGCAAGAGGTTGGCAATTACCGAGCGCAGAAAAAGCTCTTTCACCTCGGATGATGCATCTTGTATCGAAGAGGGCAACTAAACAAGGCCTGAGTCGGTACAGAGGTGTGCTCTCACAAACTGGAGGATGTCGCTTTTCAGCACCAGGAACTGCCGCTGGACCTCTCCATCATCGGGACTGTCGTCCTTCCTCTTTGCCCTAAGCATCATTTTCTGAAGGCTGTTCATTTTGGCGGTTTGCTCGGCAAGTCGCCTCCGTAGGGCATCGTTCTCTCCCCTTTCGCCAATCAACATTTGCCGAAGGTTTTTAACAGTGAGTCTGAGCTCGTCGGCCTCAGTTGCACACGCCTGCATGGCCTGGGTTTCCCTTTCTTCTTTAGGGATGGGTGTGAGTTTGGGTGTGTGATTCGGGCCGGCCGCTTGAGAGTACTGCGGATGATATTCAGTACATTGGTGGCTATTATTATTTTGGGGGGTGGGGTTGGGCGGATGATTGAGGACATCATGCTTACAGCTACGGCTTGAGAACAAGCCGTCATTATCTCCTGGAGTTTGGGCATCAAACCCCGTCGCTCCTCAGAGTCTCCCTCTGGGGCATCAGTGTTCGTAGAAACAGCGTTTGTGGAAGCTCTAAAAAGTCCTGGCGGAGGCTCGACGGCAGGGGGCGGCATGGAATAGGACCTCCACGCATGAGTGAGTTGACCGAAGTCATCTCGAAAGCTCTTCAATTCCATAAGAACCTGTTGCTGAATCTCTATGAGTGCAAGCGCCACATCCACTCCACCCTCTACGATCGGGAGTCCTGTGGATTGCGACATAACGTTGGGAGTTATGGGCCAATTTTCGGGCTGAACGGCTGTGAATTTGGTGGATATGATGAGAAACCTCGTTCGAGTTCCGTCAAATTTTAAAAGGTTGTGTGTGAATCTCGATCCCTTTTATAACTCCCTTCGTGCCTGGACCCCTCAAACTCTTCAGTCGACCCTCGCGACCTCCCTGAGGGTCTGTTTACAATTTAATGCAAACCTACTTTATACAGTAGGTTAACCTTAGATGAACTGACCATCAAAAAAAAGCGCGACCCTGGGTTCGAAGCCGACCATGTTATTCGAACTAGCCAAGACTACCAAACAGTCCGCGCCGTTCCGGTGATGTGAGTTTAAAGGTGTTGCTAGAGTGCTACGGCAAATGGGAGAGGGTCTTATAGCTTCGAATCCAAAACAATCCGGAAAGAGCCGCATTTTACTGTGAATCCTCCACCGGAGATGCTTGGAGTAGTGGAAAGATAGAAAGATAAGCGCGGCTAGCCTCACCCACCAGTTCGCGACACACGTGCCTCGAGATGGTAGAGAGCTACCAGGCCTCAAACCTTGGCATCACGCTTCCGAATTCTACGACCCTTTTTCATATGAAAAGAATGGAGCACGTGTGCCGGGAGATTTAATTTGGATTTGTAGCACAGCATATATGACCTTGTGTTGTGCCCACCTTCGGTTCCATTGTATCCAGGGACTTACTCTTTCACATAACGGCGAGATTCCGTGAGATCCTCTCTTCAATACTTATTTAAATCCGGTTCTTCTTTTCCAAACAGGCTGCAACAAGATGGGTCCCCCCGGATATTCAACCGAAAGAAAGGAAGCAGAGGGCGACACCCTCGTCATTGCCCTTGACTTTGGCACTACATTCAGTGGGTATGTTTCTCTGCACCCCGCCGCTCTGTCGGTCCCCATACTCTGCCATTTCTCTCTATTTTGTTGACTCTTCTGTATCTAATCTATGATAGGATTGCTTACGCCTTCTCAACCGATCCAGAGGAGATTTATCCCATTACAAACTGGCCCGGCGGTGAAGACCGAATCGCACCCAAGACCCCAACCGCCATTCGATATGGCAGAAGTCTAGATGTGAAATGGGGATACCAATTAGACCTCACCCTGTCTGATAACATTATGGGCCTCAAGCTCCTTCTGGACCCGGAGCAGAAACGGCCATATTACATTCCAACTGATATTAAAGCAGAGATGGCGAAACTACCCAAATCTGTTCTAGATGTCGCCGCCGACTATATGAAGGCTATATTTAGCCATGCTCTCCAGGAGATAGTATCGGATGCCATTGATCCAAGCTTCGTCGCCTGCTACCATAAGAAGTTTATGCTCACTGTCCCGGCCGTCTGGTCAGACAAAGCGAAGGACCTGACACTTCGGGTACGATTGAACTCTTATCATGCCTTGCTCAGTTTGTTGAACGGGTTCTCACGGTACATATCGTAGGCTGCAAAAAAGGCGGGGATTTATCCAGTGCAAATGATTGCGGAGCCTGAAGCCGCCGCATTGCATACTCTCCACTCCATGAAAAATAGAGGACTGAAGGTAACGCTACCGCTGCAGGATCTCCCGAAACCACATATCGGACATCTTATGTGTCTATTAACCGAAAGGCTTCCCCTAATCTAGGCTGGTGACGCAATCGTGATTTGTGACGCAGGAGGCGGGACAGTCGATCTCGTGTCCTACGAAATCCTTAGTTTGGACCCCTTCGAACTGAAGGCATTGACAGCTCCGTCTGGTAAGTGCTTTCCATTGATATCATTCCTCCTCCCTTTTAGATTTCATGTCTACTTCTCTTTTTCTTCTTGACGTCGACTGGGAACATGCGAACTAAGCATCAGTAACAGGGGGCATTTGTGGGTCGATGATGGTTAATAAACTCTTCGAGGAAGAGATAAAGAAGGTAGTTGGAGACAGCGCATACGCCGAATTGAAGAAGACCCCCGCGTATCGGTGCGCTCTGCGAGACTTCGACGGCGCCATCAAGCCGGCTTTCCGGGGGAGAAACGACCCGGACAGATTTGTGAGCTTTCCCATGGCGGGGTTAGAAGACAACCCTGCTCGTGGGCTCCTGAGTAACTCGATGACTTTGTCTGGGTTAGTTTTTTATATTACCGGAAAGCGAAAATCCCAAGGGGATCGATCAGTTGGACTCGACTAATAAGAATCCTTCAGAGATACCATGTTTCGCATCTTCGATCCCATCGCTCGGGAGATCGAGAAACTCGTTTCCGAACAAGTGAGCAGCGTTCGTATGGAACGACTGCAGCTGAAATCCAAGACAAAGTCGGCAGTTAAGGTGAGGTTGAGTTGTAAACTTTCTACATCCGGAAAGGCTCTCTACGCCCGTGACCACTCTCTTGGACGAAGCTTACAAGCATTTCTTCGGTTCGTAGGCTATATTTCTTGTTGGTGGATTCGGATCCAGTGCCTATTTGAAGCAAGTTATCGAGAAATCAAATCCTGGTATTCTCGTTATCCAGCCTCGGGAAGCGTGAGTGTTTTCATTGCAGGGTATTAACCCACCATCTATTAACTTGAATAAATTACTGACAAAACCGTCTGGATCAAGTTGGTCTGCAATTGTGAGGTACGTGACATCGTGAAGAGCTATTAATTTGCGAATAGTCTCTAGCATGTCTAACTGATGTTTCTTAGGGGAGCGGTCATGAGCAAGCTGGGCATTGCCCCAGTCGTCAAAACCACCAAAGCGCCCAAGCACTACGGCTCCAGCGCCAATTCCACATGGAACTCTTCCAGGGACCGTGGCCATCTCAAGATATGGGATAAATGGGCGGAGGTGGAAAAATGTAAAACCATGAGCTGGTTTATCTACAGGGTGAGCTATGGAGTGCGTGCGAGTCGAGAAGCGCCAGAACAACTGACGTGATGGAAAATTAGGGTGAGGATTTGGTCCGAGGCAAGAAGATCAAGCTTCCCTTCTACCGATCTCTGGGAGGGTCCTATCCCCGTGGCCGAGAGCTTCAGTTCGTTGACCACCTCTACGAATGCAATGCTCTCCTGGCCCCAGCACATCCCAATGGAGGTACGTGAGATCTGCATTCGCACTTTTATTGATTCAACCGCAGTAAGGCCTACGCTATGTCAATGTATTAACCAGTTATATAGTCAGAGTAAATTGCACTTTGACATCAGACCTCAGCGCAGCACCGCGTACTTGCTTCACCACCAAACAGCGGCCGTCCGATGGGGAGTTTTATACCGAGATCCATTACCACCTCGTAATTGAGAATGATTCGTCCGGGCTGATGAAATTTTCTCTCGAGGTTGATGGGAAGGAGTGTGGAACAGTGAACGCAAAGTATTAATTGCCGTCCGCGGACCGACAGCTGTTGATCTCAGAAGCGCTATAAGACCCAATCATCACTCGCGGAGGGATGGCCAAGAGAGTCTTTGAGAAAATCAGTCCTTGACGATTCTCGAATGCCATTCGACAAGGCATCTTTACTAACAGCAGTAAGCTTTGATAATATATCTAATCTCTTTTGCAGTTTAATCCTCGCCTGAAGGCTAGGCAGGGTCACCTCAGAGCAAGATTTCGCAGTCTCTCTTCCACGGATCACAGCTCCTTCAAAATGTGTGAACTATTCCAGTAGTATTTTTTGATCCTTCCGATGAGGAGCATCGTAGCTGGATAGAGTGAATACAGCGTAGGATAGATACATTTTTTACAACACCATACCCTTGACCTGCGATGTTTTGGCGACATTGATATTTCGGATCAGGAGGATCCAAATGAAAGACAGAGCCATGATTCCCGTTCCAGCAGCTAGCATTCTCGTCTGGGCATAACCGTATGCCTGCTGGATACCCAGCCTCTCAGGGCTCCCAACCTCATAACTGAGCTGGACGTCCAAACTGTTGTAAATATCCTCCACGTCAGGCAGGGTGGATTCGGGAAGGTTCTTCTCCAGCGCCTTTCTGAATGTGTTCGTCCAGATTGCACCAGAGATCGTATTACCCACCGCGCCCCCAACATTCCCAGCCACATACAGAAGAGCCAAGCCAGCAGCAATATGCTGATGGTCGACGGCGGCCAAAACGGCGATTTGTTCGCAAATGATGAAGATGCTTCCACCGACGGAGATGAAGACTTGACACATGACGATATAGCCGATGTATCCATTGGGGCGTCGGAAGTATATCATCAAGCCCTGAGCGAGGATATAGAGTGGAACGGCAAAGAAGAGAATCCACTTGAAATAGCCTGTCTTGCGAATCAACAAACCGACGAACAGCAAGAGTACTCCCGAGACCACATCAAATGTGCTGCCAACGTAACCAGCCTTGGATACGCTCAGGTTATTAACTACCTGCAAGAAGGAGGTGAAGTAGCTGTTCCAACAATAATATGAAATCTGGTATGTCATGCAGAGGAGGCAGCCTCCAATCACAGTCCGATCGGACAGGAGACTGAAATTGATGAATGGCTTCGGGGCCAGCATGGCTTCATAGACGCCGAACATGGCCAATACTGCGAATCCGACCACTATCATGGCAATTATGTAACCTGACGACCAACCTTTGGGCGCGGTGTCGGCGAGAGTAAACGGAAGCAAAAACACCGTAAGACCGCTAGCGAACAAGATGACCCCGAGAGCTAACGAAGAGAAGATTTAGTACATGCCAACATCTCTTGGTTTGGGACGTCAAGGCGCATTTCTCACCATCAAATTCTACGACGTAATGCTGGACATTTTGAAGTAGCGTCCTGCCACTCCTTTCTCTGAATAGAATGCCTTGCTTCTTGGCCTTGTGCAGGTTCACCTTCAAGACCACGAATAGGGGAGCAGCGACGAAAGGCAAGATAATGGCAAAACACCCGAACCCCCATCGCCAATTGACATGAGTATAAAAGCTCTCGGAAGCCTTTGGGCCAGCGAATGCCGTTATCATGTATGGAGATGATGTAAATGCATACGCCAAGCCACGATTCTTTAGTTTAGACGCATCGGCGGTGATGACATCCACACTATACGTCATTCCTCCGAATCCGATAGTGTAAAAAACCTGGTGAATCCGTTAGAGTTTACTTTCGTTCTCCACAGCGATTTATCGTCGCGCTGGCGTATTGGGTCATACCTCCGCGGCGCAGAATGTGGAGATTCCGTGGCTGGTTGCCATGAGAATCAATCCCAGCGTAGCAAAAGCCGTCATGACAAGAAAGCCCTCGGCTCGGCCCCAAACATCCAGCAGCTTCGCCAAGGGAATGTAAATTGCAGCGGACATGGCATTCGCAACGATGTAAATGACAGTCAAGAGCGAATGAGTTTCGAAATCGCTCGTGACATAGGGTATTAAATTGTAGAGAATCGAGGCCTGAAAAGCGTTGACGAAGTAAAGCAACCACATCCTAGAGGCGGGGGAATGGATTCCGTCAGCCGAATAATCCCAGAGAAATGTTCTCCTTGCGTAAATACCTACAGGAGGAAGACCGCAACAAGGGACGCCTTGGACCAGGTCAGCGTAACCGCCTCGATTGTCTTGACACCCTGCTGAGCATCTCCGGAAGGGAGTTCCGGCCATGGCTTCAAATCAGCGTCGTTTTCCCGAACAGCAGCATCGCTGACGCCTGTGACATTCTTGTTCTCCTCAAGTGTATGCACAGCGATGTCAGTCGCTGCTTCCTCGGCCGTCGTTCGGCGGAAGCCTGCACGAAGCCTAGGAATCACTGCCATTTTGTTCGTTTAATTTTGCAAGGGAAGGAGAACATGGGACATTGGAGAGACATGAGAAGATGGAGAGACGATGAAGTAGGATGTCGTCCCCACTAAATAAAACCAGAGGAAAAAAAAAAAAAAAAAAAAAAAAAAAAAAAGTGCGTCCCTCCATCGCAGTGCTACCCTGCCGTCGCGAGGCATGATTATTACGAATAAGTTTCCATCAGGCGGATATTACACCACAATTTCGCGGGGGTTGGCGATGCAGCTCGAGGTGCATCTGATAAGATTAGATCGAATCACGAATCTTGACAACGGAAAAACGGCACATAAATGTCAAGGACGCATCGACTTCGGGTCTAGTTTGTGAGTCCACCGCTCTCTTATTGGCTGGTTAGATTTCATTTCACATCAACTATCGACAAAACTAAGCTTAAAACGGAATCTGTCGCTTCACTGGAGCCCAGATCCTTGGACCGTGTGCGACCATTTCAAGGTAGACTCTCGGAGCTCGAATGGCGCCAGAGCTGGAAAGGGTTTGAAGGATTCGAGAGATCAGGGAAATCCGCCTCGCAATCCTACCATCATGTCACTAGTTACATAATAGTGCCAGCAGGGCTACTCGACCGGCTCACTATGACGGTTTTGGAGGTCTAAACTAGGACCTCAATGCTTGCTCCCTGAGAAGATAGTGGGTGTGCGAAACCGGAGGACGCTTCTAGAACTGTCAAGGGTCGCGTCCCTGTCAATCCATGCAAGTCGGGTCAGTAGGTGTCAGGGTCTTGTTAGATCGTCTCACGATTGAATCGATCTCGTCTATCGGAGCACTTTCATGCGATGTGGCGCCACAGGGAAGTTGTCCTTGGTTTTCTGACAACTTGACATACGCATACAGCTCATTCTTGACTTTCTGGTATCCACCGTCAGTAATATTCTCCTCTCTGCGGTGTCTTTAAATAGTAAATATTGAAAATGGGCCTGAGGTCGACGGCATCTTTTTTCCTATTAGAGGACGACCGCGAATACTTAAACATTTTGATGTGGTTATATAGGGCAGTTCTCTGAGTTGAAAGCTTCACGAAGACAGCGCTGCTGAAACAGAGTAAACAAAAAAACAAGAACTAATGATATCGAATATCGTTATCCATGCGTGCTGAAGCTGATTAATACAGCCAAGCGAAACGTGGTGGTATTAGCACCCGCAGCCTGCAAAGTTGGACTCTCACTGAGGCCGATCGAAAAATAGTGTAAGTGGAACGGGCTCAAACCTGGATTTCGCGGTGACTAATCGAGGTGACACTGGGACACAACATGGAATGCAGCAAAGGTGATCGAGACAGGGAATACAACGCAAAGTCGGTGCTGGGGTCAAAGTCCTCCTGCGGTGTATTCAACATCAAAAGTTGTTGGCGGCCTGGCCGGCTGTCTGCCAGCTGTCGGGGAGCTGCTGTCGAACCTCGAACCAAGTTTAGTATCATTCATTCGTTCGTTTCTTTCCCAGGAAATTTCTTTCCTGCTCAACAACGTTTGTTCCCACAATAGTCTTTGGTTGTTAACGATTATCTCAGCATTGGCATGTTTGGTTTTTGTTGGCATGGCTTGGGTGGCCTGATTCGTCAAGGGAAGACCACAATACAGAGAGGCACACCGCTAGTTTCGTCCGTCAAAGAAAAACATGATGAACCCACTTCATCCTAGATCTTAGCCTCCCTCACATTCCATGGAGAGATATTATCCGCAGACATCTTCCTGGCTAAAATGGCGCCTTCTCTTTCACCTTATCCCAGTAGCACGTTTCTGGGTTTGCCCCTAGAAATTCGCGACCAGATTTACCGGTTGTGTGTCCCCCAAAATCTTGTTTTCAACTATTCCTGGAACCGTTCCGGTGCATCCCGAGAAAAGGGCTTTTGCGTGGAAGAGCCGGCTTCAGAATACTTCTATGGGACACTAGGGCCAAAAGCTGCTTTGCCTGCTCTACTCCTTGTGTGTTGCCAGATTACGGAAGAGGTGGAGAGAATGTTATACGGACGCAATACCTTCAAAATTCAGATCGATAATCAAGCCCAATCAAATTTCGCTCAGCTCCTCAGCACCGAGAGAAGAAGCAAGATGAAGAAAATCATAATGGTTTTCGAGGCTGCGGAGATGCTCTCTCGTCCTGATTTCACGATGAATCCAACAATCTGGGATGGTGTCCTTGGGAACGTGACAATGCTAGGCATCGTGGCAAAGCAGCCGGAGCATCGGAAGAACGGGTCCCCGGAAGGTGCGAAGGATATTTTTGAAGATTGGGCGGCGCGGTTGAGGCCAAAGTTGGATTACCTGAGCCGGGCCCTTTCTGGTTCGGCTCAGGTCATCGTGGATGCAGACAACATGGAAGACACCATTCGGATTTTCCAAGGCTTTCGAGAAGTGATGTCGACGCACTGCGTCTTTAAGCCTTTGGTCACCGCTGATTGTATATTCGGTCGAGGGAAATTCTCTTCAGAGCATGGACAAACTAGCTTTGAATGGGTGCTTTGGGACTACCCATCCTCATCCTCATCGGCTTCGTCCGACTACTACATTTGAGACCGGGAAAGAGCCACATAAAGTTTGATGGAACAAATGCATAGCTTCAGTCTGTTCGGCTAGCTTAGGGACACAAATCATCGTTTATTACAACAACATCCGTGTGGGTTGCCTTAAAGAGTAGACTGAGAATGAGCCAAGATCCCATCGCTACGGCTTCCAAAGTGAACCGTACATCTTGATTCTCCAGGCATGTACGCAAAGGCAAAAGCCCTCGAAGTCGTCCATAGCAACAGCTTTTGTCCCTGACCCGGCGTCCGGGAAACAAAAGGGCTATTTAACAAGGTTTGCATGGCGACCTCCCGCAGCAACTATAACAATCCCTCAAAACCCTGGCACAAAGCCCGTTGCAGTTCGGGCTGCCACCGCAAGTTGGATCGCAGTTCCATTTCTGTCGACAGGCAATGGCGCATGCCCATTGCTGGTATGAGTTGCAGGCTTGGCGAGCTGTCAGAGTATGTCGCATCAGTAGTGGGCTCCTGGCTTAGAAACAGAACATCACTCAAGCTGAAGCTCGAACACGTCAAAATCCTACCTTCAAGAACATTTCCCTCGTCTTCCCAAACTGGCGTTGTGGCTCCCCAGGTAATACACCCGGACGCGAGCACGAGAAGAGGCAACTTCATCGGTAGCGGGAAAATTGATTGTGTTTCGATTCGGCGGTTGCAATGCGAAAAGGAAGGGAAGGTGAATAAAGAAAACAGAGAAGAAGTTGGCAAAGTTTACAGCCGTGGCATATACCTTTTGTAGCAGAGCTTGCCCTTTATGTTTCTTTATATTCGTGAACAATACAAGTGGGATGGATGTCGTTTCCACGCATTCGGCTCAGCCCTACAGTGAATCGGTCTCATATATTTCCCGGCTTATGTGACTCCCATTGTACCCACAGCGTCAACTCAAACTTGACCGAGAAAAAGCAGCCAGATGTCAGCAAGGATTTCAGTGCTGATCAATACCTAGAACGGAATATTCCCGAGAATTAGGATTAGTGATATTAATGCAGCAGAGCCCAGCCTCATCGTCCAGTATCCAGTAGACAGATGGGGAGATGACGATCGCGAGTAAAATTAGCGTTCTGGCGAGATTCTTATTGGAGGCAAGATAATATGAAACGGAGCATTAACAAAATGCCAATAGTCATTCGCCCGTCTTAAGCAAGGGACAAAGATGGTATGGTGTGCGAAGAGGACCCCAACTTCCGTGAGTACTAAAATAATAGCGTTGTTGGGGTGCATGAGATCATTGGGATGGCTCCTTCGCTGTCCCGCTTGATTGTTTGCCAGTCCTGAGATTCATTGATTACGTAACATCACTCGATATCCGGGTTTCCATCTTCCGGAGATCAGTTTTATGTTCATGGAGGAGTTTCCACCATATATCTTTACGGGTTACGGGGCTTCTGACTCCAAGGCTTTTCTGGAGGTCGGGTATTCTATCACCACGGGCATATCCATCGACTGTCCACCAACAGATAGTCGCACGCTCCAACGGGCACATCTCCCCCGTCAGGTACCCCTGAGCCCACTACTTCCTTTGCACGGCCGGAAACTACCACGACCCTGCTTTCTGCACCCCTGGCCTATTGAGACCTCCACGTCTCGTGGTGATGAATGGCACTGTCGCCCAGGGGTCCACGGGCCGACAGTGTCGGCCTCCAGACATTGACTTTGCCGAGACACGCCCGCCGGGTCCTGGATATAGCCCACGCCTAATGGGTGGCCACCCCCATCGACACGGATACCAGTAATGGACATGGGCGCAGGAAGAGGTACGGCAAAGGGGATGGTGCGTATCGAAATTCGAAATGGAAGAGGATGGTATCGAGAACGAAGAGACAAGGTTAAAGTATTTCTGGCATTCCGGCTTAAGAGAAGGGAAAGGAGGTGAGCCCAGACCAGTGTCAGGATGGACCGATTTATAGGCGGGCCAAAATGGAGATAAAGACAAATTCTCTTATTAGTTTAATAGATTCAGAGACGGTTGATTCTAAACTCAGCGACAAAAAATAGGGGCCTCAAATCTCGAAATATAGTCGTGCTCGTCAAGCTAGCATCCCCGTGGGCTCATAGATCCGGTCCCTCACGATCCCTTTACAAATTTGCCGTTAAGTTGGTATCCTAGACGCATAGGCCTTAGGGTTTACGTCCCCATACGACCTTAATGCGGTAGTAACCATGATTCCGGCGGTCGTGGACCTCACGGCGGAACATGGCGTTGAAGACGGCAAACTGCTCCCTAGACCACCCGAGAATGCTGGTTACGAAGGTGAGGAAACCCTCCGGGTCGCCCGTCGCGAAGATCTCGCCGTAGAGGCCCATCTCCTTTAGTTTGCGGTCTTTAGGCCAGGGGCTCATCGGACACTTCAAAGTCCCCGCGTTAGGCCACTCTGTCACCGTCGCCACACGGAGCTAGCAACGTACCTTGTAGTTCCACTCCTGCAAGTCGACAAACCCGGCTTCCTCCATGGCCTTCCTTTGGATACCATCCCGAACAACCGTAAACGTACGCTCAGTCTTCTTGGAGCCCTCGACGAAGACATCGCCCCACTGACCCATGGCCATCTGGGGTGTGATGGTACCGTCGTCGCTCACGATATAAGGGCAGCCTTCAAAACTCTCAAGGTAGCCTCCAGGTTTTAGAGTCTTGAAGGCTTGCTTGAAAAGGGCGGACCAATCCTTGATGGTGCCGATGAGGTAGCGAATGTGGACGTAATCTGCCGAGTCGGGCTCAAATGTCCATTCTTGCGTGCAGTCGTCGATTTCGAATTTCAAGTTGGGAGGGACCCAGCTCGGTTGGATTGGGGAGATGTCGGTGCCGATAACCTCGCAGTTGGGGAACTCGTCGGCGAAGTCACTGTTGCCCTATTAGCTGATGGACTTTCGCTGGGATGCGGCACATGAAAACGCGGAAAGCTCACATCGCCCACGTGCCTGCAGAGGAGGGAATGCTTATTAGTCTAACCACGTCGAAAGAGATAGGGAGTGAAGAGGATATGTGCCGTACCGGTACCGCAACCGATATCGATAGCTTTCTAAAGGTCCAAGTCAGCAAATCATCATTGCCAGACGGGAATAGCAGGGACATTCCTACATACCTCGATATTGGGCGAGAGGGGGGCAAGATACAGCTTGCCATCTTGAGCAAGTGTCCAGATGTGATGGCTACAGGAAAATTAGCCAAAAAAAGCCATCACCTCCACTGCGAAGGAAAAATTGGAACAATCACATAATATCCATCGATTCGCTTTGACGTTCGTCGTTGGATCCCCTGAACAGCAATCAGAAAACGAGTCATGAGCGGGCCACCGCCGGCGCCTTTTTGAATATTTTTTTTTCTAACTGACCAGTAGAGAGCATTTCCCGTCTCGCTATGGAACCTTCGCCCATTAATCGTCCTATACCGTAAGATGCTCGAAGTGATCGAAGCTGTCGAGGAGGAGGCATCGCCGAAAGCTGAATCCGCATCGTCATTCGCGGCATCGTCAGCCTCTATCGCCTCCTCAATGCTCGGGCCGACAGCGGGGGAAGTTCGTCCCTTGGGACTACCGCTCGACTTCGGGCTACCCCCCGCGGACTTTGGACTTGTGGCGGCCGCCGCCTCCTTCGGCGACGTCGAGTGTTCTTTTGTGGTGGTAGTTTCGGTCATTGTTGATCGGGCATGGGGCGGCACGATGTTTGTTATGGAAGGGAGGAAAGCGGAATACAAAAAGATGCGAATGCGATGACTGCTCAAATAAAACAACGAAACAAAAAAGCAATGGCGGGCGGCGCATGCCAGCGCAGCCGAGGCGCATATCCCTCCGTACAAGGGAACCCTAGCGCCTGCGCGTTCCCCCATGTTGTTTGTTTCTACAAATGGTCACTATTGACAACCGACGTGGGCAGATTATGCCCTGCAAGAGTCACTCTGTTCCATGATCAATTCCTCCCCAAACACCTGTCAGATGCCCGTTGACCCGCTTGGTGATTTCTAGTAGCCATTAGGGTTCTAACACAAATACCTTGGGCCCAAGCCCCTCTTGTCCGTTCTTGATCGACATTAGTTTATCCTCTTTCTTATGGCATCAATTTGAAGATTATGAAAAGTGACCAAAGTCTGCTTCTCTGCCCTCTTGCCATCAGATGATCTGGTCGGTTGGCTCGAATTTGCCTTGGCTGCGGGGCTTTCGAGAAGCATCACGACCATAACGGGCAAGTGAAAGTGCGCCGTTTGTGATGGCGGAGACGCTAGGGGAAATGAGCCGCACTCCGCGGTCACATATCGTAAATTCGGCGAGTCTGATGCAACGCACGCTTCGTGGTCCCAGCCAGAACTCGCAAATTCGCACGCAAACAAGCTAACTAAACTGAATGAGAAGACGGACACACCTTTGCATCTGCCGGCGGCCCGAACCTGGCGTGGTGCTTAAAACTCAGCCAATTAAACCCTTCAGGGCCTTCACCAGCACTCTTCTTGTGGCGTTGTGTGTGTCGACTCGACGGGCGGGGTAAGTCCAGACCCTTGTCAGCCAGCCAAGATTCCGAATATTCTCACGAAAATATTATCGACCTATCGAGACGGTCCTGGAAGTGTCATCGGTGAGAGACTTCTCAGTTTGTAGGGCCGTTGGGAGTTATTTCTGGCCAGGACTATAGGGGGATCGGGAAAAGAAATTTCCGGCTCAAGGTTAAGGTCAGCGATCTTCCTCATCCATTTCTTCAAGTTCTTTAAGTCTCAAGTCTCAAGTTTTAAAGCTAGGTCTTGTAATGTTGTCTTAGTTCAGTCTTTATAGTTTATTTATGTTCAGTTATCCTCCGGTGGCCAGCCAAATCACCAAATTCTAGTGTATGGGCATCCGACATCACGACAGCTTGGAGGAAACTGGAAGAATAGATATATCTGCAGGGTTTATGAGATCATTCGCATCACAGGAATAGAGTGCCCCGCCCGGTGCAGTGAGGTAGCTGGCTCCATCATCATCATACGACGGCATACTTTAAGTTGGCCCACCTATACAGCAACTCGTCCAAAATCCCTCGATGAAGCGAGCGTACAGAAGACGCGAATCTTGGACGAATGCTAACAGAGTCACAGTCGCCACATGGCGGTGACTATGGTTCGAAAAATAGACTTAGGGTGGATCCCAGATCTCAGCTTGATCTTCCTGAGATTACCATCAATGTCAATAGAGAGAGTATCTGACAAGTGATCTAGATGGCTTGATGATGTCATTCTCTCTAGAAGGGATGTCAGTTCGTCTAGTTATCTAATCTAGGTAAAGGACGTTGGAATAGGGAGAGTCTATCTACGGGCGAAACCGTTGCAGCACGGAGTTTATTACAAACGATGAAATGTGTGAGGATCATGATATTACCAAATGATCTGACGTTGATGGAAGTGCCTGGTGTATATATGGAGGCCCGCGGTTTTTGAGAATTAGCTTTGGAGTTTTCTTTCTGTCACTCTTCTAATCACCGAATCACCGCCATACTACTGTCAAAGAAATCAGTATTGTTTTCATCGTCCGGATCTCCACGATAAGGCAGCATTCTTCGAAATGGATACTTCACATGCCGGGAGCGACCCTTGGATCGCCGCCAGAGTCAAGGCCGAACTTATGACGGAGAACGCAATCCCTGGTAGCGGAGACATCAGGGTATCTTGCGTTGACGGCAAAGTAACTCTCTCCAGCGATGCTCCGGTACCCGAAGCCATGAAACAGAAGGCCATATCCATCGCAGGGAGCATTAAGGGAGTCAAGGGCATTTCGGCCGAGGAACTTCTTGAAAGAGGTGGCGAGACTGAACACGGAAGATTCGGGGTAGACAATCTGCTTTCCCGGGAATAAAGAACACGGGACAAATGTATATACATGGGTTGTGTGGTGCTGCATGGGAGAAGGCCCCGAGAGACAAGCCTCAACCCACAAGATTCCCATCGAGCCAAGCACGAAATATCGAGGCCTCTTTCTCGAACGCCGCACCAACAAATGCCCCCTCCATACGCTTGCACCTGCTACCAATTAGATTCTACTGTTCCCTCTACCGAAAATCGAAAATATATGAGAACAGAATTTCATTTTTGTTAGTGTTAATTATTTCGTGACGTCACGCTCCGTAGTCTAACTGTATCCATGGTGGCGTCAATTCTCACCCTCATTGTGCCCTCGGCAGTAGGTATGGGTCTTCGATTCAGCTTGCGGACATCATAGAAAGGTCGGCAGCAACCGCCTCGGATCTATTACAACTAGCAGCAAAGTAACGGCGTCGCACCTGAATCCCTCCACGGTGATTACGAGTACCGACAGCGATAAGCAATATTAATACAATCGTGGGCATCTCAACTCTCGTGATCATGAATCACAGTTTCATCAATGACTTCACATGCTCGCTGAACAACAAATCACAGCCAGCAAATGTAAACTCACTCAGTCCTTCCTCTTCCAGCCCATCACTGAATACCTGGGTCTTCTTAATTCTCTGTTGAAGTTCCCAAGTGACGGCTCGGTGAAGATTGGTGTTATCAATTCACCTGACACCTCTGAGATGTCATGAGAAGAAACTACGTATCTGAGCCGAATGCACAACACCGCAGATTCCAAGTGCAGCACGGCTACCTAAACATTTAGGAGTAACACTGTTACTAGACGGAAGGCGACTGTACAGCGTCCGTGTCGGTTGGCAGTTTATAACATGACTCCTGTGGTGGCATCCTCTCACCCTGATCCCACTAAAGATGCGAAGTAGTTAGTGGAAGAAGAAGTCTGTCCATATGCGATTCTGAGGTTACTCTTACGTGTTCGTGGACGCAGCCATCAACCCAACGCCATCTGTCTGTCGTAGAGTACCGCGCATACGACATGTTCGTGCTAGCGTCGAAGCACCACGAAGTGCTTTCCTCGGTTCCTATTTTTCTTCCACCGCAGAAAAGTGGCCAGATAGTATTAGGGCCACTTGCGTATCCCGGGGTGTTTTGCTACAGTGCGTTAGACTCCGTCTGCATGGCAGTTAGCCGCGAAGAAATTCTACTCACTTTGTAAACCGAATCAATAAGCGAAAACATGGTCCTGGGGTCTCCGTCCACAACAAACGCCCGATAGAATTGATACGCTCGAAGTGCTGTCTCCTCAACAGTCACGGTGGCATTTGGCTGGCAGAGGGCGGGAGGGGCACTCAAGCTGCATAAATTTTCCCTCTTGGTGACAACTCCATCGTGGCCAGCTGGGGCAGCAAAGCCAACGATGGGCGCCAGGACGACCGCGAGGAGTAGTGATACGAAACGCATTCTTATTTGAGACGGGAGTCCTGAGAACTTGCAAACATCAGATATTCACCGGAACGGGAACGGGAACGGGAGATGACCAAGTCCCTTATATAGATGAATTGACTTCATGTCAGTGAAGCACACTGTCTCTGAGGTATATGAAAGATAATACCGATTCACTATGATTGTGATCGGATGCCCCGCATTTACTTCCTTCGTTTCCTTCATATACGTATCAATATTGCTTTTCAGCCAAATTAATCAACCACCCGGCTGAAGTGGCCTCTCTTTCTTGGCGCCGCTCCTGTTTTTATCAAAGCGGGGATAGGAGGAAGCATGTGGCTGGCGAGGAAGATAGATTCCCGGCACGCCCGATAAGGAGCGCATTGACTCGTCTTCGTCGCGATCCGATGAATAGAGGGGTGTTAGTGTGGCAATGAGGCGGCCGAAGAGAAGTGCGGGTTTGCTTGCGGCAGCGCAATGGAGCAAGTTCGTTCTCAATCGAACCCACCCTCGAATGATTTGAAGAAGCCGCCCGGACTAACTTCTAACTACCGGTGGGCGATGTCAAATTCATATATGGCATGGGCCCGCTTCGACTAAATCAAGGGACATTGGCCTGTCAGGAGGACGACAGCGCTGAACCGGTCACCAATGCAGAAACCACCTGTGCTACCGGAATTTAAACACCTAGGGGTGGAATAGGTGGCTTCTCGGAAAGCTTAGTCGAGAACATACGGTCTCGACATGAGTGTGCCAGTTGGCCTAGCTCCGAGATATGCATCAGGGGAGAGGAAGTAGTGGGCAGTTCCGCATCAGTGCTAGTTGCCTCCGACGGTCTGACCTGAAAACCCAGAGGCGAAGGGTGATTGACATCTACGATCTCGAGTCGGTGATGGCTTGAATAGCTACGTCTGTTCCAAACGAACACAGAGCGAGCTATCTACACACTGTAGATGGTCGGAGGTGTATAATTCTGTTGGTACAAGTGGGATGATTTTCACTCCCGCTGGGCTGGAGCATAGCTTTGTTTCGACATGCTATTGGCTGGGAAGTATATCCACATACTTTTCCCTGCTTTTGCAACTGTGACGAGCAGGCCGACCACATATCTGTAACCACAATGTGTGTTGATAATAGGAGGAGAACACGGCTGTTTGTTAAGAATGCATCGAAATAATTAACAAACTAGCAGCTCGCATAAAAATTTGTCGCTAATCTATAACCTAGGTCAAATGTCAAGTTGAGAGTTCCATTGTCGTCCCGCAGGGCTTCGCCTCAGCTCGGCTCTAAAATGCCTAAACCGGCTCTGGCTGGCAATTAAAATTAGATCTCCTCCTTCCCCATTTCCCTCTCCATCATCTCCCAAAGTCCCTTCACTCTATACCCAGAGAGCCAATAGTTTCCCTCTGTATCCTTTCCCACGATGATAATGCCATCGGAGAAGTTGTACGGGCCCTGCATGCTCTGGACATACGAAGGCAACAACGGGGTATCCCGCGGCTTGGCAGCTGCCGCTGAGAGATCAGTTCCGTACATGTTTGCCTTCTGCCAGTTCGAGAACATCAGTAACTGCATCGAGCTCTCCCCAAAGAATGGCGGGGCCTTATTTTTGGAATCCATGCGGATAATGGAGGTGTAGGCTTCGATCTGTTCGCGCGAGCCCTGCTCCTCAATCGAGCGGCGGATGTGCGAGGCTAGGTAGCTGAGGGGCTTCTGGAGAAGATCCTTTGCCGGCATTAGGGTCACAAGAAAACCAACACAGTTGCTGAGGAAGGGTGTGTTGGGGGGTATGAGATCAGTCAAGACGGGGCGCCATTGATATGCTTGTTGGACTGCAACCTTCAAACACGGACAAATATCTCATGTTAGCATGCGAATTTGGTCTCTTAGAGATAACCACTCACTGTTCTATCGGAGTCCTTTGGGAGATTTGCCATTGCGAGGCGTGTTGTCCACGCCACGAGAACATCCCCCTCGCTTAAGAACGGCCCGGTCTTCTGTCCTGCGTCGGCGGCTTGAGATGCAAGTTCTGCCAGAGCCTTTTCTCTCAGCTTTGCGAGGTACGCAGCCGGCACGCAGACCATGCGGTGCTCCTTTGGACGGATCACCAAACCATACGCGTTCTGGAACGCCCACGAAACGAGACCCGGTGTTGTGACGCGGCGATCGGCAAGCACATGTGGCTCCGCGGGATTTTTGCCAACATTCTCAAGAATATAATTGTCGGCAGCCAGCGGCTCGGGAATCTCGTCCTCCCTCCCCTGAAGCATCAATGTCCAGGCATCAAGCACCGATCTTTTCGCGGTAGCATCACACGCAAGATGTATCCAGTGCAAAACGACGACAGTTGCATTCTTGAATGAGACAACACGGAGCCCGAGCTGAGGCCGATCTGTGTAAATATAGTCGTCCAGACGTTTCGGGATCTCGGGACCATGAACAAGCTCCGAAAGGTCGTCAGGGTCTCCTACAATTGCGGGCCGGCCATCGCGCGGCGGGCGGGGGATGTGGGAGGCAGCGGGATGGTCCTCTACGGCCCAGTTACTGAGGTCCACGTGGTCGAAGCCGATCGCCGGGCGGTCCTGGGAGAAGGTCGCTGGAATGTGGTGCTCCAGTTGTCCCTTATCCTAATCGAGTGCCGTGTCAGATTTATTTTCTACCAAGTTGACGAGATGTTCTCGAACGATTAAATCTTACATTTCTTCTCAACCTAGCCCCCAGCTTGTTCCAGCCAGGGCGGCTGACTACGCGAGTCAAAGAGTTATGGAGTTTCTGGGCATCGAGGACATCGTCGAACACGAAGAGTGTGTACAAAACAAACGTTCTGAAAATGATGGTGTCGTCAAAGAAGCCGACGGGGACGACATGATCCGTCAACACGCGCTGCGGCGGTTTGGGTTGGCCGAACAAGAAGCCGAACATGTCTTATCCGTACTATACTGCAGTTCGCTTGGCAGTGGGACGGATGATAGGACTAAAAAGCAACCGATGCGGAGAAAAACGGAGCAGAGACGTGCGTAGTAGGTAGGGCGCGCTCTACGAAGTAGAGATGCCACAAATGCGAACACAGCCTGCGCGCCTAAGAATTGCACAACTACAACGGGGGCAGGCGTATGAATTCGTTACTGCTGCAATAATCGTTCGTCCTGCAAGGTTCTGTAGGTGCAAAAAATACGCGGTTTTCGGCGGTTTATAATAGATGAATACCACATCCCTTTCTCAAAATACGATGTTACATAGTGAAATTGCACCATGGGAGTCGGTAAATCCAATAATTTCACTCTTAAAACGGCGAATTCTCAGTTCAGGCCACGCGTTCCGTTTAGAGGTTTAGCGCGACGCAGATCTCTCTGATGCGGGTCGAGGAGGAGCAACCCCTGGCCAGTGGCGGGTTCTGGGTCTTAGTCCACAATGTGGCTCCAAAATGCGAGAACCCATGCAATGGAACCGCCCCACTTGGATGTCGGGAAGGGGGTGGGCAGTGGGGGGTCACGTCACAAGAACAGAGAAAAAGAAGGAAAAGAAGAAGAATGGGTTCGCGGACTTTCGTGAGTGATGGATGTTCCCAAGCCACCGGGCAACGCCATACGAGCCTGCAGGGGAGGCACTTCGTCCAGCGAGCGCTCCTTGATGGAGGTCTATCACAAAAAGGAGACATGCAAAGTGACGAGGGCAATTCTAGGGATTCATTGTGTAAGGAGTTATATATGTAAGTACTGATATAGCCCGGAGAGCTCTGGTCGAGCCGCTCTGAAAGCGACGCTGGAGACTTTACTTCGCAATGCACGAAGAGTCTCTTCGTAGTTCTCGGTTATAATTATTATCGTTCTTTTGTCTGTCGGATGCGGAGAGAGGGGGAGGTCGTACTTGTACTTCAGATCGTTTTCTTTTTCTAGTGGAGACATTTAATAGTCTTCTGTTGAACTCGCTTCCACCAGTGCCCGGGCTTTGGGATGGTCAACCACCCATGCCCCATGTCTGTAATACTTTTTTTTTCCGTCGCTCGATTCATGCAGCACGAGTGAAGGCGTGGCGTGGTGGGAAGGGGGCAAAACAATCCGGTTCTTTTTGAAAGAGTCTGGTCCCTACCAACGGGGGACTGTAACCCTGTTCCGACCAAGTTGACCAACCCTGTCGAAGGAACGATCCCTTGTCGATTTTTCGGGCAAACATTAACGTCGCAGGGAATGAAACGGAGAAGACCCACAAAGGACTAGCGAACAAGCGAATTGTGATTCCACTCAGGAGTCGACATCATACCAAGTACTGAAGTATCCCTCATGCAGAGCCTGCTTCTGGTTCGGATCTGCAGGGGGAAGATGCGCTCGGCAGACTGCACGAAGAATCCAGAACGTAAGTGGGGCTTGGAGCTGTCCTACTTTAGCTTGTCGATTCCCAGCGGCTTGGAAACTGTCAAACTGTCAAACTGCCAACTGCCATTAGCGGGGAGGGTGCTTGTTCTTACTTCGTAGGTCTTGGTGCGCAGCTTTCATATGCTTCTTTAGGTCCGCAGCCGTCCCAGTCCCCGCCTGGCAGCTCACTCCACCATGGAATCTTTATTACGACGAAGCGAAGAAGGAAAACGGATCTCAGAGATCGCCTACACTGTCCCGCCAATACCGGTTGGGAAATTCACGAGAACAATCCAAGCAATAGGGTATCTTCTGTGTGTCCTTGCCACCATTATCGTCGGTCTCCGCGTCTACGTAAGGGTCAAGCTCTCAAGAGCTCAGCGAGCATGGGGCTGGGACGACATTTTTGCCGTGGCGGGATGGGTTCGTCAGCGTTTTGCCCACTTGCATGTGCTCTCTGCCACTCAACTAACAGAAACCCGCGTAGCTTCCGCTTTGGCCTTCCATAGCTTTTCTCATCCTCGCCACTAACTGGGGCCTCGGAGCTCACGACAGTCAAGTACCCGATGGGATGCTCATCTACTACCAGGCTAGGGTGGAGGAATACATGTTCTACTTTGAGTTGATCTACTTCGCCTCTTCGGTTGTCACAAAACTTGCCATGGCCATCATGATCCTCCGGTTGACCACGACCAAGTTTTATTCCTACATCATCTGGGGGAACATGACTGTGCTGGCGGTCAACGCATTGGTGTGCCTGGTCATCATGTTTATTAGCTGCTCGCCCATTCCGGCGTTATGGAACGAGAAACTGTGCGTCTCCTTTGTCTCATCGCCCCAGACGCTACGCGAAACTGACAATCTGCAAAACAGGGGCCATTGCCGTATCAGACAGGGCTGGATCATCGTCAGCTACGCCGGTTCCATCATCTTAGCTCTGGTGGACTGGACATGCGCGATAACACCATTCTTTATTCTGCAGGGCCTACAGATGCCCAAGCGAAGGAAGATATCTATACAGATCATCCTCAGCCTGGGCATGTTTGGTAGTGCCGCCGGTCTCGTCCGGATGGGATACTATCATACCTACGATACTGTGAAGTATCCGAACGAATCTCTTTGTAAGTTGCCATTGCATTATCCCTTCATGGTGTCTTCGCGACCCAACATCCATAACTTACCATCGTTTCGCCACCTAGATCACTGGGGCCACACGATTCTTTGGTCGGTGTTAGAGGCGGGTTTGGGGGTTATTGCATGTTCGCTGCCTCCACTTCGTATACTCTTCAAGAAATTCTACCATGGCTCTTCTGGTTTCTCAGGACGGAAATCTAGACAGGCCACCGGCGATGTAAGGGAACCCAAAATCCGCACGCTCATACCCTTAACTCCATGCTAACCACACTCCTTTTTTTCTCTCTTCCAGGGAGGGACGCAGCTCAGCTCACTTGGTGGGCCACAAATGGGAGGACGAATTACGAGCCTTCGACGAAAAGAGGGTTCTCCCTGGAATCGACTGGATGATGAACAGTCAACGTCCAGTAAACAAAATATCTTCAAGTCGACGCAGATATGTCTTGAGACGAGCAGTGTTGAGGATGATAAGCCTCAGAACCAGCACGCAGGCAAGGGAAACAGCACTTCCTGGCGGGAGGATGTATAGATTAGAATTTGGTACCCGAACTGAGACGCTATTCCTAACATGTGTCATGTCATGGTTTCACTTATTACCAAGCTGCCGTCTGTGAACAATCTTTTGCAGAACAGTCTAGCCACGCTAGACGGAAAACTTAGGCGTTCTCTGCTGCAAAATCTTACCTCCAATATGTTACTGACTGGACAGAGCGGCTTGGGCCAACACTAACCCGTCGCCCGAATAGTCATATTTACCGGATAGATGCCGAGTGGGTTCCCTGCCACGATGCAGACCTCATCAGAACCCTCCCCAGTGCACGTCGCTTCGGGCAAGTCGATCATCCCTCTTAGCTGAAACGTGAACCTGCAGCGTGTAGACCGAAGTTAGCGCGGAGACGATAAGTTTCTAATTTTGGCTACGTGGGCACACTTACGGGTGATTGGGGCTTCTGTCGTGGCACTCCCACGAACGAGAGACGGAGAATGTAAAGGGCGAAGATCTCCGATCGACCCACTGGTCTACAAGATAGATGTCATCCGTTATAGTTCCGTCAGGACACCCTTGCGGAGTTTGCCTGGCGACGGTGTCCGGACATTCACTGATACTTGTATTGTAGGACACGAACGAGACATTGGATGGCGGGTCCCCTTGAACAACCATTTTGACCGAGTTTACGGTCCAATACCATAGAGCCTTGTTGAGGGACGTGGCTAGGCACCCGTTGGGTCTGGGCTTCTGGAACTCGAACGCGTCGGTGGGAAGGTCGAACTGCCTGACGAGCGTGCCGTCAGCTTTTTCATCGCCGACTCCAATACAGACATGACGATCTATGTCGAAGTATCCAGCGCCCATCTCCGGGGCGAAATAATCATCCAAGGATTCGCCCTCCTCTAGAGCCTTGCATCTGAGGTCTCCAAACCCGAAGGACGCGAAACCAACGTATTTTTGGCTACTGGGAGACAATTAGTAGACAGGAGCCTCGTTTTGGAAAACATCGGGGTAACCTACGGTTCTTCGCTTTCCTCGTCACAAAACCAGGTCTGCGCCACTTCAATAGTCTCGCTGATTCCATTAACTCGCACGAGGGTTAGGGGGAGGTATTCTGGGCTATAATACTCGTTGGAAGCGTCCACGCCGCAGTGCCGCCATCTGGGGCTCTGTTGGTCTGGGAAGGGCTCCCCATTCTGTCTCATTGGCCCGGGAATGACGCCGTCGCCTATCGAGCAACGAACGGTATAACCCGTCAGGTCGTGGGTAACGTTGAATGTCGCGACAGAGAGCCCGAACACCTCCGTACTGTTGTGCTGACCCCAACCCCAGGTAAAGTCCGAGACGGTCCAGGATGGAGTCGAGGACCCTGCCTGACAGCCTGAGTTAGTGCTCCCTGGAGGCCGATCTGAGACTTCGAGACTTGGAGTGAATGAGACAGGGGCTTCGATTGTATACGGAATCCAGAAAGTGTCTTCCGTCACGACGCGGTCAGCGGTGTCTTTATGCCGCAGGGCATCCTGCTCGATTGAGAAGGCGGAACTGAGCAGGAATTCAAAGCTGATCACACTTTTTAGACCCAAGGGGCATGAAATTTTGGGGAGCATCACGTGTAAAGTTACGGTACATCACTCTCCTTTCCGGGGCAAGTCCACTCCTGACTGAGGGCAACCTCGATAGATCCACCATCTACCCAGCGATGCCGCACGTCGGTCCGTGACGGCATGAGGTCCGTTTCGTCGCCGGAGTACTCGCACGCAGTTGCTTCCGACTCACTCTGGGAATGAGAACAGGATACTCGCCAGCTGAACGCGGGGCTCGACAAAACAAAGTCGAGGGTCTCGGATTCAGACTCGTCAGCCCGTATCTGGAGCGTCAAGTTGGAGACTTCCCAGTAGCCATGGCTAAGTGTATCCTCGACGCAGCCGACGGAAAGGTCGAGACGTGGAGGCGTAAGGAGGTATGCGAGATAAGGCTCACCCTCAACGTCATCGAAAGGAGTCCGGCCTGCAACAGCCGTGAACAAGTTCGCCACAACGAGGCTGATAAGACCACTGAGAACCTTCATGGTATCTGTATCTCAACAACTGAGTAAGAGAGGTGACCTTGGGGATTTGATCGCTCTTGTCTTGGGGGAATGTCCCTTTGATTTATAGTCTGAGTTATCGGTCAACGTCTGCCTGAAGAAGTCCAAAAATGGTGGAAACCCGATTTAACCGTGATAGATTCTATGACCATCCTGAAGGATTCTGTTCCTCTTTTTCCTCTCCTTTTCGTTAATTGTTTTTTTCTCATTATCTGGTCAGGGGCACTTTCCGATGGATAATACTCTCGCCACCGAAACTAGAAAATGCCTGCAGTCGGGGATCAGGCGATGACTCGAACTCCGAGCCGGCACGGCTTAAGATGAGTGTTTGCACTACCGAATCCTATACGCTACGGGTAATTTATTGTGTAGCCAAAAATATGTCGGGGCCGTGAGGACTTTATGTAACTAATTCCTAGTGCTTACCCTCCCATTCCTCTCTTAGTATTAGAGCTCTTATCCTCAGCTTGGATGGCCGGGCCAACGTTTGGTTCTATAGTACAGAACGTCGCCGACCAGTCTTCAAATGATCCTGCGCCTCGCTTAGTAGGCCGGGACTGGCATTGTCGCATGCAAGCGCCTCAGTGGCTCTGCTCGGATTGGTACTAGGACACAACGCTGGCGTCGGATTGAGACTCGCCATAGGATGGACGCGGGCATCGCTCTTTGGCTATCGAGGACTAACTAGTTGCCCCTCTACATTTCAGGAAGGCACTCGTAGCATATCCGCTATCATTTTTCTCGATATGGTTCTATTCTCCATCACGAAGCCTGTAAGTAGCCACGCTGCCTATCACCTTTTAACTGGCATTATATAGTGACCCTGTTTATGGTGGCCTCGCCTCGCCGTATCTCATACAATCGCTCTAAAAATCGCTGCGATAGTCCGATGGTATTGGTATTAATCGAGAGCCCGGTCAAAAAGCTACAGCGTTGAGTTGTAGGTTACAGTCAATACGAAGTAGAGAGAAGCACGGCAACATGTTGATGATCATGTCTCCTGAAAGTCGAGATTGGATAGAGGAGCAACTTCTCCCACTCCCAATTTCGGTAGGTGCGGAGCACCAGTGGAATACCGCCCCCATATCCTCACCAACATTATTCACGGGCAAGCTGTTGGAGAGGACGCCTGGTTTTCTAACTGCGGATCTCGACTTGTGGAATCTAGTAGAGCAGACTAGTACCCGTGGCGAAGCTGAGAGACTGCCTACGTAGGCTCATGGGGATGGAAATCTTTTATATAGGTAGGCGTTATCGGTGTCGCTTTGCTGTTGTGGTTTATTTTGTTTGTTTCTTGGGGGCGGGAGCCTCTGGGGAGGGAGGCTTCGAAGGCAAAGGAGCAAAACTCTCCTGAGGAATTGTCACGTGTATTTGCGGAAGAAGATGATCAGATTGGGACAAAACACTTCTCATGGGCCAATCTATCTGTCACAGCTTTCTTTACCCGGCTTAATGCCCTCATGGCCTCCTGACGTTGATCAAGTTAGACCTGCCTGCAATACCACTTCTCTAACACTTAGAAGCGAAAAAGTTTTTCTAAAATGAAGTGACCACCGGCGCTCGCGATAGATACGTGCAATTATTCGTCGTAGCAGCTATTTGAATGGACTCGGAGAGTGCTTTCATCACAATTGTCCCACGATCACTCGCCAAGCCTGCTCATGTCTCTGTCACGGTCACGACGCGTCTTCGGAAGCGCTCTTCGGAAATTATCACTCGTGACGGCGCTCTTGATATTCCTGCAGCCCACAGCAGCCCATTTTGTCGAAGATGCAACACGCATCTGCCGGTGGGGCAAGGAAGGCCCGCTTCTTCCCCGGCGAGACACCTCAATCTGTCCCCTACTAGTGGACGATGTCACGAGCAGCCAGACTGGCGAATGGAAACCCTGGACATTGCCTCCAACTTGCGCGTACCCACTTGTCAAATCGGGTGAGAAGTACTGCGTCTTCACGTATCATGGCTTCCGGGATGGCTTATCGATCTCGCTCATGACATCTCCCCAAACAGCTGCTGACGTAGTCGCGCTTCTCGAGGACCCAAATCCTCAATGGTACGAGCCAAGCCCAGCCGTGCCGGCACCCGAGGGTGATGAAGTGCCGCCGTACGTCGTCGTGGACGTCCCGGGTCGGGGCAAGGGTGTCATCGCGACGCGCGACATCCGCAAGGGGGAGGTGGTCATTGCCGAGCCAGCTACGATGATCAGCATGGCACCTCCGCGGGGCATCCTTCCGAGGCGCCTCGACATACTGGCACATACAGGCTTTGAGAACCTGGCGCAAGCGCAGAAAAAGCGAGTTTCGGAAATGGCAACGCTTCCAGGACATGACTTTGTCTGGGGAAGATTTGACACAAACGCGTTTAGTGTGTACCTCGCTGGCCGTGAAGACCATCGGGGACTCTTCCCTGAAGTTGGAGTAGGTTCTCTAAATCTGTGGGTGGTATCTTGGATCGTTAGTCTGAGGGAGTGTACTAATATTGTGATCTGTACGACTCCTAGAGGTTCAATCACGACTGCGACCCAAGGTATTTCAGCAAAAGACCAGGTTGATAAACGCAATCCCACGCTGATAAAGTTTTTAGTTGCTACACTCGCTACTCTAATCGTCTAATGACAATGGAAGTTATTGCATATCGCGACATCAAGGGTGGAGAGGAACTAAGCATCAACTGTAGGTCCAGGGCAACCATGTGGCTCTTTTCTCCTGCTGTTTTCTGCGGCAAGCTTGGCTGCCTATGCTAAGAATGTGATGCCTGAAAAAAAAGATACACCGTTGAATCTCAAAACCGACGACCGACAGGAAATCCTTCGGCGCTGGGGTTTTACATGTACATGCGAATTATGTACGAATCCAAAGCTTAGCAAACCCTCCGACCGCAATCGGCAACGCCTCGCGGATATCATCAGCCAAATCAGGGAGTCAAGGAACCACGCATATGATACACTGAGAAACCTTGCAGAGGAGGTCGTCCGGTTAATTGAGACGGAGCGACTGACGGCCGCGACGGGAGATTTGTACGGAATTCTCGCGCAGTCTTTTCTAGAATCGGGATTCCCGGACGTAGCTCTGGGGTATGCGGAAATGTCGCTTGAAAGCCGAGTCACGTATGGGTCGTCAGATCATCCGAAGACCGATCCGACAAGGAGATTTATAGCTACGCTGAAGAAGATGTCTAAGAGGGGCCCCGGGGATACCTAGAAATATTTATTGTTTGGCACGCTCAGATTCTAATCCGATGGTTTTTTTTATCTAAGATTAAGACATTCACCGTCGGCCGCGGAAAGGAGGTGGACGAGGGATCGAACTAAATGCCTCGCTTACCGCATGTCCCATCTCGTATCGCTATTTTGACTACGTGCGTACCCATTGTCCGGTGTTGGGCGTAGTCTGCTGCTTTGTTCCAGCAGAAATACCGAAACTAGGGAAAACCACTCTCTGCGAAGGACTTGCAACAAGACCTGCAAATGACCAGCTTGCATTTTCATGGCTTTCCACTCCAAACCTTTGAAAGGAAATCCTCGGCCTGAGTAAACTCATAATCTGGGAAGAGTTGATTCACCTCGTCTGATGAGTCCCAGGCGCCCTTCGAACTGCTTAGAAGAATGCCAATGGATACAGCTTGGAGGAGATTGGATGCGTCGTGGTCAGAGGCTGCTTGGTGAACCGCTTCAAGGCGCCACGACGTCTTCAGGTGGCCAGCCTCGAGATCCTCAATATTAACTTTTTCGACAGCGAAAGCGTGTCCTGTACGCACGTGTTAACGACACCTAACTATCATTTGGAACCTGGTTCGATTTTTCGCACCTCGAATTCTCGCTCCAATTTTCAGAATTTGGGAGAACGTGAGTCGATTGCCCCTAATACCACTGGTTGTAGGCCATCTACCACTGTATTCAACTGCCAGAGCGACAACCTCAGCAAGATCCGCGACCGTTGTTAGAGTCATAATGGCATCTTCGTGACCCTCCACAACCATGGCACGCCTGTTCTCAAAGTCGAAAACAGTTTGCAGGGGATCGAGATATTTCGCTGTCATGTAAGGGAAAGCCAGGTAGTCTAAGAACAGACCAGGCTGGAACAAAGTGTACTCGAGGACCTATTCATAATGGAATGGGTAAGAATGGGCAACCGAAACAGTGGGTTAGGCTATCTACATGCGGAGCATATTAGAGAGAACCAACGGAGGGTACTCACATTCGCTTCACTGTTCACTTCCTTCAGATACTCTCTTATTCTGTCCTTCCCCTGCCACCAGGGCATACGGGCGATTCCTGCGCTAATAAATCGAATCTCAGTATGCATCAGTTATTGTCGCCCAAGATCGCATCGATACCTTCCGTATTCGCTTGGTGCAAAGCGCTTGACACCAGCGCAGATGGCGGCGTCAATAAGGTTTTTTTGCGACCTTTGCTCAGGGTCCGATAGAGGCTGGACGAAAGACAAGAGCGTATGGACCCCTTGAAGGGCCTCGACCAGGGTTTTCTTATCACTGTAGTCGACGGTCTGCCAGTTGGTCCCGGGCGCGGTGATGGCCATGGGAGCATCCTAAGTAAAAGGTCAGTAACCGGTAGCGTCAGTCAGGGCCTGTGCTGGAAGTGGTTTATAGGAGTCCACCTACGGTCCTGCTCAGTATTGTAATACAGTGCTTCTTTGATGCCACCAGGGCGTCGATAACCTCTCGGGCGACCTCTGCAGTTGGAAATGCGTCAGCCTTCAGTGACGGGTTGAGTGCAAGTCGGTATCAAAATAAAAGAAAAGGATATATATATATAAGGGAAAAAACTTAAGCGTACGCCCTGAGCCGCCAGCCACAGCGACCCTGACCATTGTAGGAAGTACCTCGCCCGCCTTAAGAAAAAGGGGGGATTGGGGTGGTGTGAATTAGACTCGACAATGGATATTGTTAAAGCTGATGGCTAGGAAAGATAGAGATCTGGGAATTCTCTGGACAATCAACGGTGAGTATGACACTGTGAAATTGCAGGTCGGTCCTCACATTATATTAAGCTCTATATTCATGGTCTACGGAGCAGCATCACTGTGACCCAGAGCGAACGAGTAACTACAAAGTGACAGACTTTACCGACCTGGGTTTAGTCCCATTCGGTCAGATCCCGCGATCATGTAGCGCCGCGGGCAACTCTTTTCCCGAGGTGCGGGGCGCTGCTTCCTCCGCGGCGAAGATGAATCTGCATCCTGAGTCGCATGAACTTTCGGACATTTGATGGCTTTCCAAATTACACTTTACGCGACGGTCGGGAAATGACATATCAAGCATTTTTTTTCCCTTCTTCTCCGAGTTGAGACATACAGCAGCAGGATTGCTAAGCTTTCTCCGCCGAGTAGAAATACCGACGCGGCGAGTACAGCAAAACGAAATGTCAGGCCTCAATTTCGCCGCGGCGGAAGAAACACGACCGAATTTGCCCAAGAGACGAAAGGTCCGCAGAGGCACGCAAAGCTGCTGGGAATGCAAGCGACGCAAGATCCGATTCACCTTTGCAGCGCCCACAGAATTAGTTTGCGACGGGTGTAGAAGCCGTCGGACCAAATGCCTCAGCCAAGAGTTTCACGACGAGCCTTTGAGCATAACTAGAGACACGTTGGACGGGCGTCGAGAAGGTATAACTGAAGATACCGAGTTGCAGGTAAGATACATTGGGCTATGAATTCAACTCAGCATTCAACTAATAATGGAGGAAACAGAATCCAAGAAGTAATCAACATTCTCCCCCCTCAAGGAGAACATCGGCAGAGTCAGAGACCCTGTTGGCCTACAGTCAGGATGAACTCTGTGAGGCCCTCGTAGCGACATGGCCTAGCCAAAATGATCTCGACAAGATACTACGCATTCCAACCGGTCTTTCGGTTTTGTCTCATGGCGTAGTGTGCCTGCCGTACTCCGAATTCGTCTCCAGACAGCTTTCGCCCCTCCATTGCCTTCTGCAACTACCTCCAGAAGGAGATCATCATCCAGTCCTCATCGCGAGGAGATTGTTAATGCTAGGGACCTTTTTACAGGGCATTGCTCAACCCCCAACCGGAGATCTTGGAAGTATCACCCTAGACCTTCCCACTCTCGAGTCCCGAGTCGTCAAGGCAGCTTCGAGGCTTGTGACCAGCAATGACGAACTGGTTGCTGGCTCGCTTGAGGGCATTGAATGTGTTATGATAGAGAGCATGTACCTGAACAATGCTGGTAAACTTCGTCTCGCTTGGTTGAAGAACCGCAGAGCCATGTCCATGGCGCAGATGATGGGACTTCACACCAGTACTGGATCTCCGAGCCCCATTCTCGAATCAGGCACTCGCGATCGCATCCGCCCGGATTATATGTGGTTTCGCTTGGTCTGCACAGACCGCTATCTCTCGTTAATGCTAGGCCTTCCTCAGGGATCGGCTGAAAACATGTTCGCCAGCCCGATGGCGCTGCAAAAGTGTTCGGCCATGGAACGCATGGAGCGCATGATGGCAGTCTCTGCCGAGCTCATTCTACAGCGTTACTCTCGTCATGAAAAAATGGTGGATCTCACAGCTACATTGAAGGTCGACGAAATTCTCCAGGAGGCTGCGGCATTAATGCCACCGCAGTGGTGGCTGATGAACCCTAATCTCAATTCTGTCATTAGCAACGATGAGAAAGCATTCGAAGAGACAATTCGTCTAATGAATCAGTTTGCCTATCACCACCTTCTAGTACAGCTTCACCTTCCCTACATAATGTTGCCTCCTTCTGCTACAGGCCCAAACTATGATTACAGCAAGATGACAGCTACCAACGCCAGTCGTTCCATTATTGCACAATTCGTGTCTTTCAGGAGCTCTGTCACGCTCAGTTCTTACTGCCGCGGCGTCGATTTTATCGCCTTTATTGCTAGCACGACGCTGTGTCTCGCTCACATCGAAGCTCGTCGGCAGAGCAAAGCCTGCGGCACGGGCAAAAACATTACAGCTTTCCAGTCCCTCCGGCACCAGCGCCTGAGCGACCGCGGACTCCTCGAACACACCCTTGAGATTATGGAGACAATGGCTCAGGAGGGGAAAGATGCCATTGCGCAGAAGATTTCCGGCATCCTCCGGCCATTGCTGGCTATTGACAGCGAATCTGCCAAGGGCCGGTCCTACATGACAACCGCCTTTCCGGGGACTCGTCGACAATCACAGGAGTCTCCAAATATCGGCGAAGCGGGAGACCGCTCTACTCTATTGCATATACAGATCCCATGCTTTGGGACTATCAAAATCGAGCACAGTCCTGTCCAGGCGACCCTCCATGGTGGGACTGAAATGGAACACCTAATACCCTTGGGAACGCGGCTTCGGGATGCAACGGAATCACAGGCCCCTGAGAACGACTTGGCGATCTCCAGTGAGCCGGCCTCACCAAGAAACGGAGAGGACCACCGGAACCAACAACGAGGAGTGAATTTGACGGTCCGTCACCCTGAAAATGAAACCAGTGTCACCCAACTTGTCGATACGGACTGGCAGGCCATCCCGTCTGGCTTCAACTCTCAAGGCCCTGTGGCCCAGGCTGTATTGACAGACTGGGACATAAGCACATGGCCATTAGATACGCCTGATGGAGGTAGTAGCCAGGGACTAGATTCGAGGCTCGTCGTGCCTAGCGCGGAATCGAGGACAGACGAATGGGCGTTAGAAGGTGTAGATATCGCTTTATTCACGAGCCTTGTGGGGGGTTCGACGGCGTAGACTGAAGCAAAAAGCTCGGGGATGAAGGGGTGATTTACTGATTTGAGGGGGATGGACGAAGAGAGACTTTCATAGATGGGCAGGTTGATGAGACAGAAGATAACACCAACGGGTGAAATATCTGAAGTGGGCATTGTCTAGACCATGTATTTAGTGTGAGCCAAAGGATGAAGAACAAGATCGGTGCGGCTCACAGACTAATTTATTCTGGGAGAAGGGCAATTTATCAATGTCCTCTTTTGGCATGTCACTCAACTATGGATTCACTCACCTCACTGGTGTAAACCATCATTTATTACTAGATTGACGTCGTCATTTACGCCATAGCGATACGGGATATGATCCTCTGCAAGAGAAGGAACACCGGATCGAGGTCACTCCTCATTTTCTGAGACTACAAACCCAAGTAGGCATGACAGAGACGCATAAGATAATTCAGTAAATCGTGGGATTAGATAAAAATTTAATAAATTAATATATTAAGCAATAAGGTCATGTGTCGCAAGTTTCCAGCAGAAGCGGAACCTCGTTGGTGGAAGCCGAAGGCCCAACGGGGTCCTCAAGCATCACCACCGCTGAGAAGAGTGACGCTATTCAAGGCGTGTAAACCACTCGAACCAAGCGTTGCCGCTGCCAGAATCACTACCAAGGGTAGAATGAAATATCATCGTCCCTCTATCATGGACTAACTGCAGGCCATCTTATTTTGATGCTCAGGATTTCTGTCTCTTGCTCCACTGGTGTGCCGATTCCCCCTTCCCGGATACCCTTTGCACCTCGTCGTATAACCGCGCCGTCAGGAACCGGTAAATATACTGATCTGCTCCATGGTAATTGATGCTGTGGTCACTGTCTGTGAAGGCGAACATTTTCATTTTAGCCGGAGAGACACCGCCCCCAACTAAAAGGTCGATAAGGGCGGCTGCATTCTGGTAATGCACATTGTCGTCTCCAGTTCCGTGCAGGACACTGAAACTTCCTTCGACATTCTTAAAGCCCTCGACATTATGTACCGCCGACTCCAAGTAACCCTCAAGATTGTCTTCTAACCGTTTCATGTACCGTTCGGTGTACATAGAATCGTAGAAGCGCCAATCGGAGACGGGCGCTGTGATGAGCCCGAGAGAAAATACGCCAGAGTTGGCCTCCAGTGTCTTAGCGGTGAGATATCCTCCGTAAGACCAACCCCACATACCGATTTTCTTAGAGTCGATATAATCGAACCTGGAAACGAGTTCCTTAGCAGCCCAAATTTGGTCTTGTGGCTCGAATGTACCAAGACGTGATGCAACAGTAGAGCGGAATTCACGGCCTCGGTAACCGGTACCGCGGTTGTCCACCGTGTAGACTATGTACTCCAGCTCCGGATCGGAGGAGATGTATGCCGCCCAACCATAGGATTGAAAGCGCTTGGTAACAGACTGGGAGTTCGGGCCTCCATAAGGCGTGAAAAGAACAGGATACTGCCGAGAAGAATCAAAGTTGGCCGGGAGTTGTTGCATGACGTTTAGTGCGTACCCGTCTGGATGTTCCAGCTCAAAATATGAGATATTCGGCAACTTGTACTCAGAGATCACTTCATAGAAGCCCTTGTTGTCTCGGAGAACGCGGAGGGGCTCGGATGTCGCATTCGTCGCGTAGAGTTCCTGGTACGGGACATCTGGACCCTGATAGCTGAGGACATAGTATCCTCCGGCCGTGGAGAACGACGCGGACCAATAACCTGGAATGGAGTCGTCGACCAAGGGAGTAATCTCATTCGTTTCCCAAGAGACCTTGTAGAGGTGTCGTTCGGTCGAGTGGCGTGTTGAAGACTGGTAATAAACGAGCTTATTGGGGAGGTCTACATGCAGAATGGCCGAGACTTCCCAGTTGCCAGACGTCAGCTGGATTGGCTTCCCACCCTGTACTGGATATAGGTAGATGTGGTTCCAGCCATCTTCATCCGAGAGGTCGATATAGTAATTGGTGCACTTTGGAGAACCCAGGGGCCCAACGTACGAAATCGAGAGTGTGTTTTCAAGCCAGCCATCGCTTCCGTCCCTCTCGCGTACCTTGCGAGAGTCGAGGGAGACGGGGTCGACCAACACGTGAGCATCCTTATCTTGTACGCGGTTGAAAGCGCGGTAAATGAATCCTGTGTGAGTCTCCGTGACCCAAGCCACCTCTCCGATGATAAGGTCATCCGACTCAAAGGCTTCGATAGGAATAGGTTGGTACTCTCCGGATGATACCTTCAACAGATTCAATTCGATAGTAGGGTTGGTAGACCCGACTTTGGGGTAGCGCAAGTCAAGCTCGCGAGGATACGACGGGGCGACTTCCTTGCCATCCATATAAAACGGAACGGTGAAAGTGCCGACGCCGGTCTCATTGAAGCTGAGGAAAGCGATATAGTCGGCATCTGGGGAAAACCACAAAGCAGATCGGCCGCCAAAAATTTCTTCCTCGTAAACCCAATCCGGCACACCGTGGAACATATCAGGTCCGCCATCATCGGTGACTTGTTTAACAACTCCACTGCCATAGTCGAGGAGAAAGAGGTTGTTGCCACGAACGAAAGCGACAGTATCGCCCCTTGGAGCGAGCTCGGCATACTGAATGTCTCCAGCCTGATCATCTGTGAGCGGCGTGATCTTGCTGGAATTGACATCGAAGATGAAATAATCAGCAAAGTAAGAGTGCCGATACTGTTTGGTTGAATTGGCGGCGATGAGTAGGCGGCTTGCGTTGCTGCTGATCCAGTAATCCGCGACATTCTCCGGCAGCTGATCAGCGGCGACAAAAGTCTTGTTGGATCCGGTCACGATGTCCACCAAAACAAGGTCTCCAGCGGCGTTCGAAGTGATATGCTGACCGTCGCCTCCGGCAGCCGCCCAGTTAACACTGACGCTCGAAGGGCGAAGAGTGGCCCTCGGGGACGTCTGGTTGAAAGTAAGTAGGCGCGTGCCTCCACCGACTGGCTGGTGGGCCTGGCGCGGAGGATCAATGGCCGAAGCAAAATGCCCAAAGTAGAGCAATGCAGCCATGAAACTTCTGCACGCCATTGTTACCATGTCTCGCTACTTTCAGTTTCCCTGGGTCAGATCTGAGAAATTGGTCCCCGAAAGCAGTGGTGTTGGAAATTGTGGGAATGGCGGTGGAAAATCATGGTAAGGACATGAGGGCCTTATAAACTCGTCACGAAACTTAGCCAATTTCTGGGCTCGCTGTTTCTACAAAGTTCCTAGTGAATCACTTAACATCATTATAGTAGTAGTACCAGCACCGATCACCTACCCGCATGGGCAGGTAGGATGTTTGACGGCCGAGGGTGACCTGCCATTTCCAGATATTGCCTAATTTACACAGAAGGTCCTGCAGGAGCGCCAAGACTATGATATTAAGAGCAGGTAAGCCCAATGCTACGAAACGTGACCTGCCCACAACGCTGCTAATAATTCCGTGGTACGGGATTTACCTGTTTTCCTCGATTTGCCTAGCTGGCGAAGTTGAGGGAAATCTTCAACCCTGACCTGCATGCGTCTCGTGTCACAGTTTCGACGTGTGTGTGTGTGTGTGTGTGTGTGTGTGTGTTGCCAACTGCCAGAATAATTGCCAGAATACTCGATTCTACCCACATAATCTGCCGCAAGGTTATTTCGCTGGTGGTGGCCTGTTCTCAAATCCTTCGGCTTGTGAGCGCGATGGCGTCATCGTTGCCCGTGGTTCTTTCGAGCTAGGGGAGCTGTCTCGCTCTGGCTGTGGCAGGGGACGTAAGGCTAAGTCCCGTTTCTCCGTCGAGGGCGAAGAACCCCGGCCTTCATCGATAGGTGAGACAGCCGCTCTTGGGTCGAGTTGTCTTTGGGAGTGAGATGATGCCTCTCGAGATGCCTCACGGCTCCGGGAACCAGCCGCGAATTGTTTCTTTACACCCTGGACTTCCCACAGTGGCTCTTCTAATGTGCCAAGGAACTGATCTTCTTCATCGAAATAGTCGTGATCAGTTAAGAAGTCTGGCGCTCCCGCAGCACCGGACATGGACCCGATCTGTAGGCACGCCCATTGTAATTCGATCATCGTCCTCATCTTCGGAGCGTCCTCGGAGGCCATACGAACCCGAATGGAGGAGTCGGCTCGAGTTAGAATCCACGGCCGACACGGTACTACCGCCAGCCAAGATCTCAGGGCCGCCTCGGAACACACCCTCCTACCACTATTCTATCATTTTCTTCCATTCGTCGTCTTTGACGCGAACTTTCTATTTCAAATCTCAAGTGCCCTTTGTGGGTAGGGAGAACGGGAGAAACAGAGCAGTGGGAGGTGATGTGGGTGGAATTTCAGGGTGGATTTTCGCTCAAAAATTCCACTCGTATGAGATGCAAGATACATTTTCAAACAACACAAGATATTGTCAACTTCTTGTTGGCTTGGAACACTACCAATGAGGAGTGACAATTTTCCGATAGCAGGGTGTGATTCCAAGTTCGATACTCTCGCTGTGATTTGTAAGCGTCCGTGAATATTTTGGGGGAACAAGAATAAATACTCGAACACGTCCACCGACTCGAGTCTCTCTAGTCCTCAGCAAATTACCCAACCTCGATAAGTCTTGCGCCAACTCTACTCTTCACACGTCGCTCGTTTGCTCACTTCCGGCGTTATCTGCCTTTTAAATGGCGCCGTCCGGGGGTCAACACGACGGCCTCCCTCCGCCACGGGTGGTGATTGTGGCCTCCCAGAATCCCGTCAAGGTCAATGCCGCCCTCGAGGGCTTCTCGCTCATGTTTCCAACGAACAATTACGTCGCTCGCGGTGCCACTGTCCCATCTGGAGTTCCGGAGCAGCCACTATCCGATGACGAGACTTTGCGTGGCGCACAGAACCGGGTGCGGAATGTCCGCGCGCTCGAACCCGACGCGGACTATTGGGTCGGGATCGAAGGGGGGGTGGACGAGCATGAGGGATCGCTTCGGAACTTCGCCTGGATCGTGGTCACGGATAAGGAAGGGCGGACAGGCAAGGCGCGCACGGGAGCATATTATCTCCCAGAAGAGACGGCGAAGCTCGTGCGTGGGGGCATGGAACTAGGCCACGCGGATGACCTTGTGTTTGGTCGGTCAAACTCAAAGCAACAAACCGGTTCAGTTGGTCTTTTGACGGATAATGTGATTGATCGGACGGCGTACTATGTCCAGGCAGTTATCCTCGCGTTGATACCGTTCAAGAACGCCACGCTTGCTTTCTAGTGAAATGTCGTTTGTTTTCTACTTGGGAAGGCGAAGAGGTCTGGGGCGGTGGTCGTGTGGATTGAAAATTGAGAATATGACTACAATTATCTACGCGATGGTGTTGACGCTTGACAGATAAGCGACATGATTGACTACATCCTGTGTAAGGTTTCTTACTTTGGGAAAGTACGCCAATAACCAACCTCACTACAATTGGCATGTGGCGAGAGCTCTTGTCCTGGCCTTGCCATCGATCATGCACGAGTGCCTCAACTTGTACTAGGGCCAATCTAGTGTTCATAGAAATGATGTATGGGCGGATCGATGCTAGACGTCAAGTCATGGGGGAAAAAAGAAGAACTGTAAGTAGATAGTTGAACTCACTATTCGTCCCTGTGATGCTATTCCTAGATTTTTCTGTCCACATTCTTGACCAATATCCGAAGGACTGTGCTACAGTCATTACTGGGTAACCACGACGGCGGTTTCCTTGGACCCAAGCCTCTTCTCCGACAACGGACCCTCATCTCCTGATTGCTCTGTAGTTCCAGCCGCCGTGACAGGATGCTTCGGTGGTTTCTTCCCAGTGAATATGGCCTTGGTGGTATAGAATATAGTGCCTCTACTTTCCCATAATGGAAGAATGCCGACAAGGATAATAGACAGGAAAATCCAAATGATGGCGACTGTAACCCAGCCAGTGAAGAACGGTTTGCTAAAGACATACTTGGAGCCATACATGGGCAGTGGCCACAGTACCAGCAGTGCAAGAGTCCTAAACTGAGGTCAGCTGATGCCTTCTTCTCTCTTTGGAAATTCACTTACATGAAGATGGTGGTAGAAACGGAAATCTTGAGGGCCTTGCGTAGAACCCGCTGCTCTTCCGCAGACTCTGTAACCGTCTCTTCGTGGCCCCCAGGGACCTCTTCCAAGTCAACACCGGCCTGTTCAGTGAGCTCATGATCATCGGCTTTGCGAATGGCTGCCATGGTCTGCCAATCATATTTGTCCACTCCCCAGACCAGCGTGAAGATGGGAATCAAAACAAGGGGCACGAGGAGAGCAACCACGTTCCCTGCCAGCATGGGATCATTGGATCCTGTGCATTCGATATCCAGCTTCCCGCACTTTTTCTTTGCCGTGACCAGCCAGGCGATGATGGCAAGGATGGTACCAATGGGAGGTGTGAGCACCGCCGCCCATTTGTTCTGACCCTTCCACACCAGAGTCAGAGTTGCAGGGAGAACAGCAGCGGAGATGAGAACTCCCATAAGCACGTAGATGTAGCCCATAGAGATGCCGTTGTACCAAAGGCCGACGGATGCCGAGGCAATGATCAGCGCATAGCAAACGACGGCAATGTGGGATACAGCAATGAGACGTCGCCCACTCGCATTGGGGTTAATATACGTCCGGTAAATGTCGTAGGTGAAGATTGAGGAGACGGCAATAAGCTCCGCGCTAGAAGCGCTAGTAACGGCCATGAAGACCATCAAGAGAGTAGCGACCGCGCCACCTTTCCCGAGGAGGGCAACGGCAGCATAAGGTAAAGCTAAGCCTGCAGACACCTCCGCTTCCGGGATGCGATTTGGGAAGGTAGGGAATGATGGCCTATTCTCGAGTGCGAGTGCAGTCAGCCCCATGGTGGTGGCGGTCAAGAACGGCACCGGGAACCAGGAAATCTACACCAACAGCGAGTTAGCAATTTGGAGAGATCCCCGAGCCAGACTCAATGTGAATTCTTACGCCTCCAATCACGTAGCCGGGCAGCGCATGGACCGGACTAGCCGCGATCGCCTTGTTGTAGTAACCGTTGTCGAGGAACACCGTGCCAAAGTTGCCAACTAATGGCGCAATTCATTAGCATCGGAAAATCAACTAGAGTCGAACGAGCAACTCATACCGATATTAATGACGAAAAACTTGATTCCATCACTTGATCGCATTGTAAGATAGCTTCCATCTTGGTTGCCGTCGACTGGGTGTCTCTGTGTCGCTTCTTGAAGTAACTCAAACATCTTGCTGGGACTTCCGATAATGTCGGACGTGGAGTAGGCTGTCAGTGAGAACATGGTGATTATGATGAGCAAAATCAAAGTGTGGACATAGTCCGTCAGAAAAGTCGCCTTCAGTCCGCCGAATAGGGTATACATCGTTACGCCCAGGGGCAGCAAGTAGATGGCGGCAACGGTATTCATGCCCGTGAGAGCATTCACCGTTGCGCTACCCCCGGCAAGCAACATCATGGTGACCAGAATATCTAACATGATGTAGTCAGTATCAATGGGTGTATGGGGGACAAGAGATTGATGGGCGGCTATGCAACTAAGACTTGTGGCTTACTTGTCATGAGGCCAAAAACGATAAAAACAATGTGTGCAACAGGGCCATATCTCGCCTTGATGACTTCCAAAAAGGTATGCGCATTGGGAGCGCGCCTCTTGAGTTCAATGGCCAGTGTTGCGAAGAGGAGGATCTGGACCGTCGCGCCCGATGCGTACCAGAATGGGCCGGAGACTCCATATCGATAGCAGATACCCGAACTCTGCAGCAAGGTTGCCGCCCAGGTCCATGAGGATACGACAGCTGAGCCAACGAGACCACTCTTGACAGTTCTGCCTGCAGTGGTGAACATTTCGGACGTCTGAACCTCTTTCCGATACCTCTTGAGAACATAAGTTGCGGCCATCTAGATTGCCCCTGGTCAGTATCTATTCACCGAATACTTTTCATGGAGATACACGAGAAAAACCAGGATCGAGAAGGTGATAGAAAAACTGTACTTGCCATTCCAAAAGCGAAGAGAAACCCGACGCCAAGGACGATGCCATAACCGACGCTTTGGCTCAGGGCCGGCGCCATTTTGGCAGAGGATTAATTGCAGAAGGGAGACGTAAAGCAGAGTGAGAATATATTATTAACTTAGTTCAACGCACGAAAGGTATGGAAACTGTGGTCCACTCCAGAATCCAGGTGAAGCGAAGAAGCAAGGAGAGCGCATCGGAGCTCTTCTGCGAGCTTGAGTGCATGGCGACCATAATAAATATTATTTTGCCCTGAATCGAGCGTTTTCTCATCCCGAGACAGTCTGACGGCCTGATTAGGAAGAACGTGGGCTTTATCAGACGACAATGATAGGCCGATTACCTTTGTATAGAACGTCAATGTCGATTAGATATTGCGACTCTGATAATCTTTGGGTAACTTCATGGGGAAAAAAATGGGTCAGCCTCTGGGGATGAAAACGCGACCGGCATCTTAGATTCCTTGCGCACCCAGCCAATGCCTGAGCTCGACTGCACCAGCGACATTCCCATATCTAATATGGCGCCGTTGTGATAGCAAGACAAGCCGTGTCTAGCGAATCGAGACCGGAGCCAGCCCGCCAAGGCCCTGGAAAATACCAACTCGGCGCGATTGTGAACCCCCGCCAGGCTTCCAATTTCGGCCAACGCCACTGCGCTAGTCTTCGGCCCTGGACGGCACATTGCTGTCTCACCCCCACGTCCTCGGAATGCCCCGCGCTCGAGAGAGCTTATCGAACGCTGCATACCTGTCATGGGGTCGCAGTGGATCACTATCTTATCTTTTCCATAATTTGAGAATGATAATGTGAACGCGGTACCGGAGGAACAGAGCTTACCAGGAGTGCGCCGATTACGGAAATCCAGTCAGGCCAGACACCGTAGTTTGACACTCTTCAAACTGTCTTTCCTAATCTACACCAGTGTCCAGGTATAAACATTACTGGCGGAGAGACTGTGTGGACCCCCTCTCCCCACACCTCCCCCGGCCTCCGCCATCAACACGCTTTTCTCCGCCAGGCATTCTTCCCCGAGCTCAGTCTCGACAAATGCAAGTTTATTTCTAAACTGCCGTCAGTAGCTCAAATAACTGTTTTCAAACAAGGGAGTGATCTCTGCGCCAAGACTGGTCTGAGAAGAGCATCTTTACCGATGAAAAATGATTGGCGACACATATTCGCCCTGTTTGTTCTTTGGTTTATGGATTCCAAGGACCGGCGCATTAAACTGGTGTTTGCTGACGTTTATTGGTAGGTTTGCCATTTCCATATTGGGAAGCGCAGTCCAGAACGAGAATACAGCACGGAAGTACAATGTTATTGATCTGTCGACATTTCACTATTGGTACCTTTTCTCGAGGGCCAGACAACGTCTAAGAGATAGACTGTTATAATTTCCCCGAGATGCCTTTCCTTTTCTTTTGGCCCATCATGAAATATTCTGAAGGTTAGATTACTCAGTGCTCAAGGGGAGAAAAAAAATAAGAAAAAAATAAATAAATGTCTCGGCTTTCGCTTGTAGTTATATTCGGACACCCTTTAGCACTTTGACGGATCAATCCGTCATTTTGATCATCTGCATACATCAACCGGCTTATCCCAAGCCTATTTAGTTTATGTGGATGTCCTGCCCCACGAGACCACCAGAATCCATGAGGTGGCCTAAAGCTTGGCCTAATGGCACTACTGCTCCTTTCTGTCACTGGGCAGGGAGATTTCTGGCTGGACGAGAAGAATGCAAAGCCACACACCAGCCACGGCTCTGCAATGACGAGAGCCCCATTGTGCGACGCCCAATGTGCCTGACGACTCTGACACCTTCCCCCCACCCCCATCACACGACACCCCAGAACATCCAGCCAAGCAGAAGCCGTGAACTAGTGTGGATAGTTATATTATTTGATTGATGTTCCCGAGGTATATATAAACTGCTGATTTATACGCCCAACATTTAACGACTCCGTGAATTTCCGCTATACCACCGGATGAATCGGAAATCGCGCATGTGGTCCTCCCGAGAGCCGCGCAAGCTCCATAAAGCTCCACCGGCAGGAGAGCTTTCATCACGAGCTTGGGAAGAGGAGGTAGGTAAACTCAAGGATACCGAAACCGGCGCCTTTGCGCTAAACTTATAGATTTATTAGTGGGATGGCCCCGATCTTATAACAAACCTACCCGGCAATGAGCTCGCCACACTCATCAACCACGAGCTTCGGTTCCCCAAGCTTATCGGCGTCGATGTGCTCTGCTCATACATTAAAGTGGACGGGCTTACTCGGTTGCTTTCTTCCTTTGAAGCCCTGGCGAAAAGGCCACAGCTAGCTCTGGTCCGGATGATCACCACCACCCAGCACCAACTCACCGAAGTCGCCGCACTTCAGAAACTCTCCAGCTTTGGCAACGTCGAAATCAAGGTTGTCGTTTGTGACAAACCAACCTTCCATGCGACAAGCTGGCTATTTCGGCGCTCATGTGATGAAAGCGAACATGCCTCGGGCTGCATGTGTCGTTGCGTCGCCGTCATCGGATCGTCAAACATGAGTTCTTCAGCGCTCACTACAGGGTTCGACATGAATGTGCGGCTCCCCGGCACATCACGCTCAGGTATGGTGACGGATAATCTTGCCGCAATGCAGGACTTCTCCATCACTTTCGACCACTATTGGGATGGCCGGAATAGCTTCTGGGGTGATCCAAACAACGTTGTCCAGTTCCATAGTTCCCGGCCAAGCGAGTGCCATCTCGTCATGGAGCGACTTCGTCAGCGGGACTCATCGAAATGTGACAATCCGTCATGTCAAGACTGTATTGCCCACGCCGACCATGTCCGGCTCAGCCGGCCCAGGCGACCGGTACGGCCCCGCTTGCTGAGCGCTTCCCTACCAATTCGTCCGCCGTTAGGTGAATCCATCTCCGGCATGGCATGGCAGGCTGCCACCTACCCGACTGACCAAAGCGCCACCTCAACATCTGCTTCTCCTCAGCCACTACTCACGCCGTCGCTTCATAGGTGCTTGCTTGCTTATTACGCAGCCGCTCACGGATATATGACGGACGACCTCGCTAACGTCGACATCAACCATCAAGAGGTGGAACTTGGCCTCAATGGGAGCACACTGCTGCACTGCGCTGCGTACGGCACTCACCCAGAAACCGTAGATGCTCTTCTCAACCAGGGGGCCGACCCTAATTTGCGCGACAGCCTTGGCAATACCGCCCTACACCGCGCGTTGCAGTCATTTTGCCCTCTGCCCGATGGGTCTGAGTACGACCCGGACACTTTGCAGGACTACCTTGATCGACAAGCCAGGGTTGTTAGGAGCCTCCTAACGCATATGGGCGGTAACGCATTATCAGTCGAAAACTCCTATGGCCTGAAACCCATCGAGTATTTGATTGCGCTAGATCAAAGCGATGGCCGCCTAATCGATTATGGTATTCTCGCAGAGTCTCCCGGAAGAGAAGTCAAAGGTGAAATCGCTGAGAAGGTTTTTGAAAAACACAAAATCCCACCCGTGTGGTCGTTAGATTCGAACCGCCTCCACGAGTACGGGGAAGCTGGAAGTGACAGACAACTGCTATTTGACCAGTGCCGGTATCCAAGATGGGAGGAGTTGGATAGAATCATCGAGAATCCGAATGATGCTAGCCAGCCCCATTCCGATCAGTCGTCCCTGAGACTTGAGGGTAGGCTCTCCACAGGTGCGAACCCTGCGGAACCGGGCGGTGGAAACTATTGGGGACGTGGAGTTTCATAGCCGGCCGAGTCTAGACAGACATGACCTGCGGCGGGTGCTGAACCCATAGATGCTGGATGTGTCTGACTACGTTCAAGACGCCTGAACAATACTATGCGCGCAGTAATGTAGCTGATTTTGGTCTCTAATTCCTCACCTGGCTATATATCTTCTGCTGTGGAGTCTTGTGCTGGATTGTCCAAAAGAATATCAATAGTAAATGATAGTTGGACGCCTTGACTATTGGTTGACCCTTACGATTGATGTTTGAATGTTCGATTTTCGCCTCACTTTGCAGACTACGAACTGGGTCAAGAGGACTAGCCAGTGCCAGAGAAGTACGGGGACAGAGCAAGCTGACTCGCGGTGAAAGACCAAGCACTTTTCGATATTCTTCTCGCCATGACATCAATATATCTCCTTCAATCGATTAATAAAAAAGAAATATGTGCCGCGTCTCCTGTCTCACTAGAAAAGAACTTTTTTAGAGCCTCCGGTATACGCGGGGAATGAGAATCAGGCTTGTGTTGGATCTCAACACACGGCCTCCCCCGGTCGCGCTCCTTGTGCTTCAGTCCCCATCCTTGCTCTTTTCACCTCCACGCTCACCGTCCCCCTCGCCCAAGTCACTTTTGTTGCTCTCGAGGGTGTCACAACTTCCCCGTCGTTTGTCCGGATGAGCCTCGTGACGGAAGCTCACACATCCCGGATCAGTGCCGATTCTGCCGCAGCAATCCCAAAGAAACCCCTCCGGATACTCCTCTCGGCTTTCCTTGCTGTCGATGATTCCGTGGCAATTTTCATCATGATCGGCCCAAAAGTCCGATTCGTAGTCAGGCTCCATATCGCCTACAAGACGGGAAATGTTATTAGACAAAAAGGGGGGGGGGAACAGGATCCATGCGCTCACCAGGATGATAAAGGCAGTCATCTTCAGAGTTGTCATCTTCGATGAACACTTCTTCACATCGTACGCATGTGCGAGGTTCGGTTGCAGCTTTCCGCTTCAGGGACCCGGAATCCCTCGCGGCATCCTTCGGCTCCACGACGACGCATTCGACGAGTTGGTCCATATATTGTGTTGCCTTGAGGCGCACCGTATCGTCACGGCAGAGGGCGAGGAGAACGGCCCTCAGGATAGGCTCGGGGGCCTGGATAAGACGGTCTATATCGGACAACGGGGCCATCATACTTTGGAGCAGAAATGAAGATCCTTGCGAGGTTGTGACCAGGTTCTCGTTTGTTTGATAGTTTCGCGTCGCGGTGGCGCGTTTGGTGAAAAAAACGAAAAAAAAAAATAAAACAGGGATCAATCACTACACTAGACACGACAGGGATGCTGGTGGGATGTTGGAGGACTGCCTAAGCCCGGCAAACCGTGAGCGGCAAGGGGAGTGAAAGGGCGGGATGGTGAGACTCGAGAGCAAAAGCGGCCTGCTGCTTCAGTTGAATGCAACTCGAAGAGTAACACATAATTAGATATCACTAGGGTCAGGGAATAACTGTAATCGTGTTATTGCTGTTATTATTGAACGAAAAGAACGCTTAAATAGGCATCCTACCCCAGTGCCGGGCAATGAATGCCCACTGAAGGCTTTCTCATCATAGTCTCACCATCGCCTCTCCAAAAACAAATATTTACCAAGTAGAAGATATTCTCAGGCCGCTCCAGTCTAGATCTTACTTCTGGTGCCACAGCTCACCACCCTTACTTAGTCTCACGTAACGGGCCCACTGAGCATAATAAAGGCTGGTAGCTCCGGTAGCACAATTGGTTAGTGCGTTGGACTTTTAACACCCAGTTAAAAACGAGGGTGATCCAAAGGTTGCGGGTTCGACCCCCGCCTGGAGCGAAAGATTTCCCTGAGGGAAATCAAACATTATTATATGCCCCCTTAAAGGGGTAGGCTCAAGTCGTATAGGGGTCAGTACGCCACGTTGTGGCCGTGGAAACGGAGGTTCGAGTCCTCCCTTGGGCAAATAATACGTTTTTTTTTCGTTCCGCGAACAGTGTACTTACTTACCCTCACTAATTATCCCTCTTCTTGTTTATCATTATTACGATGATTACCTTTCTTCTATTTTTTCCATCCTCTTATTTCCTTTCTACTGTGGGTGTCTTTGTGCTCGGGAATTCTTTAACCAGGTGGCGTCGCTGGGTAAAAGTTTAACCGGGATGAGAGAGACCGCCCTGCTGCAGGTACGAACCCACGATCTCGGGTTGGGTCTCCCGCAGTAGAGGCTGTTGATAATAGAGCTAGTAATGTTACCAAACCTACAATTGGGAAGACTAATCTGCTGTGATATGTAAGCGTGATGCAGGAACACGTTGTTACCGTGGGGGAGATGCGCCAAAGAGTTTTGTAATAGCTCGCCTCGCGACGTTGGGGAGGTGCCATTGAACCGAACCCTACTCCACGTCGCCCCTATCATGTCGACGGACATAGCCCGGTACTTTTAGTGAGTTCCGCCCCTGGGCAAGTTAGAATGGCCCCAGGAGGCAAAGGTTTCCGTAACTGAAAAGATAGAAGGAATATAATTGGAGGCTGTATTATCCAGAACAGTAGTGGGTAGACAATCTCAGTACTCCTTGGCCAATCTCGTGCGAACTGAAACTCCCTTGAAAATGCCCGCACCCGTCGATGGATTGGAGGCCGAGGCCAGCATTATCAAACCGTTGGGATCCGAACTCCCGTCGAGAGCGCCACCTCCGAACTGGGGGCCCAATACGAAGCCACCGGACCTGGTCTCTGTGACAGTTTCCCATATTGTTCGGAGCCCATCCTACGTGCGTGGGCTATCTTGAGCGTGGAGAATCCTCTCGAATACCTCATAACTAGGGAAGTTATAAGCTGTGTCAGCCGACGCCCAGTCTCCAATCCTCAAAGTACGACGATCTGTTATAGATGGGATCGACGTTTTTTTATTATATACGAAGAGACACATATACCCGGCCCCATGGCCTTCCACGAAGCCGATGCCCGTTCTGCGTCCTGGGCCCTGCGGAGGAAGCTTCGGACTGGCTTGTTGAGGTTATGTCAAGACAAGTGTCCACGTGGTTGCGTCGACTTCTAACATAAGTTATGATTACGACACGCTCCTATATTCACTAGAGACTTAAACCAACAACAACCACGGAGCCTAATTTAGGCCATTTACGGAGTGGAGCCACAAAAAGTTCCAGCAGGAAGCAAATCAACACAGCTACCCCGAAACGAATGCGAATGCGAGGCTCATCATTAGAGTCATTGGTTCATTGATGAGAGTGGAAGGAGCTTTGCCCCGCTCGTCTGTTCGATCACACAATAAATAACCCACTTGACATGCAGTCGCTCTACCCTATGTAGTACCTCGTAGTAGTTTTCAAGACAAAGAGCCAGGACAGGGCCCACACGAGAGTATGGACGCGACGTCCTTCATGAATTACACGCTACTTCGTTGTCGTTCAAGTCTTGGCGTGTCACCGCGCTTCTTAGATGTCAGTGCAATCGGCTTATCGTTTAACCGCTTCAACTGGCCATTACTAATGTTCGTTTCCCTGGCGTTCCAACGTCCCCTTTGTAGATCAATCCGATGCTTTTGTTGGGAAGTGGAGATCGCCCTCAAAGCTTGCGAGACAGCGTTACTTGTTCGTTGAGGTCTCGACTGGTCCAACCCATCTCCACGATCTCGTCTTCTGCTTTCTCGTTTACCTTTATGCTCACCAGCCACAACCACAGGAGCTATGTTTAGAATCTCTGGTTGCTGTCAAAATTACGCCCTGTGACTGAGGAGATCACCTAATGGACAAATTTCTACACTGAATCGATCCTTAACTACGTATCCTCCTATTCCATTTACCATTTCGTCTTCTATGGCCCAACTGTCTATATTTCCGGGTACCTTTCCGGCGCGGGGAAAGTTTTTATCCTTCTTTATGAGAAGAACGCACAGGTGAAACGAACAAGATGTTGATCCTGAGCTTGAGGTGGGCTAAAAGAGAAAGACAAGAAGTCACGCCCTCCACTAGTTTCAGCCTCCACAGCTTCACAACCTTAGCCGCCGTAACCTAGAACGCAAGCCATAGAGTCTAGACTCCCCTCTCAACCATCCGGGTTTTCAATGATGAAAATACCATCAAAGCCTATGGTTTGACTTACAGTAGAGCTTTCGTACCTAGAAGATCTCCGACTCTGAAGAGTTGAGAGTACGAATTCAGAAACTTACGTATCCATCTCGCTCTCGGCACGTTCACGCCCCTTAAATCCGCCGCTGTCCACAAGTGGCCTGCGCAATATCTGTCAGGATCCGCGCTGGCATATCTCCATCTCTCAAGGTCGCGTCAGGGCGAGGGGGACCAAGATTACGAAGCCCCTTGAGGAAATTTGAATCCTTTCAAGTCTTCAAACCCACCACTCACGGCTCCTGAAGGATGGAACTGGTCAAGTGGAGAACCGAGGAAATTGAGCCAAATCCGATGGAAACTTGGGCATTTGAATAGTATAGTAGGAGTAGCAGAGCTCCGTCTAGACCTCTTGATATTGCTTAACGCAACGAATATTATCCCAGGACTCAATAAAGTAAACACTAACACTTGATCCAACCTGACAACTCCATTGTAAATATATCGCTTCAGCTAAAAAAATGGTAAGTCCTTCAAAACGGGTAGTACATAATCCTCATCGAATTCTAGTCCCGACTTAACCTCTAGTTTTAGGGATGCCTTGGGGTTGTCCATTCGGCCCTATCATGGCAAGGGTTCGGATGTCTCGGATGCTCCGTGAAAATCCCCGAAGGCCCTGATTCCACTTCGATTTGGCAGCGAGTGGGCCTATCTCGTTGCCCGATCCACTCCTCGCTAATGAGACAGAGAAACATCACGTCTCATACACTGCGCCACCGGGCGTTGCGTCTGCCACGAGGGGCGCTCATGGTGCTGTAAATCATGCTGACGCGTACTCAGTTACTGGGATAGCAAATCCTACGAGGAGTAGGACCCGTACTCATAGCTGGATGCATGGTGATGGGTGGATGGCAGCCGCAGGATTTGATTCCCTGAGCATGTAGTGGAAAGGGGAAGGAAGGGCGACAAAAAAGGACGGCTGGCTTCAAGATCGGTGTCATGACTATTTCTTACACATAAATATGCCTCCCATTCCGACCGAATTACTTCACTTTTTGCTTTTCATCTGATTCTTTTTCATCAGATAATCCAGTAGATCACTGTGGTCATCGTCATATTCTCCGTTATCTCTCTTCTCACCTACGAGTTCTCTCAAAGCACTCTTATGATGCGTTCCAACCAGCTCTCTATCCTTCTCGCCGCAGGCGGAGTGGCTGCACAGGTCACGACATCGTTCTGGTCTCCCGGGACCATCAACGGCAGCGGATCAGGAGATCTTGAAGGGTCCATCATCAACGTCAGCGGCGGACTCACTACCCTCGCTGTCAAAGCCACGGACGCCATCGGTAACAACTGGTCGACCTACGAAACCCTCACTGTCGGTCCGACATACTTCGGCTTCGTCTCGACTGCTACCGAAGAAAACTTCTCGCTTGGATGCACTGTTACGTCTGCCGTGGTTAGCGATACCAAGATTATCCCGACCTGCACTGTCTCTATCGATAACAAAGAACTCGATTCCGGCCCAATTGTCAGCACGTCTCTTGGAGCCAGTGTGTACATCTATCGGGTCGTCATTTCTTCTGGAACGGAAAAACTTCCCCAGGCCACTGGGGGGGCTCCTGCTGGGGAGGCTCCGACGGCTGTTCCTACAACGGCTGTTCCTACAACCACGCACTCCAGCGGAGCCTGCCGAGCAGCACGGCTCAGGGGATAAGGCTAGGCACAAGCCAGTATAGCCCCCATGACTCTACCAGGAGTATGCTTGGTGCCGTCGAGGAGGTCAGGGAAATTCGGGAGGAGGTAGTGTCCGGTTGGGTCCTTCAGCTCCCTCTAAATGGGTCGTAGAGATTACGGAGATTACGGCTACATATGTTGGGAAGTTCTGGCGCCACCTAGGGGGATAGATAGTTTTGAAATACGAATGCCAAAAGTCAAGAGAATCCTCACATTCCTTGACACGTTATTTCATATAGACCGGCCATGGACTTTCTTCTGCTCGAGTGCACGTTTTGCGTAATTTTCTGCGGTGTAATTATTCCATTCCTCCGTTGGTTTGGCCTGTACCGTAAAGTGGTAATAGTATCGGATAGAGCAACCCGACATTCTGAAGAACCCGAATAGCGCTACCTCCAAGAATGCTTTTGTTTTGCTTCCAATTTGGCACTGGAGGTTACATATTGATGCCAAAATCTAGCGTAGGATCCTTGAAGAAGCTCCTCTCCCTGCTGCTGTACTCACAGCTTCAAGTATCCGCTGTTTTTTTATGAGATGTCTGTTTGGAACATCGGAGGGTGATGTCCCGAAGATCTTGTTAAGAATATTAGATCCTGAAGGGAGGATGAATTTTGACGCTTCTAGGACTCCAGGAACATGCATAGGATCAGGATAGCAAAGCCTACTTCTGCTGCCATCATTGCCTGTTCCACCATCCACAAGTGTTGGTATAGTGGGACGTGCTGATGCCCGGGAATGTGTCCCAGCCTGCCGATTCTGTTCCCAACAGCGCATCAGGCAAGTCCAGAGCAATTCATGTTCCCCGAAGCGCAGTTGATAATAAAGTAGATGTACAGGCCAGATGACCGACGGACTGGTTTGCCTCAACTGTGGAGAATTAAACTAGACTGTCTAATACCCACCAGTTCCGGTTCCAATGGAGGATTTACAATTAAGGGTCGGAGCTGCGGCGGAGACTCGTTGTGGCGGGCTAACCAGTCTCTCTTCCGTTGTTCTTTATTCTTCGCGCAATACTGGTAAGAAGAGACCATCAGTCGAGCGGATCGATCAATCAGCTGATAACAACTGTGTTTGTCTAATTAGTTGGTTCCGATTTTACCCTGATGATTAGCCGAGAGAAGCCTCATCTGGTGTTTGCGACCGTTTCAATGTGAATCGGTGCACTGATGGGTTTCGGAACCGGTACCGAAAGGTCAAACACGTGCGAATCTACGACGGTTTTGACTTCGGGCTACATACCGAAATCCCGAAGTAGCTCGGAATCTACCCCACATTCCGGCCACGGTGATCGGTGAGGAGCACTTCTAGTGGCCCAAAGTTCTAGAAGCTCTCTGGGGCAGATCGGAAAGAGACAATGCCCTGTCAACTGACTTAATTACATTTGATCCTACATTGTGCCTTAACCTCACGTGGTTTGACGTTGATTTGCCTTTTCAGAGGCTAACTGTTGAGATGAGTATTCCTGTGTGGACGACACCGCCCGACGCGCAGACGAGCTACATCATCGACCAGCTTGAGGGCGAGCGGGTCTCCATTCCCGGGAGCAAAAGGCACCTTCAGAATCCGGGCCTCATCGAAGCATACCAATGGTGGGATTACAGTCTTTTAAAGCGGTGCCGTGCTCTCCGACGCGCCTGGCTTTCATTGCCATGCCGAAGTTCACGATGTGTTCTATGTGGTCAAGGGGTACCTTAAACTCTGGAATGGAGACAAGTGCATAATAATGGGACCGGGTGACTTCACATATATTCCTCCGTTAAGCATACTTTTGTCCCCCCTTGATCGGAATATGATTGTTCATCTAAGAGGGCACCAAAATGCCTGAAGAGAGGGAGAGAGAGGTTGATTGACAAGAGTGGGTAACAGAAAGTGATCCATAAACCCGAGCTGCTGGGACCGTATACAGAGACTTTGGGTCTGATTGCTCCCGGAGATTGGGTCGACTTCTTTCGTCTACGTAGGTGAGACCTACGGCGGCAACATTGTACCCGAATTCGAAGACCGCGATCTCAGGCCATCCTAATCCCGAAGGTCATGGCCGCCAAAGACCAATTTGACGTGAACTTTGTACCCGACTATAGACCACCGGAGTTGGGCAACTGGTTGGAGACCGAGAACACGCTTCCAGGCCCGCTAGAGGCCTGCTTCCTCCGCGCCAACACCGGCCCGAGATGGATGTTGTGAGGCGTGATGTCACGACCATTCATCAACGCGTCTCAGTGCAGCGAGAAATTCGCCATTTCCAACATTGAAAAATCATCTACTTACAGGGCTCCAAGTTCATCACCCCTAGCTCGCTAGCTCACCTTTAAGGCTGTCGACCACTGCCTTGTGATTACCGAAAGATCTCTAAAGGTGAAGCTTCTGGGAAATGATGAATGGAGCTCTGTGAAGGAAGGCCAGACCCTTACGATCGCTGCCGGCCACTGTTTTACGCTGGCATTTGGGAGCCGATATGTACGAGCAACCTCGTTCACGAATGAGCATGGTGTCGAGGAGCTCATTCAGACGGCCGGCTCTCCATTTTCGGGGTTCGTCCTCCCGGAGCATGAGTGTCTCTTTTCGTCTGAGCCATGAAAGAGTACCATCGATCCGAGGCCGGACTCGCTTGAAATAGACAACTAGGTATCTTTCAGCTGCCGTATAGTCACATATACTCGGCTCGGGTCTGAGAAAGAAAGGAAAGGCAACAAGAAAGTTTAAATTTGCAGCCAAGAATATAATTATTCGTTCGTCGAGAAAGACGTGCGTCTTCTGGTATGAAGTACGACGTCCGCATATATCCGTGCCCAGCTCAAAGAAAGTGATCGGATTTAAACACTGCTCCGTGTCCTTTTCCTCCAACTGCCGGAACGTGGGAATGATTGCGGGGTAAGAAACAGAAACAAATCTAGTGGAAAGCCCATGCTCCTTTACAGGCGGAGTGGCGAACGGGTGGCGACCCAGGGATTCGGGTTAGATCTTCGTGCCAATGCAGAATCAGTGTCGCGGGGACGAAGTAATTCTCTCAATTTAATCTAGCAAGTTCAATTATAATTTTCCCCCGGACTGCTTCGACACATGATGGAAATGTAACAGACGGTCCCCTTGAATAGTTAGCACCTTGAAATAAGATTAAGCCGCCGAATTCTTACGGGGTTCATTTTCCTTTTGGGTCTGTATCCTGCAGCTTTGATGTCTCTTGCTTGAACAACGTTCCCAGGCTAACCCCTTAAGTCCTCTCTAACCAAAAGAGGTTTAGGGCGTGAATGCTCGTGGGTCATTTTGGTGGGAGAGTGACTTGGTGACTTGGACCAAGCCGAAAGTGGAGAAATTGGTGGGTTTGGCGTTACATGGATTTGATTTCCCCATGGGGTCCCCATCTCTTGAACCGGCCGAACTCGTCATCTTACTCAAAGTCTTCTTGATTTCATTCACTTCCGAGCCACTGAGGGGAACGGGGAGATACTTTTACCAGCTTATTCCATAACGTGATCTTACTCAAATCTCCTTTTCACGACACGTGCACTACCCGATGTTAACCAGATAATCAGAATCAGCTTGATCTCTTGTTAAAAGAGAGCACCAGAGTGGGACAACATGTCCGGTGAATCGGGACGCCAGCGTGCCTACCGCTCCCGCACGGGGCCACGGGCAATGCAGGCGTGCCAGTCCTGTGCGGCTTCAAAGACGAAGTGTGACAATGATCGACACTGCAGGCGTTGTGTCAAGAGGAAAATACCATGCATAAGACAAGTTAACCTAGATGCCCATTCCTCGCGGGTCGATAGGTCTGATTGCAGCGCTCCACCATCCCTCATAGAGCTGACGAACTCGAACCTGAGCCCGACTTACGATACGGTATCCCCCGGCGGGGTGGCACATCGAGCCCGCTCGCGAGCGCTGTCGGGCAGCAGCATCCATGCCGGAGGAGTACGGAGCATCAGTGTTATGGCCAGTGAAGATGGTGAGTGAGAATAGAATGTCCATATTATTGATGGCAATCTAAGCGCTCATTCTGCTTTTCACATGACAGGAACAGCGCCTCATCTATCGAGCCCGCCACCAGCACCAGCACCGGCACCACCCCCTGATGACTCTATTGGCCTCCCAGATGAGATACGAAGAGTTATTTCTTACGCGGATTGGGATCTCAATCTTGTACAGAATCATTTCAACTTCGCTAGCAGCCATGACTTCCTGCCAGCAGGCCTCCTCTCTCCTCTACCCGATCTCTTCGGCTTTGACGCCAGCATGGGTGAGCCTGAGCTCGTTGCCGCCTCTACCGTGGCACCGAGCCCTCTATCCATCAGCCCAGTAGTAGATGACGAGAAATCTCTTGTGGTTATGGATGCCTTCAGGAAGGCAACTGGCAGATGGGTGCCCGTCCCTGCGGTCAACTTCCAAGCCGAGGAGGAGAAGAATTTGTCTGCTACGCACGGTGCTGATATCACGACGGACCAACCGGGCCGCTGGGATTCCAGGCTGTTACCCAATGGATTCCCGCTCGCGGCTCGCGATCGGCTCCTCGCCATGATGGCCAGCGCTTGCCAGCCGGTAGACGTCCCTCGCGTGGCCGCCACATTCCCCTCCTGCGACGGCCTCGGCATCTTGGTGAGATCCTTCCTGGCATGGCATATGAGCCAAGAGGATACCTGGATCCATGTCCCGACGTTTTCAGTCAACGATGTTAAAGTTGAACTACTGGCTTCTATTGTAGCGGCTGGGGCAGTGAGGTCGCCCAGCCACGCTGTCCAGAAATTTGGCTTGGCGGTCCATGAGATTCTCCAGATGCAACTCAGGAACATGGTGAGATCTTATCTCCGTCTGAAGTGTGTGCTGGTTTGTAACATTTTATTTTCTTTCGATTGCTAACACGCCTTCGGATCCACCTAGGCCCAGAGGGCACCTGTCCTCACGCGGGAGCTGCAGTGGCTTCAGGCCTACGCGCTCGAGGTCCAAACTGGCCTATGGAGTGGCAACAAGCGGAAAATGGAAATCGCCGGAGGCAGTATGGGAAATGTAGCCAACGTCAGTAACACAAATCCCAGTGTTATTTTGGAGGCATCTTCAGGGCGTCCAATGGAAACTAGCGCTGACGTTTGGTTATGCCCACGGTAGATACTACGAGCTGGGGGTCGACTTCGCCGTTCCTCGTACACTGCCAACCTCCCGTCTCAAGATGACTGCGGTCTCTTACTGGAAAATAAATGGCGGCGGTGGTTAGAACAGGAGTCAATGACTAGGTATTGCGGTTTCCCTGATGCTTCCTTCTATTATCTCCATGTTGTTATTTTTTCTAACGTGGGCGGGCACCAATAGACTCGTATATCACACGCATATTCACTGTGGTCAAGACTCGCTACTGACTTCAGCTCCTTCGCCCCTCATGCCTGCCGAGCTTTCTCTTCCATTCCCCCAGTCACGCCAATTATGGTTCGCCGGGTCCGCGGAAGGCTGGAAGGAAGCCTACTTTGCATTAAAAATTCCCGATGCCATGCATGAAGTCTCGCTGGTGGACTGCCTGGCCGACCTCTCGCGGCTTCGCCATCTGCCAATCTTGTTCGACGTAAACATTGCAATGCTGTCGGTGCTACATGGGATCGCGACGACTGTTCGGAGTCACCGCCACCAGCTCCTCGTATCGGTCTCGGGAATCGTGGACAGATGGTTGGTCGCCACCCGAGAGAGTGTCCTGCCCGATGAGGCCCAACACCGGTCCTTGCTCAGGGTGTTCGACAGCCTCCACCAGACTTTCCGGCTCTCAGAGAGCGGCGCAGATACTCCGTGCGCAGTCATTCTAGTGTTGGAGCTCCTGTTGCTCCATTTCTACTGCTATGTCGAACAGATGGAGCTGCTCGCGGGGAAGGAAGGCTTTGAGGAGGCGCAAGCTTCTTACCCGGCTCTACAGCAGTGGGCAGATACCCGCGAGGCGCGCCAGGCCGTCTGGCAGGCAGGCCAGATCTTGAAAGTAGTCAAAGCTCTGCCGCTAGAAACCATGAATGACTTCCACTCCGTCGCTCTTTATCACGCCAGCTTGTGTTTGTGGGCATATGGGACCCTCACAAGCAAGAGATGCGATGGAAACAGCGCCTTTATTCCCCTAGACGGGGTGAATTTCTCCAGTACTCATGAGATTCTGCTGGATGGGGAGGAGTCGCTAGAGTCGCAGAGGTGGATCGCCTTCGACAGAGGCCGACCTGTCATTTCTCACCACCCCCACGGCGACGAGGTAGAGGTGCCGCCTAGGATATCACTCCAATCGACGGACGAAGTTATGCAAGCCTTCATAAGCACTATAAGGAGCAAATACCCCATGAGGAATATCCTTCCACCGTCAACAAAATGCTTCTGCTACCTTATGCATGCGCTGGGTATGTCCGCACGGAAAGATACGAATAGCCCTGTCTCGTATTAGTGTATGGTAAACATCATTGTATGGACCCCAGTGGATGTTTTGGGAGCTCGAATTTAGAGTATGAAGTTTCTTTATTATTGTTCTGCATGTTTTTGATTTGAACCTCGGTAGAATTGTTCACCTCCGGTGTCATATGGAGACAGACGAGTACACGTCTCACCATAGAGATCCCCCACCGTTAACAGGAACTATGACCCCGTTGATCCAGCTGGCTCTGTTATCGCAGAGGGCTGCAACAGCCCAAGCGACCTCCTCCGGTCTAGCGTAACGGGCAGCAATGGGCGTTCGCTCCTTTCGGCCCTGCAATACCCGTAGGAAATCCCCTTCTGCCGCAAGTAGCCCTTCCGTCCCGACAGGACCGGGTGAGACGGCATTCACCGTGCACCCGTACTTGCGGGGAAGATCTCTGGCCCAGCACCGTGTGAAGGCTTCGATCATACCCTTGGTCCCGGCGTAAATAGTCATGTGTGCGTCGGGATCTCGGGAAGTGGAGCTTCCAATATTGATGATTCGGGACCCCGCGGGAGCCAAGATTGGCAGAACCGCACGGGTAAGGAGCATGGTGCCCCGCCCATTCAGGTTAACTGTGTTGTCCCAGACCTGCAGGATTTCGGCATCGGAGGCTTCCGACATGTCGCAGATCGAGTTACGACCAGCATTGTTAACCAGGATGTCAACTCTGCCGAAGCGCTCACGGGCGATGGCTGCGAGCCGCTTTGGACCATCGGGAGTGCTCAAGTCGGCCTCTGCAATGATTGATTGAGAGCTGGTTGCCAGGCTATTCAGAACGGCCCTTGCAGAGGCTTCCTCTGCGGGAAATGGGTAGTTGATCACAATACTTGCTCCCCGATCGGAGAGCTCTTTTGCTATGGCAGCGCCAATGCCTGAGGACGAGCCGCTCACTAAAGCCACCTTGCCAGAGAGATTTGCTGGTTGATTGACCAGTGTTTCCTGCGTTGATGTCGCCATTCCCGATGTTTGCTCGAAAGCGAAAAAAAGATAAAAAAAAAAAAAAAAAAAAAAAAAAAAAAAAGAAAAGAAAAAAGAGAATTGTTAGGATATGCAGGGTTTCTGAGTGATCTAAAGGTTATTGTCAAACTGTTCTAGGGATTGTTTCTATCACACACCTAGGACTTTATAAACGACACAATGACTTGGCCCTCAAGAGTACTGAGTAAAGATCATTAAGCCGCTCGTTCCCCACATCCCGACTGGCAGCCCTCGGATCCGTCGATCGGACTTGCACTCAGTCCCGACGCCTGAACATGACTCGGTTCTACGATCTGTGCTCATACCGTGAACTACACGCTTCTTCTGTTATATTGGTGGTTCTGAGACCTTACATATTGCTACTAATTTCTCCTGGGATGGGGGATAGAACTGAGAAAACAGACACACCACACGGCGACGCGGAACACTTTCAAGAACCCCGATATGCTAAACGACAACAACATGGTCCAGTCGTCCGACGGTCTGCGGGAGCTCTCCTCGCTCTATCCTCCAGTCGGTAGGCAACACCCTGGTGATCTAAAAGACAACCCTCCCATTCCCGAACATCATCCCACGGTGGGATATCGCCTGACCCACTTCATGCTACGAATCCGGGATCCTCGGTCAACACTGCACTTCTACATAGACCTAATGGGTATGCGGACCATCTTCACGACAAATACGGGGCCGTTTACTATCTATTATTTGGCATATCCACAGACCCCTGCCCATCGTGCCGACCCATCAGTCTTCTCTCGGGACATGATACCTCATTCCGTCTTGAGCCGTACACTAGGCCTCTTGGAACTCTGCCACTACCACGGATCCGAGAATCAACCTACCTCGTACATTTCCAATGGAAACACGCCGCCGCATCTAGGCTTTAATCACCTTGGTTTCACGGTGCCAAACGTAAAATCGGCGGTTGACCGGCTGCGGGAGCAAGGGGTCAAGATCGTCAAGGATATCGGCGAAGGCCCTGTAGAGGGTATCCCTACCACAACATGGGAGAAGGCGACGCACGGCATCGCTACCGATCCTCTTGATCCTACGTTTGAGCGGATCCTACAGCAAATCGCTTTCGTTGAAGACCCGGTTAGTGATCCTAATTTCCTTAGCTCCACGGCTTGTCTGCCTCGATCCCATTCCAGCTGCCAGACTGAAACTGACATCGGTAGAATGGTTACTTTGTCGAGCTTGTGCCTCAAGAGTTTACGATCCAAGGTTGACATTGAGGCGGCCGCTCCCGTCATGCCCAGCTTGAAGGCCAGAAATAGAAGTAGTGCGTGAAGGTCACGATACCGAGAGGAGGTGCCATCAGATCATGTGCATGCGCACCGGACAGACTGCGTATGTTGAGTGTTATGAATACGAGGAGATAATATATTATACATCTTGGAAATATCCCAACTGGCCGTAACTTAACATTTTGCCACTAGTCAGTTAGGTTCCAGTGTTCAGTGAATGCCGGACTATGAAGATAAATGCGAAACTATTGTATCTTGCGGTGAAAAGATGTATCGACGTCTATTTGTTCTAGATCCGGCTCTTCCTCAACGCCGCCGCCAAGTCATGCCTAAGACTGGGCATATCAACAGTAGGTATATGGATATTTTTCCAATGTTCGCGCTCCTTCACAATGGTTGGCATCTTTCGCCGCTCCTGACCCAGTTTCACTTTGATATCATCTAGATGCTTCCACTTGCCCTTCAAAGTCAAGCAGCTGATTTCACAGTCTTCCTTCCAGACAGGGCGGATCACGCCATCCGGTCCACTAGACAGCTTTCCCTGCGCACCGCAGACAATGCATTGAATGTTGTTGCCACCTCGGAACTCGATTTTCAGCAAATGGCAGTACGGGCAACTCCCATTCTCTTCCTCGCCGAGGTATTTTGCATCGTCGAATGATTTCCCGATCTGACTGGCCACGCGTTCGCCGAGTGTTTTTGCCCGCTCAACAGTACGTGCCGGTTCCACCAGAACAGCTCCGGCATTGGCACATCCAGGGATTATGACCTGATCAATGACTTTCGCGTGGATGGGGTACGTGACGAGGTGCATGGTCGGCAACACCATTGTCCACTGTTCAGGGAAAGGAGCAGACGACCCAGCGACGGCGATGAAGCCCGCCACACGTGGCTTAATCTCTCGGCTGTCTACTTGAACATCTCGGAACTCGGGTTCTCCGGCATTCTTCCCAGCCAAGGCACGAAAGGATTTTGAATTGTCCGCGTAAGGTCCCAATATGTAATCAATCAGTTCCTTCAGCGTTCCAGGAGGCTGGTGGGTGTAGACCGGGGTGGAGACGATGAGTGCGTCCGCATCCAGTATGGCATTGAGGACTGCCTTGCGGTCGTCAACATCGGTTTCTTTGGCCTCTTTAACATGTTGGTCGTCTCCCTCCGGTATGATGGAGTTGTCGGGCTTGAGAGGCTTGGGGTTTCGAGGAATCACCACTGATGGCACGTGGATCCACGAGACCGTAATCGAAGGATTTGAGGCGACCGCGGCAGTTAATGCCGCTTTGAGCAGGATTTCGGAGTTTCCATGGATTGAACCGTTGCAAAGGCCGAGGATATGCATTTTCGGGGGGTGAGAAGAAAAGAAGAAGGAAATTGAACAGTAACTTGTGAACACAATGGATCCAAGAGTTTAGGATTGTCTATGGCCTTTGTCTCTACAACATATGGTAATATACTTTTCAAGCCGTGGCAGTATTTCTACAAAGGAATTCGATCGTTATATTACCCCTTCAGCCACAGCCAATGCAGTGGAGTTTTGTTGGAGGAGTCGGCGAGCCGATTCGGAATTCCCGCCCGACGCCGGCATTCAACGCAGAGCACCCGAGCGACAGCGGAGACGATAGGGAGACCAATCAATGGATGGCCATTCTTTTTCAATGGGAAAGAATGAAGAAAACCCCCCTTGGTGTCATCAGTGTTTCTTATGTGATGATATCCTGAACGCTTCTTCACTTTCTTCTTCTCATCGCCCGAAAACGAAATTCCCCTCCCCTTAGTCAACGCGACCCCCCCCCCCCCGCCCTTTTACCCCCCGGCCCTTCTCTCTTCATTCAGAATGGATCTCGGTCTGCTCTTCTTGGTGACAACAACTGTGAGATACTTAGTTGTACCTCTGTTATTGGTGGGTGCAGCCTGGGCCAGCTGGCTGTTGTTTGAAGATGTGAATGTGAGAAGAAAGTACCGATTCCCGCCAATTGTACCCGGGTTGCCACTCGTAGGCAACATATTCCAGATGCCCAAATCAGACCAGGGACCGTATCTCAAGCGGCTGGGGGAGAAATATGGCGAGATGTGAGCCACGTCCTGAGAAAAGCAATCCCTCTTGAAATGCCAGCGATCTAATGATAAGGTTGGATGACTCAGGTTCACCTTGAAGTTCGGTCGGACATATTGGGTGGTTCTGAATTCCCGTCGAGTTGCCCACGAGTTGCTAGATAAGCGCGCAACAATCTACTCCTCCCGGCAGAGCCTAACTATGGCACACGATATAGTTTCGGGTGGGAAGCGCATATTGCTTATGCCATACGGAGACGACTGGCGCCGTCAGCGAAAGATGATGCACAGACTCCTCAACGTCAGCCAGAAAGCCACCTTTAGGCCTTTCCAGGATCTAGAGTCCCGCGCCTTGATGTTCCAGCTGCTAGATGAACCTGAGACTTGGTATTTATCCCTGGGGCGTTTCTCAAATTCCGTAATAATGAGCGTTATCTTCGGACGCCGAACCGATCCCACAGATCAGAACCTGTCAGCTGTGTACAAGGTTCAAGAGGAGTTCGTTCCATACATGATGCCAGGTGCTTCGATCGTTGACGCGTTTCCTGTGTTGGCGCGCATCCCATGGCTAAAAGGTTTACAGCTATGGAGGCGAAAAGGAGATGACCTGTATCAACGGACAACAAGGTAGGCTTTGGGTCTCTTGTTCACCTTTTGCTCTTCCCTCTTACCAGCAGTATAGTCATTTACTTTTTTCCCCTCCTCATCATTCCGTTGTGCGTGCGTGTGCGCGTGTGTGTCCATCCTTTGCTGCTCTGGCTTTGTTTATTTATTACTCGCTTTGTGCGAGCTGATTGACATGTCTTCCTACTTAGCGTCTTCAGCAAACTGATTGATGAGCTCGAAGGCCGAGTTCGACGCGGAGTCCAGCAACCCTGTTTCATGACTGAACTGATCCACTCAAATGAAGAGGAGAAATTCTCGTCCGACGAGATTGCATTTATTGCTGGAACTCTTATTGAGGCGGGCACAGACACTACCCGAACTAGCCTCTTGTCTCTCATCGCTGGGACTGCCATGTATCCAGACTGGACTAAGAGAGCAAGGGAAGAATTGGACATTGTTTGCGGTGCCAATGCCGAGAGATTGCCATCATTTGAGGATTACGACAAACTCCCAATGATCAAGGCAGCTATCAAGGAGGCTGTTCGCTGGAGGTAAGCCTAGGATGGATGGCGGGTGTGAGGGTCTGTCTTTCATTCCATGCCATGACTAACGCAGGTCTACCTGTAGACCAACTAACGCCCAGACTGGGATTCCACATGCTCTCACCACGGATGATGAGTTCGAGGGTTATAGACTTCCCGCGGGTACAGTCGTAACGTGGAATAACTGGGGTATCTCCTGGTCCGAAAAGGAATACAGAGAGCCAGAACGATTCGAACCAGAGCGATTCCTAGACAAAGACGTTGATAAGATAACTAAGGGCCACCTTGGCTTTGGAGCTGGTAAGAGAAACGCCTTATTCTCTAGTTTAATTTTGTCATTTGAAATCGGGGCTAACGATGAACTTTGGCTATTACTTTAGGCAGGCGCTTATGTGTCGGGTATAATGTTGCGGCCAGCAACCTCTTCATTTCGGTGTCTCGACTTGTGTATTGCTTTGATATCGAGCAGTGTCCATCTCATCCTGTGGTAGTTGACAAGCCGCTGGCATTCGACGCGAAGGAGGAACCCTACAAGGTGACCATTAAGCCCAGAAGCCAAGCGCATCAAGACCTGATTGAGAGGGAATGCAGGCAGGCTGCTGCAATCCACACACACGAGAGGTATTAAGTAATGGGTATTTGGAGAATGCAGACGGGATTCGAGGAAAGTGAGCAGCAAAGCCGTTTCCAACCTCAGGATTAATATCCCCTATCATTTTGCTCCCACATCGATGTAAGGGAAAGAAGATTGTAAAGGGCCTCGTAGTAAAGCTAGGGCCTAGATGACGCTAAAAAATGCGGATTTTGGATACTTCGTTGATCTTACAAGAATGTTGAGCTTTTGCCATACCGTGACTGTGTTGGGGTTACGATAGTAACATCATCGCAGAAGATTAGCGGATTCGATGCCGTCCAGTGTCCAGTATGTAATTAATTTATGCTGCCGATTATACCTGGTATTTTCTAATGGCAAATACCTCGAGCCAGATCGGAAACTCATCACCCAATGCTCCAGAAAGAGACATTTAGACGATGGAATCAGTTCGTGAGAGAGGACGGGTGCTGCTTGCCCCCTTGTAGTTGCCTTGGAAAAAGAAAGAAAGTCTCCAAAGACGAGAAGCTAGTGGCTTGGCTAGACCCCTCGGTTTCTCTTCTATAACCCTTCCTTTACGGTACGTCAGACTCCCTGTCGCTTGCCTGGGCGTTTCGGTATCGGATCGCGAGACATCAATTGTGTATCCGTCCTCCTCCTCTAGGCCATGTCCCAAAGATAAGATGCCGTTGCGTCTTCACGGTACTTAGTAGACGTCAGCGAACGAGACTACCCTGTTCTGCCACTAGGGTAGGATATTACCCCATGGGGCAACTTATTTTCCCCGCAAAGCCCGTGCCCTTTCGGGATTTCCGATAATACTGACCATTCCCAGCTCGGTTCCAAAATCCTGGTTCACCAATAAGTGACCCCCTTTCCTTTTTATTATTTATTTTTTTTTTCTTTCCTTTTCTCTAGGAACAGGATCTTTTATAGCCAAGGGATGTTTCTTGTTCATTCTCGGTCCTTCTCCCTACTGTAGACATCCTCAAGTCCACGAAACGACCTCCCGCCTCGCCCACCAACTTCTGAACGAGTCAACCGTTCTGTTGTGTAGCCATCTCTCTGCGCTCGCCATGGACTCCCAGTTCCCACGCGAGAAGGGAGGGAAAGACTCTACCCCACAGCCACGGAGTCTAGGTACAATCCAACTTCTTGATGGCGCTACAAACGAGAGGATTCTAGTGCCGAAGCCGTCTGATGACCCAAATGACCCACTGAACTGGTAAGTCCGCTGCCAACCGTGAGACTACTTTAGCACCAAGATCTAATTTAGTGACAGGTCCGATGCTCGGAAACGCTACATATTCGGCCTTTCTTGCACTAGCATCTTTCTAGCCCATTGCCTTGCTGTCGGTCCGTCCGTGGCTCTGGGACCGATTACAGCCGAATTCTATGGGCCGGAAAACGTTGCTGCGAATATCTCTACCGTATCCTTCCTACAGACAGCATGTTCTCTCATGATGGGCGTCGGAAACTTGATATGGGTACCGATTGCAATCAAGTACGGCAGGAGGCCGACATATGTTGCCTCTTTCCTCATCATGACGGGCTGCAGTGTATGGTGTGGAGCGGCAAAGACATTCCCGAGTGCCCTTGCGGCTAGGATTCTTCTTGGAACGGCAATCGCATCTCCCGAGGTCATCGCACCATTGACCCTCACCGACATCTTCTTCCTCCACCAACGTGGACGCGTCATGGTGTCAGCACATCCTTCCCCATGTTTATTCCGCGTATGGTCGCTAATGGGCCAACAATAGGATCTACACATGTGCCTTGTCCGCTGGCGTAGGCGTCGGCGTCGTAATCTCCGGTCTCATCACTATGCACCACAGCTGGCGCATGATATACTGGGTGTTCACGGCTCTGATTGGAGTTTGCACTCTCCTCATTCTCTTCACCTTCCCCGAGACGAACTATAACAGACAGATAAACGTTCTCACTGGGGAACCTGTTCTCGCGCCTAACATTAATTCTGACAAGTCCCGGACGAGCGACCTGAAAGACGAACGCGTTGAGAACATCGAAACACTATCCCAGCCAGGATTTCCGCCTCAGAGGAAGACTTTCGTACAGGACTTGAAGATCTTTACAACAACGTACACAAACGAACGTTTGGTTGACCTAGTCTTCCGTCCTATTGCAGCCATCGTACTCCCGGCGCTTCTGTGGGCAACTCTAGTTAACACAATGACGATAGGCATGATTGTTGTACTTTCGGCCAGCTTCTCCAGCGCTTTCTCGGAGATCTATGGCTTCGAGACGTGGCAGGCAGGGTTGACCTTTATTGCTAGCATCGTCGGCTCTCTCGTCGGAATTTTCTGGGGCGGACATGCAGGAGACTGGGTTGCTGACAAGCTGACACTCAGGAATGGAGGTGTCCGTACCCCTGAGATGCGTCTGCCTGCCATGGCCATCAGCTTGGTCACCGGGCCGTTGTCCTGTCTACTATATGGATTTGGTTTCGGGAAGAAACTGCACTGGATGTGCGCGACTGTTGGTATTGGACTTGGTGAGTAAATATGAACCACTGTGAAAGCTGCATATCTCAGTGCTAACGGTTATATAGTTAATTTCACGATTGTCCAATCGAACAACATCGGCCTAGTATACATTATCGACTCGTACCGGCCAATCGCCGGCGAGGTTATCATCACACAATCTGTATTCAAAGGTAAATAGAAGGAATGAACATCCCCACCCCCCTTTCATCCCGATTGCCTCGCATATTAACTACAGGAATTTCTGACCCTGTATCTATAGCCATTTTTGGATTTCTACTCAGTTTCTATGCGGACTTGTGGATCCGACGGGATGGGTACATTACAGTGTTCTCTATTCTTGCAGGCGTCTCGGCAGCGGTGTTCTTGTCTACCTCAATATTCTACGTGTGGGGGGACAAACTTCGCCGGGCTTCATGGAAATGGCGGTGGGTGACGAAATTCCTTCACTGGAACGCCGACCGCGAAGTCGGTGAGTAGGCATGTTATGGGAAGTGACGGGGATCCTGTGATATGGGTGAGGTTGGCATGAATTATCAAGATGGAAGAATGCACTTGCGGGGGCAGGTTGGAAGCTGGGCATTGCAGCTTTCTACAGAGGCTTAATGATTTGATAGTGCCCACGATATCTCAAATTTAGTTAACCTACCAGTTAGCTCTAGCTTCGTCACCAGCCCATACTATTTTATGAAGCTCCTAAAACTCGACAGGAATATCCTTCCGTCGTTATGTGCTAAGACCTCCGCCTGCCGATGCATCAGGAAGTGAGCTACTGAACAAACCGGTTTAGGAGCCTCTTCGGAGGGAACTCAGTTGAAGGAATTCAGCACTGTGGACTAGTTGGCATGCCACTGGAATGGCAGTGGGGACAGTGAAACTAGATCAAAAATGGGCAAAATAGATATCGCTCCCCCCCCCCCCCCCCCCCCCCCGGGTGTCTAATCGGAGGTTATTTAATACTCTTGTAGGGTCGCTGCAAGGAGAATATTTCTAGCATCAATACAATGATATCCACACCATCTGTTTAATCAATAAACAGGGCGCCATTGACAAACAAGTGCTCTCCGTTCACCCATCGTGATCTTTCCTCACAAAGAAAGGCAACCGCAAAAGCGACCTCCTCGGGTCCACCCATCCTCCTCTCAACTGGAGTTGCCTCAATGGTAGGTCCGAGAACTTTCATCACGTCCTCCCCGAGCGTTGTAAAAGCTGTTGTCGCAACTGGGCCGGGAGAGACAGCGTTGACTGTGCAGCCGTACTTCGGGGGCAATTCCTTTGCCCAAACGCGAGTAAATGAATCCACCATCCCTTTCGTTCCCGCGTAGATGGTCTGGAGAGGAGGAGGCGCGCGAGAGCTCACTGAGCAGATGTTGATGATACGACTGCCACGGTTGAGATATGGCAGAACCGCTTGTGTGAGGAGGTAAGTGCCGCGGCCGTTGAGATTGACTAATGCGTCCCAGTGTTCTAGTGTATGTTCCTCGAGCGGAAGGTTGACGGCTACGCCGGCATTGTTCACGAGGATATCGATCTGCTTGTACTTCCGGACCGCTGCTTCGATTAACTTTCTTGGACCGTCGACGGTGCTGAGGTCGGCCTCGACCACAAGATTAGGTCCCGATAGGCTGGCAGCGGCTGTTGAGGCCTCTGTTGCGAGACCAGCAAAGGGGTAATTGATAACGACATGTGCGCCCCGCGAGCTGAGCTCTTGTGCGATAGCGAGACCGATGCCACTGCAGCTGCAGGATACCACGGCAACCTTTCCCAGCAAACTTGGCGAGACTGAAGGCATTGAGGTTGCACGATCTGAGGCGGATGGAGTCGCTATTGCATTCCCCGACATAATTGATCGGAAAGTGGACGGGTTCGGGATCAGGTGCCGAAATTTCTTTCGGATTGTTTGTTGCAGATGGTGGCGCAAATGCCGAAGACATGCCTGAACGGGAGGAGGGCAGACTATTTATCAACATTTAAAACCAGGAAACCCGAGGGGCCATCTGGACAGCGGGGAGTGTATGTTACCTAGTTGCAAAGATTTAACTAGGAAGGTCAGAGCCGTCCTCCACCTTCGGATTCTCCGCAGGATTCCGAAGCAGGAAGACCGGGAGGGGCTAGCCGGGAAAGAGAATGGGCCCAGCTGGGAAATGCCTGCACTGCGCGGCTCGCCGAAGATTGGGATAATAAACATACAAACGATCGTGCCGTAGTGTAATTTCATGTACGAATCCCCAGGCCGGCGGCACTTGTATTTGTCTGCGTAATTATCGTCTCGGGTTGTGGACTTTTGCTTGGACTTTTCTAATTACGGGGCCCCTCCTATTTTAAAAATCCATCGTCTTGAATCCGATTCAAGCACCACGTCACATTCTAAAGAATCTATCAGCGCTAAGTAGTACAAAGCCGCGAGAAAGGCATTCTGAGAAGGGACTTTAGTTCTGTCGACTTCGAAGGGAATGCCTGCCTCTGGCAGGGGGCTACTCTCCAAGTAATTTCTGCCAAATCATCTTCAAGACCTTCGACTCGCCTCTTGGTATTACGAGCTTTGTTGCCAATATGTGCAGCTATATCAAAAATGGGTCGAATTTCAGCCTGGAAGCTCTGTCGGCGTCTCGTACCGTCTCCCCTCCAGCTCCCAGGCGGTTTCCGGCTTCAACGGTACGGCAGCCGGAGTGGCCAACAGTGATTGGGGGGGATTGTTCTCCTTTATAGCTCCCGGTATCGCGTCGTGATTATTTCGACTGCGCCGTAGAAGGTACAGGGTGGCCACCGTCGTAATACAAATCAATGCCAGCCCACCAATGACACCGCCAATGATGGCGCCTGTATTGCTCGGTTGTCCATTATCAGATTGACTCGCCTCAGTGTTGGCCGTTTGACTCGGGTTGGATGCACTCGCGCCAGGGAACGTTGACGCCGCTGGGGTTGGCTCGGCAGACTCTACACTCGATTGGGACTTTTTTGTAGATGAGTCTGTCGTGGTATCGGCCGCCTGAGTCGGGGAGGGAAAATACGTCTCGGTAATGGCCTCCTGGCCGCATGCGATGTACGAGAAATGTGCGTCGGTGCCGAGGGCAAGAATCGCTGTCGAACAAAACTCCTGCGAGCCACTGTATCCGAAGAGAATTAGCACCATCGCCAATTTGGAGCGGATTGACCGTGAGAGCTAAGCGAGGTGGTCTATGTTACCAAGTAAAGGTCGTAATGCCAGGAATTCCAGCCAAGCCGCATCCCCGGGAACAGCTGTGTTTATCGATGCAATTCCCCGCAAGTCCACAATCACTGGCAGCGATGACAGTGGTTGGGCAAAATCCCCAGAGACCTCGTTGGGTGTCCACGCGGCAGTTGAATCCAGGGGCCGCTGACCGAGGATGCTTCTCATCCCCACTCAGGTATCCGCATGTCACAAGAGAGTTCCCAGCTTGCCTGATCTTGAGCTCCAACTCTCTCTGCGCAAGATTCGGCAATGCACTCAATATAGTGGCTGGGTCGGTGACGGAAGGGAGATTTTCGGGGGGGATAATCACTCGAGGACTAGCAAGGGCCGCACAGAACCATCCGAGTTGGATAAGGAAGGACGCGGTTCTTCGAAGGCAGCAGGCCATGATCGGTATTCGTTCCGCGGGGAAAAGTTGCCCAGGTATGCCAATTCCAGGCGGCCAGCGTGTCAGGGCGACCTTTAAGAGCGATATGAGCTAAGGTTGGAGGATGTTTTTGTTCAGGAGCGAAATTTCCTAAGCGCTTGGCTAAGGCCTCTCTTGGTTTTTGTGTTTCTTCCTCTTCTTCTTTTTTTTTTCCTTTTTTTTTTTTTTTTTTTTTTTTTTTTTTTTTTGCGCGGGTGGGGTACCCTCCAGAAATATCGCTCAATCACAAAGCATATCACATCTCCCCATGCGCGTGACGATGCCCTTGTGTCACCAAAACAGAATACCCCGGCTTCTAATTGGCTAGTTGAAAATCCGAGGAGATGAAGTGAAACCCCTTTCCCCTGACGGCGCTTAACGAGAATATGACTTGAGTCACGAGCGGCAATGAAAAACGCCACTCCTTCATATTTGCGGCTCTCCAACTCTGTATACTCTGGAATCTCGCCTGATACAACACGCGACGCGTTCTTGGCCTACCGCCGGAGGCAAAAGTTCAAGACTCCATCCTGACTATGGGCTGGTTCACTCTGAGGGCCCTTCGACGCCGTTCTGCTTTCGGTATTCTCTTGGTTATTCTCCTCCTCCTATCCTACTACGGGCTCCTCTCGAAAACGTCGCACATTCTCCGTAAGCCCTCCGAGGAAGGACCAAGCAGTTGCTTCCTCAAACACACTTGTTAATCTATTCATTTCTAGGCTCCATCTCCCAACCCACCAGATACCTCGATCCCGGCGCAAGCGAAGCTACAGCCGAGTCCACACCTACGAGCGAGCAGCGGCCGACAAACTCCAGTTCTGACTCTCCTACTGCACGTCCGATCGTCGAGAACGCAACGATGTATCTACATGCTATCATGGATCCCGACAACAGGGAATTGGAGGGCCTGGCCTGTCCGCGTCTCAACTCTAAGCGATACAACTATTTGAAGCCAAAATCCCCCAAAGAGCCTAGCTACTTTTTCGCTCTCGATCTACGAGAAATCATTACATTATTACCCAGGCTGATGGGGTCTATTGTCGAGGTGGTGCGGTTTCTTGGCCCACGCCACTGCGTTTTATCAGTCGTCGAGGGCAATTCCCAGGACGGGACCTCCGAGGTTCTTAGTCTGCTCCGGAAGGAAATCGAGGCTCTCGGTGCGCAATATCATTTTCTCCGTAGCGATATCAACCCGTCCACCAGCGGCGATCGTATTGGCGACCTCGCGGCGCTTCGGAATCTCGCGCTTGAGCCCCTGACAAGCAACGAGGTCGGGTTTAATCACGAAACAACTGTCATCTTTCTGAATGATGTGGCCATCTGCCCTGAGGACATCCTGGAACTGGTACACCAGAGGCAACGTATCGGCGCGGATATGACTTGCGGCTTTGATTGGACATACGTCGGAGAACATCCAACCTTTTACGATGTTTGGGTTGCTCGTACCATCACAGGCGACTCATTTTTTGAGATTCCACCCGACGGAAATTGGGATTCGGCATGGAACCTGTTCTGGAACTCACCAGAGGATCGTGTAAGGTTCCAAAGTCACAGTCCTTTCCAAGTATTCTCGTGTTGGAACGGCGCTGCCGTGTTCACTGCTCGTCCCCTGTGGGACAAAGGCATCCGGTTCCGTGCTCCGTCACCCGAAGAATGTTTCCAGGGTGAGCCACAGCTCTTCTGTAAGGACCTCTGGCATGCGGGATTTGGCAAGATCGCTGTGATCCCTAGCGTCAATCTTGAGTACGACAACGAACACGCGATTAAAATTAAGGCCTTGAAAGGATACGCTTCCCAATGGGTTGAGCAGGAACCAAATGACATACCGGTCATCGAATGGAAAATTAGTCCTCCTGCAAAGATTAAATGCATGGCGAGCTACGACAACCAGGAATGGAGGCCATGGGATGAGGGACTCTTTGAGTCTTGACGGTGGAAACGCCATAATGTCGAATTGACAATGGCCGAGGAAGAGAGGAGGATTAAAAAAAAAAAAATTTCAACTCAGCCCTTTGCCTCCATGTCTGATATTGACTGATACCCAGGCGCTTGAGAAAACAAATACTAAGAGACATATTCAGCTTTATCTGAATCACCAAGTTGTTGTTTCATTATGTTCTCACCCTCAAAACTCCCAACGTCACCACAACTTGGGAAGAGTCTTATGTAATCCTACCCATTGTGCGTCTGACAGATCAATCAACAATCATCCTTTTCTTCTGTCTCGTCGACAAACAGAAAACTTGAACTTCCCTTCTTTTCTATCAACCCTTTCTCATTTTCCTTTTCCCAAACCCCCTTAGACAAGCCTGTCTATCGCGCATCAATTCGGAGACCAGTTCTTTCACACGGCTGCTATGGACAAGCAAAAGCGTCGCCGGCGCGACGGCCGGCCACATCGACGCGATCCTGATAATTCTTCCCCATCAGCCCCAACACCTTCACAACAAGAGCCCCCCACGACGACCGTTACGGAGGGTGTGGCGATGCCTCTTCTTGCCGAGCCCGTTCCCCAGGATACGCCAAGGTTTTCTGAGCTGTTGGGCACTAATCTAGTCCACTCAACCCTTATTGAAACCCTCACCGAGGATCTCAAGTTTGATCACATGATGCCTGTTCAAGCCGCCACTATTCGCGAGCTCCTACCTCCCAATCGCACCGATTGTCTAGTCCAAGCGAAAACTGGCACCGGAAAAACTGTCGCGTTCCTTCTCCCCGCCTTACAGACCATGCTTAGCGGAAACCGGGGACCTGAAACTAGACTTTCTCTTCTCGTCATTTCGCCGACTCGCGAACTCGCTCAGCAAATTGGGAACGAGGCCAAGCGTATGCTTCAGCGATTGCCAAGATATCGGACCTGTGTTGCCATCGGCGGAACCAACAAAGATCGCGAGGAGAAGCAGATTCTGCAGGGATGCGACATTCTCATCGCCACCCCCGGTCGCCTCTTGGATCATATGTCTAATGAGGGTGTGCTCGACTCTTTCCAGCACTTGGACACTCTCGTGCTCGACGAAGCCGATCGTCTACTAGACATGGGGTTCCTCCCTGCCCTAAAGGATATCATCAAGCGTTTGCCTGACCGATCTGAGACGGGCCGACAGGGAATGCTCTTCTCAGCCACCGTCGCCGCCCACGTGGACAAGGTCGCCGGTCTCGTCCTCTCGCCCGGCTACAAGTTTATATCCACCATCCCAGCCGGCGAGGCTAATATACATCAGCGCGTGCCTCAATTTCTCATCACCGTGCCGACGTTTTCCTCTGTAGCCGCCGCCATGGTAGGCTCCATCCGCGAAGAGATGGACACAGTCGGCAGCGAAGGTTTCAAGGCAATCGTCTTTGCCCCCACGGCTGCTCTTGGCAATTTATACGGGGCCATCCTCTCTGAGCTTCCAGATTTGCCTCCCGTGTCCGTTCTCCACTCTCGAATATCACAGAATAAACGCACCAAGGTCACCAACAATTACCGCGATGCTAAGACCGGCATCCTCGTCGCCACCGACGTAGTTGCCCGCGGCATGGACTTTCCCGGCGTCACTACCGTGTTCCAAGTCGGGATACCGTCTGAAAAGGAATCCTACATCCACCGTATCGGCCGTACGGCGCGGGCGAGTGCAGAAGGCCGTGGCATCTTCATTATCTCCGAGGACGAGGCGTGGTTCCCGAAGTGGACGCTTAAGGAGATTTCATTTCTACCTCACGACGCGGATCTCTCCTCTGCCGAAGCGGTTGCCAGTGTTGCTGAGAAGATGGATATCCAGGAGAGGGCAAAGATTTACCAGGGCTGGCTGGGTTACTATAAGAACCATCTCAAGGGCTTGAAGTGGGATAACGTGACATTGGTCGCGCAGGCCAACTTGTACGCCAGGGACGGACTCATGACGCCGGAAACTCCATCAATTGCGAAGTCCACAGTTGGCAAGATGGGCTTGCGGGGTACGAAGGGCCTAGTAGTCGTGCCCGATCCGCCCAAGCCTAAGCATAACCGGGGCTAGGTAGTCGAGGGATGAGCGGTGGTGAGCCCATCGAGTCAACCTAGGTCTATTCCAAACCGCCACGAGCAGCGTCGATTCTTTTGACGTAAGATTGTCAACCGTACTATAATTGGGAGCTGCTGTGATGAGAATACTAGCCCCCCCCGCGCCCCAAATGAGAGGGTCTCAGAAGGAATTGTGGACTAAGCCGGCAGCATGTATGTTAGTAGTAGCGCGTTGCTCCCACTACATAATTATTATCACAAGCTAGCCCGCCTCTCCCGCAAATACTTGGTCTTCTTTAATAGCCTTAGTCCCATCACGGTATGTATATTTCAGGATCTCTCCCGTGTTGTGGCAAAGCAATTGCAGACAGGCTCTTTCGTGCGTGTTCGAGATCAAGTGGACCTTGCTTGTAACCGCTTCCAGCGTCTTCACCCAAGGTCTTGCCGGCTCAGAATCGGATCCTTTTGTTCAGGCTTTGGTGGATACTAAAAGACCATATGTTATTTAAACTTTATGCACCTCTTGGTTCCGTGTGTAGTTGACAAAATCTTCGCTAGGGTTAATACAGACGCACTCAACTCGAGTCTCCCGGTAGGGGGTCCGCTCTAGGAAACGCCTGCCTCAACTCGGACGGCGTATGTTCAGGGACAGAAGATATTGGATCCGGCGGCTTCATTTCATAGATGAGCTTGTCTATATTTATACAACTGATATGAGCCATGGCAGCCTCCGATCAAGTCAAGCACGCTGTGTCGTTGCGTCCCGGTCACGGCGGAGGACAACAGGTTGTCGTCCTACTTCTTCAAAATGAACCCACTGCTTCTCATTCTCTAGGCCTGTCAATATGAGGTGCATTTAAGGGTGCATTGTAGCTCGGATCTCGGCATGGCACAATGAATACTTAGCATCGCGGTTGGTGGAGGGTCCTTTCCTCCATGTCTTTACGTACATAAGCGGAAACTTCAGCTCCGTCATCGGGTAGTGCGAGGAGATCCTACATGTTTAGGTCTGTGCGCGAAACTGTCTGTTCACAATTCTTCCCCTAGTTTTTGTCAGGATCGTTAGAATTGTTATTGCTGCCGGGACGGCGAACCAGTATATCTAGAGGAGGTCCACCCAGAACTGGAGGTGAGGAGAACCGGCGCCTTCAGACGGAAGGGGTTCATCATCCCCAGCGAGGGAGGATATTTGCAAGCCTACAGTCAGTCCATCTTATATACCCTTGGAGTGACATATAGATGTGGCATTGGTTCGTCTAACTACAAGAAGCTCAGTTCAAGAGAATCCCAAGTATACGTGAATGGAATATCAGATCCGGACAAGCTTGCAGGATCGTGTATGTATCCTAAAGAAGCATTTCCATTGCCGTCTAGCTCTACCTGCATGTGCTCGTGAACAGCAGGGATCGAGGCTCTAGCACTCCCCCAAATTCCAGTTTCCCGCTGCTCCAAGATATCTCGCACGCAATAGCAGGATGATTTACCGAGGACCTCTTCCATTAGAGAGATGAATGATGATACGGTCGGTCGAACAGAACCGGGCATCGTCTCCTTCATGCATTCACTGGAAGAGGGCGCGGATAGTGCTGGCGCTTGCGGGCCCGGAGACATAGAGCATGCGAGATGCGTCGAAACGGCCGGGTTCATACCGGTCGACACCGTCATGGGGAAGTTTGAGACAAGATTCAAGAAGTGGGTCAAGTGCTGCGCCGCCCGTCGTGCCGGCAGCCAGTCCCCGTTGGGGAACGCTTGCAGTATCCCAACAAGAGTGGCAATCTCGTCGCGGGCAGGGAAACGGAGGCCTTCCTCAGCGCAACCCATAAACCCATACAGCAAAACCAGGGCCACGGGAAAAATTCGGTAAAGCGTAACACGGTTCAAAGGCAATTGGCGGTGCTGAAATAGGGTGTAGGTCGCTCGGATGTGTTTCTGGGCAAATTCGATCAGTTTAGTACAAGGTACGAGCAGCCCGAAACTGGTGAACCGAGATGGGTAGTAGAGCAGAACAAGAAGCTGATAGTAACGAGCATTCAGCCACGTCATCGAGCTGTGGATAGGGATGTTATCTGTCTCCTGAGGCGTGACGAGACAGCCGTTGCTATACCAGTTCTCGATGTCGCCGCGGATCTCATGTGCAAGAGTTACGCGATCGGCTAGCGGCAGTTGCGCTACATCGACATTTTTGCGTAGGAGGACACGGGAGAGAATCCGGTCTTCGATCTCACGGAGTTGGATCACGTGTCGGCTGGTCTGGAGCATGTGAGACGGGCTGGGGCGCTCCCCTACCGCGGTATTAAATTCTTCCGGAGTTAAAGAGGGTAACGGTACATCCATATTTTCGTCCGTGAGGGCCATGGGCAGACCTAGGGAGACAGACACCATTCTATCCAGCACATATATGCCCCAGAAGAGACGATGCTGCAGTTCTATCTCGGTTGGGGATAGTCCTCCGTCTTGTGGTGCTCGACGGGTGAGACCCAGGAGAACACCCTGGCGAGCGGCCAGTCCCACAATAGCCCATGTGGACAGAGCCCCTGGGTCAAATAGGGAGCGGAGGGCGAGTAATACTAGCACCCGGACTGATTCCGTGTCCGCGCGACTCAGACATTCGTGAACGATTCCCGAGTAAGGAACATCGAAAGACGCGCCTACATATCTGCCGGCGCGCTGAAGCGTTGTGCATCCGATAGCCATGACAAGATACAGGAGGGTAGTAGTGTCGGAGCTTCTTCTCCACTGTGACAAGTTGACCATGTCGTGTCTTACATCTGCCAAATCCCGAAGGATTCGGGAACGATCAATGAACGGGTAGGCCCGATGTACATTCCGGAAATAGGCATCCACGAACAACCTTAATGTGCGACTATCGCACGTGGACGGGTTGTTGTCGGACAGTGGGCCACGCCCGAACAGCGGTGAACCCGCCGACTCCGAAACATGGACCGGCATGGTATAGGCAGGAGTTAAGGGCGGTTCGCGACCACCGTCACGGTAATATGCCGAGGCGGATGTTACCGTCCCACGGCTTCGGATGCTGTTAACTCCTGGGCCATTCAAGGTGGAGAAACCGGCGCCTTCATTCAGGTTCGAAGTGTTAAGCGCATTTGGGCCGCCGCTTTGCTGCACGCCGCTGCGAAGGGTAGGTGCCGCGAGCATCGAGGCTCCTTGTGGCGGCGCAACCAGCGACCCCGATTCGACATCTTCAATCTCGGTCTGGCGGACGGGCACGTTCTCCTTGATGTAGCGCGAAAGCCATTCTATTCTGGCTTCCAGCTGGCTAATCTGCAACGAAGCCGTTTTGGAGGGAGCATTGGTGGTGAAAGAACATCGCTGACCAGCGTTGGCGCACAGCGTGCAAATGGGGTAGGTACGGCTACATTTCTTCTTGAACTTGCGACATCTGTCGCACGCAGGAAGGTCTTTGACGGAACTGAGAGGACTGCTGTGCGGTGGGACGGGAATGGCCGCTGTTGTGTTAGGAAAGACGGCGAAATCGCGGGGTCTTTCCTCGTGTTGGTCGTCCCGCCTGGCGGCATTTTGGTGGACTAACTCAGGAATGGGCGGCTTTGTAGGCGCCATTACACCGAAATCCAAACCTGTCGAGTTAAGGCCTGGGAGAGGTGAATCGTAGTTCATTATCGCTGAGTATGTCGGGGGTCCTCCGACCTTGGCCACGGGGACTGCATCGGAACGTTCCCGATCATGCGCGGGGACGAGAGACGCTGGTGTTATCGTCGGCGACGCTGGTTTTGTGTTCGTTTGTATGCCGGTGTGCTGGCGTGGATCCCTAAGCGATTGCGTGCTCGAAGATGGGCATTTTCATGCACTTTAGCGTCGGACGATGGCCGACATCAGGAATACGAAGTATGATTTGATCAATTATGGCATTTACTCGCACCGTACCATTCGAATGCTCCAAGTGTTCAATTTCTTATCAGCCAGCTAAACTGTTTACTTTCGGTAGCAAAAAACCCATTGTCATCAGTCAATACAGGGACTACACACTGCCCGTGTCTAAGCAAGATCAGCAGATTGAGACACCTACATATATCTACGGCCGAGTTGTTGTTTGTAAGTAAAGTACAAAAGAGCTTTCAGCGCCGGGTTTTTGTCATCAAGCCTCAAAGGCCTGTCCTCTTCTCCCGTAATCCCCTGCCTCGGCATACAGGTATCTATGTCTTCGTCAATGCCAGCATCCTCAGTCTTCTCCATCCACCGTGTCGCCATCATCGGTGCTGGTGCGACCGGTCTTACCGCCGCTAAGTAACTCTGAGCCTCCCCCCCCCTCTTCAAAAAAAAGCACAAATAATCCAGTATTAACTTAATACACCCTCTCGGCTAGATACCTCGCAGCAGAGAAGAAGTTTAGCATCCGTCTTATTGAGCAGCGAGCGTCGGTTGGGGGATTATGGAATTACGGGCCAGACACCGTTGCTACTGAGGAGGTGGGCTTCGTTGTACCCCTCGTGAGTCCGTGCCCAAAACCGGACCCGCCTCTCCGCCCTTCCGCCAGTGACAGTGGCGAGGCCTCGTTCGTGTCGCCAATCTACGACGCGTTAGAGACAAATATACCACACAGTCTTATGAACTTTCTCGGTGAGCCATTCCCAGCGACGGCTTCACTCTTCCCAGCACACCGGGTAGTTAAGGACTATCTGCACAACTACGGCAGGGAGCTCGAAACCCTGTCGGGGCTAGAGGTGCAATTCCAGACTCAAGTAATCTCAATAGACAAGCAGCCCTCGGACAACCACCAAACCCAGTGGCTCCTTAAACGCTCGACTTGAAAACGGGCCATGTGCACACAGAGTCGTTTGATGCCGTGGTTGTGGCAACGGGCCACTACAGCGATCCTTTCGTCCCTGATATCCCGGGTCTCAGGGAATTCAGTGCGCGGTATCCAGGTTCCGTGACACATTCAAAATTTTACAGGCGGCCAAATGAGTATACCGGAAAGGTGAGCCAACCTTACCGAGTTGATGTGACGCGTGCTACATGCGACCCGAACACAAGCGAAGATTTTGTACGATCCGCTAATGTCCTGCTCGGAGGAACGAACAGAAAACCATTGTAGTTGGTAATTCTGCCTCCGGTCTAGATGTTAGCCGCCAGCTCGCCTCGGCTGGCGTTCGAGTATTAGTCTCAGAGAAACTCCCGTCCTCAAAGTCGGCGCCCAACGCTTTGTCCAATGACGAAGCCAGCTCTATCCATTTTAAGCCCGAGATCTCATCGTTTGACGATAGTGCGAATAGAATCGTGCGCTTTTCTGATGGGACTACTGAGTCCGGCATCGATTCCATCATCTTCTGTACGGGGTATTTCTACTCATACCCATTTCTACTCGGTCTCTCCCCTCACGTCACAGAAGATGGACGAACACTCAGGCACCTATTTGAACACATGTTATTTATCCCAGACCCCTCGTTAGCGTTCCTCGGTGTGCTGCAACGTGTCGTGCCGTTTCCCATCGCGGAAGCACAAAGCGCGACTATAGCCCGATGGTGGTCAAATCGCTTAGCGCTACCGACAAAAGAGGAGATGACAATGTGGGAAGAGCAGGAAATTCAAAAGCGGGACTGTGACGTCTCATCTTTGCATGACCTACGGTATCCGAGGGACGTGGCGTATATCAACCGCTTGCACGACCTGTCCTCGAAAGCAGCCCCCTTACATGGTTTAGAGAGAGAAGGGCACGGAAGGGAAGCGCCGTATTGGGATGAGGAAAAGGCGTGGGTGCGGGAGCGGTTTCCTGCTATTAAAGAGGCGAGTCAAAAATTGGGGATGAAGAGGGTAGAGGTGAAGCGGCTAGAGGAATTAGGGTTCGACTTCAAAGCTTGGAAGCAGGAGAAGAACTAGATTTTGGAGATCAATATATCCTCAAATTAGCTGCGTAGCAAGAGGTCCCTATTACACTTTGAAGTCTGAACCCTATAGCAGAATTTCCCAGCCCAATAATTTAAGATGACTTTAAAGCCATCTTCAGTGTTTTTCTTTCTTTACTTCCAGGCAACACATGACGATGGGCGTTCGAAAGCTGCTAAACCTGATCGTAACCAACGTCAACAAATCGACATTCCACCTAGCAAATACGCTCAAGATTCACACTTATATAAAGTTTACCGAAATTAATGTAATCCATGCCCATCCCAAGTGAGACAAGGCAAAGGGCAGCACTCCTAAGATAGCGAGCTCTATCGCTATTACAGGTTTTTTCTTTTTTGTTTTTTTTTTCTCAAGCAACGATCAAACGGCCCCTCCATCCCTGCTCCAATCCCGGACCTCCTCCCTCTCCCTTTTACCCTGTGGCCACTTCTTCACGCAATACAAAATGACCAGTGTCAAGACAATCTCGAGGCCAAAGAACATAGTGGCCATTTCATAACCGATCGGGAAATGCGGTGCCTGGCCCGTGTTATACACGAACAGTGGCACCCACGCCTGGAAAGTGAAAGCCAGCGTCTCGACAACGCCGATGACGAGGGCGCGCTCTTCTGCGGAATGCGACAAGATCTCGTTAATCCACGTTATTATGAGCGCCCCAGCACCAGTCTCGCAAAACGTGAGGAGCCACCCGGCCATCATGGCGGGGATGTTGTCCTCGGGCCACACAGACAAAATAATCGTTCCGATGATGGCTACTAGGCACGCCACGATTATAATCGGCCATCGGCGGCCAATGGCATCAGACGTCCAAGCGTAGGTTAAAGTGAAACAGATCTGCAAGGCATACCCAGCTGTCGGGATGACGTTGACCTCCTCGGTAGTGTAGCGACGGGTGGCTTTAAGCCAGAGATTGAAGTAGCTGTAGATTCGGATGCCCAGTACATGGGCGATGAATATGGAGCAAAAGAGGTAGACGGGCCAGCTCGTGACAATGTTGCGTATGGTGCGCCACGTGAGTTTCTTCATGGGCTCTCGACCGCACTTCTCCATGCGTTCGACGGCCATGGCGCGATCCTTTGGCTTAAGCCACCGGGCTCGCGATCCCGTAGGCGCGTCAGGGATGGCGAAGTAACCGTAGAGGCAGATAGGCACGCCGATGATGCCATCAAAGATGAAGAGCCACTGCCAGGCCCGGAGCCCTGCGCGGCCGTCCATGCCCTTATACAGAGCGGCCTGTAAGTATCCCGAGAACATCTGGGCGGCGCTTGAAGAAGCCTGAAAGATGCAAGCTCGCTTGCCCAACTCGCTTGGCGTGTACCAGTTACCTAAAAGCGTCATAATACCGGGATACGCCGAGGCCTCGAGGAAGCCGGTGAAGAACCGCAAAGCGTGCAACGTTTTGACGTTTTTCGCACCGGCCATGCCCATCACGATGAAGCTCCAGATGAGCTCAAGCGTTGGCAACCAGACGGACGGACGGATCCGGGTGAGGGCAAGCTGGGAAGGCAGCTGGCCGAGGATATACCCGACATTCCACCACGTCGTTAGGTAGTTAAGATCATTTCCGGTAAGCTTAAGATCTTCTCGCATACCTGAGACATAGGCGTTGGAGATCTTTCAGTGATCGTCGTCAGCTTCCGGCTAGTACCCGCTATACTATTCTTAAAAAAGTAGACTTACATTCGTTTGATCCAGGTACTTGACAAAATAGGAAATGCAGCAGTAGCTCAAGATCCACCAGTCCGCCTTGGCAACAAATGCCCGCTCCTCGGGGCTCTTATCTAGAGAATCCCATACGACTGCAAGGAACTTCTGGCGTAACGTAAGAGTCTGTGGAGTCTGTGCCAGACTGTTGGTATCGGAGGTGACATATGCATCGGCGTTCTCCTTTTTGTCTGTGTCCGCCGTTTTAGTAGCAGTAGCTACGAAGGTCTTCTGGGTTACGGCCGAGACGGGCGGGTCCGACGACCGATCTGGGTCCGCGTGGGCAGTCATCCTTCACGAGTTGTTCGAGGGCGGAGGAACGACTCGCAAAGTGGAACGGATATTCGTTAAACAAACATGTCTAAAAAGATAAGCCATGAGACTTTATACACCTGGATAGAGAAAAACAGTGGGCTATATAAAACAGTCGAGTCGAAGCCCCCCTAATACCTTTACGACGAGAACATTGCATGCCCTTGCCTTATTCCACAAATGGAAAATACAATCAATCCAGTACGTAGACGCGACTATGGGTTGTGCATTCCCACCACCAACTGTCGTTATCCGTTTCGCCGATAACGTCATCGTTGAGGCGGGCCGCTATCGATGAGAACGTTTGCTTAGACCCCAAAGGAGAGACTCTACTCGGAGAGAGAACACCGCAAAATTTGGCTTGTCTTCAAGGAGAGTTGTAAAATTTGGGAGTGGGAGTTTGGAACCAAGTCGGGGTGGGGCCGACGCTTTGACCGAAGGATTACTCACATTGCGGACTTTTCCAAGTTGGGCTCAGCGATTACTATCGCGAATGGGTTGTCGGAGGCCACCCGACGCTAGGAGACGTACGATATTGCCGGTTTCCTTAAGTGTGTGGAGATTCCGCGTAACTGTGAGTGAATGACGTTACTGCTGTTGACTAGAAGGAGAAAAAAAAAAAAAAAAAAAAAAAAAAAAAAAATTCGAGTAAAACATCGAAACTGTCAGGATCTTTCATCTCTCGGAAGTTTGCTTCACCCAAGCATAATAGTTACAATACTATTTATGATCTTTAGCTTGGCGAGACTTACCCTCGACTTCGTTTTCACCTCGTGGCAAGTTAACAGTTGACGCAACAACGTCTTAGCCGTTCCCCTGCCCCACCGATCAGCATGGTCACAGAATCCGAGGCCCGCGACCTCTACGCCAACACTATCCACTTCGACGGTCTTAATATCTGCAACTTTTCCCGTGAAATCTTCGAATCATGGCGCGCGGGTGGTCTCACCGGCGTCTCGTGTACGTGCGGGCTCTGGGAGGGGTTCCGGGAATCCATCGCCAACGTGGTGCAGTGGAAGAAATGGTTTGAGGAGCATGCCGACCTCATCGTGCAGGCACACTCGGTAGCGGACATCCGCGCCGCCAAGGTCGCCGGGAAGACGGCGGTGCTACTGAGCTGGCAAAACACAGCGGGCATCGAAGACCAGTTGGACTACCTCCGCGTATTCCGCGATCTCGGCGTGCGCAAGATGCAGCTGACGTACAACACCCAAAACTACTCGGGCGCCGGATACTTGGAACTTCGCGACTCCGGCCTCACCGGCTTCGGCCGTGAGGTTGTCGATGAGATGGCACGCCTTGGTATCGTGTGCGATTTGAGTCACGTAGGTCCGCAAACCTCGATCGACGTCATCGAACATGCACCCGAGGGCAAGCCTCCGTGCTTTAGCCATATCCTGCCAGCCGGTCTAAAGGACCACCCACGGAACAAGAGCGACGATCTCATCCAGGCACTCGGTGCCAAAGGCGGGTTCGTGGGGCTGAGCCAGTTCGGCCCGCACATGGCCAAGGGAAACGACAGCACAATCGATGACTACGTAGACGCTCTGGACTATGTCATTGGGCTCATTGGTGAAGACCTAGTGGGCATTGGATCAGATGCCAGCGAGGGTCACGAACGGCCCAGTGAATTCTTGGTCTGGTGCAACAAGGATAAAGGTTACGCGCGACAACTGACACCATGGGGAAGTCAGAAGGTCGTGAAGCCTCTAGGCCCTCTAGCTAAGAGAGCCGAGCTGGCGGTTGCAATGGCGCGCAAGGGATGGAGTGAAGATAAAATACGAAAGGTTCTCGGGGAGAACTGGCTCCGGTATCTGGGGAAAATCATTGGAAATAGTCGCAGCTCGTTAAACTAAAGATATTATAATATTGTGTTGGTGCGTAGGGCAACTGGCGGCAGCGCCACCGCATTGCAGATCGGTGCCGCCGCAGAAGCCCAAAATGCCACACATCCAGCCCTCACTTACATATGAAAAGCAATAGCAGCCCCCAGTTTTATAGAATAGATCTTAAGAAAGGACAGCAGCACAGAAGCAGGCAAAGGGCAACATAGCAGCAGCAAGCAATTAGTCATTCCCTATCAGCCAGAGAGTTACTTAGGACACTTTCTTTTACTATTTTCCTCACTTTAACTTCTTTTCTATCTTTTCTCTTCTCTTCTTTAGATATAAAGTATCCTAATATAGATTCCGACTGATTAATGATTTCTCAATATCCCACTTGCCCATTAGACTATTCTAATGACCATTGAAATGGAGCAGTGCAGCCTGCCCGCACACAACAAGAATGAAACGAAAAGGAAACGAATGGTCTAGAATGGTTCCTGCAGGGAGCTGCTGCAATTCCTCCTGCAGGAATGGTAATGGGACGTCGGAATGGTTGATCAACGGGAATAGGGCCGGATCACAAGAAAAGGAGGCTTCCAAAATAGGGGGAAGCCAAGAATCATGTAAGTGTCAAATACAGGACACTTGGACACACAAAACAATAGAAGAACTGTCTGGAGTCACCACACCAGATGATCCATGAGAATAATAATAATGAAGTCAATTGAAAGAAAGATTAATAACCGAATACTTGAAGAACTTGAAAACCTTGTTGTTTTTCTTCCTCCCTCGAGAGAGGAAAGAAAAGAAAGGAAACAACCATGTTGCCCCTGGCCCATGGTAAGGAACAATATTTCTCCGCCTCTATTCTTGAGGTCCCATGAGAGAACGTCACCATTTCCACTGCTGTACCCCTTTTCCCTATCACAATACTGATCTCTACATCTTTAAGATAGTTTTAGATATTAATAAACCCTTTATAGTTTATAATACTTCGTAACCTTTTCTTTTTTTTTTTAAAAAAAAAGGGGGGCCGGGGCGTGCAGCGGTCGCTCCAACGTGGCAAGATTTAGATTAGGCCGGCAGGTCCCCCAAAAACCTTGGAGATTTGACCTTCTCGTCATAGGAATTAGACAGCGTGAGGCCAACTTTAGTACAATATTAGTAAATTATCATTATATAAGGATAAAGCCAGCGAACCAAACGCCACGTTAGGTGGATACTCGTCCAGTCATGATAATTGTACTGACTCGGCAATTCCCCGAATCCCCCCCAAGTGGCAGAGTACGTACCTCTCCGCCAAGACTGGGAAAGTCCCGGCAGTTCCCCGAAAACCCTGCAACCGACCTCTCCTCATGCACCCCGATCGGACAACGAAGAATGAGAAGTGAAATCACGGCCTCCATAAAAACCCTAGATGGGGACCCCGTGGGGATCCCCATGGGGAATTTCAAGACTGTTTGAACGACAAAGGTCCCAACATTGAGTGCGAAAAGTATTACATCCGAAGTTATTCTCAAAATGGCCCTCGTCAAATGGCACGAACTCCCGAGTAAGCCTTATTGCATGGACCAAACAACGTACCTATTGTTGACCATCTGCTGCCAGACAATACCAATCCCATCTGGTACAAGGATGCTGGCTTACGTCGAAACGTGGCCTTGGGTCTTGGGCTTTGCCTTGTAATAGCTACTAATGTGAGTTGACGTTCTCTGCTACTTACATGGTTTACAAAGCTAACCACCTTTACAGGGATGTAAGTGAAGACGGACCTGATGCTCGACGGGTTGGTTGCTAATCAACCTCAAGACCAAGCAAGTCTTCTCTCTGGCTTTCAGGCCATGCCCTCGTGGCAAAGGTATGTTACCGTAGTGTCTTTGTTACTCACGTCTTCATGCTGTCGATTTCTAACTCTTCGCCAGCTACTTCAAACAACCTACCGGTGCCCTACTTGGCATCTACGCTGCTTCTTTCTTCCTTCCTTCCATCTTCACATCGTTCATTGGTGACTATCTCTCCACCAAAATCGGTCGACGATGGTGCATCATCATCGCGTGCATGGTTCTCATCCTTGGAGCCCTTGTCAATACCTTTGCCATCTCTATCGGCATGTGGTGCGCCGGTAAGGCAGTCTTTTTCACCTCCAGAGGGTGTATATAGCAGTGGGACTAATCACGAATGGTTTTAGGTCGTGCTATTATGGGAGCAGGAGTTGGTATAATCAAAGTCGCGACTCCCGTGCTCATTCAGGAGATTAGCCACCCTCGGCTTCGACCTATTCTTGGCTCCTGCTACCAAACATTTGCCTACTTTGGAATCTTCTTCGCGGCTCTAATGACCTGTGAGTTTTCGGAGCGAGGCCTGACGACATCAGGTCTTTGAACTGACCCTCGTGTGTAGACGTTGGTTTATACGTGCCTGGTACCTGGGGATGGCGGTTTCCGTCGCTGATACAGATACTCGGTCCCTTTGCGGTCATAATTGTGGCAGTACTATGCCCGGAATCCCCGCGTGTAAGAAAATCCCCGGCACATGTAAATGGCGTCAGGAGAACTCACAGAAACTTGTATGTAGTGGCTCATGAAAAATAACCGGGGAGAACAAGCTCACAAAATCCTCGCCGCGATGCATGCTAATGGCGATGAGAACGATGCCCTCGTACTGTTTGAGATGGAACAAATTAACGATGCTATCAAAAAGGAGATGTCACAGAAAGACGCAAGTTTCTTGGACTTCCTGCGGACCCCCGGAAATAGGAAGCGATTGGCTACGCTTGTGGCTTTGGCGTGCTCTTTAAACTGGATGGGCAATGGCATCATCACCTAGTAAGTTGCACTCTGAATTGCCGCCAGAATGAGATTTCCGACTGATTATTTAGCTATCTCGCACCTGTCCTGAGATCTGTCGGCATCACTGCCCCAGTTCAGATCACTTTGATTAACGTCGGGCTTGGTAAATACATTTCCGTCCCTGAAAACCTGTTGAAAGCTGTTGCTAACCTGTCGGTAGCGGTGTGGAATCTGATACTCGCCGCCATCGCCTCTGTGTACTGCGACAAGGCCGGTCGCCGACCTCTATTTCTCACATCGACTGTAGGCATGTTGTGCTCATACGTCGTCGTTATGGGTTTATCCGCAGGGTTCGCAAACACCCAAAACCGCGCACTGGGAATTGCTGTCATCCCTTTTCTCTTTATGCAAGTTCTTCTTTAGATCGAGCCCGATAGGCCTAACGCTGACCGTATCGACCCAGCTATTTTGGGTTTTATGACATTGCATACACCCCTCTCCCGATCGCGTATACGGTTGAGATCTTACCCTTCTCTATTCGATCCAAAGGCATGGCCCTCTTCACAAGCACAGCTACCTTGGGCAATGCTTTCAATCAATTCGTGAACCCGATAGCCCTTAAGAGCATTGCATGGCGATAGTGAGTACTTCGCGCTTAAACCTGAGATATTGGTGTCATTTGCTTACCGCTTGGACTCAGTTACGCCGTATATATTGCGATTCTGCTCTTCTATTTCGTATTCATCTTTTTGATGTTCCCCGAAACTAAGCGTCTATCGGCTGAAGATGCTGCGAGGGCTTTCGACTTCGATAGGAAGGGGCATCCCTTGGGCGAGCCTATAGATCTTGAGCGCAGCAGAGGTAGCCACAGCGACGACAAAGAAGCATTTGTCTCTATGGCCGAGGGCGAAGACAAGGGAAAATAAACTGACCCTGATCGAATGTCTGAACACTTGCTCGGTATCTCGATGCTGATCGTCGTCGACGTTGGTTCTGACCGAGATGGCCCGTCGTATTTCCTAGAGACCTACACTACGTGGCAAAAAGTTTGCAACCCCCCCGCCCAAGTCTCGGTTTTTACTGGTTAGCCTGGTTGCGTTCTTCCTCCAGCCCTGCAAAATGTTGCAAGGGGGGTTGCAAACTTTTTGCCCCCCACTGTAGAGATTGAAAGACCTGGTGGACTGGCCGACAGTAAAAACTCCTTTATTGTAACTGTGATATCTAGTGCTTACTTATTAATATTGATATGTCAACAATACAACCTGATTTGGCTATCTCCAACTGTCGCGTAGTTAGGCACCTGATCCACCTTCAATCTTCTCGTAGTGTATAACTCCTTTTTAGCAATGAATCATCTCACTGGACTCGAACTACGAAGCGTGTATGAATATGCTCTTTCTTCTCTTGTACCGATACTACGATGTCACGAGACAAATCTAGGTGTAAGGTACCTTGTAACTAGTGGCACAACCTCGCCATTTATAAGATGTACTAACTTACCTAGGTAAGTTACGTAATATGGGTGTAGTGTTTTTGAAGTCTGATTGCGATGGGGGTAGATCCCTCAAAGATTTATTAGATCAATGGGATGACCCGTTTTCTCCCAACACTCACTGCCTCTGAACCTATCTACCAATCGTAGCGCCAACTGAACTAACAAATACAGCTTCATGTCGGCCAGTCCGCCTCTATCAGACGCTAGCAGTCTTAGGCAGACCCGAAAGCGTCGCAACTCAACCGCCGCCCTAGCTGGCGACGAGAGACAGGCCCCGAAACAGCGGACGAAACGCACCGCGTTAGCTTGCGAGAGATGCCGCATGAAAAAGCTTCGGTGTATGGGCGGTCATCCCTGCGGTGCCTGCCAACGGGCCAGCGCCGACTGTGACTTTGGTGATCGGGTATGGGATTCCCAGCAGAGCATTTCGGCAACCAACCAGCGGCTCTCTCAACTCGAAAAGACGATTGCGGATCTGGCAGCCAGTTTGAGCCACCTAAAGAACCCGCAACCTGTGGGTGATAGTTGCGCCCATGCCTCAGTACCTCCACTGTCGGGTCCTTCACTTGGGGTTCAAGCCATTCCAGACTCATCAGTCAACGTGAATGAACCTCTGCACCTTGTCTCGTCTCCCAAACAAGTCAGCCCAGCTGCCCAAAGCCAGGGCTCGGATGCTACTCCTAATTCTTTGCGCAGCTCCTCGGCCAATCCTAGAATGTCAGAGACACTCGAGTCCCGCTGGGCCGCCCTGCAACGTAACGTCGCGCCCTTTCCTCCTCTGATGGCCCACCCCACAGTGTGGTCTGAAGAACCAGCAAAGCCTAGCCTAGGTGGTATCGCCGCTCAACCCACTCTCGGGCTGGCCCACTACAGGGCTCAAGTGCACTTGCAGAGCGAGCCTATTTCCGAAGGTATTATTGGGGAGATGGTGGCGAGAGCGCTTTTTGGATTGTAGGTCATGTGGTGCTACCTTCTATCACTCCCCACCTCACTTACCCAACCGTACCTAATCCACGTCTCATGTAGGTTTTTTCAAAAGTGTCATCCGTCGTTCCCACTCTTGGAACAGTACACGGACCTTGACAGCCACTTCGACCACGTTCGATCTTCATCACCATTTCTCTTCACCAGCATCCTTGCCGTTGCCGCTCGCTATTACCCTAGCTATCGGAGGACACAGCCTACTCTGTTAACTTTACCACCCATCTCGGCTAACGCCCTAGAGGGCCTTGCTGATCTCGCTAATGCGCACCTGGGGTTTGTCCTCCTTCGCAAACAACATCAACTATCAGACGTGCAAGCTGCTCTGCTGCTTTCTGTGTGGATACCTAGAGGTAAAGGACAATCAGCAGATCAGTGGATGATCACAGGGCTGTGTACTCGCCTGGCACATCGAATTGGAATACCGGACATATTGAATCGTCCATTTATTTCACGCTTTACCACTCTCGACGCCAACGTAAACATTGACGAGGTCAATAGTGTCTTGCACCAATGGCACACTTGGCTAATGCTCAACCAGTAATGCGCTGCCCACCCTTGTTATGTACGATCCACTATCTAATTCCTGTTCGCAGATATGACATATCACTTAGCCTTGGATTTGGTCGTCCACATGCCATGCCGATCGCTGCCTGCTCTCGGCAATATCTTACTGTCGCACGTATGTTGGGACCTTCAGCTCAAGTCGATCTGGCAGCGGCGGCGTACGCGGCTAGTCTTGTTGAACTTTCTACTGTGAGTTTTTCGTTGCTGTTCCTTTACTGGCTTGCTGACTTGCCCTGGCAATAGATAACGTGGGATTTGATCTCTGGCCTTCGCACCGCTCACTTGCAGCCAAACAACCGGCAAGATGATTATCAACTTGCTGCGTGGAGTAATGTTTCTGCCCTTCTGTCCGATATGAACCCGCGATTAGACGAGTGGGAGCATCAATGGACGTGGGGTGGTGAGTTTTCGCATTCTCCGGCTCTTCGACCTTAGACGCTCACGCACTATCTAGGATCTTACGATGCCGTCACTCTCGGCACATACGCCAAACTAGTGGTGATGTATGGAGAGCATGCTAGGCTGTGCTTGAACTCGCTTTCGTTAAACCTCGTCACTGCGAAAGGGGATGATGAACATCGTCAAAACCAGGTACCGACGGCATATCTGACAAGAGCCTGCGATGCGGCCGTGTCCATTGTCAAAGGCCATCTTGAGTCATCCGGTGACGAGCCACTTATTCGATATGGTGCAGATGTGAGTACACATCGACCTCTGTATGTGTCTTCGCTAACGTGGGCCGCCGCCAATAGTATGTGGTCCTGATACTCGGCCAAGCGACAGTGTTTCTCATTCGGATACTTACGGCTCGGCTAGAGCAGCCTTTGCCAATAGACCGGCTTGTCCTCTTGCACTATCTCAAGAAAGCCATTGAACTGATGGAGGCGAATAACCTATCCACGACTAATATCTGTGGCTGGATAGCCCAGATTTGTCGCGACTTAACACGCCACGCAGGGCTTTCTGTCGATAACGAAGGGATAATCGCCGGGTATGTGTTAACTACTGAATTCCCGATGTCGTCTTCGTCTTAATCCTGTAAGCTGACGCGGCATATGAATAGCTCGGCAGCGCCAGAGCCTAACCTTCCGGAGCCGGACTGGGATTTTGATATCTCTACCTTTCTAGGCCAGAACGTGCCGGTGGGCGAGATAAGCCTGGACCTCGGGGGCTATTTCGACTTTACCCAGTCTTTTCTGCCTCCATCATCGGGGCCATGATTTCGCGGTCTTTGTATCATTTTACTCGACAAGATGATGAGAGAATCCCCATCTGGCGTCACGTCGACGGTTTTCTACCAGGAGGTCTGAGCACGAATATGCATTACTCTTTGACTGGATTTGTACTGTACGCTGCACTCCGAAGACTCATTTGAGTCCCTGTGTCACATTGATAAGGAAATGGTGTTTTTGCTCCCCCTCTTCATTCTTCCCTACTCGCGGTGCTCAAACGTCCCAGTTTTGCTCTTCTCGGCCTGTAGGATCGCAAGCTCGTTGAGTCTCTCGGCGTGAACATCCGGACCGTCAAAAAGCATCGAGACTTCTTCGATTGTATAGTTTCTGGTTTCCGGATACATGAAGTAGGCGAAAACCAGGTAGAATAACAGAATCGTAATATAAACAGCATAACTATCCCTGAGTCAGTCACTGAAATTTGGCCGTCTCCAGTATGTTACGTACTATTTCCATGTGATTGCTTGCAGAGCAATGGGGTTCACAAACTGATTAAAAGCGTTCGCCATGGTACCAACGGAAGTGAAGATAGCGAGCCCTTTGGTGCGTAGCTTGAAAGGCAGAATTTCGGCTGTATACGGGACCGGCAGCGGTGTCCAAGCGATGTCGTAAAAGCCGTAGTATCTTGAGTCACGTCAGATTCTGTAACCGAATGACCAAGTGCGAAGCATTACTCACAGGAACAAGGCTGGGATAACGGCAATGCCCAGTCCGGATTTCTTGGTTGAGTCGAAACCAGCTGAGAAGCCCATAACCAAGCAGTACGATATGAGCATGCCCAAAATAGATAGTAGGAAAAGAGGACGACGGCCAAAGCGCTCGACGTTGAGCGCTGCACCAAATGCCAGTATGAGGTTCCAGATAGCTACAATCTCTTCCATTAGCTGGACGGGTCCTCTGAGAGACTTGACAACCTACCAAGACCGGACGTTAGGAGCGTGATCCGTAACGGCGAAGTGATGCCAATGGAGCGAAGCACGGGCGTAAGATAACTGCAAGACAACATCTTAGTGGAATAGTGTGAAGAAGCTGAGCATTGCGGACCTACTAAGAGATAATGCCATTTCCTACCCAGTTAGATCCTATACATAGGGACAAGAGGACAACAAGGCGTCGCCGGTTTCCAGGTGTCCTGAAGAAGTCTAGATACGATACTTGATGGATGGCACGTTCCTCCTCGATTGCAGCTTGGATCTCGGCCAACTCCCATTGGACGAGAGGGTCATCAACGACATTGTTAGCGTGGTGCTTGCTCAGTACAGCTAAAGCCTCAGCTAGTCTGTTCTTGTCGACTAGCCACTAAGACACGATTCTTCGTTAACCACAGGATATTTTACACGGTCGGCCTGATAACTCACTCTGGGAGATTCTGGACAGCTTAGTAGCGTTACGAGTACCAATAACGGCCCCAGAACCTGGAATATCGACGGCATCCTCCAAGACCAGCTACCCGGGATGTAGAGGCTTGCGACTGTAGCGTACGTAATTTAGCGCGCGGCAATCAACGACTCGATGATAATGAAGACGACCTACAGCATAACAAAGCCGATAGCAGGCTTCCAAAGTAGAAGAAGGGATAATAGCAGCATGCAAGCATCGGTCGCAAACGAGGATGGGCAATCTCTTGAATGAGAGCTGGGGCAGCCACCTTGGCCATCCCACCCCCAGCACCTATGATAACCCGGCCTAGGCGCGTTTCAAAGTGAGCCTAGTTTAATTCAAAGGAGGATAGACTTACCAGCAACCCACATCTCAGATTTTACAGCAAGAGCATTAATGAGACTACCAGCCAGGACAAGCAAAGTCCCCAAGGTCAGGGCAAGTCTTCGCCCAAAGCGTTGAGACACAAAATCACCCAGATAAGCAGTGACTATTGATGGGAGATACAGGGTTGCAGTGTAGAGCCCTAGGATGGGGCCTTTCGGATCGTCCAGGAACTCGCCCCATGAGGCAACAGCTTGCAACCCGTTGAGGAGGCTCGCATCATCTATGGTTCAGTCAGTTGATGAAAGACACGTCTTGTTTACGGTCTTTACTCACAACCCTATTCAAGATGTCTCAGTGCGATGCTCTCCGGACTAGCAGATGGGGTCACTTACAAGATAGAATATGACGAGACACAATCCCAAACTGATGAGGCTGCGTTAGCAAGCAAGCCATGCTGGTCGACGGTTAGAAGGACTCCGCACCATTCTGCGATGTTCCTTTTGAGACAAGGGTCCTTGTACCACTTCTTATGGGTATTGTCTTGTCAACGGTGTTAGTGGCATTGTAATTGCAAAGATCCATCCTTCGTTTAGAATGTTCTTACTGGGTATGTTGGAAAACGAAGAAGTTTGTTGTGCCATGATTCGGGAAGATCAAATGCTCAGAGCGACTGACCAGTCCGTTTCGAAAATTTGGATCAACTGGGTCGGTCCACAGTGAAATCTGGGGAAAAAGTGGGCATGAAAAGGGACGAATATGAGAGGGTAAAGGCTAGTGCTGACTTAGATTAGATTCGGGGAACATCCGAGCCACGAGTTACCTCTTGATGCAACTCGCTACCCCACAGGTGGTGGAGATTCCGGGGAGATGCCGTAGGCCCCAAGCATTTAGTTGGAACTGTATCCAGCGACAGGGGCAACAATAAAGCCAGTTTCCGGCGTTATTATTATCTTTGCTACTCTGATCCCCGTTCTTACAAGAAGAACAAAGCACGAGTCACATCCAACGTAAAGATACATCATAATGGCTAACACGGGAATGGATCGGTCATTTTTGACAGCCTCTGTCGAGGATCTTGTTCGTCACATGTCCCTCACGGAGAAGGTGGCTTTTATCGCAGGGGAGGATTGGTGGAGGTGGGTGCAAATGCGCAATCGTCTCTGCTTATCTTACTGACTTGGCTTGGTAGGACCGTGGCTTTACGCAGGCTTAATATTCCTTCGTAAGGATCTTGTCTGGCTATTTATTTCCGTGGTAGCCTTACTGACGGTTTCTTTCTAGTGTAAAGGTTACAGATGGACCCAACGGTGCCCGAGGGCAATCATTTTCCAAGATGAGTGAGTAATGTAATGGCTTAATATCTCCGCAGACTGTCCTGGCTCTGACATGAACCAAGCCCCTGCTGTTGTTCTTCCCGATGCAACCTGTTTAGCTGCCACTTTCTCTCAGGCCCTTGCCAGCGACGCCGGTCGCTTACTCGCCGCTGAGGCCAAAGCAAGGAGCTCAGTCTGTTTGTTGGCGCCGACCGTCATCATCTGCCGAAGTCCCCTCGGAGGCAGAGCATTCGAATCGTTTAGCGAGGACCCTACCCTTAGCGGTATCGTGGCCTCCGAGTACATTAAGGCTCTTCAAGCCGAAGGCATCAGCGCAACCATCAAGCACTTCGTTGCCAACGATCAAGAGCATGAGAGAATGGGTCAGGACTCCATAATTGGCCCCCGAGCGCTCCGGGAGATTTATCTTCGGCCTTTCCAGATAGCACAAGCCCGCGCTAGCCCTTGGTCGTACATGGCTTCGTACAACAAGCTCAACGGCACCCACTGCTCTGAGCACGACTGGCTGTTGAAACAACTTCTCCGAACTGAGTGGGGATTCGACGGACTTGTCATATCCGACTGGATGGGTACATACTCTGTTGCCGAGGCCATCAACGCCGGACTCGACTTGGAAATGCCCGGAAAACCTCGCTGGCGTCAACTGCAGCTGGTGCGTCAATCGATCAATGCTCATAAGATTCTACCCGAGACACTCGATGAGCGAGTCACTACGGTCCTGAAATGGGTCCAGAAGCTTGCTTCCTTGAACCCTGATATCGTCTATGGCCAAGACGACTCCATAGAATGGACACGCAAGGAGCACCAGGAAGCGGATGCGGCCCTGGTACGGCGTATCGGTAACGAGGGCATCGTACTGCTCAAAAATGAGCAGTCAACGCTTCCCATTCGGCAGGGCAAGGTAGCCGTAATTGGTCCCAATGCCAAGAACGCTGTTATTATGGGCGGTGGCAGTGCAAGGCTTCGGCCGGCCTGGTGTGTCTCGCCATGGCAGGGCCTAGTCGACAACAAACCAGACCGCGTTGAGCTATCGTATACACTGGGCTGCAAGGGTTCCAAGTTCTTGCCCATCCTTGGTGAAGAGTTCACCAGTATGGACGGTGCCACACCAGGTTTCGATATACTTCACTACGCCATCATCGGCGGTAGGCAGGCGAGCCGGCCAGCTGTCTCTGAGGTCTGGAAGAACTCAGACATCATGCTCGCCGATTTTCACCATCCAGACTTGGGGGAAGATTACTTCACTGAGATCCGTGCTTTATTCACCGCATCAATTACCGGTGACTGGCAGTTCGAAGTCAGTGTCACTGGTCAAGCTTGGCTGTATCTCGACGATGAGCTAGTGGCCGACCTGTCCAAAGGACAGAAACGAACTTCTTCTTTCTTTGGAAACGGAGGAAATGGCACTATAATCACGGTCCCAGTGACTAAGGACAAAGTAAGTTGATAGATAAGCCGTGGCCGGATATTTACGTTGCTTCGCTAACTCAATCCTCAGGTCTACCGCTTCCGCCTGGTCCATGACTCCAGAAAGCCTCCACTGGCTCCAGGACAAGACAGCCAGCCATTGCAACTCATTGGCATAAAGCTCGGGTCCCTACCGGTCATCGACGAAGACCAAACAATTGACAAGGCTGTCGAGCTGGCGAGAGCGTCGGATGTGGCTGTCTTGGTTGTTGGGTTAGATCAAGATTGGGAATCGGAAAGCTATGACAGGCCCAACCTGTCTCTGCCTCTCCGGCTAAATGACCTTGTTCATCGTGTAGCCACCGAGGCTCCAGACACCAAAATGGTTGTCGTCCTGCAGACAGGCTCCGCCGTATCGATGCCCTGGCTGAAACACGTTGACTCGGTTATATGGCCTTGGTACGGCGGAAATGAAGCGGGAAATGCTATTGCCGACATCGTCTACGGGAAGGTAAATCCTTCTGGCAGGTTACCAATTAGTCTGCCCAAGAGAGAGCTTGACATCGCTGCAAATCTCAATTTCAAGTCGGCCAGGACCAAAACTTACTATGAAGAAGGCATCTGGGTTGGCTACCGCCACTTCAACGCTAGAGGCATTGATCCCATGTACCCCTTCGGCCACGGCTTGTCATACACCACCTTTGAGTACTCTGAACTCACCGTTTCTGCCTCCGCATCCGCTTTGCCCAGCTCATGGCGGATCAACGTCTCTACTAAGGTGACTAACACTGGGTCGGTTCCCGGTGCTCATTCGGTCCACTTCTACACCACCCCCCCACCTCCGACTTCTAACTCCCTTATACACCCTGAAGTAACTCTACAAGCCTTTGCTAAGACCGCTGTACTGTCACCTGGGCATTCTGAAACTGTTTCTATTGAGATGGACAAATGTAAGTCGTGCTGTGTTAAAAGTTCGGTATCCCGCTAACAACAAGATAGACGCTATCTCGCATTGGGATGAATTGACTTCATCATGGCGAGCCGAGCCTGGCCAATGGCAAGTACAGATCGGGAGAGATGCCCAGACAATGTGCGCCAAGGAGTCGTTTACTGTACCTCCTGGCTTCCAGTGGACAGGACTTTAGTATTGCAGTTATAGACTTAACACTACTCTAGAGTAAATAAGATAAGGCGACAGACTCGGTCCGGCAGCTATTTAAAGCAGGCTTCTAAAATAAACTTATAAGATATTCCGCCTCCTAATTAATATTATTATAAGTAGCGCTACTTTTATATTATTAAAAAGAAATTAAAAAATATATATATACTAATACTGTTATTATAATACTATTATTTAAAATACTAGCTAACTTATATTTAAATTATTATTATAATATTAATATAATAATTAGTTTAAGCTTTTACTAAAATTATATTATAATAGTAAAAATAGGAATATTAGTAAAAAAAGGAACGTTCTTAGTATCACGACATAGCCACGACCAGGTTACAAGAAAGTAGTATAATATAGTAAAACTATAAGTTATATAAAAAAAAAGTTAAATAGGACCTTATTTAATTAATTAATTAAATAGAAGTTTAATAAGTTAGTTATATTTATAATTAACTAATTAGTTAGCTAAAAATATAATTAACTTAAAGAGAGTTTAAAAGAGAAATATCTATATAAACTATAAATTCTATTATATATCTAGTCTATCTTTTAAAACTTTTTAATAATTAAATTAAATATAATTATACTTTTATATTTAAATATATTATAATAGTAAAAAAAGAGATATTAGTAAAAAGAAAGACATCCTAAAGATTCCACAAATATTAAAAGAAGTAGAAAAATATTATTTCTTACTAAGGCCTAAAGCTATAGTTATTTCTTTTTCTTTTCTTTCTCTAAAAAAAGAAGATTAAATTCTTAAATAAATTTTTTAAATTCTTTAAAGATAATAATTATTAGTCCTTTTTTTAATTAATTTTATTATTATTATCTCTTATAAATTATCTTATATAGTAATTCTAGATAATTTTTTTATTATTTTATATATATAAGTATCTTATTATAACCTGGCTGCGACATGGGCTGCCAGGGGAGGCGGTAAGCAGTAGCAGAAACTACAGGGACAGTATGTAATTACTAAAGGAATAATTAGATAGTTAAAGACTAACTAATTGATAGTTAAATAGAAAGAGTCTAACTAACTAGTTAATTAGGGACTAATTAACTAATTATAAGAGAGCTTAGAAGGAAAATATTTATATAAACTATAGTTTACTTTATATATCTAGTTTATTTTTTAAAATTCTCTAGTAGTTAATTTAAATATAACTATATTCTTATACTTAAATATATACTTTTTATTAATATCTTATAAATACTATTTAACTACTTTACTTACTTTATAATAAGCCCCTCAACTCTAATACTAGCTATACTTACCTAATATACTAAGCCTTAGTATTAGGATTATAATATTATATATATAATATAGTAAATAATAATAACTTAAAAAGAATAGATTTTATAATTTAAAATTAAGAATATTAATATAAAATATAGGTTTTATATAAGATCTATTAATATAAAGATATATATCTAGCTAATTAGTCTACTATTTCTATCTTTTTTACTTTATAGTCTTAAAAAATTTAAAAGCTTTATATAGTTTATAATATTAGAAGATATTCTTCACGTCTAATCTCTACTAAGTAATCTGGTTCTGCGTATACTAATAAGTTATTAGTCCTAGGTGTAGGGACTAGCTAAACTATAAACAGTACCTTATTACTAATTATAGGAGGTCTATAACTCTCTTCTAGAAGGTAGTATTCCTCTCATAGGAGTTAGCTCGTAAGAGAGCTCTATAAACTGAGAACTGAAGCATTCTTCCCATATCAACTATACGTCCACGATGTCCGGCCTGATAAGCCGCCGCAGAGAAATAGGAGCCGAGAGAGCTGGGGGGCAGCGATAACTAAAATTTCGATAATAGTAAGTTATATTTATTTAAAGTCTTATCTCAGGTAATTATCAACCGACCTATTAATATAGGGAAAACGCAGTACGGTCTCACACGTCATGACAAGCTACCATATAACCACACTTGACACTCGTCATAGCTGAGCCAAGCTGGAACGTAGCTAAACTGTTTATTAAGAGACGAAGTATTATATTTCGCTCACGTCATATTTAAGACATAGCTTGGGTTTTAGACTAAATGCAGGTAGTAGCACGACATAAGAGACGGGATTAACGACTCGGCCGATAAAAATAAGTCGACCGAGTATACTCATCTCCCAGGTCATTTTTCATAATTTCTCATAAACTACAACCTTGTCAAGCAAATTCCTATAAAATCCCAAATACCGTTCGTAAAAACTCCCATTCTTCCAGGATTTAACCCGGACCCTTTTATCGTCCGAGTCGGTGAGGACTAGTATATTACGACATCAACTCTTCGGGATTTCACCCTTCCTTATTCTATAATAATAATAGTAGTAAATAAATTATCAATATACTATAGGATCATTCCTAGTCCGAGAACTTCTCCGGCATTGCCTCCAAGAGTTCGACCCTCGTAAAGGAAGACTCGTCGGTCCAAGAAAGAATATTTACAAAAGGACAGTATTGAGAGCGGTTGAAGGACCACATCTATAGAAGCGGAAGGGCTAGCACTACCTCCTAGTCGCCGAAGGCGGCACGAGTTGGGCGCTCATTACTACACTATTACTCAATCCCATAAGATTTGGGATCCCTATAAGACACATCCCTAAAATCCAATCTTGACCGCAAGCTATAAACTATTCTCTCCTCTTCAAAAGGCCGGCAATAGCAATATTATTAATACTCCTAATAGCCGGACTTACCTTGTCCATCTCTATATAAGGCCTGTAGGTAAAGAACATCAATATATTCTTAGGCGCAAGACTAGGATCCAGGAGGCATATTAGGCCAGTGATGACTGGCTATACATCAAGAATAGCCCTACTCCAAGTATTACTGTCAACCTACCGGCCAGTCAAGACAACAATGTTTACTAGGCTAAACAGCTATACACTTTTACAAACAGCTGCCTGAAGATTTCCAGTAGCCGCAATCTACTTACTACCTAACAGTGACAGCGGACTCGAACAGTCAGCGACAGCTTCTTCTAATAACAGCAGAAAAACTAAATCCGCATTCTGCTCTAGATACACTCTTATTTCCACTGGCCAGCATACCCAACGAGGGTAAAGTGACATTAGCACTGTCTATACTTAGGAGGGAGACTCTAATTCTCTTATATACTTAAGGGTAAAGAGTTAAAGGATATTAAACTACTATATAATACATCTATTCTTTCAGATGAGTGCGCAGCCGATAGAGGCTACTTACCCTTTACTACTACTTTTAAGTATTACCTTCTCCAATCTAGATAGTTTAGAAACAGAAGCTACTTTAGATTATTTCCTTTGCCCTCCAGTTAAGCATAAGGCAGACCACTATAATATCTAAACTTAGGATAGCTAGCGTATTTGCCAGATAACCTAGAAATCGAACGAGACCTATGGTTTTAATGCCTCGGTAATAACTAATTAGCTTATCACCATTACTAGTACAATAAAAGCTGGATTCCCCACAACCTCCCCCCAGTACTATAACTTTGAACTCACCCTCGCACATAGATACACCAAGTTCATAACCAGGGACACTTTACTACATAGATATAAGGGCCCCACCACAAGCCCCACACAAGCACCTCTCTACAATAGTAGCCTATAAGGTAGTCAGATTATACTCCAGAGCTCTACGACATTGTTACATGATTACATGGTCCTCAGGAGCTTAATTTAGGTATTATAGGCCTATTTTCCAGTTTTAACTCCACACAGGACTTAGACAACAGCATTTTTATAACCAACAAAAGCAATCATAGGCTTTATCAGAAGCTTTATATAAGAAAACTCTAAGCCCTCAATTCATCAAAGCTCTTCACTAAACATCCATAAAATAATAAACACTACTAACTCAGAGCATCATACCTCTTTCTCATAAATCACCATAGCAAAATTCAATAAAGCCTAGAACTACAAGGTTTCCCAGGCTATCACAGCACCCCAGCCAGTATTAACTCTTAACACTAAATACTAGTAGCAACACAAGAATTTACAGACACTTAATCTCCTCCTCATATTCCCTCTTCTCTCTATATTTACTATTAAATAGGTTAAAGTTATTACTCCTTATTTCTATATACCAGAGTCTAATCCTTAGTACTAGTTTTAATAGGTCTATAATAAACAGTCTCCAGTCAGTAAAGATATAGAGAGACTACTTCAGTAAACCAAAAGGTGCCACTCTTGGCCTTTTCAATACCACATATCCAATTAGCAGCCTCATATCAATCCCATTTATACCTCTCATCAATAACACATAAGGACACAAAGCAGGTCTACTTACTAATAGCATTATTTATTATATCAGAGCTACACTCCAAGCCAGCACTCAGAACCTTCCCATATTTATTATTACTCATAGTATTCTCAGTATTAGTACCATACAGCTAAGCACATACAGCAGACCCTTAATTACAGAGATAGCACACCCTGCCCATCATACTACTACTACAGCTCTATTCCAGACCTCATAGGGATTAGGAGCCATAGTTACCACCTAGGCCACTTTTAGGTCCTTCCACATCAACAGCACATAGGCATAGAGGATCCCTTCAGCCCTCCAGGCTCTCCCATCAGTCATCCAACTCACTAATCTCTACTTCATTCCAGAAAGCCCCAGATTTCTAATTTTGAAAGACTAATCAGAGGAAGCCCTTACTATTCTTACCAAGTACCACACCAAAGGCAATACAAACAACCCATTAGTTCAATTCAAATACCACAAGATTCACGAGGCTCTAGAGGCCGAAAGGAAAATTATTACAGAAAGCATCCTTCAAGGTTATCTCCAATTCTTCCAAACTCCAGGGAACTATCACTAACTTCTAATTCTAGTATAGAGCATATATATTAGTCAGATGTCCAGGAATGCCTTCATTTTATATTACCTAGTTCCCATCTTAAGCTCCATCGGAATCAAGAGCAGCCTCCAGCAGACTCTCATCAACACCACCCAGCAAATATTATCCTAGGT